GCGATCCGGTCAACGCGGTCGACAATCTACCTCTCTCAAGCATAGCTGTTCCCACCGAAGTTGGCCAATCAAACGATGACCGCTTCGATGCATTTCTGAGAAGACCATCGGGTATCAGTAGTCTAACTGAGTCCCAGGGAAGGGTTCGCGTGGAACCCTTCGCGCTTCCCCCTCAAACGGAAGCAGACGCCTTGTTACATTTGTTTTTCACCACCGTCAATTTGATGATTCCGTGTATCTATGAAGTCTCATTCCGAGACACGTACAGGAAGCTGCAGATCGACGGGGTCCTGAGTGTGCGGAGATCCTGGCTGGCGACTCTGAATGTCGTGTTCGCTCTCGCGACAAACGTCATGACGGCGACTTCACCGAACATTGAAAGGGCCGCGAGGGCCAGTATGTATTTTGAGCGGGCGATGGAATTGGTGAAATCAGATATCTTAGGGCGTCTTTCATTGGAAATGGGTATGGCCTACCCATTTAACATCTTGCGTTCAACCCACACTGACGTGCTTAGTGCAATTATTCCTTTTGATGGAGGCGTACCTTGAGGGAACTACATCTTCATCGCTTGCCTGGACGTTACATGGCCTGGCTGTGAAAGGGGCATACCAACTTGGTCTTCATGTCATGGACTCGAAGAGCATATCGCAAACCGATCGGGAAGTGCGCAGGAGATCATGGTATTGGTGTGTTATGAATGATCGGTAAGTGTCTATGATTACGTATATGGCGAAGTATACTCATGATGATCAGGTTTCTGAGCGTGACTTACGGTCGCCCCCCTTTGATTCCCTTGTCCCATGTGAGATTCGAGGCTAGTGCATATGTGCCATTCAGCAATGTGTCCAGTGCTGTTACCGTATATAGCCTGGCTTATTTTGATGCCATGATGTAAGCAAATTGTCCTCGTAGATTGCTGCAGATTTGACTGATTTTTTGATAGATCTATTACTCACATCATGGGCGAAGCCCTGGAGCGTCTCTATGACTCAAATCTCGGGCTTCGCACCCGCCTCCCCATGGGCGAAAGCCTGAACCAGATCTCCAAACTGCGCTGGGAACTAGCCCAGTGGCAGGATAATCTCCCATCCTGCTTACGAATAATAACCTCCCAGGAGACGCTGGATGATGTGCCTTTGACGATGGGAACCACGAGACTCCGCGTCCTACTTTCTCTCCGCTTCCTTGGTGCGAGAATACTGATTCTACGCCCAGTCCTCAGTCAATTCCTCGATTTGCCGGGTATGACAGCCTCGAGCGAACACCAGTCGGAATGGCTGCGGGATTCAGGCGCTATTTTGCTGGTAGATCTGGTCCGCACGTGCGGCGATATCCTACAAACCAGTAAGAATATCTTGGCTGGTTCGAGGAATGATCAGAATCTGCTTGGGGCTTGGTGGTTTTCCTGTTATTATAGTATGCATACTCTGATTCTCACGTTGTGTTTGATTTAGTACTAACCCCGCGCAGCTTTCAACTCCTCCCTCGCGGTCTTGGGAGTCCTTTTGATCAAAAGAATCCCCGCATACTCCAGACAATTATCTACCATTTCCGTCTCTGAATTGCGAGGTCTGCTCGAGACAGCCATGGAGGTCCTACGTGGGTTGAACAAGGGCAGTGAAACCGTCATGCGCTGTCGAGATACGTTGACGAGGCTCATCACTGCATTTAATTTCGATGGTAATAATGCCCATCCATTTCCTGACTACCACACTCATATAACTGACAAACCAACGTGCAGCAAATGTAGCCGGATTCGCACCAGCATCATTCTCACTATCTCCATCCAGCGCGTGGGCGTGGCAATTTGTCAACCCGGGCTTGTTCAGCTCGGAGGCATCGTTGAGTCTTGCTCCAGGGACGGTTGATGTTGCGTCTGGCTCTCAGTTGCCAACATCGACGAATCTTGGAGTGCCCCTAGAGCATGACATCTTTCATTTCCCTGGATGATTTGTCGTGACTCACACCGTATCCACCTCTACTCTAGGAATGACTAGTGGGATCGATTCATGTTGTGGATTGGAGGGCATGGATGTATCGAATGGCTGAACCGGCCCATGTTACGGCTTAGACGGCACAGAGTCTTTGATCAACCGCCACAAATAACGTGGTTTACTTGAGATCAGACTTCATAGCTACGTGGCAGCAGGTATGACAGGGCTTTTTTCGCGCAGTTGAAGTCCTAAGGGGAGTCTACCGCTGAAGTCGGACCTCGTAATGACTTTCGCGGTCGCGGTAAGGCTCATTGCCAAAAAGACCAGTCTCGCCACAGTTGAAGATATCTCTTTGCCGATGATATTACATACGAGATCGAACCACTTTTGAATCACCTCCGGATTCTCACAGGCTGCTCGTTGGTGATCGCACCCTCGTGAGAAGTGACATTGAAGAATAGGATGCCGTTTCACGGAGTTTCCAACCCACTTGACCCCAACTGTCTTCGGGGGGTCGTCGCCGCGCCCCCGGAGCAATAAACCGGCGATTTCTGGTACAGTTTCGGACGGGGGGTGCTGATCTGCGAAGGCCAAAGTCGAGTATCCTATCAAGAAGCCACCCTTCTTTGGTTTTGATGAGTTTATCATGGCTTTTAACGCCTGAAATTCGTGCGAGATAGGGTGCTATTGATATACATGGAGGAAGTTGTAGCTGTGCTAAGCGCACCAACCCACTAGCAATATAGTTTTTCACCAACTCTAGGTATTTAAATACACACTACCTGATGACATGGTGACTAATAAACTAAAAAATGACATTTTCATCTTGATGGGTCATTGATCAAGGTAGCTTCATGAGAAGCTGCCTCTAAATACCTTGCGGTTTGCCGATCGAAGTGCTGGAAGAGAAGTGGATTTGCATCCATACTACGCTGGAAACGCTCTTGTAATTGCTGAGAGAGGTTCTCATTTTGCTGTATAAGATGATCGACAAGATTAGAGTTAAGCTCATCAACGCGCTTGATCATATTGCTGGTGAATTGGTCGCTGAACTCGGAAATTCAGGTGGTGGCGATGGTGTAGAATCAATGATTTGAGAGTATTCTTTTGTCTCTATTAAGGCTGTTTTGAGCGTGAGAATTTTCTCAGGATCCATTGGATATATCCCAGAGTAAGGAAATGACAATCGGATTATGCGCTGCGTAAATGCTTGTCGCCTAACGTATCACTATAACAGACCCGACCCAACCCGACAGAACCTACCCCGATCTTTCAACACACCACAGCGTGGCGAACACCGAAACAAGTGAAGTGGGGACCCAGCGCCACCTCACACCGGCATCAAGACAGCAGAGCCCGCAGGTAGCTAGCTGATGGGGCTTGGGGGACTCCAGGTCCCGGATTCCCCGGTGGGTCCAGGACCCGCATTGCTAGGGCTACTCCGGCTATGCAAGGCGAGCAACATGTGGAGATATCCGCATTGTAGATTTATGGTTAAGCGCGCTTTGCGCGAGGCTCTAAATCACCCATGTCCCTCCCTCCATCCCTGGTTATGACTGGCGCGAGCCCCACCATCATGGGGCGGGGGAGGGGTGAGACAGAGTTTGGTTTTGTCTATATATCGCACAGTAGTCGCAGTGGAGTAATCCCAATGGTGGGCATTTCATTTATAATAGATGGTCGGTTGGGTTACTAGTATGTTCACTAAGGGGATGATTGCTATGGATCTGCGAGGCGCACAATTGGGGTGGACTGATGAAGTTTTCCTTGTTTGATTTTTCATAGGTGGCTACTGTGTCCGATATCTCCCGTCTAGTCTGGTCCCCGTCAGGTCAGGTCTGCATCCTCCCAATCTGTCCAGTCCCAGCTGCGGTGGATCTGACTGTCGTGTCTGGTCCAGGTCCACTGGACGATAGTCTGGTAGGTTTGTAGGGTCGGGTCTGAGATAGTGTCGTCTAGTCGGGTGAAGTGTTGGTTGATCTCGTCGCGATGTGGGCTGTGCACGCTGGCCACGCCGTGGAGAAAGAGGGGGACGACGAGGAGGGAGGCTGCGTCGGGGGAGGAACAGTCGAGGTCAGCGATGCGTGCTAGCCCGTTGGCTAGCATGTCTTGGACTTTCTGGTTGGCGATGTCGTCGGGATGGGTGATGCAGTGGAGCCAAATGAAGAGCGCGGATACGTGCAGCTGGTGGAGGGTCTGGTATTCGGGCGATGGCAGGTCTTCGTCGGACAGAGTAAGCCTGTCTAGCTGCGACCAAAGCTCCACGGCTTCACAGATCGTTGAGGAGGAAATGGTCGGTTCCTGTCTGGAGTGGAAGTGCAGCGCCGTTACGCGGTGCATCAGCGGGAAGAGGTCTGTGTTGAACGGAGTCGGAATATCGGGCGAAGACCGCGGCGAGAGGTCTGGGGGTGATGGGGTCCGAGACCGATCACGGCCGTGGATCGCATGATGGGTGAAATACTCGATAATAGGATGATCCATCGTTTGTTGTGCAAAAATGGTGGGTAGAAGAGTTCACGTCGGTCCATCAATCGAAAGATGTATGATCTTTTATATACTTACTCAGTGTCTCCAGCGACGAAAATCTCTAGCCACTTTGTCGAACCCGAGAACGGCGAGCATCCTTGCGCATGGACCGTCTAGAACCGCGGAAATTAGGACCCGAGTCTAGCCCTGGCTTGAAAGGTGGATTTTGCGGGGACAAAGGCCGTCCGTTTAATTGTCGTTTTATTCGGTCCCGAAAAGAGCTCCCTTACTTCCTTCGGTGTAGGACCGAGTGAAGCTCGTGTATGATTACCAAATGATCTACATATCTGCAGTGCGCGATGCTAGGCCAAAGATCGTGGAGTGTGCTGTAGTTTCCCGGCTACAGATTCATGGTTTAGATAGGCGACGACTTGACTGGGGGTAGTACCTATATGGACTTGAGCGGGCCAGATGTGCTCATTGACTCGAGGGAGTAGTGATCAGTGACGTACAGTCATTTCTTGTCGCGTGCTACGTACATCGCAAGCCCGAGAGAGTATGCCCGCCAATACCTTGAAAAGTACGATGGAGCCTAACTCACGTCAACCCACAATAGAAAAGAAACTGCTGGTCAACTGCCAGCAGAGTAGCCACTAGCTTCATCGCTAGCCACACCCTCTTCTCCTCGCCAGCGACCTCGGGCCCCTGGTGACCCGACACGTACGCGTAGAAATCTTGCCACTCAGGCGCCCTTAGGGCTACATGGAGTCCCGTGATGCGATCTCTCGAGAGAACCGGCAGTACCTGAGCGACCAGCCCATGCGCCGAATGGACCAGCTCACTGACCCGCGACAGATCATCCCGAGGGACGTGGACTTCGTTCTAGGACGGACCCGTGTGCCGGCTGCCGTCATACTTCCAGGTGTTCCAGACAATGTGCCCGCGGTGCCAGACGTCGCGGACAAACCGCCACGAGTAAGCGGGCTTCACGCGGATGTTCATTCCGAACACGACTTCCACGATCGGCTTATCCCCAATCGTCTCCTCCTCCGTTTTTTCCTCGACGGTCTTGGTGTTCAGCTCGGCCTCCACCTCACCTTCTACCCTGATACTAGCGTCAACCTTCATGCTCGCGTAACTGGCGCTCGCGGAGGCCGACATGACAGCAGAGATCTTGCCGTACAGCCGCTCGCTCTGGAGCTTGGTCGTCGTGCGCTTGAAGGTCGGCTTCAGCTCGCTCTTGGGGATCGCGTTGATCAGGTGCACGGTGGGCACCCACTCGACGGGCTCGTAGACCGTGTATCCGCCGTTGACGTAGTGCCACGGCGCGGTGCAGATCGCACTCGGCATTTTCGGTGTGCAACGGCCCTTCGCGCGTGTCGTTAAAGATCATGTACTTAGGTAGCTTGGGCATGTTATTCGTCACGCCCCACCATTCGTCGATCTGCGAGCGCTTCCGGCGGTAGGTGACTTCGGATTCCGGGGCTACGGGAATTTTCACCTGGGGGAACTTGGTCTCGTCGTAGTAGTATGAGCCATCTACGCGGCGTAGAATGCCTTCGAAGGAGTAGTCCATTTTCCCTTAGGAGTGTGTGAAGCGAAGAAGAGTCATGTGGAAGAAGGGGGGTTGGATTGGGAATGGAAGTAAAAGGGTTAGACAATAGGATTCATCCACACTGATATAGGGTGAGGTCTGACCTGCATGTGAACAGGTTTTAGCTGATATCGGTGACGTTTACTGAGACGTATTCTCTATCTTTGTACATGGATAACCGCGTGCCACGGCCCATTGATAGAGCCACGGTAGGCAACAAACAGAGACATGCAGTGACACGAAAGGTAACCTGATAGCAGGTGAAAACCATCCGCGTGTTAGTATATCATCGAAGAGGCCACCTTGACGATATCAGAAAAGGAAAACCAATCTCCAATCTTATCGATTGAGCTGAAGATGTCCAACCCACATCCAGAGCTGTGGATCTTGCAATCGAACCGTATTTCACGCCACCCTACCATCTGCCTTAGTGGCTGGGTTTAATGATCCCGAATAGCCCCATTTGGTTATCGTTATAATGGGATTCTGCTATGACCCTTCAACCCTGCTGAATGACACAATGGTCGACTCCAGCCAGACTGAGCTGAGGAATCAATCACTCAATATCCACTTGTTGCACTGACAGTGGTGTAAGTGACCCAGGAAATTCTAATGGAGAGATATATAGAGTTTGTTGGCCAGGCTAGCCGAATTGTCAGCTTACCTCCACCAGCCCAACGTATGTGGTTGAGTGGGTTGTTATGTGATCCCAGGGTGATGGATGTGATTGAGTAGTTGATTGGGTTCAAGAACATGGTCATGATTGGCATATTTGGGCGGTATATGACTCTTGTGGCCATATTGTCGGACAATTATATTCAATAATTCATGATGAATCTATCACTTTCCCCCATTCACTGACCAGTAAGATGTCACTTTTGAATATCTATATACGCAATATAATGAGATAACCAGTGGAGGTAATGGAGATAAAGTTGGCCATGACAAAGAAACATATCCCTGCCTACCACATATCAGCCAGCTGCACACAGTGGGGTCACTGCAGGACACACGTTCAGCTCATCTGCAAAGTGCAAATCAGACCCTGAAGACCCCATGTCTAGATCCTTTTATCCACCTACGTCAGCGACGCTCTGCTGTGTGGTTGCAGCGATTCCGGTCTCTCAAACATACTTCATGACGTGTGTCACTCTTTCAGTCAGATATTCCAATTGTTCCGACTCTTTAAGGCAGCCCATGTGCGCATGAGTCGGGTGGATAGTGTTCGATCGTCTTCTTGACTTTGATAGCCTTACTGTACATCTGTGTAACTTCCACGTTGCTAGTTGATAAGATGGCGGTATAGAGAACCATAGCGGACTAGGAGACTTATACCATGGTGTCAGTGATATCTCAAACCCAGCCCTATTACATCTTCCACTGGACGCGATCGAAGTTTTTAGGCCTGAGGTGTCTAGGCCATAACTATATTACCCAATCAGGCAATCCATTAGGGTTTCCCTGGTCAGTTGTTCGGAACGAGATACCCCCAGCGACGGTGTACAACATGGCCGTGCGCTCTGCTGTTCCAGTTGAGATGATCGAACACGTCTTACATATGCAATAGAAGCTTGGCAGAGACTGATTAGGACTACGGTATTATAACCCCTGAGTGCTGGTCGTTGGAAGTTTGACTGGGCTATGGGCATCTCATGCTCTAGATAGCGGTTGTCAGAGAGGTTGAAAGCAGAAATGAAAGACTTCAAAAGAAGGAACCTATTATACGGGTGGAGACGGGCATACACTATAGGGCTGACGCGGTAGAATGGACAAACTGTTGGCCTGGTGCTAATCTGGATAGCTTCGGGTTAGGGCAGCTAGTTGGTTTCTGATTGACTGCGCTGGTCGCTCCCTGACCACTCGCGTTATTATTATAATTTCATGGCTGTCACTCAACGTGTGACACGACACTCTGACTCGTATGATGGTTCTTTTTCCCATTGGTGATGTTGAGTCATGCTGGCTATAATTATCCATATTTATCGTTCCTCCGCAAATCACCGTATCCCAAGTGAGACAAGGGGCCGCATTGGAGGCTGAGATTGGCTCCGTCGCGCTGCGGCCCCATCCTGTTTCAGACAAGGACTGAAAATGAAAGAACAAGACTACATTTGATGCAAGGCTGGCTTTGGGCTTATCTTGGGTTCCTTCGCTCTTTTCCAGCTCTCCTTTCTGTCTTTGTCTTTGTTTTTCTTCATCCTCTTTCCTCCACCGTCTCCTGAACCCTTACATATCTCTTCCACCAAATTCGACACCGATAAACTTTTCCACTCTTCCACATACCACCAAAAGAACTATCACAATGAGCTCCACTTCCACCGCCCCGGCTTCCGTCTCCACCTGCACCGGCAGCACTCGCTGGGACATCCCCATCAAAGATGCCGCCTGCGCCGTCCCCAACACCGGAAACTACACCGACATCATGGACAAATGCTGCGGCCCAGCCAAGGTCACCAAGTACGACAAGGACTGCGGCATCTACTGCCTCGCACAGGAGCAGTCCCTTGGCGACCTGACCGACTGCTTCCGCGACAAGGGCGCCAAAGACGGCGAGTTCTTCTGCAACAAAGAAAAGATGAACGCCACGGCTACGGCCGCCGTGCCATCCGCATCCAAGACTGAGAGCGCCGCCAAGGAGTCCGGCAGCGAGGGCGCTGCGGTCCATGTTATGCAGCCCGTGTCCAAGGGCGGACTGGGCGTGTTTGCCATGCTGTGCGTGTCGGTCGTGCTGGGCGCTTTCGCGTGATGGTGGGGGAAAATTGCACGGGTCGGACTACTTAATATGGCTTATGGGCCGGGATTAATGGACTTGTATTATACTGGGCAATGAAATGGAGTTTCTAACGGCCGATCTCTCTGAACGACCCGCGTGGCAAATTGTAGCTGAGGTGTGGACACTGTCGTCATGATGGAGGCATGTCGGACATCGCGATCGTCCCGCAAGAAATGACCGCCCTAGATGTGAACCGTCTGCTCAACAATGCTTGGATCTGTCGAAAGCCAGTAGCAACATCATGTCTCTGGATGTATCCACCCCCTTGAGGCAACCCCCTGCGCAGCCCCTCGCATCAGGTTTCCGATGATTCCCCGTGACGGTGACACCAGAGATGTCGTACGGGGCGAAGTAGTCTGATCACAATCGGCTTGTTTGCCTTGTAGATGCTGACCACTACAAGAAGCACGATATATACAGCAATGCGGAAGAAGAACCTCAACCGGCGGGATAGTGCCATCATGGGTGAGAAGTTGCCGGCCGCAGAGGTCCAAGCGATCGGTGAGACCTCTCTCGACGATGCCATTCTCCAAGCGCAAGGTCACCGTCGCGAGTTGGACCGGTCGTTCTCATGGACGGGTGCCTTGGGGCTTGCCTACAGGTATTGGTGTCCGTCTCGATATTAGACCCCGGGAGGCACTGATGGCAATAGTATCACCAATTCATGGCTGGGCTGCGGCGCCACAGTGGGTACTCTCCTCGCCTTCGGAGGCGCCCAAGTGGCAGTCGGCGCTGTTATCATATCTGCCGCGATGCAGTGGATTGTGCTGCTGGGATTGGCGGAACTGTGCTCTGCGATGCCTTCATCGGGGGTAAATATCTCTCCTCATCTACCTAACTACCTATCTCTCTATCACCAGGTTCACGACCATCATTCTCATTCCAACAACCGCAGGGCCAGTACCATTTCACGTACCTTCTCGCACCGCGCTATCTTCGCCGATTTTCTGCCTACACGGTGGGGATCACCACGATCGTCGGATGGTGGGCGGGCACCTCGTCGGGACTGCTATACACGGCGGTCTCGGCGTTTGGAATCGCAAAGTTCTGGCACCCTGATTTCCACCACGAGGCGTGGCACGTGTATCTGTGCTTTCTTGTCGTTATTGGGCTGTCCTGTAAGTGTCCACTGCAGGCTCGACAAAACCCCTCCGGTGTTCCACTGACCGATAAATAATGCAGTGCTCCCCATCTTCACAATCCCCCAGCGCCGCGTCGACTACCTAACCAAAACAACGGGCATCATGTCCCTCCTTGGTATGATGATCATGGTAATCCTCGTCCCCGTCATGGCTCGCAACAAGCTCCATCCCCAGACGATCACCCAATACCGGGGTATCAGCGGGTGGGCTCCCGCCCCAGCATGGCTGATGGGCATCACCACCGGCGAATATATCTACGCAGCCGTGGGCGCAGTGACGCATATCTCAGAGGAAATCCCTCAGCCGGGTCGGATGATGCCTGTTATTTTGTACGTACTCCGCTCCGCTCATATCAGAACAAAAAGGGTCCTCGGGTTTCTCCGCTGCTAACAGAACTAGTAACGCCGCCATGGTGCTGGGTGTGGCTACCGCCGTCCCGTGGATGGTTGTCATGATGAGCAGTGTTCAAGACATGGATGCTGTACAGAGTGCTTTTGTCCCGTCGTTGGAGATCTACTACCAGGCAACGGGGAGTAAGGCCGTGGCAACTTTGCTGCAGGCGTACATGACCGTTCTTTACTACAGTATGTCTTCTCTTCCACAACAAACAAGCAACCGAGCAACGAGACATAAAGATCGATAAACTAACACAACCAGCCTGCATCCCCAGCCAATGGATAACATGCAGTCGCATAACCTGGGCCTTCGCCCGCGACGTGCGCATCCCCCAGCCCTACTCACCCACCAACCCTATGCTAAGCAAAGCCACTACACAGAACGGCCTCCCCTTCTCAACCTACTTCTCCCGCATCCACCCACACTACAGCATTCCCATGCGCACTACCATCCTCTCCGCCAGCTTCTGCGCCGTCTACGGCCTCGTTTACATAGCAAGCACCACGGCCTGGGACTCCATCGTCAACACCGCCGTCCTCCTCCTCAACATCACCTACACCGTCCCGCAGTGCATCCTCGCCGTCGGTCGTCGATCCAGCCTGCCTAATCGGCAGTTCTCGCTCGGCTGGTGGGGCGGCTACGCTGTTAATTGGTTCTCGCTGGTGTGGTTGATCGTGAGTGGGGTGTTGATGCTGTTTCCGACGAGGTCGCCGCCGACGAAGGGGAATATGAACTAGTACGCTTTTACTTCTTTTCTTCTCGCGCTCCCTCCCTCGCTTTTTATGAGACTTGGTATATCTGCTAACTCCAATAGCGGCTCTGTCGTCATAGCGGGTATCTTCGTGGTGATTATCCTCCTGTGGGTGGTGGATCGGCGGAAGAAGTTTGCAGGGCCCAAGATTGACTGGGAGGCGCTGAATGCGAAGAATGCAATACGGTAGATTTAGCTTCAGCCTATATACCTATATAAACATAGAGCGATACATTGCTCAAAAAAGAGAAGTCATTTTCCGAGTTCAGAGGAGTACGAGTTTGACGCTTGTTTCAAAGTAGTAATAGAGGGTAAGACATCCAAGGCCTTGCATGGTAGTCGAGCTTGCGGAGGTAGACTGCAAGGACACAGCGTTGTATCTGTAAGGTGCATGTGCTTTAGGTTGATATCTGCTATAAGTGTCTATGGTGATGCTGAGAACCACACAATGAGAGTAGAATTCAAGAGGATCTGGAGGTCTTGATATTTCATATACTGTTGGGATGTCAGTCAGGTTAAGCCCTATACCAAACGTTGGTCACGTTTTGGCGTAGCCGCTATGATTTATTCAGGTGCTCTTACATAACTTCCTAATCTATGTGCTTATCAAAGAGTACTATACATACCCTTTGTTTCTTTCCAAAAGAAGACTAGAAATCAGCAGTATCTAGAGACCAAAGATACTTTCTATGATATTCGTTGAAGAGATACGTCTCGGCTTTGATCAAGTCAAAAGGTCTTATAGAATTGATCGAGTGGCTAGATCCATCTAAACCATCAGCTAGTGCAGTGTCCTTACATAACTAGTCACCTACGTAGTCATACAATGGATTCTAGCATCTGAGAGGTAAGGATATTATATCCACATAATCGTAAAAATGATTGAACTATCCCTCGTCACCACCTCCGCCTTGATCCAAGATCTCCTAGGCGCTCAACTCGAATCATTGGTCGTATGTGCATATGAAAATATGCACATAGGAGAATATGGCGCTTTCAGTATGCTCACGTGGCGCCTTTTTGTGCGACTCGTCGTATTATCGGGATTTGATACTGACCGGTGGGCTCAAAGTAGATGGCCGGACTCCCCTCCTTTTCTACTCAACTCTGATATCATTCAGACACGTCGTCTTTGAGAAGACAGATTCCACGAAATCAAATGACGAATCTGGAAAACCCGGCTTATATCCTTCCTTGCGACGCAACAGAAACAGAAAGGAAAGATTGTTCTTCATGCCAGGCGTGGCATATAAGCGATCATGACGAGCCATGTGAAGAAAATGCACACTGATTCTATTTCCAGGCTGAACCAACAACATGACCTATGTTTCCGGATTCTCGGACAAAGGCTTCTCCCATCATCGATACCGCTAGAGAGCGTCCACAGTGTGGCTGATGTAGGGACTGGAACGGGGTATGTTCTCACCCATTTCTGAAAATTGTCTTGACTTCCTCGTCTTACTGGAAGGTAGTATCTGGCTACAAAACTTAGCATCACAGGCGCCTCAATTATCACCTAATGGCCGGCGGTACTATCACGGTTTTGATATCAGCGATGCGCAGTTTCCATCCGAGTCCCGCTCCGAGGACTTCGAGTTAAAATTTACCACGCAGGACGTGCTAAAGCCATTTCCACGAAAGTTTCGATCTCGGTTCGACTTAGTGCATGTACGGCTTTTCTCATTCGCACTCCGAGAAGGGGACTTGAAAATAGCGATGGAGAACCTGCTGCGGATCTTAAGTCAGTACAACAAGGCCAATCTAGCTCACCGAACTAACGTTTCTTCGCAGAGCCTGGAGGTTATCTGTACTGGGAAGACGCCAACTGGACGGCAGTCAAGGAAACGTCCGGTCTTGCAGAAGGTTTAGCAATCAAAGAAGCTATATCCCGCAATATGCGATCCAGAGGCCTTAGTCCACAGTATGTTAGGTTGTCTAGTTCCTCATCAGAAGCATAAAGATAGGGCTGACTCGGTCAGCATAATCGACATCGTTCACAGGCTGGGTCTTGAAAACGGCTTACGGTGTCTTTCGAAGGCCGACTACCACTCCGATGATTATCCTAAAGTGGATGTCTTTGGTGCTTTAGTCTCTCCTGCAATTGAAGCAGCCCTGAGAAAGCTTTCATTAAACGAACGCTTGGCCAACAATTCTGAGAAACCGGGGGAGTTGGAGACCCTTTTCAGAACCCACCAGGAATTGAATGCGAAGGGTCTACTCCGTTGGGAAGAAATATTCACAACAGTCGTTTACCAGACTCCCTTTTAGCAATTGAGAAGTTCAGCTACATATGTCTGTAGCTAAAATACCGACTTGGTATACGCAAGTGGTCAAGATCCGAAATGCAAAGTGGAAGTGAAGGGCTTTTTATGTTCCGAGGGCCCTGGAGACAAGCAAACGAATTATAGAAAAGCTAGATTTATATATTTTTGAATTCGCATATTTTTTCTTCGATACTTAAGTACATACAGCCTCTTGGCGTAATTTGATGGGTCGATCCTCTACATCACCTGCCTCGGCTAACCCTAAGTGATGTGCAAGTATCGATTGCATAACTATTTGCTCCGTCACTAGGTCGACAGACCGTTGATCTATGGGTTTTGCTTTTAGTGCCTGCATCGCCTGGTCTATCTGGGCTTTTATTTCCCAAATATACCAGCCATGACGGATCGTTCATCGCTCCTACTAGTCGAGAAACAATATAGCGTAGATTATTCCTCAAGTGTGGTGTTTAGGGCAATTTGCATGGCATGTGTGAAGTCACATCATATGTCCATACTAGTGACGATTGATGAGGGAAAATAAAATGACTTAAGACACCAATAATTACTAATGAATGATTGTTTCCCCCTCTGTCTATCTTTCCAAGTGGGGTGGCATTGTGTGACTACTCAGATGCCTTATCTAGACCCAAAGTTCTACAGTTGATTGACACCTCCTGCATTAGTTCAGTTACCCATAACATCGTAGCTAATAAAATCAAGGTCTACCAACCACCTCTGCGTGATAGAACTTCATGTAGATTCTCCAGCTAGCAATCTCATACAGATTCGCTCGTGAGGGGCCCTATATAACTTTAATGAGGGGGGTAGACCCGCCCTCTACACAATGATGATCATTTCATAAAGATTAGGGAACCCCAATCGCGACAGCCGATGCTTCTTCCCCGGCAGGGATAGACATCTACTACTATCTGAGCAACGCGCTCCACCAGATTTTCCGCCATGAAGCGACTCCGGATGCGAAGATGTGAGGATGCACAGATGCAGAATCCCGAGCGCTGCGGCTTGTTAAGGGTGGAAGCGGTGCGAGAGCGTGTGGCTCTAGGAGATTCCGGCTGGGACGGCTATGGAGACTGAAGAGGGCGATTTTCAAGTAAAACTGGGCAGGGCAGGCTTGTTCCATGAAATCCATGATAGCAAGTATCATATAGTGATTAAGCACTGCTAGTATACATGGTTTAGTGATGAACAAGTAGAAATAACTAGACCGAAACAACAGAACGCCGGTAAGGACAGATCTATCCTACAGTTGAACGTATGTATTCAACTGCGTAGTACCAAAAGAATTCCTACTCATCTTGAGCTGGAGGAAAGTATTCCCTAGACGAACAAGTTAGTCATGCTTGTAAATCAAAGAAAGGAAGCAGGGAACATACGGAAAATACTGTTCATATGTACGCGTGATATTCGCATTCACATCACAGAACACGATATCCAGCAGAAACCCGTTGTCATCAGCCATCTCGTCCAAGAAGCGCCTAACTTCCCCAAGGGCGACATTCGCAGAGTCCTCATGCTTGATACGATAGATGCCGGTCCCGAGAGCCGGGATGGCGATACTGCGCATTTTATTGTCGACCGCCAGCTGCAGGGCATTGCGATAGCAGCTGGCCAGCTTTTCGCGAAATGTGGGGACCTCACTGGCGTCGCGCAGGTCAGGGGCGACGGTGTGGATGACCTTTTTGCAGGGGAGTTTGTAGGCACCGGTAATGCGGGCTTCGCCGGTGGGACAGCGTGGGTTCCCCGGCAATGTCCGGCATTCGTTCACGAGGCCATCCCCTGCGGCGCGGTGGATGGCACCGTCGACGCCACCGCCCCCCGCGAGACTCGAGTTGGCGGCATTGACGATGCAGTCTGCGCGGAGCTTGGTGATGTCGCTGGTGGAGTAGTGGATCATGTCATTGAGACGACGAGACGGCGGGAAGTGAGTGGTCTGGGCGGGTTTCAGAGTTTGGTTTCGGTAGGCGGTTGTGAGACTCGGGAGCACTGGAATTTGGTCAATTGATTCTCTCTTTGTCTTTCATGAATGACGGAGGGGGCATACAGTTAAACATGTTGTTTATAGATTTTATGGGCGTAGTACGGATAGTTATGGCTGTTTTGGACGCTTCGTCCACAGGAGCCCTGTTAGGTCTCTGCTCCTGTGCTCCTTCCTCATCCTCTGCTCTTTCCTCGTTCTCTGCTCTTTCCCCGTTCTCCGCTCTTTCCTCTGCTTGTTTCTGATCTTCTGCCGGCGCGGAAGAAGGTTGAGGTCTAGTCACGGAAAGATCCTCAGGCTCTTGAGCCTGTATAGTCGTCTCTGCAGGGTCAGTAACAGTAGCTTCGTTGTCTTCATCTTCGTCGTCGTCCGGGACCACCAGCGCAGGACGTCCACGCCTTCTTGGAAAATTCGGTGAGCCAGGCTTGGACAAGGTTTTTGACCATTTCCTTGCCACGCTCTTTTTCCGTCGTATCCGTTTCCCGCTTTCCGGGCCCTTGACTCGATGTTGAACGAAGAGCTGGGACAGCGCAATCAACACTGCTTTCTGTTTTCTGTCGTAGACCGCGCGAAGGACCGATGGCATTGACGGGATGACCTTCTTGACTGTTGAGTCTACGGCGGTTCTCGCGCCCTTTTTTCGCATATCCACTGTCAGGAGGTTTTCGCCCTCCATGGCCTTCATCAACTGGGCGACGATGGTTGTTTTGTCGCCATCTGGGATAGAGCCATTGAGTCTTTTCCAGATGTGATTGATTGCGGCTCCCTTCTTTGTGGGTGTCATGGGGGTAATTATGGAGTGATTTCAGTAGTACCGGGAGCAGTTGTTCAACAGTTGTCGATGATGATAGCCGGTCTTGTGCTGATGGATTGAGATCCACCTTCGAGTCCTTATATGTTCGCCCAGGCCAAAATATCTCTTTCAAAGGTAATTGACCGCGCAATCTAGACATTAGTATCAGTGTTATATTTAGAATCACTTCAAGTTTTCCCGAATGAAGTAAATAGTCTTTGTTCCAGGTTAGGAGGCTTATTGTATGAGCCATATGGAGGAGTCCATAGAGCAGGAGCATTCTTCAGGAACATCAACAAAGAAACAAAGAACCCCAGCGACCTTTACCAATGGTTCGGATCTTGGACAAAACGGGTTTGTAAAAGAAGTGAACAAACGTGGTCTGCGTTATTCTTTATCTGTTTCATGCTTAGCACTATTCGATCGTTTGGTGTTTTCTTTGTGCCTTGTTCTTCACAAATTCCCTCCATTTTCTTCACGAAAATAACCACGTAGGTAACAAGGCTTTGAAATATGAAAAGGATTGAGTAATTATGAGTCTATTTGGGCGACGAGCGTTGTAAGTTAGGAGTAGGGAGTGGACGACGAAATGAAATTGAGTATTTTCTGCTACCTATGGGGGAGGATACCCGTGGTTAAATATAGATAGACTATGTTCGAACGCTCACAGATATAGCTGTGCAAGAGGATATGGGTCAGCCTCCTTGCATCTTAGGTGGCTTTCATGCAGTGCGCAACTACCAGTTAGATCAAGAGTGGGTCGGTGGATTCTCGAGCTGTGAAAGGGCCCTGTCCAAGCTCGACGATCTGCTTTCTGTGTACAATATCGTCCTACGATCCATGAGAGGAATGTAAACACCTACCAGACTTAAGAGACGTGGAGTGTTCATAATTTGAGTCGTCTCGCATCAACCCACTATTTCAATCAGACGTACATGTTGCATTCGAAAAGGCTATGCACTCCGAACAAGCTCCGGATGTCCCTCCTGCTGATGATGGTCTCCCAAAGGAAATCCCAACTCCGTATCTACATTGTCCTGTTTCAGTGGATTAGGCCACAGATGCGCGTCTCGTGGTCGCGGCGCATTTTCCATCTTCCAGGGATCAATCGCCCGAGTCTTAGCCCACTCCTCCAACGTGTTGTAGTCTCGGCACTGGCGGTTGATATTAAAATCTGGCCAAGGACCCTCCTGGTCTTCGACGTAGGACATGGTCAACACGGCCGTATCGACATTGCACATCAAGAATTGCAGCAGCATGTCGACACAGTGACCCAGATGGATCCAATCCAGACTGTCACGCGTACCGCCGTGATGGCCATCGGGGTGGTACCCAGGATAGCCGGCAAAGGTCGCCTGGCGCAACTGATCGAGGCAGTGGATTTCCTGTGAGGGCAGCTGGTAAGACCTTGCAGAACGGATGGAGGTAGCCAGAAATTAACATACATGTGAGATATCAAACTTGCCATAATAGACGTCCTCGCCCACGCCCCAGTATTCGGGATCCAGGCGCGCAGCGGTATCAGGATCCTTGCCCAACTTGACCACTTCCTCACGGCTGAGCTGGAAGATCGTGGTATTTACGTACTGAAGCCACTCGGCGTCGTTTTCTGGGCTGGGCTCTTGTCGGGCCATTGAGGGGTGGGGCGGAGAGAACAGTGTCCCATTCATCATGGTTGTGTAGGTAGGAATCTCTCTCTCGCGAAGGATAGGCGCTGCATCACCGATTAGTGGGGACCATATCATACACTCAACCGCGCACAACCTACAAAAGAATACCGTTTGTCGCAGCGCCTCGTTAACGGGGCTCGAGTATGAATCCAGGGATACGGCAGCTGATAAGAACAAGAACACGGTGATCAATACAACGCCGGTGACCAACGCCACTCGACTGGCACCAGCTTGCCTGGAACCCAAAGAATGACAGTGGCAGTGCGGACAATGACGGCCTTCTTCGCGTACTCCATCGTCGGTCTCAGTCTTTACAGCTTTGTATGATGTGCCAGAAGCCCAAAGGCGATTTGAAAACATGTGTGCGGAGGGCTTCTGCATCGTGGATGAGGGACTCTGCACTTCATGAAAATGGGGACAGCAAAATTCAACCAAAGTCAAGACAATTGTGGGAGGAATATAGGCAGGTGCGGTTCATGTCTTCGGAGGGGATGATAGTCCTTGGGACGTCCTCACCGAAAATTGGCCCCCTTACATCGAGCTTCCCTGGGAGGTTTGTTGTATGAATCGTCCCATTGAACTTTCCAGTTGGTACATCTTCCTGCTCCACTCATGGTCCGCACACCGACCTAACTAGGAGCAAACTGCTTCCTGCCCAGCATTCCGTCACAACCCAATTTCAATGCAAGACAATGCGGGGGCGAGAATAACCGACATAATGTCATGCATGTGGTAGGCGGTTCCCCAGTATAATCCACCACTGTATTCCATTGAATTAGTAGGTTGTGCTTCATGTTTGCATCTTAGTTACAAGCACGTCATTCCATGACGTGGACAGTAGTTTGATCATAGCCCGGTCCTTGCATAGTACTCCAGCTGTCCACCCACACTGCTGGGAGTGCTAAGCTAAGAATTTCGCGCAAGAGAGTAGATCGTTCTTGATCGGGTATGGTCCCTGGCAGTCGTTGTCTTGCCTCGCCTTTGGTGTGCTGATAGACCGTGTGAACCCTGCGACGAGGCAACCACTGTACTCAAGCAAGGAAGACCCCAAAACGGCCAGTGGGCGGCGATAAGATGAAATTCGAGAACGAACAGAAAGAAACATAGGAAGTCTGTAGAAGAAGTCAAAAGGCATAAAGGGCACGAATATCCCGCCCGTCTAGTCCAACTCACCATCTTCCTTCCCATCGACGAAAGCATATAGCCTCAGCCTCACCGATACCCCGTGCTCAAAGAAACCTTGATCGAAAAGTCAATCCAGGACCACGCAACCATGAGGAGCTTAGCGACTCTCCTGGTCATGGCCTCTGCTGCCCTGGCCATCCCCATGGGCCAGAAGGTTTGTCAAACACACCCTCGGTGCTTCCCGGATCCAGGCACTACAAACTAATACTTGAGGAAGGAGAACGGACAAGCCGCTGAGCATAGCAAGAACACCAATGAGCCCAGCGCGGAGTATCGTATCGGGCGTTACAGTATCCGTAGGGAGAAGAAGCGCAGTGATGAGACCAGCGCCGATGACGGGCCCCTGGGTCTCGATTTGGACTTGGACAGGGTGGCCAAGCGCAGCGAGCCCAACGCAGACTATTTGATGCATATTTTTTACCCTCTGAGAGAGGCAAAGCGTGGTGATGGGGACTACCCGGAAATCTATAAGCCCTGGGATTACAATTTGAAAGGGGAGGTCAAGCGCAGCGTTGAGACCAGTGCCGACGATGGACCCTTGGGTCTCGATTTGGACCTGGACAGGGTGGCCACGCGCAGTGATGAGTCCAGTGCCGACGATGGGCCCTTGGGTCTCGATTTGGACCTGGACAGGGTGGCCACGCGCAGTGATGAGTCCAGTGCCGACGATGGACCCTTGGGTCTCGATTTGGACCTGGACAGGGTGGCCACGCGCAGTGATGAGTCCAGTGCCGACGATGGGCCCTTGGGTCTCGATTTGGACCTGGACAGGGTGGCCACGCGCAGTGATGAGTCCAGTGCCGACGATGGGCCCTTGGGTCTCGATTTGGACCTGGACAGGGTGGCCAAGCGCAGCGAGCCCAACGCAGACTATTTGATGCATATTTTTTACCCTCTGAGAGAGGCCAAGCGTGGTGATGGGGACTACCCGGAAACTTATGAGGACTTGGACAGGATGGCCAAGCGCAGCGAGCCCAAGGCAGACTATTTACCACATCTTTATTCTCCTCCTAGGGAGGCCAAGCACAGTGATGAGACCAGTGCCGACGATGGGCCCCTGGGTCTTGATTTGGACTTGGACAGGGTGGCCAAGCGCAGCAGCGAGTCCAACTATCCGATAAATTTGTTTTATCCTGACGGGGAGGTCAAACGCAGCGAGTAGAAAATGTTGGCCAGCAAGCAGGGACAGTGATTTCGTTCGTTGCATGTGAAGAGAGGGCACGAACTCGCTGCAAGGCGGAATTGTCTGGCTGACAGCGGGCGAGTTCGCCCAAACAAAAGAGTTTGATGATTTGATGATTTGATGCTTTGATGCTTTGACAGGTGTTTGTTTCAGACTGCTCCTTTCAGTGATTTTTTTCTAGTGATTTTAATGTCGCGTTATGAAACCAGAAAACCTACAAAAAAAGGTATTTCACGTTTGCATTTCGGACCACCACTTGCGTAGATGATTGCGTAGAAAGGACGATGGCATCTTGGTGCTAGCTCTGGGATTCTGATAAAAAGACTGAGGCAATACCTCTTTGCGAAAATGGAGTAGAGCGATACCCTTGCACCGTCAGAGCCAGGGAATGATGGTATCAACCGTTCGACGACGTAGCGCATGCCTAATCGATCTAGCTGGGTCCTGCCACTTGAACCATCGCAACGGAAAATGGCCTCCGCGTCTGTCGATAATCTCCAAGTGTATTGAGGTGCAAGCAAAAACCTCCCCTGTACAAGTAGCCTTCTCATTGAACCCGTATGATATATGCTCCGATCCGATATGCTGTCGCGTCAAGCCAGACCCGGGCGCTGTCCAGGAAATCCCCCATGAATCCCATTCCATTCAAAGAAGGGATCTTGGCACAATATGTTCGCCGCGGTGGAGACTGGAGAGATGTATTCCCCGCACACTCACAGGTTTACCCCATATCCACTCCTGTCCGCCCCACTGCCAGCCCTCGGGGGAGAGTCGCTAGTCGCTACAGGGATGAGCATGTGGCGATACCGCCTCGTCGTCACCATACTATCCTGAATAGTGATGGTCGGACTTGGTCCGATTTCTTTATGTCAGGGGCTGAAACCTGTGGGAAGTTTGAGGGCGTCCAAGGATCAGAACCGCTGATCTATACCTAATTTGGGGTAGGAGAACAATGTCAGGCCACTCGAGGGGATTGTGATATATATGCCGCCTCCTTCCGCAAGGGACCGGTTTCATTCTTATCTCGATGGTCACCGATCGATCGATGTCTGTATGATTAAGAGAGCAAGAAGATGTCACGAAAATCGACGCAGTTGGATCGACAGTCGCGATATTGGAGGCGCTGATAGGTCGCATAGACTTGCCTAATCGGGTCTCTGTGACGAGGCACTCAAGCATCACTGGACGGCCAGGTGGAAGGAGATGATGGGGGAAAATAACCTCACAGTTGAATCTCCAATTCCGAACCTCCAACACGTCGAATTCTCCTCGAGTTAGGCGTTTTCACTAGTTCATCATCTCCCTCGTGCTAACCCGTACCAATCAACCCGATGGTTGCATTCGCTTGGCACACGGTAACGTTAGGCTGGATTTGATACGATATGTTAACCCCGCTTAGGAAGTCCTGCCGACTGAGTCAATCCACACCTATCTCCCCCAATCCCCGCAGAATCACCGTCCATTAGCTAACTTATCACGGACCCCTGATTAAGCTCCCGTTTGATAACCAGCATGGTATCTCGGTTCCCTGCTGACGGCTGACCCCGTGAGGGGAAAGCAGATACGATATCGCCCCCGGGAAGTACTCCGCCGTAGGCTACCAGTTAGGACGACTGGACTAGTATATAAATCGCGCAACCTCCCCAAACGCCGTGGTTGAGAGCAGTAACCCAACCGCAAGAAAATGGACAGGGGGGTATCTTACTTTTCCCGCCTTTTGAATCACCTTCCTCACGCTTGAATCGACCTTCTTCTTTGCAAATTCTCTGTCCCGCTCGTCCTCCCGTATGGACGTGGAAAACAATGACCCCATCAAACCGGTGCAGTCGGTCGACCAAAGCGTTCAAGATGCCCACGATCTCGCGGCCATGGGCCACGATCAGGCCCTCACGCGCAAGTTCGACATGTGGAGCATGTTAGCTCTGGCCTTCTGCGTTCTTGGTAGCCCTCTCTCCCTGTCCTAGTTTCGTGAAACTGTCCTCTCGCGCCCACGCAAAATCCAAACAAACCACCCTAACGATTCGGGATAGGAACCTACTCCACCTTCGCACAGGACCTCAGCTCGGGTCTCGAAAATGGCGGACCCATCACCATCCTGTGGGGTCTCGTGCTCGTGGCCGCCTGTAACCTCTGCGTCGCCCTCTCCCTCGGTGAGCTAGCCAGCAGCATGCCGACCGCGCTGGGCCAGGCATACTGGGTGTTCCGGCTGTGGAACTCCCCCTCGGGACGCTTCTGCTCGTACATGTGCGCCTGGATCAACACCTTCGGCTGGTGGACCCTGACGGCCTCGCAGGTGGCCTTCATGACCGAGTTCCTGCTGGGCATGAAGAACATGTTCCAGCCCAGCTGGACCGGGTCAGCGACGGGCTGGCTGGAGTTCGTCGTCTACATCGGCGTCGTGGTGCTGCTGACGGTCATCAACGTGGTCAGCTGCCGGCGCGAGCGCATCCTGCCCTGGATCAACAACTTCGTCGGCGTCTGGTTCACGGGCCTGTTCGTGGTGCTGTCGCTGGCGCTGCTGATCTCGGTCGGCACCAAGGCCGACCTGTCCTTCCAGCCCGGCGCGTTCGTCTTCGGCCGCTGGATGAACCAGACAGGCTGGAGCGACGGTGTCGTCTGGTTCACGGGGCTCGTCCAGGCCGCGTACGGGCTGACCGCGTTCGACGCCGTCATTCACATGATCGAAGAGATCCCCGCGCCGCGCCGCAACGCACCGCGCGTCATCTGGATGGCGGTGCTCCTGGGCGCCGTGACAGGATTCATATTCATGGTCGTGTGTCTGTTCTGCGTGCAGAGCATCGACAACGTCCTCGACTCGCCCAGCGGGCTCCCCTTCATCGAGCTCATGCTCGAAACGGTCGGCCTCAACGGCGGCGCCACCCTCATCGCGCTCTTCATCTTCAACGGCCTCGGCCAAGGCATCAGCATCCTCACGACTGCCTCCCGACTGACATGGGGTTTCGCCCGCGACGGCGGCCTACCCTGGAGCCGGTACCTGACGCACGTCGACCCGGTGTGGAAGGTTCCCGTGCGGGCGCTCTGGTTCCAGGGAGTGCTGATCGGATTGGTGGGGGTGCTCTACCTGTTCGCCAACACGGTGCTAGACGCGATCCTCAGCGTCAGCACGATCGCGCTGACCGTCTCGTACGGGCTGCCGATCGCCGCGCTGCTGGTCGTCGGGCGCGACCGGCTGCCGCCGGGGCCGTTCCGGCTGGGTCGGTGGGGCCCACTGCTGAACTGGGTCGGTGTCATCTACTGCGCCATCACGACGGTCTTTTTCTTCTTCCCGGGGTCGCCGTCCCCCGCGCCTAGCGACATGAACTGGGCGATTGCCGTGTTCGGGGTTATGTTGGTTGTTGCTGTCGGGTTCTGGTTCGTCCAGGGCCGCAAGACTTATCTCCGCACGGAGGACGCCCTGGCGCAGATGATTGTCGCGCAGCGGTTGGAGAACGAGGGGTGGGAGGGGGATATCGGGGGGGATGTCGGGGGAAGAAGGCGGATGGACCACATTCATAGGATGGGGATGGGCTCGACCGTGAGCTATCTTCTTTGGAGTATATTGACATCGAACCAGACAAATTGATTCAACTTATCAAGTCTACCACAGCCGTATATTCCCGGCATGCTGTAGTAGAAGGTCCAAGGGACGGGCGAAACCCCACTTTGTACGGAGTGATCCGTAGAGATGATCTAGTTATTTGTATATCCAGCTGTAGCCATTGATTGACAGTACAAGCTAGCTCGCAATACCAGAAACTGGCCAAGGACACGAGTAGCATAACATCAAGACTGCACAATCAATCAAACAATCAATCAATCCATTGCTTCGTTCGTTGATTCTGCAGACTTGGGAAACGCCAGCATATCAGCCGACTTGTGGAGATTTCCCCACAGATCGCTGTTTGGCTTTTCTTGCCATCTTGCCACTATTCACAACCTTGTCATGGTTCTAAGATTCATTGATATCATCAGTATTGTCAAACTGTTCTATCAGTCTTCGCACACATCCATGCTACCTTTCACCATAACAAAACACATTCATTGATTCGAACACGGTCGATCCCCGAAAGGTACGCACTGGACGAAGAGGTAACGAAGGAGGAAGGGAGGTGTCAGTAATTCAGTTCTGTATGTGTAGGGCAAGATCTTCGGTCCCATTTCTGTGGGTCGGGGATCAGAAAAGTAGTAGGTAGAGATGTGACAAAGTGAGACCCAACTGAACAGAAAGCCAAGTAAGCACCTTTCACCCATTGTGCATTATGAATATCATTATACTATATTACGTTATGCACACTACCTTTGAATGCACCAAGTATAAGGAGAATCCAGACCCCCATCGACCGAGACATACTATACACATACACGGTCATCTCGCTTACTCTACAGGATCTGTCATTAGAATCCTCTCTCGCTACCCAGCTAGCTAGCTATTAGGTACTTCTAACCCACTTGGGAAAATAATTCGCTCGGTCGGGCGGCAGATACTAACTACTAGTCAACTACTAACTAAGCTACCAAGATCGCCAGCTCATGATTATCTGGATCTATGCATATCCATATCCATGTCCTAATCCATATCCACATATTTCCTACCTATCTATTTATGCACGGACATACTTGGGGAAACTGACACGAGAAAAGAAGAGAAATAGAAAAAAAAAAATGAGAAAGAAAAAAAAGACAGAAAAAGCGGAATTGTCCAGACAACAAACAGTCTTACACCTGTCAGACAAGCTAATCCACTTGTGACGTTCGTGGCTGGATTCTGGACCTCGGATGGAGGGGCCCGTGTGGGTCCAAACCTGTGTCGTACTAGCTGGTAGCTACTGGGTTTTGTTGGGTTTCACCTGTCAAAGACTCGAGACGTTTCTCTTGGAAGATTTTATGGATTAGATTAAACTTGGAAATTGGAAGCTGGATTTTATGAATGTGGTGAAGTGGAGTTGGATTGGTTTTTCCGGGTATCCCATGATGATCATATAAAACAATAAAAAATAAACGAAAGAAAGAAAGAAGAATAACTCCATCCCATAGCAGTCCCATCCCGATGTCATGCAATAAATACTTTTTTTCAGCCGTCACAAATGGAAGATTAATATACATTAAGTAATGAAATGATAAGAGGAATCCCGGTACGATTCAGAAGTCGAACTCAAGAGTGCAATCGGACCGAGAGTAAAATCGGACCAAGAGTAGGTTTAGTAGCGCCTCCCCAGGCCCATACTTTGCCGGAGTAACGTCATCTCCTTCCGCATCGCCTGGTTCGCCTCTTGCAGCTCCTGCATGTAGGCAATGGCATTGGAGAGGATCTCGGACTTCTTGAGCGACGCGGACGACCCGCCGCGCGTGGACCGCGAGGCTGCCGTCGCCGAGGCAGACATACTCGTGCCGACGGCGCCGGCCATGGCCTTTTCGAGGGCGACGAACTTGGCGTTCATGTTGGTACGGTACCGCTTCTCGATGATGTTGTGGGCCGCACGTTTGGCGGCATTGCGACCGGTGGCGGCACCGGTTGGGCCGCCGCCGCTGCTGCTGCTGGCCGAGTCCTCGGAGAGGGTGCGCTTGAGGGGCTTGCGCGGTGCGGCGGAGTCGATCTCTGCGGGGGTGGGCACGGATTCGTCGTCGTGGGGTTCGGAACTGGGCCAGCGCGACCGCCGGGCGGGTTTGGCGGCGGGCGGGTAGGATTGACGGCGGTGGGTTGGGCTGGAGGGAGGGTGGTTGTCGAAGTTGAGCATGTCCATGGCGAAGTTGTCGAGGGAGGAGAGATGGGTGGGGGACCAGGACTGATCGTCGCTTTCGACGTCCTATCGTTCTGTTAGTTGGTCTGTGTTTGATGTATGATGTATGATGTATGAGACATACCGATGGTAAAGAGGCAACCTCATTGTTCGGATGGTGAGACATGGTATACCCGGTGACGGACTGCTGGACTGGACGTTCTGAGAATTCCTTGGGGTCCATGGGCAGCAGTTCGTCGGCCAGATCCATCTGGAAGGGATCGGGGAAGACGGGATTGAGGGCGAAGAGGTCGATGGCACTGTCGTAGGACCAGTTGCCCGAGAGGGGGTCGGGTTCGGAGTAGGCCATTGTGTTCATGGCTGGATACACTCTTGAGTGATTTGAGAGTAGAGTTGGTGGGATGGAGGTTGATAGAGGTTGACAGAAGTTGAAGTTGATATCAAAATTGATTGATGTTGATGTTGATGGTGAGTACCATGGATCGTAACAGCAAGACCAGGGATATAAAAAGAGAATCCAGACAGTGATGTAATCTGCTCACAGGCTAGAGTCATCGAGCAGCTTTCCTGTTCTTTGATCACCCCAGCCGGAAGAACAACATCCAGCAGACAATTCGAAACAACAAGGACGGCCGGCTCCGATAGTACAAGATGGGAGAGCGAGAGAGTATGGAAAGGAAGAAGCAGCGCGTGTGGTGGAGAATGATCCACTTCCCGGCCGAGACTCGGATCCGATGACCGGTTATGAGTTTACCCTTATACACTACTCCTAATAATTCATTTATATTCATGATTATACTCATTTAACAATACCAATTATGATCATTATATATATATAGAATAGTACAATCCATATATAACACATATATATCATAAAATAAAATAAATCGAATAGAATTACAGAGATACATAAATAAATCAAGTAGAATCAAACTCTGCTTGTACCACCGGAGACGGCCGCTTCCCAGACCTGATTCCTGATTCCACCAAGTATCATGCCCAGAATAAGGGTCTTCCAGACAGATTCTGCAACCAATAATCGCCTCCCCATTACTCAGTTCATCTATTTCGGGCCTGTCAACCTGGCACAGACCAGGATGTGTTTCAGTGGTGGACTTTCACTGGTCAATTCCCACGGAGCTGCCTCCAGCCTGTCTGTCACCGTAGCCAGAATCAGCTAGGCTTCCGATGTTCCTCGACGGTGCACTCGGTGGAATCGCCCCTTGTCCAGCTGACATCGGAATCAATCGCGCTGTCCACGCTTCCGGGTGGCGCTATTGTCTCTTCTTTCTTCCTCGCCTGTGTTCCCCGGTGCCCCAGTGGCCCATGCGGCAGTGCCCCTTATCCCTTCAAACCGAGTCGGAGGCATCAAAGAGGCTAACTGGTTTCCGGACCCGCTTTCGCTTCAACGGCTGCTTCCCAACCACTTGGAAAGGGTACAAGGAAAATAAAACAAAATAAAACATTTCTACCTGTGAGACCCCCTCGCAATCGGGTTCGGAATCCGGAACCCTAGCCCCTCCTAGGTACTCCCCTCCCCCGTGGTGTGATCCGGCTCGCTGGCTTCCAGGTCTGGATGACATCGGGACCTGCCGTGGGATTTCCATGTGGATCGATCGCCTCCCCTTGGCATCGGTGCTCGCCTGGAAATCCCATCGTGTCTTGAAGAATTCGATCGTGGTTTGACGAAATTCGTCCTCCGCGGATTGGTTGGCATGGCGCTTGCCGTCTTCGCCTGATCCAACCGAGTCAACTCGCTAAATGAATCCGTCTGGAAAAATATGTCTCTATAGCGAGTCTGTCAATCACAAGACAATCCTCCTCGGACTGTGCCGAGAGGGTCGACGCTGTCGGTGGATGCTGTCTTAGGGCTCCGTTCGATGGATGACGTCATTTGTCTCTAGGTAGCGTGGCACCAAGATATCTTCAATATCGGTCACATAGGATTGTCGCTATCGTATATCGTAGACATCGCGTAAAGCTCCCATGCTACTAGGTTAGGTATCTTGGCGGATAGCTCTCCACAAACCGTTCGCATCCAGCTCATAGTGAGTATCACCGACCAGACTTACCCCAAGCTGAGCTTCACAACCGATCACAGGATACTTCTCAACGCTCCGTATACGTTGAGAGATATCTTGAACAAGATCGGCCATCCAAAACAAATCAAAGGGACAAAGGGTATTGATAAGTCGACCACGAACAATACTCTCACAAAGAATCCTCTACACTCTCAAGGCTCAACCCACACATCAACCCATACAACCACCACTCCATCCCAACCATCCAATCACCCATCAACCAACAGCCAATACAGGTCCCATCGTCCATCAGGAGTGGCTGAACGCAACGAGCTCAGCTGATTCTCTACGGCCATCAGCATCTGCATCGATCCTGCGCCCAGGGATTGTCTACATATCCACTCCTTCCATCGACCAAATCCAAAGGAATCGACGGTAACAACCATGCAGCTGGGACCGCATTGAGGACGACCAGTGTCGATAGCAATTTGCAGATTTACTAGGTTTTCGTGGTTATCGAGCTGGCGCTGAAGATTGTTTGTGTCAGATGTTAGGGCTGAAGACAGGTCCACCGCATCAACAGCCATCACGTGCTCTCTCAATAGGGAAGCACCCGACGCCAGCGCGCATTGTCCGCCGCTGGATGATGGAATATAAGTTGCCGTGAACGTGTGAAGGGGTCTTGCTCGTTGGTAGATATATATTATGCGGGGCGGATATGATTCGAAATGAGGTTTGTGGAAGAGTGGTAGAGCAATCAGCCAACATGTCAGCTGATCTGAACAGCTAGCGTTTTCTCACTATTAGTATTTTCGGTCTTTTTGCAATCTTACGACCTTTCATGGTATTAAGAATCATCAATATTATCGCTGTTTCTGACGGTTTTCATCGGTCATCCCACAGTTTGTACTAAGGGGGATATATATATCTAGGTAGTGATGCTATGGTAATAGTCGGGATGGCAGAAGATATAAGTTTACTGATGCCTTTGTGTTCCCCTCTTCCTTTCAATCAATGTTCAGATCTCATGCTTCGTGTCTCAGATAATTTGATAGATTGTATACTAAATATATACATGGTTATAAATGTCAATCGTCGCTGGCCTCCGAATAGAAAGTGTCGATGTTGCCTTCATCACAGGACAACCAGTCTTAATCGTGTTATATCATATATAATGTGAAATCAATACTATTAGTAGATGCTGCTGATTGATATCAACAACAAGTTAATATACACTAGTCTGGGTACAGTCCAATTTGCAGATTCTGCAGACTTCATGTATGGTTCTATATAATTTGAACCTTCCCTACCGCTATAAATAACTTTAAGAATAGTTGGAGTGTAACTGTCACCATCAAGCTTTGCTCATAGGCCGTGAGTGGAGTCTCTTATCTTCCAAACCTAAATCTTTACTTGTGATGTTATCCCCGCCTATTCTACTCACTCTGTTACCAAGATGCCCTTTTCAGCCGAAGAGCTAGAGGAGTCTCATGGAAAGAACAGTGCTTATGACTGGTAGCGAGAGTAGACCTAAAACAAAATAATACTGCTACATTCCCATATGTTTTCATGTTCTGAGTACCTTCACATTGGTATGATTGAGAGTGTGAAAAATCATCACAGGGATAAGTTGGCGATTTCTGGCTGAACAGAGTTTTTTCATAGAGCTTGCAGATTTTTTTTTTCAACTTTGCATACCATCTAAAACTTTCATATATTAAGAAGATAGTTTAAAATGAGTATAACTGAACCGTTTTTATCCGCTTTTCTGCACACTGTCATACTATTTCCAACAACCATGACAATACTAAGCTACATAATCGCCATCCCTCCTTATGTCCCAGTCTAATTAATACCACAGCAATGCATCCCATTACCAGCAACAAAATTTACATTATTCTACAACAGCCAACAGTGGGTCACGCTCACACGCCCCGAATCCCGCCCCAGGACGGAACCAGCATACCAGGATCCGATCCTGCCAAACCACCCCTGATACCAAGGCGGTGCAATTTCTGCTTTCAAAATCGGAGTGAAAATCCGCTCCGTCTTACTGTTAACCTAGTTGCAGTGGAGAATTGAAAATGATGGAAGGTAATGCCGTGCGAGGTTGAGAAGGAGAGCGTCGGTAGCGGCTGGGGTTCTGCCTTGTTAGGGCTTGTTTGGTCTCGTGCCGACCGGAGAATTAATTATGTACGCAGTCTTTGAGAATTTAACTGCGAATATCCACTAAAGCATACATATATACATTAACTGACATATACAATCGAAACTTTTCCAGACGAAAGATATATACGTAGCATGTTGGATGGTAATAGGTATTCATGCACAGTGATCCTCCCGGCTAGGCTAGGGCCACCATGCTTGATCCTTGTGCATGTTTCTAGAGCCACCCGGACTTTGGTACGCCCCGATCTCAACACTAGAGATACTGTGTCGGAGAGGGAAATTAAGCTTGTACGCCGGCAGGGCGACCCTTTCATATGCAGGGGTGGCTTTCAATATATGGGATTGTACTGGGTGAGTTTGCGGCTGACACTGACGCCAGCACCGTTAAACGATACGATCAGAATCAAAATCAAAATCGTATTGGAATAGGACTCATTGTCAAAGCAAGTGGCAGAAATCCTCTTTCATACCGCTTCGACCCAAGATACAGTGCAAAACAACCATAAGTCGTATAACCCTATGGAATTCAAGCAATCGGGCCCGCCAAAAGGCAGCACACAATCCTGCCGCCCCTTCCTGCAGCATCCATCCAAAATCCCTATTCCTTTGAAAGCCTTCGGGCGAAAATCGATCGATGCGCAGCCATTACGCCCTGTGTGCGCCCCTCGGGGGGAACGGACTGGATTAGTGCTGGAGCTAGGGCATGGGTCCAAATCCTTCCGGGAGCGGATGTGAGTGCGGGCCCCGGCCCATGGTTGACGATCTCGTGGGGAGGATCAATATCAATCGATGCTGTTTGGACTTGGCTTGTTTAGACTCAGTGGCTGTGAAAGAAGGCGTGCTGTCTTGCAAGATGCTAGCTAGGACTAGTCTAGGAGGAACCAGATGCTTGCCCTATGTTGGACTCGAGCTCGCAGACGGAAGGATTTGAGAGCCCGGTATGGAGCCATGATGGATGTGCAGGAATGCTTGTCGTTATTACTTTCCTTAAGATTGACATGATCTTGTAGTCTCTGGCAGGATGAAACGCCGGGCAACAGCAGGCTCGGGATCGGAGAAGGATAGCTATGAGTTCCTGCTAGAGGGAATGTCAAGACTTTTGACTGTGTCCTCTCAAGCATAGTCAGAAGGTGTCTCTCTTAAGAAGCCCGTGAGGACGTCTCTCTTGCATCAAGCTCTCCAAGTTCAATTTCTGTCCTTCTCCAGCCAGCGGAGTTCCGGTTGAGTCGCTTCCATACCGTCTCGGACCGGCCAATACCAGTCAATCACCATGTTGGCACCCAAGTTCCTCCTTCTCCTCCTCACCCTCCTCCTGGGGGTGGTCTTCGCCCGCGATGCCACGGGCCTGTCCCTCCACGACAAGAGAGACCTTCAAGCGCGCCAAGACGGAGCAGACGCAGCAGCCGAACAAGCCCCTAGACCAGACACCGCCCTAAGCCTCAGGCGCGACGAAACGATACGGCCGCCCGGACAGGCAGTCCCCGCACGACGTCAAGACTCGTTCCTGTGGTCCGGCGCTGCGCAGCTCCCTGGACCGCCAAGCGACAAAGAGCTGGTAGCAATGACACGCGACGCTTACGACCTGATGATCTGGTACGCGACAAGAGACAAAGTTCCCGAGTCAAAACGCCCCGGCTCCATGACGGGCTTAGCGGTAGACAACAAAGTCTACTTCTTCTCGTCCCTCAAGGGCTCAGGGCTCACTGTGTACGCCGATCGCAACAACAAGGCAGATCCTAAAACCAATCCCAATGTCCCTGCCGGGGTGCAGGAGGCGCTCTGGAACTGTTATCAGGCTAGTGAAAGAGAGGCCCAGGACGCGGGCGAGGGAGATGGTCAGGGTCAGGCCCAGCACCGGACCGGCGCGTCCTGCGGCGAGGTCATGGCCTCCTGGGCCTTTTATAGTACAAATCCAGGTGCTAACTTGGAGAGTGCGACGTTTGTCGCGTGGGGGGCCCAGAGGGGGCGCGACGGGCGGGCAGTGTATAAGATTATGCCTCCCTGTGGAGGTGGACGCAATCCTGAGTGGGGTTGTGACAGTTTTCTGAAATCGTTGGACGCCAGAGCGGTCGGCCGAAGCGTGGTACCGGCTGACAGTTATGCTGAACCTACGGCTGTGCTCCATTTTCCGCTGAGAGGATTCAGGATTCGGCTTCAGTTGCGCGATTGATATGATATACATATACTTGGGGGAAACCGGTGCTATAGATCAGCTTGTACATAAGCACAAATCGACAGACCAGTGTCTGTGTAGAATAGTCATTGCCGGTTGACACATGAAGATCCCCGAAAACTACGTTGTCTTTAGTGAAGAGCGACCCGATCTCAAAAGAAGGGGAAAGGAAAAGAAAAGAAATAGCCAGGATTCAAGGTTCTTTCTGCAAAGCGATCCTTGTTGACATACTCTGCGGCGAAGTAAATAACATCAGCAATAGTCTACCTACATAATAAGCAAAGTCTAACTATGCAAGGACAATAAAAAGGGAACGGTGTTTGGGGGAAAAAGACGCAAAGTGTATCATATGCTCATGTCTCGTCAAACAATATTCGGTAGAGTGGCGGAGACCTATTACCAAACTCCCAAGCACTGGCATTCGTAAACAAAATCAAGCCGGCACACCGCCAGTGCCGAACAACTCAAGATTGAGTCGGTCGTCACCGACACCCTGTTCGCGCAACCACGCCCGCATATCGACCATAAAGCTCTCAGGCCCACACACGTAATACCCGGTGGTAGAGTCGTCCAGGTGCAAGTCCGCGCTACGGTCCAGCAGCGGCATGGAGATGCGGCCCGCCCTATCGTAGTCAACGCCGGCGGTCTCGTCGGCGGCGGGCTCGCTGTTGAAGAAGGTCGTCTTGAGCGAGGGAATCTTCTCCTTCAGCCCCTGGACGTACCCGTGGAAGGCCCGCGCCCGCGCCGTGCGGGCCCCGTGGATGAACGTGACCGGGCGGTCGGGTGCCGTTTTGCCGGCGAGGGTGTTGAGAATGGACATGAGGGGGGTGAGGCCCACGCCGGCACCCAGCAAAACGATGGGATTCTTGCCGGCGAGTTCGTCGCGGAAGAAGAAGTCGCCGTAGGGATGCGACACCTTCAGCACGTCGCCCTCTTGCACGTTGGCGTGCAGCAAGTTGGACACGTATCCCGGGTTGGCCCTGGCGCCGGGGTTGCTGGGGTCAAGACCGGGATGCTTGCGGACGCTGATGCGATAGTGGTCGGCGTGGGGAGCATCACTCAGCGAATACTGGCGCGCCTGGGGGTATTTGAGATCCGGCACAAACAGCTGGATGGAGATGTACTGGCCCGGTTGGAACTTGGGCAGGGGCTGGCCGTCGACGGGAGCCAGGTGGAAGGAGGTGATCTCGGCGGACTCGGGAACCTTGGCAGCGACGCGGAAGTCACGGAATTGAGTCCAGCCTTCGCTCTCGCGGTACAGCTCAGCCTCGCGGCCAATCATGATCTTGGCCAGCTGCCAGTAGGCCGTGGCCCAGGCGTCCAGAATCTCCGGAGTGAGGGCGCTGCCCAGCACTTGACCCATGGCCTCCAGCAAGTATTTACCCACGATGTCGTACTGCTCGGGCTGGATGTAGAGCGACGCGTGCTTGTGGCAGATCAGCTCGACGGCCGGGCCCAGAGCACCCAGATCATCGATGTGAGACGCATAGGCGAAGAGGGCGCCGGCTAAAGCCTTGGGTTGGTGACCATTGACTTGGTTGGCGGTGTTAAAGACCGCGTGCAGCTCTGGGTGGGCGGCCAACATATTCTTATAGAAAGTAGCGGTGATCGTAACGCCGTGTTCCCGGAGGATAGGCACGGTGGCCTTGATCAGGCCGACTTGGTCGGGGGTGAGGGACATTGTGGAGTGTGGAGTGATGCAATGCTTTGTGAGTCTGTTTGCGACGAGGGATGGGGAAAAGCAAGTCCCAGGGCTTTTATGGGGTATTTATACAGAATTGTCAATTTGTCGCATCGAAATACAAACCCCTTGTCAGCCCATTCTGCACGACGTGTTGGGTGATTTTTTTCTTGTCCTTTTCTTATAATGGAAATGACTGGATCCCGACCTAGCGATTACATCTCCGCGGAGGATTGAGTTTTCTATGACAGTGATTGGGCGGGTCACTTGGTTGGCAGCCAAGCATGAAAATTCGACCGATATCAACCTGGGTGTCGACCAGGGAGATAGATAGGTAGATATAACTATCTGCCTTCGAGCTCAGGCACCCTATAGGAAAGCTCTCCATTATCACTTCAATGCTTGTCTCACATCCGACCCTGTGTATTGATGTTATCTGCCCAGACCCTTGAAGCATTGATGGCTCCATCATGCGGTACTTTCTTTGGGGCTAGACACGTATTACACATCATCAGCCCACTCTCCTTGCTGCCGGGAGATTTAGGGAGAGTGGGGTGATAGCTCGGCGAGGTCTGAGGTGGCCAATAAAGGGAATCATGATTGGGAATCCGACAAACGGATTCGGGGGTGGTGAATGCATGACCCTGGAGTGGAGCAACTGGATGAATAGAGTAGGTGAGTGGGGTCTTGGTTCTGGGATGTGAAATCATGGATTGGATAGAGAGGATGGTGGGATGAAGTGAAGTGGAGGGAGGAAGATGCTGAGTCAGGGCTGAGTCAGAACAAGACTGGTAATGACTCAGTGCTGAGTCATGAATTGATCCATAATTAGTAATGGCTCACAGCATAGCATAACACCACAGCATAGCATAGCACATCTCACGCTGGCTGATCGGATAAAAGATCCACGATCTGGTATATCTACATCTTTCATCTCTCACTTCCATCCCATCCCAAACAAACCAAACTCTCCGGGTGGGGCCTCATTGGGAATTGCTACTACCCCAAATTGTAAAAGAATGATATAGTCATTGGTACAAACCCTCTTAGTGGAAGGCTGCTTTACCTAATCTCTTGCATCGACAATGACTGACCTGCCCGTCGAGATCCGCTCCCAGAGACCTGGGTGGGCCGCGTGCCCACAAAGAAATGATCACTCTATCTGTATGAGGATGGATGTTTGCGGATATCCTTTCCACTGGCGGACTGGACGGACCAACAGAGTTCACGATCCCCAGCAGTCATGACGTCGCTAGAAAACCCAGGAGTATGGAGTCGAGGGAACTCAAGGAGTATAAAGGTCTACTGCAAGGCTAGCATATGACCCCCGGCTCATATTTTGTGTGGTTGCTGGCACATTGTTCATTGTTCATTGTGCATTGTGCATTTTTTACCCATATCCTCCACCATCCACACTCACCATGGCGCTCTCGAAGTGGCTGTCCCGCAGAGGCAGTGGCAAGTTGAGCCAGGTATCCAGCTCGAACCAAAACCGGCTACCAATGCTAGGTCTAGCCAACACATGGCGCTACAGCTTCGTCGCGGCCGTGGGCGAGTTTGTCGGCACATTTATGTTTCTGTTCTTCTCGTTTGCCGGCACCCAGGTCTCTCAAACACCCAAGCCGCCGGATGGGTCGCCCCCGGATACCCAGAATTTGCTGTATTCGGCGCTCTCCTTTGGGTTCTCCCTGATGGTCAATGTTTGGGCGTTTTATCGCGTGACGGGTGGGCTATTTAATCCTTCTGTATATTTCAACCTCACCCGTTCCCTCGCCAGGCAGCCTGGAGCGAGATGCTGATCAGGTATATATGAGCGATAGGTCACGTTAGCTCTCTGTCTGTGCGGCGGCCTACCCCTATTTCGTGGCCTGCTTGTCTTCGGAGCGCAGATCGTGGCTGGCATCGCGGCGGCCGGTGTGGTTAGCGCGCTGTTCCCGGGCCCTCTGAACGTGTCTACACGGCTCGGCGGCGGCGCTTCCATCTCACAGGGCTTGTTCATCGAGATGTTCCTCACGGCGCAGCTGGTGCTGGTGGTCATCATGCTGGCGGTCGTCAAGCACAAGTCGACCTTTTTGGCACCAGTCGGCATTGGCCTGGCTTTCTTCGTGACGGAGATGATCGGTATTCCACGACCCCTTCCGGTGCTTTTCTCCGTATACCGCAGAGATTGACTGATCTAGGCGACTACTACACCGGCGGCTCCCTCAATCCTGCCCGCTCGCTGGGCCCGGACGTGATCAATCGTAGCTTTCCCGGATACCACTGGATCTACTGGGTCGGACCTTTGCTCGGGTCGCTGCTGGCCTGCGGGTTCTACGGTTTCCTGTCGCTTTTCGACTGGCAAGGCGTCAACCCCGGCCAGGATTACAACGAGTATGAGGCCAAGGGGGGGTCAGAAGATTCTTTCAATGGTCGACAATCGCGCGCCTACTCCGATGCCACCACCCTCAACCGCGGGCAATCGCCGCACGGGACCAGGAGCAACGGAGCTAACACGGTGACTCCAAACATTGCGCATGGACCGGAACAGGTTTAGCTTCTCGTGTGGTCGACCTCGACTATACCACGGTCATGGACTCGTACGGGAACTAAGATCTGTCCTATTGTGTAATATGCACGCACAAACCGAGCGAGGGGGGTCGCGAGGTGGCTCCATCGTTCGTCTGCCGCACCTCCACTCTCATCCACAGGATTCGGACCGACCCGACATGATGCGAGCTTGACTTGAAACTGTGTCCTTTGCTATTGTGTGATTATAACTTTTGGAGTGAACAGGTGGAGCGAACAGGTGGGGGGAATAGTGTTGAATGCCATGACATATTCATGCCCAGGCTACGACGTAGGCAAGGCAATGAAATTTATCTCACAAAACGAACGGAAGCTTGGTTGGATTGGCAGCATTAGATCGGCCTTTGCGGTCGACTCCTGCGTAGACTTCGATTACCCTGAAGTCTGTCCATATTCTCGAGGCTCGGCCGCAGAAATGGGATCCTTCCGACAGACGGTCTATTTCGACAGTGGATGTACCGTTGCGATGTTCGAGTGCGATCCCCAACTCCGTCATCCACTCGTTCCTCAAGAGCGATCGCCACAGTGGAGTTGATAGGAGCTTCTAATTGGATTTCCATACTGAAGAAGACAATCTCTCCCGGGTTGGGCCACGTTATGGAAAGCAAGAGGATGATCGGCGCCAATAATATCATTGTAGTCGATGTATTAAACTCTATGCTCCACAGGCCCCTTGCTCAACCCGCTCGGTCTGATCGCACGAGTTTCAACTTGCCCTCCCTGCTCCTCCTCATGGGAAATAGCGAACCGTCATGACGTTCCCGCCTGCCACTTGACCGTCTCATTTCTTCCAATACCTCTTCCATACCATGGATAAAAATGATATCGGTTCGATCGGGGCCGACGAGGCGTCGACCGACGATGTTGGGCTGGCAGATGCGGGGGATATGCAACTCTTAGGTATCGTGGACTGGTCCCCCTTCAGTGTCGGTCGCAGTACGGAGGGCAGAAGAAACTCATGAGGTGATGTAGCGACCATGGGCTACAAGCAGGAACTCAAGCGCCAGTACTCGACCGTGCAGATCTTCGCCGTCGCCTTTAGCATCATGGGGCTAGTTCCCTCGATCGCCTCCACCATCGCCTTCTCACTGCCGGCCGGACCGGCCGGAATGGTCTGGGTATGATTAAGTTGCAGGAGACGTATGATATCGGGAGGTTTAGATCTGACCATATAACAGGGCTGGTTCACCGCGAGCATCTTGATCTTCTTCGTGGGCCTCGCCATGGCCGACATGGCATCGGCGATGCCCACCGCAGGCGGCCTCTACTGGTGGACGCACCACTTCGCCGGCGACCGCTACAAGAACGCCCTCTCGTTCCTAGTCGGGTACAGCAACACGCTGGGCCTCATCGGCGGCATGTGCAGCGTGGACTACACGCTCTCACTGATGGTACTAGCCTGCGTCTCCATCGCGCGCGACGGCACCTGGAGCGCCTCCAACGGCGTCATCTACGGCGTATACGTATTTTTCATCCTCCTCCACGCACTATGCGGTATCTTCGCCGGGCGCATCATGAACCGCATCCAAACCTTCTGCATCTTCTTCAACATTGCCGTCATCATCGCCACAGTCATCGCCCTCCCCACAGGCAAGCTCGCCCGCGGTGAGCCCCTCAACCCGGGCTCCTGGGTCTTCGGGCACCTCGAGAACCTAACCACCTGGCCGCAAGGCTGGTCCTTCATCCTCTCCTTCCTAGCCCCAATCTGGTCAATCGGATTCTTCGACTCATGCGTACACATGAGCGAGGAAGCCCTCCACGCAGCCAAAGCCGTACCCCTCGGCATCATCTGGTCCGCCGGCTGCGCCTGCGTCCTCGGCTTCGTCGTGCTCTCCGTCCTCGCCGCAACGATGAGCCCCGACGTCGCCGCAACAGCAGCTACCCCCTTCGGCCAGCCCATGGCGCAGATCTACTTCGACGCGCTCGGCCGCCGCGGCGCGCTGGGCTTCATGGCCGTCCTCATCGTCATCCAGTTCCTCATCGGCCTCTCCCTCATCACCGCCATGTCGCGCCAGGCTTGGGCCTTTGCCCGCGACGGCGCGCTCCCCTTCTCAGGCTACTTCCGGCATGTTAGTCGGCGCGTGCGCTTCCAGCCTGTGCGCGCTATCGTCGGCCTCGTCGCCGTGTGTATCGTCTTCGGCCTGCTGTGTCTAATCAACTCCGTCGCGGCGCAGGCACTGTTCTCGCTCTTCGTCGCGAGCAACTACGTCGCGTGGGGAACGCCCATTCTGTGTCGGCTGGTGTGGAACCGAAGATTCCAGCCTGGCGCGTTCTCCACTGGGAGGCTGAGTCGGCCGATCGCTGTCGTCGCGGTCGCGTGGTTGGCTTTTGGCTTGTTGCTGTCGATGTTTCCTACGACGGGACCGAATCCGGGTCGTACGTTTCCCTTTTCAAACATTACATGCGTCTTTACTTTGTTGGCTACTTACTAATTTTATCTACTGATGCAGCCGCCGACATGAACTACACGATCGTGATCAACGGGTTCGTCTGGATCGCCTGCATGACGTACTACTTCGTGTCCGCGCGGAAGTGGTACCGTGGGCCACTGATGACGGTGGACCAGAGCGTGGTCGTATCCGCGCAGGAGAAACCATCCTACGCCTGAATACAATACCCTAACATCAGATTAAATTTGAACCTTGTCCCTAATTACGTAGATTCAACAGTGTAGGTAGTAAATATGTGGATATAATATGTAGATAATAGCGTATCCTATGTGTACAAACGATACCAGAAAACACAGCAAGACCATCTCTCGGCCGACGCGGGGTATATGTCCAATTTCATCCCCAATTAAACTCTCTATAATCCCAGAAAAACAGCAATCAAAAAGCGAGTTTAAGGAATTTACAACACGGCCATCACACCCAGCAGGCCGGCCACACCAGCGACGCCCAGGCCGACCGTGGCCTGGGCATTACCGGCGCCCTCACTGCCGGAGGGCTTCGATCCCTCGGAATCGGAGTTGGACGGCGAGGCCGACTCAGTGGCCTCCGCGCCGGTCTCCTTGGGGCCCAGGCTCGTGGAGGTGGTCGGCTTGCCGTCGCTGTCGGTGGTGGTCACTTCGTGGATGCGGGAGGAAGCGTCGGACCCGATGGAGGAAGCGTCCGAGGCGATGGAGTCGCCCTTGGAGGAGGCGTCAGAAGCGATGGACTCGCCCTTGGAGGAGGCGTCGGACGCGATAGAGTCGCCCTTGGAGGTTACGGAGGCGACGGCGTCGGCACCCTTGGAGGTCAGAGTGGAGGCGGCGTCGGCGCCATCCGAGGCGATGCTCGTGGCAGCCTCGCGGACGTTGCTGGCGACTGACTCGCCGCCGGCAACGGCGGTATTGGCAGCGTCACCCGCGCCGGAGATGATGTCGGCGATTTCGTCAGGGCTGGCGAAGGCGGAGGCCGAGACGGAGGTGGTGAGGAGGGTGGTCAGGAGGATGGATTTGAGATACATTTTGGTGGTTGTTTAGATTGAATTGATGGATAGTAGTGGTAGGAGTAAGAGTAGTAGATGGTAGTAATCGTGTAGTCGTGAGAATCGTTGGAGAAGGATGTTCGTGGAAGTACTAGTTCTGTTAAATGTGTGGGGAGAGAGATGATGGATATATATACCCCTATTGCGATCAACGCTAGTGGGTCCCTTGGTCAATTAATTGTTATGAAACTGACCTATCGCACCCATCGCTGCAGTCAGACCCACCTTTGCCACTCAGGGCACTGGGCAGTGTTCAAACTGAGGCGGTGCTGGACCCGAAGGACGCGAAGATAACTCCGCCCCGGTCCGTGGATATCCTCATCAGGGCGTTGGTTATTTCCACTCGCTGATCCTGTTGCCTGGTTCGAATCCGTCTTATACCGTTGGATGATTTCCTTTCTTTCTTCTGTTATTTGTGTCGGTTTTCCTATTTTTGGCATCCGTCGGATCCATCTCCACCTCGTCCACTGGGTCGGAAATTGAACGCCTGACTAGGCAATCACAATTAACACCGTGCGGCCTATTGTCAATATCCATGCAGGCATATTACTCCGGAGGACACAGACCAGAGTAGGTGACCTGGCGATGACGCATTCCACCCCCAACCAGCTCATCCTGTTCAACCTGCCCGATTCTGACCAGCCAATCCTGACCAGCCAGCGCTGTCCTGCAAACACCCGAATATTCCAAAAATAATCATGCGCTCCCGACGACTGTTTCTCATTCTCCCTCTCATCCTCCTCGTCATCACCGGTATGCACGCCCCCTCGGTCCGACTGGACGACTGATCGGGAGCTGACAGATTCCCAGGGGCTCTAATCTTCCGCAAGTTCGCCCCTCATTCTACCCGCGGGGTGTCCTGCGCCGACTGCCTCCGCTACTCACATCAGATCGAGACGAAGTTCCACCATACACCCGAGAACAAGGACAACGAACAGTTCTTCCGCTACGCATTGGACAAATCGTGTCGCGGGGTGGTGTTCCTCAGTGGGGCCTGCTCGAAGCTGCGCCGGGTGTTCCGGGACGATGTGTCGCAGTTCATGGGGCTGATCCAGGAGGGGAATGTTTATGAAGCGTGCGAGGCGGCCAAGGCCTGTCCACTCAGAAATCCTCCGGCGTAGTTAGTACATTATATCCACACATACATACGCATATACATAGCATTGGGATCGAGGCTGTATACTTCTCCCCGATTGATTGTGAACAGCATCAGTCAGGCCACGGTTGCTGGGCTTGGCATTCCCACTGCTTATACTATTAATAAACCACTCGGGACGAGGTGTGCTTTCGGCTCTAATCGATTGTCAATTGACCAGTATAGCTGCAGGATGAAGTTTCATCTAGTGATGAACTATATGGAGGAAACAAACAATGGATCCAAGACGGTGGTGGATCACCTGACCTGGCGGACCCGATCGCGTCACCTGACCACGGCGGATCTTGCGTCATTCTTTCTTTACTTCTCTCCACCCTCACTTCTATACTTCACTTCTATACTTCACTTCTATACTACACTTCCATACTTCTCTTTCTCTACTTCTCGTCTCTACTTCTCGTCTCTACTTCTCGCTTCTTCAACTGTGATATCTATATCCACCAAGTCAGCCTCCCGTCCATATATAATGGAATCATCCCCAGCATGGCTAGACCAACATCTTGGAAAGCCCCAGAGTCTTGGAACCGCACGTCATCGACCGCGTCTAGAAGGTTACAACCATGATACCTCCGCTTGTGACGTCTTCCACAGCACGCTTTTTTCCTCCCATTCTCCTCTGCCCATGGTCCAGACGCCTCCATGATACTAACGGACCAACGACGCCCAACCACCGCCTGGTGGTCTGGTGGCGTGACTTCCGTTCGTCTCCCACCTGCGGATTTATCGTGGACCGATTGACAATTGCAAAGACTATTGTCTCAAGCCAGCCGAATTAAACTTTTCTTCCCCGGCGCTCTATCCTATTTCGGTTCTCGCTCTACTATTTCGCTCCTTCCTAACCGGTTTTTGGTCAACTTCACACCGGATGCGATGTGATACCTGATGGACATTTCCATCCTCGAGTTCCCTCCCTCCTTCCTATCCTCGATGAATGTAACCCAGCGTCAGAGCGAAACAGACGCTCATGTCACCGTCACCCTTCCGAAGCGACAGCCCGGCCTCCCTCATCAGCTACCATAGCGTGCGAGACGGGGAAGTCGACCGGAACAATGAGGCCTACCGTTCCTCGCAGCGTCGCAGCCCCAGCCGCGAGCGCCACCGTGTCCGTTGGGGTTCCGACCAGAGGTTCGAATACGGCGAGATCACGACGGACGAAGATATGGACGCTGCGCGGGATGGGAGCTACTCGCCACAAGACCGCTCGTCCTCAGTGGACGTCACCGAAGCAGGGCACCGAACGCGGAGACCGTCGGGTGCATACTGGAGTGAGCAGCGGGCGTCCGACGTGGTGACGCCGGAGCCGTCGGAGAAGAATTTGCCGCAGCGGCGAGAATCGGTGGCGCAACGCATCGGGGGCATGGGACGGGGCGTGCTGCAGCGGACGCGGTCGCTGGCGACGCGCATGGGGCGTCCGCTGACCGACTGGGAAGAACCTGAGGAAGAGGCGCGCCATCAACGGGAGCGCATTCGCCTCGGGAGCTATGACCGGCGGCTGTCGGGAGCGACCATCCGGGGCGACGACGAGGGCCCACGCCTTCGCTCCAGTTCCGAGGCGCATCGGCTCGTTCGCGAGATGACTCACGATTCGCCGGCGGATCAGATTCGTGCCTACCGCAACCGGCGAGCGTCCCGTCCCATGCCCCCGGGGGCTGGCCGTCGCCGGGATGCCGACAGCCCGTCACCCTCGCCGTCCCGGAGACCGTCCCAGGGTGGGGACGGGAGCATCCTGACGCAGCTCATTCGGCTGAATAGCCGCCTCGAGGAACCGACCCTGCCGCGGGTGCTCCGGAATCAGAACTCGGCCTCACCCGAGTCCGAGCCCGCGTCGCCGCGAACCCCGCGAACCCCGCGAACCCCGCGGGCGTCGCATGACCTCGGTACGCTGACGCCGGGATTCACTCCGGAAACCATGACCCCGCGGCGCGAGAAGCGTCGGTGGTACAAGAAACCACCGAACACGTCGACGTCCACGTTGGTGGGCGTTGGGGGCAGCGGCGCCTTGAGCAGCCCAGCCTCGGGCGCGGCCCTCTCGGCGGCCTCCAAACGCCGCAACCAGCAGGGCCAAAAGCCCGATCTGCGGCTGGAGGATGAGATCCGGGTGACGCTGCAGATCGCCGAGATCATCGCGCGGCAGCGGTACATCATGCACCTGTGCCGCGCGCTGATGAAATTCGGGGCGCCGACCCACCGCCTGGAAGAGTACATGCACATGACCGCCAAGGTGCTCGGTGTCGACAGCCAGTATCTGTACGTACCGGGGTGCATGATCATCTCCTTCGACGATGCGACCACGCGCACGGCGGAGGTCAAGCTGGTGCGCGTTGCGCAGGGCGTCGACCTAGGCCGGCTAGCCGACACCCACAACGTGTACAAGAACGTGGTACACGATGTGATCGGGATTGAGGAGGCCACACAGGAGCTGGACGAGATCATGTCAAGTCGGCCCCGGTTCAACAAGTGGATCATCGTCCTAGTGTACGGCCTAGCCACGGCCATGGTCGGACCGTTTGCCTTTGACGCCCGCCCCATCGACATGCCCATAATTTTCTGCAACGGCGCCCTGCTGGGCATCCTGCAGCATGTCCTCGCGCCGCGCAGCGTGCTCTACTCCAACGTTTTCGAGGTCACCGCCGCCGTGCTGACCTCCTTCATCGCGCGCGCCCTCGGCAGCATCCCTATACGCACGTACCCCTCCGGCGACCGCGAGTACCTCTTCTGCTTCAGCGCCATCGCCCAGTCCAGCATCGCGCTCATCCTCCCCGGGTACACCGTCCTCTGCAGCAGTCTCGAGCTCCAGTCCCACCAGATCGTCGCAGGGTCCATCCGCATGGTCTACGCCATCATCTACTCCCTCTTTCTCGGCTACGGCATCACAGTCGGCACAACCATCTACGGCCTGATCGACCGACGCGCAACCTCCCAACTCACCTGCCCCAACACCAACGCCGCCTGGTCCGGCGAATACGCGCAGCGCTTCCCCTTCGTCGCCGCCTTCGCCGCCTGCCTCCTAGTCGTCAACCAAGGCAAATGGCGCCAAGCGCCCATCATGGTCACCATCGCCGAAGCAGGCTACGTCGCCAACTACTTCGTGACCAAGCGCATCGGCACCGCCAACCAAGTCGCCAACACCGTCGGCGCCTTCACCCTCGGGACAATCGGCAACCTCTACAGCCGCCTCTGGCACGGCCACGCCGCAACCGCCATCCTCCCAGGCATCTTCGTCCTCGTGCCCTCCGGCCTCGCCGCCTCGGGCTCCCTCATCAGCGGGATCAACTCCGCCAATGAGATCCGCGGCAACGTCTCCAGCTCGGGTAACCAGGGCGGCACGGGCATCAACATGTCTCAGGATCAGCGGTCCGTTGATCTCGGCTATGGGATGGTCCAGGTGGCTATTGGTATTACCGTGGGACTGTTCATTGCTGCGTTGGTGGTTTATCCGTTGGGGAAGAGACGGAGTGGGTTGTTTAGTTTTTAGCCCTCTTCTCCTTCCCTTCTTCTCCTTTTCTCTTTCTTTATCATTTTCGTGGTGAAGCTTTAGCCTTATATGGGTGGACTAGACGGCAGTGGCAGTTATTGCAGGATAAAACATAGCAGCTAGAACCCACTGTGTCTACTATGATGCATACATAGTTCGGAATAGACTCCCGCACGGTGATTGACTCTTCATTAAGTTATTATGTATATCTAGATCCCTGCCCCCGTTCCATGGATTGCATGGCGGGAACTCTATCATTATCTTTCGTTAAATATAGGTACCAATAGAAAATGTGCTACCCATCAGCCAATCAACAACCAACCAAACGCCCAAAACACATACATTAATTGATCAACAACTTTTTCTTTTTCTGGTGTGCCGGCACACCGGAAGGACGTAAATCTATATCACTGTCCCGCTCAAAGGGAGAAGAGAAAAGATAAATAGGAAAGAAAAGAGGAGAAAGAGAGAGAGTTAGGTGGTAATGGGAATGTCGGCAAGGGTACACCCCACAAGCTCTAGGAGGTACCTCTCGCGACAGATGAGTACGTGTCGACCTCCGTCGCCGAGAAATTTCAAGCAGAGCTCTTTCAATTGGTCGTGTTCGGCCGGGGGAACCCGGGCTGCCAGGTCCGACGGCACGAGGATATCGCCGTCGCGGACGGAGGAGAAGATCGCACGGTGCAGTCCACCTGGGACGCGGCCGTCGTGCACGAGCCAGTCGCACAGCGAGTCAAAGAGAGCGTGTGTCTCCATGAAGCACATCACGCCCTCTAGGGAGGAGCGGTCGAGGGCGCCGAGAGTCGATGGGAGGGGGTCGAGGGCGGCACGGGCGGTGTTTGTCTCTGCTAGGGAGGTGAGGAGGATGTGTTCAATGCAGATTCGCTCCTGCTTTTCTTCTTTATTGGTGTTGTTGTTTGGATTGTTGAAACTGATGGGTCGAGTCAGAGGGGCCGGGAAAGGGGCCGGAAGTATAGAATCGCTGCTGCTGGTGATAGACGCTGTATATTGCTGCGCAGGAAGGGATGTCTTCTCCGGCTCCTGCGGTGGACTCCCATTCCGAAATGGAGGGGCAGAAGTGTCAGCCTTCGGCTGGGTAGAAACCACAGGTCTGTCGTACCCCAGATGCCGCCTCCAGAACCGGTTACACGCGACTTGCAGCCCCATGCACGGGATCAGCAGGACATATCCCCACCACATGCGCGCTGTGACCATAGACGCAGCACCAGCCACCAACCCAGTGACACCAGAAACAACAGCGTGGACCTGCAAGCGGAAAAAGCGGCAATGAAGTTTCCCTTTAAATGCCGCCACGGCTGTACCTGCTTCTTCCCCTCCCTCGGCTTGGTCCTGCGACATGCAAGCGCGGTCGTGCCGGCGGAACCGACAGACCAGATACCACGACCAGACAGCATTAACGACACCAAAAGCAGCAGCAAAGGAGTTCCCAACGAACCCCGACAAAAGGTTACTCGCACGGTAAACGGGCGGGTGAATTCCCACGATAGCCATCAAGGTCCCGATCCCAACCAGAAGGGCTCCAATCCCCAGCAAGACATCCATGGCGATACGGTCAACGATCTCCGTCCCGAGTTCGCGGATCCCAACCCGAAGCCTTCCCTCAATCAACGGGATCAAAGCGGCATCTGAAGCGTCCCCACTCGCGGTGGGTCGACGTAGCAGCAGCTCGTCCTTCAAGGCGAGTAGCTCGCGCCTCTCCCCGCGAAGCAGCCGCACGTTGCGCCAGCTCAGCAGGGCATCACGGGCAGCGACTAGGCTCATGAGCAGAGCCAATGGCCCACCGATAGCCATCAGGATGATGGCATGGCGTGGCACGGGGACCTCGTTCCAGACGTTCGCGGCGAAGTCACCTGCGTTTGCGAACTCTAGATACCCGGCACTTGCGAGGAGACTGTTGCGGTACCAGCGTGGAGAAGAAAGGTAGAGAGAGCGCGAGCGGTGATGTCGAGCGAATAGGACGGTGAAGGTATTATCCCTGGCGTTCGGCGCGCCATGTTCGGGGATCTCGATGGGGATGGAATGTTGGATGAGCTTGTCGTGGGATTGAGTGCCCTGGGGAGGTGGCATTGGCGATTGGGGGCATGGGGAGGCCGTTGTAGGGGAGTGAGAGGTGGAGAAGAGGGGAGAGAGAAGAGAAGGAAGGGAGAAAGGGAATGACGAGAGAGAGAGAGAGAGAGAGAGAGAGGAAGGAAGGAATGATGGATGGAATGTATGTCACCTGACGATGCACCTGCCAAGACCCTCTCCGGATCGGTTCCGGCCGTCTTGGCGCGCCCTATAGGGCTGATCTACTGATCACCCATTGTAACTATCCTCCATGTCTATAAGTATCTTAGCCTAGAGACTACGTCGGACATGTCCCACATTCCTGAAAACAACAGTTTCACCTCGCGCTTGAAAATTATGATTAGGTTTCAACTAGGACGGCTGGCGTTAGACAGTTTACTGCGCATAACCTAGTGTATCCATGCTAGCGAGGGAGGTATGTCACGTACAGTCGGTGACGCGGCCACCAATGTAACTAACAGGTTGGCCAACACCAGGTAGAATTTGACAGTGTGACGCTGTGGTGTCTTCTTTTCTTGTGCTTTTCTCCACGAGTACATAAGGTGTGAGTGTAAGTTGTGGCTGACGGGCTGTTATAAAGAGAGGTGAGTGGATCGATGAATGGGTCGCGAAAGAAGGCTACTTCTACTTATATTACTTCACAACGCGGTCGCTCATATAAGAGAGGGTCCACTATAGCATCGACGGAATGGATTCCCATGGCCGTCCCCGTCCGGTTGGGCATTTGCACTGTGGTGTGCGGTAGTGGGGAAACAAACGTGTGCGCACCAAAAAAGTGCGGAAGAAGGTATGAATTGGACGAGCTGGGTAAAAGGGACTCCGACTTCATTCCAAATACGAGGTCCGAGGGACGCTGCGATTGGCGGTGGTATACAATCCACATTATACATTCCATCCCATGATCGACGCCCAGACATGGACAATGCAACGCCCCAAAACTGCCACCCGCGCCATCGCTCACATTCTTCACAGAAGGCAAATATTGGCAGCATTCTTTGGATGAGAGGTTATTTGATGAAAATATCCAATTAGATTCGCTACTATAATGACAGATTTCCCGCCGACCGGCAGCAGGAGGAAATGGTGGGCCTACTCCACCAGCCGCTGATCACACTAGCCTCTCTCGCCCCTGCATCCTACGCGTCCTTGCCCATCTTCTTCTGGGATATGCTCCCATCAGATGACGTACACAGCGCCTTGATCATCCGCACGCCGGCGTCCGCCGTCTCATTCGACGGCCCCGACCAGAAGCGCGCCTCGGCGGGCGCGTCGTCCTGTTCGTCGTGGAGCACGCTTTCTTCTCGGGTTGGCAGGTCGGTGGCCGAGGTATAGACACTCACGTGGTCTTGGAAGCGCACCCGGGGCTTTCCCTTGGGGGATCCGTTGGCGCGACGGACGAATGATCCCAGGAAGGTCTTTCGGACGGCGTAGCGCTTGGCGGCCTCGTGCCGCATAGGATGCGTAACGATCTTATGCAGCCCCGTGCGCACGGCGAATCGGGCTGCTAGGTACGCCCACTCCGCCGCTAGGATCGTCAGCAGAAACGACCACAGGTGCACCTCCGGGGTGCCATCCCGGTACAGGTACACGATGGCGGCGGTGGACAAAGTGCCCATCCAGGTGAGCACCTCGAGGCCCTGTAACGAGGGGCCGATCGAGTCTGTGCGGATGGGCGGTGGGCGTCGGCACTCGAGGCTGAGTTTGAAAAAGTCCCCTCGGAGTTCCAGCCAATTGTTTATGAGGAAGCCCAGCGGGACGAGCGGCCAGGCGACCCCGAACAGGGCGAGGTAGCCAAACTGCACGCACATCTCCAGGGTCTCGTCGTGAACGCTGTACTCGTCCGCTTCGCTCTCGTTGCGGATGCGCGCCAGGAAGTCGGCCTCGTCGGGCGGGTCGATCAGCAGCTGGTCGCTTTGCACGGACAGGGACCGGTGGCGACGCGTCACGGTGCGTTGCTGGTTGTAGTCCCGCCATTTCTGCCAGAGGACTCGCTTCACGTAGGGCAGGACGACCTCCTCGCCGAAACTGAGCACCTGGGCCATGGCGGAGAGATAGATGACTTCTTTTTGGAGGCGGGAGGCGTCGATCCGGAGTCGGGCCGGGTCCAAGACCACATCGCCCATCCAGGACAGGTCGACGAGGGGCACGATCCGCTTGCCGAACGGCACGTAGACGAACGCCGTCAACATAGTCGGTAGGAATGCGGTGATAAAGTGCATAACGAAGGTCTTGGCCGTCTGAGCCAGCTCATACTGGTCCTGGGTGCGGTAATTTTCGTAGTCCGTCAACCGAGAGGCCGTGCGAGTAAGGATGCCCGACAAGAAAGGCAACGAAAGTGAAAACAGCACAGTCGGCAAAAACTCCAGATACCCCTTCCCAGGCCCCCTATACACCTCCGAAATAAAGACCTCCAGCGCAAAAGCCACAACGATCAGGCTCCCCAGGACCAAACTCGCAAGCGTCGCAAACGGGATAAGCCACAGCTGGCGCAAAAACTGCTTGTGGCCGGGGAAGACCTTGATCATTTCGCCGGTGACGGAGTCACGGACTTCCTTGTCCCAGACGTACTCGACGCGGTTGACCTTGAGGACGCCAACGCCCTTGACATTCCACCGCAGGCTGAGATCCGCCTCGCGGATCTTCCAGTACTCGACGAAGACGAGGCCCCAGAAACAGTTGAGGATGGCGAAGGTGATGGAGTAGGAGCCGAGGTACCACCAGCAGAGGATGCCGCCGAGGGCGGGGACGATCAGGAAGCAGGAGTAGCAGTGGATGAAGGCGAAGTAGAATGCGACCTAGTCTTCGTTAGCCGGTGAGTTTAACGAGTAGAGCCTGCTACGAGGCTATCATATATATCTGTATAGTGTATGGTGAATGGGTGTGTCAAAGTACCTTCTCCCCATACAAAGCCCGAATAGCATCCAAATCCTCAGCGGTAAGAGTAAGAGCATGAGACCACTTGCGGAGTAATTCCGCATTGGCGGAAGGGTCGTGCAGGGGAAACGCGGCAACGACATTCTTCCAGCGACCGTGTTTGGGGATAATGCCTGCGCCGCCGAGGTGGTGGTGCCAGGAGACGGCGTGGTAGACGGATCGGAGCGCTTCGGCTGGGGTTTCGGGGTCGGCGACGGTATATTCGTCTCCTGCGGGGAACTCGTGGGCGATGCCGAAAAGCCAGTCTTTTATTCTATTTATTATTAATATTTGTTTTCTACATGAATATAGAGAGGAGGGAACGGGGGGGAGACATCGGTATACCTCGACTGATGAATCATGTGCCCCAGATGATCACGGGGCACGCGGACGCAAACCAGTAAAGACGAGCCATAACCATGGCGTACTCGAGTGCGCAGGTGAGCGGATTCGAGGTCGTGGATTAAGGATCGGAATTCATCGGCGGCTTGGGCGCTGTCTGGTCCCGTTAGCCATGGTCTAGCATACGGTACTGAAGGAGAGACATACCGAGGTCGTCAAAATTGTAGTGGATGACCCAGTCCACTCCCCGGTTGTCGAGTTCGTCATGCTGGAGGGCAAAACTGGTGGAGTGGAAGAGATTCATGGTGGGTAAGGAGGAGAGGGAGTCTGCATATCGAGGGATAACTGGAGAATTGGAATAAGGACAGAGTTGAAAAAGTCAAGGTTCAGATTAGGGGGTGATCCACTGGCAATCAGCAGAGAGAAAGAGGGGGTAAAGAAGACAAAGAGAAAGAAAAGAACAACAATGAGAAATGCCTGACGAAGGCAGCCTGGAGATCCGCACGATCAGCCCTACAAGGCGACGGGATAAGCTGATTGGCGAGGGATGGGATCTTCAGTTGTTTACTGGTGAGGGGTCTGTATTTCCTATTGACTCCGCTGGCTCAGAAGTTCCATGGAAATCATCCCTCTATGGTGGGTTCTATAATTAAATAATGGCAAGGGATCATTCCAATGGATCTGTATTGGTACTTGAACAGCAGAGGTATCATGCAAGGACGGACAATACAGGACACTGCAGATCTCTCTCTCTCTCTTTCACTTTCTCTTTCTTCATGGTTATTGTCCTTTAATGTAGTCGCCCATGTCCTTATCATTCTCTCCTGTCTGTATTTTCCTTTGTATAATCCCATCGGACCACCAATTCCATCATACTTGTCCCAAAGACTGGATAAATATGGCTGCCTGGGGTGGTGCCGGCGACGTCATTCGAGTCCGGATCGGGAATAGCGTCTCCCAACCGAATCCACAGCCAATCACCGATCTTCCGGTCTGTACTTCCTCGGTTTCTTTGGTTCTCTGGTGTTAAACTAGAAGCAGTAACTATCAACTATATGGATAGTATTGTTTGTTCTGATGGACCATTTGGGTTAGAATCAGAGTATCAAATCCCAGTTAAGACATACATACACCCGACACACACCGGCAGTGCGTCCTGCATATCCCTTCTTTCCTCCCGTCCCGTATACCCTATATCAATCCTATCCCCTCCCATCTGAGACCAGTCACATCGGCTCTATTATTTATTCCATATTCTATCAATACCTCATATTCTTCTGAGAACCAACACACTAACACAATAAACTCAAAAAAAAAAAAAAAAAAGAAGAAAAGAGAGAAAAAACACCTCCATGATCACCGCCTCCCTCGACCTCATGGCCCGCCGCTTCTTCCCAGGGCAGAACGCCGCCCTGGGGTTGAGTCTCTTCCTCTTCACCTTTATGTTTTTGCCTACTCTGGTCATGCTACTCGCCGTCATCGCTTTCTTCCTCTTCTTCTATCCCCGGCTAACCAAGCATGATTGGCATTGACCTCCCGTCTTCCGTCTTCCGTCTTTTGTCCTCACTATAAAAGTTTAATTGTGTGTACCTCCTCGACCTGAGGATATCTAATATAGACGTGACTGATTTGGGATAGTTTCTTGTACAGTACACGATCGATCGATTCGACCGACTGATGATTACGACCCGGCTTGGATCCTACGATTGTGTTTTTTCCTTTTATTTCATTTTCTCCATCTATTTTCCATTTTTATATATGGTCTACACCCAGCGTCTTTGTTGCGATCCTCCATTGTGAATACTCCTGCACTCTAATCGTTGCATTGATCCATCGCGGGTCTACCCTTAATCAATATCTTAATAAACCAGGCAACCCATCCTATTGCTGCGTCGCTCTTCCATCCCTTGATTCAACCCCTCCTTAGATCCTACCAGCCACTCCGAATCTCGCAATGTCTACATATCATTTGACGTCAAACAATGCCACGCCCTTTTCATGAAATATCAGTCGATTACGCACCACCGCCATCTTGTGGTGGCTGCACGGCAGCGGCTGGCGGGAGATGTGAATCTTATATATACCTCTGGGAAACATACCAGAGTCAACTCTACCAATGACATGATATCAACGATTAAGAAAATGGGTTCATTGAGCTTGACTCTTATGTTGTGTCGAAAGTAACTTGGAAAAAGGTCAAATTCAAATGTTCAGATATGTTATATCATTTGCAATGTTATACGTTTCATGCATGTCCATCTGTAGTTATGGAACCCGATTCGTATAGTGGTAGATTGAACCTCAATATCACGTTTATGGGATTCGTCCTGATACATTCTTTGAACGATGTTCAGAAATCTGCGGGACGTACACACTCCACTTCAATCGCAATACGATCAGTAGGGTCACTGACCACCGAGGCTGTCAATTGTTCGTCCTCCTGTGTGCAATCGCATCATCACCTACTACACAGACATCAAACGCCCCGGGGTTCAAATGTCGCAGCCGTGTCTATCAGCCCCGCTGCACCGTACATTGGGGAAGATACGACCCCTATTAAGAGAACAGACCCAATGAATTGGGAAGCGGGAATTGTTGGGTCTTCCGGACGGACCTGCAGTTTAGCTCTCGAGGTTATCGCTGTTGACTGGTAGTAGGACGAGCCTCAAATCGCAGTCATCAGCTTCATTACGCATGCTGAGTCAATGGCTCTCCTTCGTAACGAAATCTCTAATGCGGATTATTCCCTCGATTGCAATGCAAAATGGGGATGCTGTGATGTAATACAAGTCTGGATTCATGATTGTACTACACAATCCTCCATCCAGTATGGCTCTCACAGGTGAATGGATAGCTTGTGTGGAAATGCAATATCCCAGTTTTGGTAAATGGGTTACAAGGTATGTGCCACGATATTGCCTGTTCATAGATGACAGTCATTGTGAAGAGCAATGACGGTCATGATCCCTCCCGTATTCTAAACCATGCGCCTAGTGGGCAGTCACACGTAGTCCATTATATCCGACCAACTCCCCAAAGCTAATTCCCCGAGGCCTCAAGATGGTGGCCATTTCAAAAGGGATAATATCGAGGTAGTGGAGTGTTCGAAGCCTCGCGGGGCTGCTACGTGTTGGGATATAGTTTAATGTCCAGAGGTTGTGGAGAGGATGTTTTGCGGGGAATGTCTTGCTATTCACTGTTTCATTTGTTTACTTTCCGTCTCTTCCGACTCATTCGTCTTTCTCAATCAAGTATGTACATTTGTTCAGAAGGCACTATACTAGTGTATTCTTTGACAGCAATAGCGTTGCTTAAAATAGACCTCTAGGCATGTAAATCTCATACTTGTCGGAAAAGATATGTTGTAGACGGCCGTTTACCCATGAGCGATATATCACCATGACGTCATCCGAGAATTCGGCTAGCATTCATTCGCGCTGCGCCGACGTTAGGTATCTCTGTAATCGAATCAGTGTGACCAGGACAACACAGCGCAGTGGACGACATATGAGGTAAGGATTACGACAATGATTTCATAGTGAGCGAAATATAGCACCCTTTGTTTTTATTAGGATGCTGCGAGGAGTCAGTAAGGAAGAAGCTTTGGACACGAGAGACGCAAGGTAACTTCCACCAATTAGACTACTTCGGAGAAGCTCCTCGGTCGCCATTGATGACAGCGGTGGCGCAGCGGTGATTCATAGGGACAGCCACTGTGGCGCAGTCATATCTCGCTTGGGAGTCATCGCTGTCCAGTGGAACATGTGATGTAAACCACGGTCATCTCACCATCTACCATGGGATTAGCGTGATAAAGATAGAAGCCAGAAAGAATTCTGGTTAGGACAGCGACCCCTGATACGGAATAGACCAATCATGGTGCTGATCGGCCTTACATACGATCTAACCCCATTGGTTGTAGGTGGATTCTGGAGGGCCCGTGGACGGGTCAGGGACTCAGGGTTTTCAGAGGACTAACTCTGAAGGGACTAGAGGTAGGGACTGGACTGGAGGCAACTGTCGCCTTATAGGGAATCCGGAAGGATTGTGAGGCGGCCTCCTAATTTCCTGATCGGACCCTCCTTACAGGTTCGATAGGCAGACCTATTCCGTCGTAGAATCGAACAAAAGTGGACAAAGAGAGCCTGTTCATTATGCATGTTGACTTTTCCCTTGGTGTTTGTTTTTCGCTTACTCCGTATCTCCTGAAGCCAAAAGGTGGAGATTGACCCAGTTTTCTCAAGGAGATCATAGTAGTCTGGACTGGCCGTAATTGATAACTCTGTCTGTAACAAGGGGCGTTTCAGGCAACCACATAAACATGGCTCCTGCGACCAACAACGGGAGACGACCTAGTCCTCGTTGGATGGGAAGGGATCCTATACTCAATCTCGGTAATAAGTTTAGGATGGAATTTTCTCGACGACCCGTGCGGACTAGGACGACAGAGGGAAAGACTGGAGCCTCGATGATATCTGACTAGCCGAACTAATGCGTGGCGACTCAGGCGTCTGCGGATTTCGCCTGGATGCCTGAGTGTGATTGGGTGGGGAGGACGATCGTCATGCCTTGGCACCTCAGGCTTCGACGCCCGTGATTTGATGGCCAAGGGGGATTTCTTCATAAAACGGGCCACCTCGCTTTTAAACTTGATCTGACCGAAGCTTGACGTGCTTGTCGACGGGTATCGTATCTTCTTTCCAGGGTTCCATATTTATTCTTTCCTCTACTTCCTCTCTATCCTCTCCACCCCCCCCCCCCTTCCACCACAGTTATCAACAAACAAGGCCTCTTTTTTGCCTTCCCGGTTCTCACCAGCCGTTGTCCTGAAATACATGCGTGAGTTGCCCGATCTTATCCCCTACAACAACTCCACTACATCAAAACCTAGGCGAATGTCACTAATCTTGGCGTGTTCTAGACCGGATTCACTCGTGGGCGAAAGCTCACGCGTCTTCCCCCAACTCCAACCCCAATGAGTTCCCGACTGGCGTCTCCGATCATCCTCCCGCCGAGGATGAACCCCCGTCAGGTCAGCATGGGGAAGTGAAGCAAGAGACCAAGGGTGACCCGGCTCCCCCGGGCCCCGATGGACTGTCAACGGTGGGAAGCCCCCCCAAACCCGGACTGGTCACCCGCATGAGAAATGGCTCCGTCCGCTTCGTGGGTCATACCAAGACCGCCCTCTTCCACAGCTGGATCAATGTCCTGCTCGTTTTTGTGCCCGCGGGCATCGCCGTTGCAGCGGCTGGTCTGAACCCCGTCATCATTTTCGCTCTAAATGCCGTGGCTATCATCCCGCTGGCTGGCTTGCTTAGCCATGCCACCGAATGTGTGGCCTGTCGCCTTGGAGACACCATCGGTGCGCTCATCAACGTGACCTTTGGTAATGCCGTGGAATTGATTATTTTGTACGATCTCCTTCGTCTCCCTCTTTATTTATTTATTTTATTTTTTTTGACATTATACTAACTTATACATAGTATGTAAGTCATGAATGCCTCAGGTTTTAGGTATTATACTAATCCCCCGTGAAGCATTGCTCTAGTCAAGGTATGTTCCCCACTATACATCCAGACAGATCCATTCTAACAAACCCAGAATGAAATCCGTATCGTTCAAGCGTCTCTCTTGGGCTCCATCTTGGCCAACCTGCTGTTGATTCTTGGCATGGCCTTCCTTCTGGGTGGTCTCCGCTTCCGGGAACAGATCTACAACAGCACCGTCACCCAGATGAGCGCCTGTCTCCTCAGTCTCAGTGTCATGAGTCTATTATTGCCCGTCAGTATTCTTGTATTATCTCTCCTTGGCCCACGCTAACCCACCCCCAGACGGCCTTCCACGCATCCTGGACGGACAAGGTGAAAGCAGACAAATTCACCCTCCAAGTCAGCCGTGGCACAAGCGTCGTCCTTCTTCTCGTGTACATCTTGTATATTATCTTCCAGCTCAAGTCGCATGCCTATCTCTACGCCAGCATCCCCCAGCAGATTATCGACGAAGAGTCTCACCCCGGTGTGTTGGCCGATTTGATGAACTCCTCGTCGGATTCGTCCAGCAGTTCGTCGGATGAGTCGGATGATACCACCACCTCGTGGACGACGGCGAAACGGATCAAGCGCGCCATGAAGTATCGTCGGCGCCGCAAGTCTAGCACCAGCTCGAAGGGAACCTCGTCGCACCAGTCCATCCAAAAGCGTTTGACGTCCGACCTGCCCTCAGGGTCTGTCGGTGGCTCGAGCTCCAGCCATCAGGACATCCCCGGCGGCCCCTTGGCCGTCGACTTCGGCGATGACGCTCGCTACGAGGCCGACACCGACGCGCCACGATCCCACGAGCCGCAGACCCGAGATTTCGGCCATCTGCCCACCACCAAGGACTTGAAGGACGAGCACAAAGCGAAGCGTCGCGAGCAGAAGAAAAAGAAGCGTGCAGAGGACCGGGTCCCCGCCCCGGCGGCGGCCGACGCGCCGGTCGTTTCCCGGCCGTCGTTGAAATCCCACCAGTCCAGCCCGGCACATCCTTACGGCACGGCCACCACCGGCGAGGGCGCCGACCAGCCAAAGCCGTGGTCCTCCTTCCGCCCCAACTTCCCCTCGCTGTTAACCAACACGGTCTTCTCGAACCCCCAGGCCTCAAGCCCCGTTACTCCAGGCGAGAGCGGCAATACCAGCGGGCTGCGCCGCACCCACTCCCTGCCCAATCACATGAACCGCCCCCCGCCGGTCGGCAACGCCGTCCAGTTCGCCCGCGGCGCCGCCCGCATGCCGTCGACCGTCGATCCATCGGCGCCTGTCACTCCGGAGCACCCCGAAGCGGAAATGTCGCGCACGGCAGCCATCGTGATGCTGCTGATTTCCACCGCCCTGGTGGCCGTGTGTGCCGAATTCCTGGTAGACGCCATTCCCGCCATGATCGAAAGCTCCAATGTCAGCGAGGCTTTTATCGGGTTGATTATCCTGCCCATCGTGGGTAACGCCGCGGAACACGTGACCGCCGTCACCGTCGCCACCAAGAACAAGATGGACTTGTCCATTGGTGTGTCTGTCGGCAGTAGTATCCAGATTGGTGTGTTTTCCCCCATCAACGAATTTGATTTGATTTACAGATGTACTAACCCTGACAGCTATCTTCGTCACTCCCCTGGTCGTTATCCTTGGATGGTGCATGGACAAGGAAATGACGCTGTACTTCACCCTGTTCGAGACGGTGTGTTTGTTCGTCACGGCATTCGTGGTCAACTTCCTGGTGCTGGACGGCCGCAGTAACTACCTCGAGGGAGCGCTGCTGGTTGCCAGTTATGTGATTATTGCGTAAGTTCATTTCTTTCCCCTGAGAGTTTTGGATATGATGCTAACTGGTTAGACTGGCTTCCTTCTTCTATCCCGATAGCAGCGAGACGAGCACGGCGATTTAGTTGCTGATTGCAGTCTCGGCTGTATCAATCCACTTCGACGTTATTGTCGTGTAGGAGATTGCGTTGTGCGAGGAGTAACGGAACGTGTGGATGTGGTGTGTGGTGGGTGTGGTTATGTGGATGACAGATAGTAGAAAGCCAACCTCTAATACATCTATCCTTGGCTTTTTGGAATAATACGGATCACTTTTGTTATGATAATGATAATTACTATCATAGTATCCCCTTTTCTATTTCCTTCCTTCATGAATCTTATTTAGTCCCCACTGGCAGAACACAAGGCAAGACACTGTATACACCCAGCGACAAACAGACAGGCAAATAGCGGCACCCCGTGCGGCACACCTTATCCTCTGCATCTGCATTTGCATCTTGCATCAATAGTACAGTAAATTACCTAGTATCTCACCGCCACATGACCAGTGATATAGGTAGGTAAGGTACCTCACCTACCTCGCACCAATGACTCACTCGGATTATGTAGGGAGTAAGAAAAAGATATACACTCAGCTGGCAGAGTGGTATCTTGTAGAGGGGATAGAAAATATTTGTCAGGAACTGGCTACCTACCTGGTATTTGGTGCTTTTGCTTATATTGTAATGCTTTCTTTGATTCTATCTGATTTTGTTTTCTTTTCACACACATTGTAACTATGAGCATTGATACTAAGAGCTTGAGCATCACGATTTGATGGTAGATACCATACCATCCCAGTTACCTATCTAAACAATTTTTTTAACTCCCTTGCGTATTTCGAACGTGTCTACCCCGTACTCCATAGACCCATCATGAAAGGCCCACAAAAGTTGGCATATCCTATTCCTGAATGACGCGGAAGACTGCCCGGACGATCACCGGAGAAAACCATCCTCTCTATGACAGGTGCGGATATTTACTGTGATCAGCTCTAATCATAGAACAAAGGTGAATGGAAACATTAATGTAGGCTCTATTCCTACTAACAGACATATGAAACTCGCTGGACGTATAGTTTGAGTAGTGTATCCTGTCTGACCCTTTTAGTACTACTGACTTTATCTCTTAGACCTGTCACCTTGTCTAATCCAATCCGTCATTTGAGGAGCGAGCCATTGTGAGAGCAGAGGCTAAAAGGATATACAACTCCTGCTATCTACATCCCCACCGCAGGATTACATTATGAGAATCAATTTGCTGCACACTGCGTGATCATTCAATGATTTACAGAATTTCCCATACGTGATAAATGAACCTGCCCCTGTAATGATCAGAATAGACTATATTCAAGAAGGGACGTATATCTTGCCCACCACCCCCCACTTCACAAAATAGGAGAGCTACTCGTATTGATCTTCGAGTCACCAGCTTTGAGCCTATCGCGACTATCCCTTTTCTCTTACAATTCTCTTTTACCACAGCCCATGTTGTTGAAGAGCAAGACCACTCATCGAAGATGCGAGTCATATATCTGTTGACCTTTGTCTCTGCTTTTAAGTTGGCCTACTCGGCTACTGGGAAGGTCAATTCAAAGGGACTAGACTAGCGACAATCATGTATATACTAGCCTAAATACTGAAACGACTTATATATAGAGCTGAAAATGACCGTGGCCAGTTTTTAAGGCCTATTTTTCGATGCAATTATTGTCTTTATCTCAGCTAGATAACGGTATAATAGATAGGACGTAAGTATCTATCTCTGTATCTGTTGGCTTACTTAGATCTAATTAACGGTGATAATCAACAGAAGGTAAGCATACATCCTTTCTATATAATACTTGACTCTGTTTTAGCTAACTGTGGCAATCAACAGGGAGTGAGTATCTGTTCTTTTATGTGAAGATCAATTTATACCTAGCTATCAATGAAAAGAAATTACAAGTAAGGGTAACCTACTCCCTACGATTATTAACCTTCATCTGGCGAATAATAAGTCAGAGATTGTGAGTGTCTATAGCCGTCTAATCTACGTAACAATTGACTTTGTTTCGGATGCTGGTTCCTACAAGAAATTAAGAAAGCTGGTTGGGGGAGGATTAGAAGAAGCCTGGCCCTCTTCATACTTCGAGTCCACAGCCTGATATTTGGCAGACTTCTAGAGCTGAAACTGGGATGGGTACGGAATACCAGAATAATGACCAATTAACCAGTCAACAGAAGAAATGTAAACAAAATAACACTTCATGATTGGGCTTGAAGATTGAATTTATTTCTTTGTTATAATCTTGTCATCTGGACAAATACAGGGGTTTGAGCCTGTGATTAGCTATGTAGGCCTCAGCGACAAGTCTTATATCAAGTATAGCCGTTGGCGCCTAATCCTCATAGTCTACCTAACAAGGGAAGTAGGTCTATATTAGACCGTATCACAATAATATGCCCTCGATACAACTACCTCTTGAGGAGTTAATGGCAATGGAAGAGTTGGCTACTTCAAATCCGAGTAACCCAATCCCATTCTGAAACATTGATCCAGAAACGAGAAGACATTGTTATTTCTAATTCAAACCATCTATATTATCTCCAGTCTTCTCAAATAACCAAAATTGTTGTACTTGTGGGAACATTCGATTCTTGCAGATCACCGTGAATCCCGACCCAGCCCCAGACCCCATTCGGATTCGATTCTGGCTACTCGGCCTCAAGCCCGACCCCAATCCGCACTGAATAGGGGCGGTCCGGGGACAGATTTTCGGGGAAGATCCTGTCATTCTAGGCTAGCCCTCTCCCCACGTCTCATAAACAGGTATATTACTGATTATGGATGTACAGGTGACAGTTTGAGTGAACCAAGACAAGTTAGGCAAGGCACTAAATCTGCTCCAGACAGGAGCACTCAGTGCGCAAATGCCGCAGTTTCTGATACAACAACCACCTACAGATACAACCGTGTCTTTCTGCCGTCACCTACAGTTACTGCATACTAGGTAGGTACCGTACCTAGTCGGTGTTTCCGTACTCTGTCCATAGACACCTAGCTAATTAGTGACCCACCAATATGATGCAGGCCAAAAATAACATGGGACTATTGTAAAAGGGGGGGATCCCGACTCATCTATTCCAGATTTAGAGCAAAACTAGTATGAAGGAGAGCAAAAGAATGGAATAGAATGATGGAATGGAGAAAGTAGTAGAAGATGCAAAGAATATGGATGCCTGGAAAAGGGGGTGAATGTTTGTGGCTGAGTCTGTTAATGCTGGTGTGGCTGGTGCGGGGCAACCCTGTTGTTTGATTGGTTGATGAGGCGGTATTGCTGTGGCGCCAAGCGTTGCCTAAGGCAGGTGTGGGGTCTGTTTGTTGTTTCTGCAGCTTCCTAATAGTAGTGGGGCAGGTTATGGACATGTCATTCTACTTCTTGATTGAGAGGGTTCTGTGTATTGTGTGATTCTTCTTTACTTGATTTGAAGGTACACTTTGATATCATATAGTATGGTGTCATATGGTATTGTATATTATAGTATCGGGTAGCAGCATACCATAGAGTACAAAATGATATCGTGTCTTTAGGGCTGCCAGGATGAGACAGACTAAATTATGTCGCTGCCTGATGCATCTCCAGATAGTACTAACGCTGTGGAGCCGTCTCCTCTTCCTCAATAGTCCATACTCTTCGATATCATCCTGTCATCTGTACCCTTCCCAACATTCCCCCCTACCAATGGTTTCAGCTGTTAACCCATGTTGGGAGGGTCTGCATGCGAGAATGCCCCTCCCTCCATGAAGCTAGCCATGCGTAACATACGTGTACACATTATAGTCGTACCCCTCGATCACCAGACCTGACCACCCGGACATATATAAAGGTCGTAGCAGACACCTTTCCCCCGGTTTCCCAACAATACTACACTATACCACCCTCTCCCACCCTCACATACTCAATCAGAACAAAATGGCCCACTACGGCGAAGCCCCCTCCTACTACGCCGACCAGCGGCCTCCCTACAGCGAGCGCCCCTCCTACGGCGAGCACCCTCCCTATGGAGAGCGTCCTCCCTACGGAGACCGTCCTTCCTACGGCGGCGAACGCCCTGCCTACGACCGTCCCCCCTACGACCGCCCTCCCTACGAAGACCAGCGCCCCCCTACGCCGGAGGCGAGCGGTCCTACGGATCCCCCTCTCCCTACGGCGCGCCGCCGCCGTCCTCCGCACGCCCGCCCACCATGCCCCCTCCGCCTCTCCCCTACGGCTGGGTCCAGGAGTGGGAGCCCAGCACGCGCCGCGCCTTCTTCTTTGAGACTGCCTCCGGCCGCTCGCAGTGGGAAGCCCCCATCGCGGACTCGGAGTACGGCTCCCGCGATATGCCCCCGCCGGGTGGTGGTTACTACGGTGGTGCGCCGCACGGTGAGAGCGGGTATCCCCCTCATGGTGGGGAGGGGTATCCTCCTCAAGAGGGATACTCGGAGCACAAGGAGAAGAAGGACAAGGGGCTGAGTGATAATGCGAAGATGGCGATGATGGGAGTGGGTGGTTTGGCTGTTGGCGCTGGTGTCGGGGCGTTGGTGGCGCATGAACTTGGTATGTTCTTCCTTTCCCATTCGTTTTACTTTCGGGTCGGAAGACAGTCTAACATGGTGCAGGCGAAGAATCCAGCTCTGATGAGGAAGAGAAGAGGGAGGAGGAGAGAGAGGAGAGGGAGGAAGAGAGGGAAGAGGCGTACTCGGATCATGGGGAGTCTGATGATTGGTGATTTATATCGAGCGGACTTTAGATCATTTGGGTTTGTTTGGTGCTTGGGATTTAGCTTATTGTCTGGATGGAATACATTAAATTGATCTTTCTATTTACCTCCTATATTTGTCTTGGGATCTGGTCGATCGATACGGGTGGACCCGTGATGGAACTAGTTGATTATGATGTCATGATTGACTCGTATACACCCCACCTCGACACGATAAATAGACAGGATCAGCCTTCAACCTGATCAGAATTTGAATCGGTATGCAGTACATTATGATCCGCTACGTATGTCATATTCTATCAATTCCCTTCCTGGCTACAATGTTACTAAGTAATGAATAGACCATCGTGATCAATTACGACTCGCTGGACGCGTACAACGCGCATGGCAGCCAGATGGAGACATTGTACGTCGCTTGCCCCCATATGCCTTTCTGACAGTACCCAAGTGTCCCTTCTAACGGTAGATCAGCGTGAAAGCAGCGTTCGAGCAGAAGGGCGCCACGGAGCACACGCTGTTTATCTCGACGCGGAGCTTGCCGCCTATTCATACCACGTCGTGGGTTATCTCCCTTTTTTTCATTTCTGGATGGCAGATTCTAACTAATATAGATTTGTGGCCCCTGATACGGTGACCCTGGATGAGCTCAAGACAGTGCGACGTGTGTTTCCTGAGGGAGTCAATGTGGAGATCCATCAGGAGGCTTGATGCCTATACATAGTCATATACAGTATAACGGACGCGCCCATAACAATAATATAAATCAAGCAGTCTCCCCAACATTATAAACCAACTTCACCCCACTAACCCTCCCCGCCCTCATCTCCTCCAACCCCTCCAACACCCCCTCAACCCCCCCTCTCCAACCCTCATCGCATGCGGCACGACCTTCCCCTCAGCAAGCAACCCCTCTGCGAGCGCCCAAAACCGCCTCGAAAACGCCTGATCCTCCGCACTCGCCTCAAACACTCTATCCCCATAGCGAAACTCCTTCCCAACCGCCGTATACCCCATCGTAAACCGACTATTGACATTCGCTCGCTCAACCTTCACCGGCAACAGCGCACTGTACTCCCCGCCCTGCGACGACAGCGCCTTACCGCAGTATGCCGCGGTAGACTCTAGCGACACACAGTCCAGGCACAGGCGCAGCTTGTCGCCAGTAATCTCCCGAATTCGCTCTGCAGCGGACTCGTCCCGTGAGTTGAAGACCTCATCTGCGCCTAGCGCGCGCACTTTCTCGAAATGTTGCGGCGAGCATGTTGCTATCACGCGGTACCCGGATAGCTTCGCGAACTGGACCGCTAGCGCCCCCGTCGCTGTCGACGCCCCATAAATCAACACCGCCTCTTGCTCTGGCTTGGCTGGGGGGCTCCCAGGCAACACCATCCCCAAACTCTGATACAGCGCCTGTCCCACAGTAGTAACACCCACCCCCAGCGTCGCGGCCTCCTGAAACGACAAATTATCCGGAATCCGAGTTTGCGTGCCAACCGGCACGACGATATACTCCGCGAAAGCGCCGTCCTCAGGCTGTCCGGCGTTGCATCCGTGCGCGAATCCGCAGATGCGGTCTCCTTTTTTAAGATCTGTTGACGATGCGGCTGTTGGGCTGAGGGCTTCGACTGTGCCAGAGTAGTCGCACCCGACGAGGACCCCTGGTGGGGCGCGCGCTGTAACATGCTTCCAGTCTGTGGGGTTCAGGGCCACGCTGGCGGTTTTGACGAGGATGTAGCCGTCGCGGAGGGTGGGGAGGGGTTGGGTGGTTGTTAGGGTTGCTGTTTTGGTGGGGGTCACGATGAGGGCTTTTTGGGTGGGGGACATGGTTGCGGTGGATTTGGTTAACTGTGCTTGGGAGGGGGATTCGGGATGGGGATGATGGTTGTGTGTGGTAGTGGGTGTGTGGGGAGAAGGCCTTTATAGATCTGTATAGGCGGTTCTGGAGTAGATGGTGATGGATGATATATTCGATGACAAATGATCTCTAATCTCCGCGGTTTAATTCCGAGATAATAGTTAGTTAGTATATTCTGGAAGATTCATAATCTAGTGGTTTGGCGCTTGATTATAAATTACATCTCAGCCATGGCGTTTAGAGGGAAGGGATCGCTTCACTTGTCTATTTCTACTACTGCTTAGGGTTAGTTCGTTGTGATCGTTCGATCGCCAAGATCAGTTCGTTTTGTTGACTAGAATGGCCTTGACATCTGGTTTGTGGGAATGAGGGTGACATGTCTTTTGTAGAGAATTGACGATCGTGCTTGATTTTAAATACAATGGACATGTTTGCATCTTGACTGGAGTGGAATTTATCGATTAAGATAGCGTCAACTCACTTAAAACAGACAATCTCCCCATGAAGTACCCCAAACCACCCCTGTTCATCCACCACCCACTCCCTCCACCCACGCGCCATGCTCTCCAATTCCTGCGCAGTCGCCCACCCGCCCCCAAGCACCATAGTCGTAAACCCCGACGACTGCGTCCGCTCTGCCATCGTACCGCCCCAGTACTCGCGCTCCTCCGGCGTGCTAAAGCACCACGTCCCCGTCGACTTCTGGATCTTGTCCACCGGGAACCCAGCCTCCTGGGCCCACGTGTGAATGTACGACCCCGGGTTTGGGTGCCCTCCCTTCCCCTTGGCCATTCGCTCAGTCACTGCGTGCCATGTTTGGATCCCTTGATTTTCAGGATACCAGCTGAAAGTGGCGGACTCGCGCGCGGCGACGATGCCGCCGTTGGATTTGGCGACGCGGCGCATTTCCCGCAGGGCTTGAACCGGGTCTGCGATGTGTTGTAGGACCTGGTGCACGTGGACTAAGTCGAAACTGTTGTCGGGGAAGGCAAGTGAATGGATGTCCCCGACGCGGAAATCGATGTTCGTGACTCCTTCGCGAGAGGCGAGCGATCGCGCCTCGTCTAGAGGATCGGGGACGTACTCGATCCCTGTCACGTGGCCGTTGGGAACCCGGCGGGCGAGGTCGACGCTGATTGACCCGGGTCCGCATCCAATGTCGAGGATGGTCATGTCGGAGCGGAGGTGCGGGATTAAGTATGGCGTGGAGTTGGTGACGGTGCGCCAGCTGTGGGTTTGGAGGACTGGGGCAGCATGGTCTGTGGCGTAGACCGGTTCTGAGTGGAACATCTTGGATGAGTGTGAGAGGGTTGTGAAGAAAGTAATTTGGGTTTGGTGCAGTCCGTTGATCATCCCAAGCTCGACGATCTAGGGTTTATATGCGGCGGATGGTGGGGTCCCGCTCGGAGTCCCCGCTCGGAGTTCCGAGGTCAATCGGGGGCGAGAGTCGCATGACGACAGACTTCCTCACGACATCCTAAGTGTCCTGGTATCTTTGATCTCGTGTCAAGAGCCATATTAACTACTCTGTTAGCATCCGTGGAGGTGTGAACACACGCCGAAAATCATCATCCCATATTCATCCAGCGTTTGAGCCCAGCGTTCGATCCTTGCTCTCCGCTCGGTTGATCCCGTCTCCGCAGACCTCCACAGCTCAGATATCTCGAAGAACCCGTCCTCCCAGTCTAGTAGGTAACGATCGTATGACTTTTCCCACCCATCGCGACTGTGAGCACTCCAGAGTTCTTTGTCTTCCGGCGCGTACACTCCCCTCATCTCATCGGCGCCGAAATTGGGCAGTAGCCGGTCGGCGTTGTACACGCTATTGAAGAGGTACATGGCTAGGATGGTGCGTCGTTTCGCAGCCACCACGATCCAGGACTCCCACGACGGTCGCGTATGCGCGACCTCAGCCGTGCAGAAGAGGCCATTGCAGGCGGTGCGGGCTGCGAGCTCCATCAAAGTGATCATCGTCTTATCGTTGACAGCGGCAGAAGAGTTCCGTGGTGAGAAATACATCATGATCGAGTAGAGGAGGTACGCCTGGAAAGATGACAGCTGGTCGAAGTCGTGCGGACTAGGCGGCTGGGCATGGGTTAGAGAGCGTCGAACGTGGGGGGGGTGGTCGTGATACCTCTGTAGCCAACCGTTCCATCTCCCTCTCGACTGTGCTAATCACCATCGCCTCACTACCAGGCACCGCTTGCTCCCACAGCCGGACCAAACTATAGCAGTTAGCGAGCGACCGGGGCATCTCCCGGCCGGTTATCTGCGCCCAGTGTATAATCGGTGGAAGACCACTATCCTTCAACATGAACCGTGGGTAGGTAGCCAAGACTCGCGAGATATATTGTAGCGTGAACGGATGATAGACCTTGGGAAACTCCTCCTGCCCCAGGGGAGGGAGAATATACGGTCTCAGCCATCGGTCCCGGATATCTCCCGCATTTGCGCTCGGGACTAGACTGATGTCTACAAAGTTGAAGGAGTATGCAGACTGATCGGAACCACTTGTTCCCACGTGTCTGTGCGGTGGGATCGGAGAATGCCAGATGGAGCCGCTCGTACTGGGAGCTACAGGGATGGGCATCTCGGGGAGTGGATCAATCGACGGCGTACCCAACACCGATGCATCAGGATACGACTCACAAGTCGTATCTTCGATTGCGAAATGAGATGCCTTGGCACGACTCGAGTCGCTACCTCCGCTGAGAACAGGATACACGCACGCTCGACCCGATAACCGGCAGCGAGAACAGACCGGTCGGTCGAGGCTGCAGCGGACCTTGGATTTGGTGCAGCTTTGACATGCTTTTTTGCGTGGAGGCGCCCCCTGTCTCTTTCTGTGAGATTGTGGACTGAAGGACGGTTCTGGGCCCATTCCTGATGTAATAACAGTAGTTGCAAGAATGACGGTTCCGACCCGATCGGAATTCCGAGGCCGGCTCGGGTATGGAGTCCGGCCTCAGGCACCAAGGCATGCAGCATGGTGGTGGACGATCCTTCCGGTATGGACAATGTCGTGGCCAACTCCTTCCTCATTCTGTAAGTATAACCCGTTGAACTGTTGGGGAATATAGTAGATAACCAGTCCTTCCTAATCAGGGAGCTGGCTGTGTAGATGACTTAATCGTTTGTATGTACTGGGAGTCTTCTTGCTGTTGTTGACTTCCCATCCAGACATCCTCCCAACATCATTATATCATCATTCTGAACCCCCAATCTACCATGCTTATCCCAGCCCGTATCTATATACATGAAAAGCACTTCTACCCCGTAGGCAACACGCCTGCAGTGTGCTTGACCCATCCTCTCCCGCCGGAGCAAGATGCACACCTGCTACTTCTTGGCTGTGGGGACGCGCGCAACGTTCTGTTTACCATCTATGCGGATTTGTCGATCGGCAAGTAGCGTGTCGCGCAGTCAGAGGAGCACTCGAGCATCGTATAGCTGATTTATGGCCTAGCTAAGAGACGCAAACTCGACTTCACCTGTTGCGACCTTGAACCGGAGATCATAGGTGAGGCTGTCTCTCAGGTTTCAATCGGGAATCTCTCATTTGACCCTATGTAGCCCGCAATATTGTTCTATTCACACTGCTCATGGATGATGAGCAAAACAACAATCTTCAGAAAATATGGAACCTTTACTATCATCGTCTGGTCGACCAGGACAGTCTTGAGCTTCTCCGAGAACAGGCGTCTAAACTGAAGAAGTTGGCAGCCACGACTGACCTTTGGAGGAGAGGAGAATACGGCAGCATGCTTCGTTTCCTTGACTCTTACACGTTGACCCAGGTCTCTCAGCTGTGGGACTTTTACTCTCAAAGGCCACCTGATGGCTCTGCCTATGAGAATCAGCAAAATCTCCTCCACCAGGAATTTCAGGAGGCAGAACGAGTTCGATCTCAGATCGTCGGGAGCAATTCAATGCTAGGGGGCCTTCGCTCAACAGCACCGGTCTCTACAATTGCCCACGACGATTTGAGTACATCCTATCGACGGTACTGGACGTATGGAGTTGCAGACCCGAGCCAGGAAGCAAATGGTCTGGACAACAGCCTAAACCCCATGCTCGGGACGCCAAACGCGGCCTTAATCATACATCATGCAACAGATCCTGTTCTCGACTTCCACCTTGCTACCGGATATGCGCCTCTTTCTTCCAATTCTCCGCTGAAGCCGAACAAAGGCGAAGACGGGTCTTTCACTAACGCGTGCTACCAAACGGCGTTTGTCGAGTTCGCGGCCTATGCCAAAACATTCCGCTGTGCCAGACCGAGACTCACCATTCGATTTATCGCCTCAGATGCCCTGGCCCTTTGCCACACTCTGCAACATATGAACAATACGGGCAATAGTGAGGCACACTGGTATCGAAATTCACAAACATACGTGCCTCTCAATCTTGACTCCAATGATTTCAACCCCAGGAGCGATCATCCTGCCCCTCTATCCTTTGATGCAATTGATACATCTAATCTGGCTGACCACCTCGGATGTATCAATTTGCTAGCTGCAGCTGGTCCTCTCTTAAACCGAAAGCCTACCTCTACGCTATCAACCGAGCTTTTGGTTCGATGCGAGGGAGATCTTAATGACTATCTCAAGGATCTACTTCTGGGCGATCTGCCAACTGTTGCCCTCCTGTTCAACTTGACGCCAATACAGTACTGGACGGGAACCACTGCAACTTCGGTGTGGGACGAGAGACAGCTAAATATAGTCCTGCAGGATTCGCTGGGCGAATATAACACCCGCTGTCGCTATATCATCCAGTGGAAAAGCGCTCGACACTCATCCCAAGAGACCAATCTCCTCAATGATACAACTATACCTCTGCAGTTTGAGCAGCCTGGGCTCACCAATCTGTTATACCAATTGTACTTGCGGATGGTCGAGGATGAATCTTTGCCAGTCTTGGCCACATCGCGCAAAGAGCTGGCAAGTGGGCCTTCCGGATTCTACACAAGAGCGAGCTTTGTAGCGATACTAGGATTGATTCATAAATCAGACCTGGTCAATTGGTCCGTCTTCATCCGCGAGTTGTGCCTGCTAATCACTAGGCACCATTCGTCCAGGTCTATGTCTTCGTACACTTCTCCTCAGGAGATGTTTGTGTATTTGCACATGTGCGGGCTTCCCCTGCCATCGGACTATGAGCTGACACCCTACCGGCCGGTCAAGGGGATGCCCTGTCCCTTGCAAAACTGGAAGACTATTCCTCCTACACTTTGCATCACCATTGTGGTTCCACGGACACTACTTGGTTTCTTGAAAATGGCCAACCCAATGGATGGGAGCCCAATATTTCATGTGGTACTGAACGGTCCACAGACGAACGGTGATATAGTTTTTGCAGATATACAGCTAGGATTTGGTAAATTGACCTTCGCTGGAGTTAGAAATTCTGAAAGCTGCGTTTTGAGTGTCCAGCATGACGGGGAACCGTGGACTGGTATTGCGCCAATGATTGTCTCGGTGATTGTGCCCTCCTCGATCATACGACAAGATCGCAGTATGTCGACCAGAGTTACTCTTGGACTAAAACCTACCGTTCCCGTACAGCGCTTCATGGACGAGCTCGGACAGGGACTCGCTATCTGCCAGTCCAGCCTCAAAGACCCCAACGTGCTCGTAACGAAACATCGCCCGAATATGACTGGATATCAATCGATATCCGGAAATTCTGTTTCACCATGTGCACGACCAAAGGAGTTAAGCATGTACCAATCTACCGACAGTCAGACCCATGCCCGTGTTCATGTATCCCTGGATAAAGATTTGAAAGTCAAGTGTATCACTGTCCATGTTGATATCTACGCCGGGCCATTACAAGATAAGCTCCGCTCAAAGGTCGCAGTCAGCGTATTCCAAGATTCCATTTTCGGGGTGTCTATACGCTTCCAGGAAGGCCCATTGATCGAACAAGTGCAACTCCCATGTCCAGTTACAATGACCGGAAGCGAGACAAGGATCGAGCTGGAAGCATCCTACGTTGAATTCAGGGCTCCGGTAGCCACGCGGAGCGAGCTATCAAGCCGCCCTGACAACTTTTACTGGACAGGAATATACCAGCAGAGACCAATCATATACAATCCACATTACATATCCCTAGACCAACTACCCATACTTGATATCGAGGAGTCGGTAAAGCTCAAGTGGCTCATCAATGATCTCGCCGATATGTGGTCCGAGACGGAACGAGCGTTCCGCGAAAGAAACATGGCAACGAATCTACGTTCAAACTTCAAGAACACGCTCCTCAAATTGTTCGTGGATTTTGCTGGAGTCCAAGACACCAAGCACCACAAGCCATTCAGCCTGAGCGATCCCCAAAACGGGGGTCTCTTCGCCCTGATCTTCCCAGCAAACCTGCGACTCGATCTCCCCCACCAGACCGTAGTCCTCGACGTGGCCATCATCCCCCTGTCCAATAACAGCATCCACAAGATAACGTCACTACTCTCCACCATCGAGACTGTTAGATCTTCGGAAATAAAAATCGACGAGCGGGAGTCTCTCCTCTGGAAGCACACCCTCCCCGCAATGGTCGAGCGATGCCGCACATGGAAGCACAAGCGAGCCTGCGAGTATATCCGGGCCGAGAAGATGCCCCTCTCGCTCGAAACAGGCGACCGATACATCTGCTCCTGCGGGAAGGGGACATTCCCTGCGGGATTCTGGTCCAGGAACAAAGGAGACGAAGCGGACTTATGGAGACTTATGTCCAAGCACGCCATCCGCGCCGCCATCTCGCCGTGCTTCTCCGTGCCTTTCGTGGAGAGACAATACACCCTCCCACTGGCTAAGCCTGGCCCGGTCTCTCCTGCGCCAACAGACAACCCCCCCACAAAGCCCACAGGCCTAGACGGAAAGAGAGGCTTGTGCGCAATGTGCGGGAAGACTAGACAAGAAGCTGGGGGGTTGCGAGAATGCAATGGCTGCAGGGTCGCCGAGTACTGTTCTAGAGAATGCCATCTCGAGCACTGGAGAGGGGAGCATAAAGGGCTGTGTCGGCGTGTTGACCGCGCTGGGAGTTCCATGTAGTGTTGGTTATTGCGGAGGTTATTGATAGTGAGTTGGTGGTGTAGACTTGGGTCTGGGTAGAAGATATGGTGGTTTTGGGCGATGCAGTTATTACTATATACTATTTGATTGATGTTATTATTGTTAATGTTATTACTACTTTCATACTCATGTCTGTCCAATTCTCCCAATACCGTCGGCGTAGGTAGACACAGGGTTCATGGGGTTGTTTTTTTTAGCTACGTATATATGCGGGCTACTAGTGTTGCTGTGCTAGATAGTGGCAGTCCTCCCGACTGGCTGCGCCGCGGTGGCCGTGCCTGCGCGGGCACCAGTATGACGAGCGGGTCTGGTACGAGTAGAATCCATCCATTGGAATACATTACTATTTACAAGGAGTAGGCTGATTCGAACGGGCGATTTGTGCGCCGCATATCGATATACATACATATAGGTAGGTAGGTAGGTAGGTAGGGTAGGTAGCTCAATTAGGATCCACTAGGCTGGTCCCGGCGCTTCATAAGAGACACCCGATTTGGATAAAACCCTCGCCAAGCCCTGGTGAACCTCTACCTGGAAGGCCTCAAAAGGGTAGCGCTCGCCGTCGACGCTGAGGCAGCCGTCGCCGTCGCGCGGGGTGAGGCGGTAGGCGGTTGCTTTGCGCATTTGGACGTGCGGGAGGTGGAAGCATTTTGCCTGGGGGAGCTTGATGATTGCTTCGAGGGCTTTGGTCCAGCCGATGGAGGTGTCGATGGTCATGATGTCCATTAGGCCGTCTGAGGCGAGAGATGCGGGGAAGAAATTTGTGTCGCGCGAGACGACGGCCATGTTGCTGGCGTAGAAGCTGGCTAGGGTGTCGGCGGGGATGGTTTCCCAGGTTGGGGGGAGGGGGTCTTGGACGGTGCCGAATTTGAGGGGGAGGCCGGTGGGGGATGGAGGGTTGGAAGCGGGGGATGGGGTGAAGGGTTGGTTCTTTTTGTTGGCGTAGTGTTCTTGGATTTGGGAGTTGTCGTCGAGGACGACGTTGACGGCTAGGTCGCAGGGGTAGGAGGTGCGTTGGGCGAGGGTTGCGAAGACGCCGTAGAGGAAGCGGTGGTCGCCCATCCAGCGCAGATGCTCGGTCTTGAGGTCGCAGTCGGCGAGCACGCCGAGGCACTGGGATAGAAATGAGACGGTGTGGGTGTCTCCTTGGGTGATGGAGAGGAGGTCCATGGGCATTTCCAGCCCCTTGACGATCCCTAGAGCGGCGAGGGAGACGCTTCCGGTGTCGAAGAGGTTCCAGGCCATGGCATTGCCGGACCCGCAGGGGATCATGGCGACGGCGATGTTGGCGAGTGCGTCCTGCGCATCGGGCCGTTTTGCCAGGCCGTTGAAGGCTTCGTGCGGTAGACCATCGCCGGAGCAGCAAATTATGGCGTCGTAGGCATTGAGGTCAAGGGCCTCGCAGATGTCGGTGGCATGGCCTCGATATTCGGTTTTCCGCACGTCGACTTGACATTGCGCCGCAGCAAAGATTGGGTCTGCCTGTGTCTTGTACCGGTGATATGCGTTGTCGCAGAAGGAGTTGATGATGACTTTCAGTCGCTTGTGTCGTTGGGCTCGGCCATAGGCCCACTCTAGCACCTTATCGGCCCAAGGTGCCGCTGTCTCCTGTTCCTTTTCGGCGAGGGGATATTGGAGGGCGTTGACAGTCGCATCGTCATCGGTGGATTCCACGAAGGTAATTGTTAACCCGCCAGGGGCAACGAAGGTATTGAGAAGGTTGTACGAGGGGATGGAGTAGTGAGGGGCGACATCTGGTGGGAGTCAATTGCCATGCTTGTGGTGGAATATTGTCCATAGCATAGAATACAAGTCGTACCTGAGCCGGACAGCAATCCACAACACGAACGCTGAGTTTTTCTCCGCGACGGACGATCATCTACGGTGTCACGCCACGTTAGCTACTAGCTTTTTTGAAACGGAGCATCAATACATACCAACAATCGAGAGGGTATCATCTTGGATGGAAAGACGCACAGACTGCGCAAGCGTCAAGCTGCGGGGGGAGGAATGCATGAGGGGCACAATGGCAGCCAAAATGACAGCCAATGGGATGGGAAAAGAGCGAAGGAATCAGAAAACGGGCCCCCTTGAGGTAGTCAAGGAGAGTCGTCGGAGATCAGGATAGACGCGACAGCGAGAGCTAATCAGGGGACGGAATAATAGAAGAGACGTCACTGGTTTGGGGAGAGGAGAACGGATCCACTTGGTATGCACCGAAGATCTAGACCGTGCTGGGTGCTGGGCTCACTCCGTGGTGCTGAGCCCGGGATACGGCGGAGCTTGACGATCAACCGCAACGAACACTGAGCATATGAAGCAGGAGAACGGCAGGATAAAGATGAGGCCGATTGAAAGGACATTGGAGGTTGAAAGGATGAAGGAAAAGTGACCGATTGGAGATACTCGGTTCACCAGATGACGTCTCACCGCCTGGCATATTTATTATACTTGTTTCACCCACCCATGACTAATTATGCAGTGGATATAGATATAGATGTGCATTATCTGTATAGCCACATTAGATGTCAGAACAGACAATACAGTAGACCCTGACCATCATACCAAGGAGACAGTTCACTCCTCTGCAATAGCAACAACACTCATCCCACCCTTCACCTCCCTCGCAGTATCAACAAAGTCTCCCACCGTCAAGCGCAAGCCCTCCTCACTCAACAGATCACCCCCATCCCTCGGCAACACACCCCGTAGAAAAGGCCCATTCAACCCCCCATTCAGCTCCCAAACGTGCCCATCACCAGTCCGCACGAATCCCACAAAATGCGCCGTGTACTCCTCTGCAGGCGGGATATGCGACACGCCGCGCTGCGCAGCGGCCATGTGAGCGTCCTCCAGGAACTGCGAGTCGTAGAGGAGCTGGGCTCTTTCCGCGGGAGGGAGGTCGACTGCGCGGTTGAGAAATGTATCGAGGTTAGACTCTGGGGCAATGTAGCCGCCGGGTCGTTGGTTGTCTTTGGTAGGGAGGTTGAGAACGCAGTGGAGGAGGGCCATGAGGCCGCAGGCGTTGCCGATTGTTTGGCGGGCCCAAAAGATGGGTTCGGTGGGACCGTGGCTTGTGTAGGTGGGAATTGTTGGGGTGATCGATTCGCGGGCGGCTTTGTAGATGGGGGGCTCGACACAGAGGATGAGGGCGTTGATGGGGCGGGGGATTAGGGCGAGGAGGTCGGGGTCCGTGGTTGAGAGGACGTCGTGGAAGGTGAGGGTGGGGGAGATCGCGAGGGATTGGCAAAGGGGGGTGAAGATCTCGGGGTTGTTTTCTGTTTTTTTTTTTTTTTCTATCAGTATGGGGGGTGAGGGGGTGAGGTTGAATGTAGGTGTTACCGAGTGGAATGAACGTTTTGCGACCGTTGATGTACTCCACTCCGGGTGTAGACATGATGGCAATGGTTTGATAGCAATGCCTAGATAGATGGAGTAGAGAAAAAGATGCAATGAAGTTTTGAAAGTATAAATACACTGCATACATCAGGCTACCAGGCACCCCCGCGTCGTCAGCATGACAGCAACAACGCCAAGAGATGCACCAACCACAGTCAACTCAATATCCAGCTTCATCATTCCAATACAGCGTATCATGCTCGACCTCCGGCCCCGACGCCGCAAATTCCCACCCAAGCCGCAACTTCACAAACTGCATCAGATGGCTCGCGATCTTGATATGCCCCACGTCCGTTGGGTGATCCTTCGGATTCACGTCATTGTGGTGTAGGATCCCTGTTGTATCGAAGTAGTGCACGAACCCGCTTTCTCGGAAGCGCTCGAATACTCGTTTCAAGGCGCGCACGTACAGCGGTACCTGGACGTAGGTGTCTTTTTTGGAGTCGAAGGTGCCCCAGAGTGACTGCGCCATTGAATAGTACACATCAGCAACGCAAAGAACGGCATGCAAGGGACAGAAGGGCGAGAAAATGAAGAGAGAAAGAGAGAAAGAAAGAGAGAAAGAGAGGATATACCATGATAATTATATTCGCCTGCGGCCACGCCTCATGGACCTCTTCAATCAACTTCACATAGCTATCGTAAAAGTCTTCCGGCGCGACCTCATTGCCCTTGCGGTGATCGTTTGTTCCCAAGTTGATGACGACGAGATCGGCGGCGCGATGGTCGCTCACGTTCCACTTTTCGGGGCTCGTGCCGTACACTTTTTTGGCGCGGGCACCGCAGTCAGAGGCTTGGTTCCACTGGTATGTCTTCATTGACTCTGAGTATTTGCATGCCTTCAATTTGAAGAGGGGGGCGTACCATTCCGCGGGCATTGTCATAGCATTCTTTGTCTTGGAGGCAGATCCCCGGGTATGCCTATCATATCCATCATTCATGAGATTGACTGTTACAGTCATTGGTCGTGTGTTGGACAGAGGGATGTACCGTGATGGAGTATTCGACGTTTCCTAGTCCCGCGGCGAAGGCAAATGCCCACGAAGAGAGGCCTTCATAGGTGCCGTACTGTCCCGATGCCAGTCTACATGTAGATACCATCCCCTGTCGTTAAACTCATGCTTGATCAGATAAATGGTCGTGTAGGGGGGGTACGCACGAATCGCCAATGATCTCCACGTTCTTTCCGAACTCAGGGGATTTGCGCAATTGAGCGTCGACGCCGACGGAGACATTGTTTAGTTGGACTGTGCATCGCGGTAAGCGTGGTTTTATGAGTGTATGCTTGAGGTGACTTATCCGTAGGCCCAGTTGGTGACTATCCTCCGCGTCAGTAATCATTGTTGGTGGGGAGATATGTAATACCTACCCCGAAGCTCAAACGTAGTCTGTTCAGCTGCGACGCCAGTCTCTGGCCCCACGAACTGGTGGACCGAGTCGGCCGTTACGTTGGAGAACTCCCAGTCCAGACCGGCGATGCTGTTCCTTTACGTTTAGCACCGTTATCCTGCAGTGTAGTCATCAGCATGGAGAAGGACCATACCGATACGCCACAAGCACACCCTCAGACGTCTGAGGACCGAACCCAAGCGCGACCTGATTTCCCGTAAAATCGAATTTAGCCCCGGGGGCACTGTTCCATCAGTTTTTTCCTCTCCTATCCAGAAGAGATTTGCAGAATCAAAGAACGCACGACCACCCTAGTCACCTGTCAGAGCCCGAAACTAAGAGAAACCCGAAAAGCCAGTCATACATGAAATATGTTTACTATCCCACCGTCCCTTATACCCAATCTCCACCGCGTCCGCCGCGTACGTCCTCCACGATTCGTCGAGCGCAATCGCGGGCGTCTGTCCCGGGTAGGGATTTTCGCGCAGCTGTCCATTTTGGATGATACTCGCCGAGGCGAAGCCCAGCAGCGTCGCGAAGAGGGACGCGACTTGCATTGTGGATTGTGGGATGTCTGCCTCGGTGGAGGGTGTTTTCAAGGGCGATTGTTATGGTGGGAAGGAAGGACGAAGAAGTCTGTCCGGACTAACTCCCTTTGTTGGAGCAAGCTAGCTCTAGACCTTCATTCTCTTTTTTGTCTGTTTTTTTTGGTTCGTTCAGCTGCAAGGTATCAGAATCAAGTCATTGGGAACCTTCTATTGGAATTTGAGGTGGATCTTGGGCTTTTTTGGTAGGGATCGGCGCTCATTGCGCAGATCGATCGCGGCAAGGGGAAAATCGATCTGGTTTGGTTCGTGACTTTTGGTAAGGGGATGTATACATATGTCGCTTTTTTGTCCAGGGGTTGATTGTCTGTTTGGGTCAGGAATGTGGGGATTGGAATTCGGATAGAAGCTGTGGAAGCTGGGTTGGGTGGTTTGGTCGGAATGATATCTGAAGTGGCTTGCATACAATAATATAAAGAGTATATATATCTATTCGATATCAAGTACTTCCACCCACTGTACACGTTTGGTCATTCTACAACACAGGGTATATTACTGACATTGACTGTACAGCAATCCATACAATATTGCCTTCATCCAACTACTAGAGACTGGAAATTAATCTCAACTAGAACGTAATATAATGAGGATCAATACTACCATATAATATTTGCGGAGGAATAGTGTGCAACCAGCCAAAGCCCAGCTACTCTGCACAGCTTTCATTCAAGTTTAATCCTCCATAATCTTGCAATCTTCCATATTTTGACAAAAACATTACAACCATTACTAGCTGACCGTTTCCATCGGCACTGTCCTACAATATACAACTAGCCGTCTACTGCTTAGCGTAGGGCCCTAATCATAGGAAAGAGTCGCAGGATCATATCCAGCTGCCCTCACGAACTCAGCCACATTGAAGGAATGGTCTCTTATAAGCACTACTACCGTCATCTACCGCCTCGCTGCCTTAAATGCAGGTCGAAGGATATGGTTCTTAGACTACGTGATATCACGTCAGCTTATCATGACTGTTGGGAAGTGATTTACTGGATGTGTATCCTGTATACTTGAGAGTTGCCTTACAAGGCTGTATTCTATGTGGATTTCATAGCACTGGCGTGTGCTTAATATCTTACGGGAGGTCTCTGAGTCACACTTCTGCTATTAAGGGGGAAGGGAAAAAGGCGTGATTCTAGAGGATATGGTAGAATGTCATGACTGTTGAATGAATATACCACATAATGTACTCCGTAGAGGGCCATCACTTCTTATTATTGTACATCGCATTGTTCAAACATTTACCAAGTATAGAAATCAAGGCATAGGCAGTGCGATATATTATAAATACCAATACAACTAAACTATTCGAGCTCATCGAGAAAAACCCCCGACCGGAACAGTACACGATAAGAATCGAATATACAGAGCAAAGCCCAATGCGAAATTCCCTTTTCCAATTGTCTTACATCGTAGCCTGGTCTTCGACCTCGTCACCCGTCGTAGGATCCTAAGCATCCGAGCCCGCGAGCTCACCACACACTTAGATAGCGATGGCGATGGCAGCGGCGACGGCGGCACCACCGAAGGAGAAGCCGGCGCGGCTGGCAGCGCCGGTGAAGACGGGGGGAGCGGCCGAGCCGGTGGGGGCGGGCACGCCGGAGGAGGAAGCAGTCGGGGCGGCAGTGGGGCCGGGGATGACGGGGGCGGAGGTGGTGCTGCCGCCGTTGCCACCGGTGGGCTCGGGCTTGTCGTCACCGCCGTTGCCGCCGGTGGGCTCGGGCTTCTCGGTGGGCTCGGGCTTGTCGCCGCCGCCGTTGCCGCCGTCCTTGGCGTCCTTGTAGGCGTCCACACCCTTCTGGAGGGCCTTGGTGATGCCGGCGGAGAGCTCGTCGGCGATGTCGCTCAGGGCCTCGGGGACCTTGGCGGAGAGGGCCTCGGCGAGGCCCTTGGCGGCGTCGAACTGCTCGGACAGGGCGGCCTTGATCTCACCGGCGGCGCCGGCGGCCTCGAACTTGGACTTCTTGCTGATGAGGTTGTCGACGGCGGTCTCGATCTTGTCGGTCAGGTCCTGGATGGGGGAGGTCAGGCCCAGGGCGTCGCTGCTGGTCAGGTCGTCGCCGGCCTTGACGGTCTCGGTGCCCTTGGTGGTCACGGAGATGAGCTCCTCCGAGGCGGACTGGACCTTGGAGGCGTCGCCGCCGTTGTAGCTGGAGATGGCCGAGTCGAGGGCCTCGGTCTTGGCGGAGATGTCCTTGATCAGGCTTTGGACTTCCTTGCCGTCACGCTGGACGAGGGAAGGGGTGGCGATGGCCGAGGTGGCCAGGCCCAGGGTGAAGAGGGCAGTGAACTTCATGGTGACTTGATGTGTTGTAAAACGACGGTGGTTGGATTATTAAGTATATATATAAAAAAAAACAATGGAAAGATGGGAATAAACGAATGCCCGAGTGATCTGTCAAACGAATGGATCGACTTCTGCTACACCGGTGGAAGATCTGGAGAGAGCCGCTTTATATACACATCTTGCCCCCTACCTCACATGCTGGATCGTCCATGACCGAGGCCAGACTAGGGGCGCATGCGGGTTATTCTTAGCAATTCATTTTAAATATTTTAAATATTTTAAATTGGTTAAAATTGGCGGCAGGAGCCTGACCATGGGGGGGTCTGGTTGGGTTTAGTGAATCGAGATGATCTGACTGGATGTCTGGGCAGACCAAGAAACAAGCGGGTTTGTTCTGGCCCCCATTGTCGAGCCATAATCCCCGAGGGTATACAGAGCCCATCGGCCGACTTGCTTGCCACCGGATAGATTGAGGAAATACCGGAGTAATTACAATTGAATTCGATGGACTGGCCCAGGAAGGATTAGCGCTGCAACCCCAAGCCCTAATCCCGGCCCGCCCCCGGATTCTCATAGGTTCCTGCGTGGGGATGGCGCTGCCCAGATTTTAGTGTCTTCGCCTGCGTCCTTGGTCTGAGACAAAGGAATTCCCACGAGATTACCTCTGAGCGTTTACCCCGCAGCTTTGCAATTTCCAGTTTCCAACAGACCAACGTTGTCCAAAAAGTCCCCACCAGCCTATGACCGGTGACCCAATCGCCTCGCGCCCCCTAACATCCGGTCGCTTCTGCTCCACGCGTATTCCCCCAGGATCGGAAGATACGGACCATCGTGAGATTCTGGGTAGTCCCCATTGGGCAATGGTTCCGACGATTGTCGAGCGCAGCCTCTTCTTCTGTGGAGGAGACGTATACCCAGCGATCATCGGCCTGGTCCTTCATTTCGGTTCTCCTGTTTCTTCTTTTTCTTCCAGCTTCTTTTCTTTTGCTCTTCTTTCATTTTCCCGAGCGATGTTCCCTCGTAGGACACCCCCCCTGTCCCGTCCATACTAGACATCTTCCAAGGGTTGAAGCCCACCCACGGCGACCTCGGACAGAATCCAGCATCCTTGCCAAGCCCCCCCGGCAGTCCAACGACTGGATTCGCCCACAGGATGCAGAGTAATTTCCGCACGCCCAAAGACCAAGAAATGCGCAAGAGTGGTGGCGTTTGTCTAGGCTGGATCGCGTTAGAGACTGACGTGTGCCCGGCGTACCTGATGGTCCTTGGCCACAGCTGTTTCTGCTCTCTGGGGCCAGGATGTGGGTTGCTGACCGCATGAGAGCGGTCGTTCTCCGAGATCCTAGGTAGGGAGAGGTATGAAGTAATGAGAGGGCGGGAGGTGGGCAGACCTTCCGGTTGGACGCCAAGTGAGCTATACCTGGTTTTTTTTCGAGGCCAGAATGAGGTGATCGGGTGGTCTAGTGATGTAAGAAGGTTGTAGCTAATTTTTTGTGGCTGGGTGAGGTTCCACGACGGAATTGCTTGGTGTTCCCATTGCGTGTAAGACAAGGCGAGGCGCAGAGCAGAACAAAGAACAGACCCCTATAGACCCCGGAATTTCCCACCAGACGGTTCATTCTCAGGCACGTGTAAGGGCCGTTGTTCCTCATGGGTTCAGTCGCACAAAGAATGTGCTTTGCATCTGATTGAGCCACCCGAGGCTGTTGCAGTGGTCGGGGTTTTTCTTTTGGCTTTCTGACAGGTCATCTGTGCTGTGACTGGTGCTGTGCTGATGGTCGCTCATATGCAGAACGAGAATGGAATGCAGATGGACGAGAGTGGATGGGTGACCTGCAACATTGCTGACTGGTGCTCAGATCTCTAGATGGAAGTCGATGGTTCTATCGTACCTGTTGCTAGCTCGCCATCCTACTTTCGAGATTCCTTTCTAGGTTCTGACATACTGAGTATTTCCAGGTTGTTCTCCAAGACCGTGTTCCATAGTCTAATTCGACTCAGGGGATGATGTCTTCGGCCTTGTCTGAACAAACGTTACCCAAGTCATCCAACGAGCCTGGATCAAACACTACGACTTGTCAAAACCAACACCAGAATCTTAGATTCTTGCAAAGAATATAAAAAAGATAGAGAGAACATCGAGATGAAAAGAAAAGAAATCCCAAACACCACCAACATGCAGTCAAGCCCCCATGAGCCCCAGCCAACTGGTCAACAGTCAACCTTACCCATTCAAACGTCATACTTAGCAGGACCTCTCCTACAAAAGAACACAAAGAAGTTCAAACCATCATCCTATAAATCTAAGTACACGCAACAAAGTCATTCCCACTAGCACCAGTATGCGTGATCAGGCCCGCCAACTTATTATTCTCATTGAACACAACACGGTCCGCACCAGGCGAACCACCATCGTAGACCTCGCCGGAGCTCAGGATCGGGAACTCGTAGTAAGTGGGTTCAACGGGAAAGTCAAAGTCCTCGTAGTTGTTGTACTTGTGCGGGTAGTCGTTGTCGCCGATCGCCTCGCCCTGCTCGTGCAGGTCGAAGCCGGCCTTTTGCGCGTCGGCGACAGCGGCCTCGTTGTAGCAGGCTTTGCCGCAGGTGTAGTCGCAGGCTTTGGAGGTGGGGTGGGCGCTGCTGAGGGCGATGAGGGGGAGGAGGACGGGGAGGATCTGTATTATAATGAGTATATTATTATTGACTGTGTTTCGGTGGGGGGATGGATGTGAATAGCGAGTGGTAGAGGGGGGAGGGAAAGGACGCGTACATTGTTGAGCAACATGTTGTCTGTTCTTTTCTTTTCTGTACTGGTATAGATGGAGTACTTGTATAGATATTCTCGCCGACTTCTACAACCAGCGATGATTCCACCAGGACACCACCTCCTTATATACTCCCCCCCCTTACCTCCAAGCATTTCCACCAACCCCGCCATCACAATCCCTAACATATCATATCACGCACGACATCTTCCCTCCCAAGTCACACTACATCGTATCGTATCACCACCCTATCCCATCCCATCCTATCCTGCCCATGCTCAACCTGCAACACCCAAACCCACCGAGTAGGGTTACATCAGACGCCCCCCTGCAGCAGAACAGCAGACAGCCCTGAGCAACCGTCGATCCCATCCAAGCACCCACCTGACTGGTCGATACCACGGCCCACGGAGCAACCTTGTATCGCGATCCACCAATAGACCTCTATTCACGAGTGTCGTGGCTGGAGACTTCACTCTGGGCGTATTTGGCACGCGGGGACGTCCATCGGTGGAGCGGGCTTGGCTTGGATTTACTATGAGGTATCTGCTTAGATAGGAAAACGCTGGTTGTCACTGGTCGGGAGGGGAGGTGTGAGGGGAATGCTATAATCTAATCTACTCGGCACTCGGGGATACCCCCGTCGGGGATCCGCTCTGCCCGTCGGGTGGGTTATCTGGGCGGTTATGTGCAGATACTGTTTGGTGAGTGCGACGTGACCGATACCGAGGGATGTGGAACATATACATGAACTCTGTACAATTTTCATGATATGATATGATATGATATAATATATTGTATATACGCATGTGGTCGTATCAGATAGGAAACACTCCCCCTCATCCAACAAAAACCTTCAACAGTCGTTTCTTTAGCGTCGTAGACTGTCCACCGCCGGCGTCTTCCTCGCGCGCTTCCATCACCCGTCGCCCCGTCCAGATGTCCATCTCCTTGAGGTTCACCAGCTTCGTGCGGTGCCAGAACTTGTACCCCAGCACGAAGAGCGCAAACACCGGTAGCATGATGTAGTTGATGATGAAGTCGTTTACGCTAAACGGCGTCAGGAACGCCGTGTAGCCCTGGAAGAAGACGAGGAACACGGTGGCCGCCAGCGCCAGGTACGTGCCGTAGGGGTAGAAGGTCGCGCGGAAGGGTAGGCGCGCGGGGTCGTCGCCTTGTGCGACTAGCGCTTGGCGGAAGCGGATGTGCGAGATGCAGATGACGGACCAGACGATGAAGGTTGCCACTGTGTTTTGTTTATGTTAGTTGGGTGGGTTCAAAGGGTAAGGGTCAAGTATTGGGAAAGGGTGCATACCGCCAGATAGCGTGATCAGGGCGTTATAGATACGGCCTGCGCTGGAGGACATCGTGAGGAAGACGATGCAGGTAAAGACGTTGGTCCAGATGAGCGCCACCCAGGGGACACCGTGCTTGTTGGTGCGTCCGAGGAACCGGGGCGCCTTGCCGTTGCGCGCCATGAACAGCATCGTGCGCGAGCCGACGTAGAGCGAGCCGTTGCCGGCGGAGATGACGCTGATGACGATGAGGGCGTTGATCAGGTGCGCGGCCGGGAGGATGCCAGCATCCTCGAGGGCGAGGGTTAAGGGTGAGTTCGCCGTGCTGGAGTCGGAACCGAGGAGGCGGTCGTCGTCGAATGGCAGGAGGATGCCGATGAAAAACATGGTTCCTGGCTGGATTAGCTTCGCCCCTGTATCTCCAGTACGTTGAATGATGCTCACCGATGTAGAAAATCAGAATGCGCCAAAACACCTGGCGGATGGCCGTGGGGACGGCTTTCTGAGGGTTGCTCGACTCGCCGGCGGTGACACCGACCCTGGTTTTGTTAGCACTATTCGAGGTTGAGAGTCGTGAGCAGTCGACATACATTTCTGTCCCTGCGTACAGTGTGCCCGCAACAACGAATGTCTTGGCAACTCCATTGATGGAATCCGCGAATGGGCCGGGATCACTCCAGTACTTGAAGCCGATAGGACCGGGCCCGACACCACCCGCGCTGATACAAATGGCTAGAATGAAGAAGGCGATCAGGGCCAACACCTTGATTCTAGTGAAGTTAGTACACAGTATGTCAACGAAGCGCGAGGTGCTTACAAGGACAGCCAGAACTCCATCTCTCCGTACGCCAATACCCCCAGATTCGACAGGAACAAGAAGAGGAACCAGAAGATCAAGATCCAGCCCCATTGGGGGACTGTTTCTGTCCAATAGCCGATAACCAAAGAGATGGCATTATACTCGTTTGCCAGAATCTATTCCATGGTCAGTATAAGCGGGAAGACCCAAAACACAAGAGACGTACCGTCACCCAGAGGTACCAATACGCCCAACCCAGCCCGAAAGCCAGCGAGTCATCGATGAAGCGCTGCGCATACTCGGTAAACGACCCCGTCACCGGGATGGCCGTCGCCATCTCACCCAGCGATTGCCTGACCAGTCAGTACTATGATCTTGTCTTGCAATAACCACGAGAGAACTCACATGACAAAGTAAACGATAATCCCGACCAACGAAAAGCTGATTAACACTCCCGCCGGTCCACCCTCACTGAAGGCATTGCCCGAGCCGACCAGCAATCCCGGACCGATAATCCCTAGATGCCAAGGGTCAATTAGACCGACAAATCCCGATTGATATTTGAGTGGCATAAAATAAGCACATACCTCCAATCGCGATCATCTGCAAGTGCCGCGACTTCAGTTTCCTCTGTAACGGTTCGGAAAAGGCGTCAACGGGGGCGCTGTCCGCCTCCATTGGGACGGTTTCTTCATCCTGCACGGTCGCAGACGGCTTGCGGTAGTTGAAGCCATCCTGGTCGAACTTCGACGTCATTCTCAGAATCGCGAATACTCGAAGGAAGAGAGTTGGTTGTCGCAAGTCAAATGTCGAAGCGACATGTCCGTGGAATAGAATTCCATCGCGACAGGAGGCGGGAATTTTTTAATTTTTTAATTTCGTTCTTTTTTTTTTTTCAAAGCGAGATCCGTGGGCGGGGAGTGGAAGACCTCGTCCTGAAAGTCGGAGCACACAGAGACCGTTCATTTGCTGACGATGTCGTGATAAGAGCTGAAGATGGCGGAGATCGTCAGTCCACTATCGCGATAAGTAAGGGATTTCTGGATGAGGAATCCGATCCGACTGATGGCGTCGGCGGGGTTCAAGGCGCGGGATTGGACTGATTGTTTCTGGTATCTTTGGATTCTTCATTGTGTTATCTTCCATCGTGTCTATCTCCAGAAGGATCGCGAGAAGAAATAGAGTAGAATAGACTTCAAGACCAAGACGGGATCCCGTGTTGACGCACGCCTCACCTGGACCCACCCGATATTTTGAAGTGCCGTGGAACTTCCCTGTCAATCTTGCCTCCTCTCAACCTCGCGCCAACCCACTATCTTCCCTTTATAGGTCAAAGCTAATGCCATCGGTCCACAAACCGAATTACCTTCCCCGCCGTGGCACTGGTTTCAAACTCCGCAAGCCCCTTCACAAAGACAATCCGCACCAAATGCTCATTCTCTGGCAACACGCCCCAAAATCCCCTCAGTCGATCGACCAGGTCCTCTTCGGTGAGAATCCCCACACGGGGGGGGGGGGGGGTCCGCGGAGGACACGTACCTCCAGCGTCGCCACGGGAGAGTCCTCGTCCGCCCCACCGAGGATGACCTGCCACTGTAGGATTCCACACTCGGGGGCTTCAAAGACGGCCTCGACCTTGTCGAAGTCGAAGTACATCGCGTCCCACTTGAAACTGAACCGGCGGTCGCGACCGTGCAGGCGCAGCACGCGCAGGTGCTTCCGCTCGCTGGCGGGGATCAGCGTCGCGGCGTGATCGGGAACCGTGTGCAGGGAGCCGATGTCGCCTGTGACGTAGCGGAGGAGTGGGTTGCGGAGCCGCTGGAGGGAGGTCTGCACTATGAGGCCCGTTGCCCCGTCGGGGAGGGAGACGGCGCCGTCGCTACTACAGTTTCCCGTGGAGGCGGCAGAGCGAGGCAAAATCTCAATGTGGATGTCGCGTGTGTCGATGAGGAAGTTGGTGGCAGCGCCGTCGGAACTCTGTTCCCCTGTGATGCCAAGGTTGCTGATTGCCCATGGCCCGGCCTCGGCGTTACCCATGACGGAGTGGATTTTGATGGCGTCCCCGAGTGTGCTCTTGATTAGGTCCCGCTGTGCGCGCGTGAGCGGCTCTGAGGTGTAAATAATCTTGGAGAGGCTGATGCGTGCACGCTCGGCCTGGGGCAGGCTGGTAATGTGGCAGACTACCTGGATGATCCTACTGCCGTCGCTAGTCAGCATATTGATGTGGTAGTCGCCCAGAGCCTTGGTGACCTCTGCGGGCGGCATGGTGCTCCCGGCGCTGAGGATCGTGGCGCCGGCATTTTCCATGATCTCGGTCATGAGATCGAGAGATCTATGCTCAGTCAGTCCGGTTGTTGCCGCGTGGGATGGCGTCTCCTATCTGTAGAACCACCCTGAAAAGTGGATGGAGAGGACGAAATCGCCCGGTTCAACTACACGACATAGTCGAAGGAACTGTCCCATCTGGGCTCGCTGTCGTTGATTCTCGGGCATGTCCATGGCGAATATCATGGGGACCCCGCCTGATCCTCTGCCCGTGATACTAACGTAGGAGCCGTGGCGGTATGTATTTTGCGGAGTGACATCGTGCGTGAGTCGCTTAATCGTCTTGTATCTGCCTTAATAAGTCTCGCGGATCTAGGGGAAAGATTGTCTAGGGCCGTACAAGGCTTTCTTATGCAGCAGTGGCTGTTTGTGGAGATTCACATCCGTCGCCCCAATTGTACGGAGTCTGGCTTGTTGAATAGCCTCTGTATCCGGCGGATACTGAACCTTTTCATTATAGAAAGGGTGGATTTGCGCGACAGCGAGCACTTCGGCAAGTGTGTATCTGTCCGACATTGCCCGAGTCAATGAAGATACGAGGAAACTACAGCAGAGGGCACGCGCAGTTGGATCTTTGATGAATGACTGGTAATGAAGACGAGGTAGGTGCAGGGTTTACTAGAGGAAAAGTGGTGACAATCTCATCGAACGTTGGAGAACTGATTTGTATATCTCGGCCGGTCAAATACAGACGACCATTTTCTAGTTCGATTTTTCTTCGTTTCGTTTCGATGTCGTTTTTGTTATTTTCGACTATTGCGATAGTCAAGGCCTCGTGAAGCTGAGCCAGTTGCTCCTGGTGCTGCTTCGACACGAGAACAGCTCGCGGGCAGGATTTTTCGTGAGACCCTTTGAACCAGAGGTGGGACGGGCAAATCTGTAGTAGACGAGTCTGCAGCGCCTTGTGCTCCTGTTCGTAGATAGAAGAATTGGCGTGATACGATTCCAGGGGCTCGTAGCCATTGGGGCCAATGCCTATGTGGACTTGTTGGAGTGCGGGATACTTCATGTTGGTGGAGTGGAGGGCTAGATAATGATGCTGTGGTTGTTGATTTGATGATTAAAAGACAGTGACGTCCTTTATTCAGCGTATTTATTTTCAATTGCCCTTATCCCTGTCGTCCAGTATCATGCATGAGACGGCATCTCGTCAAATTGGAGGTCGTAGGGTGCCGATGCTCACTACCTTGAATACCACATTAAGCTGCGGCTGAGAAATTATCAAATGTGATCTCACTATGGTTTGTACTTACATACCTGGTGACCCAAGTCCGCTCAAGCACGCTTGTATATGAATATAGTTCGGTGGTGGTCGTAGGACCATCCATATTTTTTGGATCGGCATTTCCGATAGACCGAGCATGCAAAGACAGACCCACCTTGTTTATATTGGCTTTGAGAACTTCAGCTGAGCTAACAGTCAGCATGCAGTCATTGTGAATAGCCATTCAGCTACTGTAGCTGAGCGTCTTTTCCCGCAAGTGTGAGTCAATTGACTTTACTGCGAGCGATGCCAGCGTCTCTTCCCGGCTTAGTCCCCTGCAGGACTTTACACCAAGGTCATCGGGAAAGAACCGCCCGCATTAATCCGACCACGCAGACAAAGAGACTGCCGATTATTCCCGTTTGAAGCCCAATGCACGACATAGCAGCCATGCCGTTCACCCAAGTAAAGCCAGATCCAATACCACGTCGATAGTGGGGATCGCAATGGGCTGGGCTGTCACCCGACAACGCCCCGGTTAAGGTCCCTCTTGTTTGAACGCGGCTTCCGTAAAAGAGGTGTATGGGTGAATCTCCCGTTAGACAGGATCGTAGACCATGTGGCGTAGAATGCGGGGTGAATACGGCATGGATGTCAACGTTCTTCGTTGACCATCTGACTGCTGTATCTTGGCTATCAACGCATTGCGTTGAGCATGGACAAGCGGATCGCGCTCGATCTCGTAGAGTTTATCGGAAAGTATCGGACTGTCAAGTTAGAGATCAATGGTATACTAGACGAAATTCGCAGGTAGTATTCGTCGTGTAGTATGTACAATTGGCTGGGCACAGATCTAATAGCAACTGCCCGTTCATAATATGACAAGAGTGTTGCCTTCCAATGCTAGCCCACGGCAACACCAATAGGTAAGCCACGGTTAACCGCCTCACAGCGAAGCCTTGGGTTTCCCCTCGCGTTTCTTACTCGCTATTGTAACCCGCAAATCAGTAACCAGACACCAACAAGGGTTTCCCACGAAAACAGAAGAGAGAGAAATAACATACCAGCAATCAGCTGCTCCCTTCTAGCGCGAAACCGCTCATAAGGCGTCCCATCGACGAACCTCTCCGCCAGCGCATGCGTAGCCTCATAAACCGCAAGCAAGCGGTCCGACCTAAGCGGCGCATTCTGCAACCGCTTCACCTCCATCATACTCTTCCCGTCATTCGCGGCAAGCTGCTCCTCCAAGAACTTCCCAACATGCTCCTGGAACCCGTCCACGGGGAAGACGCGGTTCACCAGCCCGCACGCCTGCAGCTCTTCGACCGGGCACTTGCGCCCGAACATCAGGAGGTCGTTCGCGCGGCGCACGCCCATGCTTTGCGCAAAGGTGTTGGCACTCCCGTACTCGGGCACCAGGCCGAGAGAGCTGAAGGGGATCTGAATGTAGGTGTTTGAGGCGGCTAGCACGATGTCTGCGATGCCGTTGAACCAGGCGGCGCCGCCGCCGACTGCGGGGCCGTTCATGGCGAGGACGAAGACTTTTTTGTGGTCGATCATGGAGCGGAAGAGTTCGACGGCTGTTGGTGTTAGTTTCTACTAGATATTTTGTTCCTTTCTAGTGTGGGATCGTACTGGTTGAGAATTTGTTCATGAAGAAGAGCTTTGTCTCCGCTGCGGTAGCCTCCGCAGGTAGAGAAGGGATACCAGCTGTACTGCTTGTTAGGCATTCCTTTCCTTTCCCTAGACATTGGATTATAGGGATATGAGTATATAACAAAAATACCTCGAACATCAGCCCCGGCAGAGAAGAACCGCCCTTCACCCGTCAAAACAGTAAAGACCGTATGCGGGTGCTCGTCGAGCTCCCGAAAGGCACCAACCATATCCGCGACGACAGCATCATCCCAGGAGTTCAACAGCTTCGGTCTGTTCAGCTATGACGACAGCGTCCAGGTAAGCGGAGCCCTCAAATCATCTCAATAAATCAAACATAAAGCTACGGGACATTCTCACCTTGATAATCCCAATCTTATCGCGGATCTCAAAGCTGATGTTTTTGTACGTCGAAGCCATTGCTGCAGGGGTAAGGATAGAAAGATAGATAGGTAGAATGTGACAAGTTCGTTTATCCCTGAAAATGAAAGAATTATGTAGTTAGTTGGTCTTGGGAAGCGGTCTACTGCGAGGTAAGGACACTCCAGCGTTAAGCTAGTAAGTGATCCCCGCCCAGCTCCATAACCGAGGCGCGTTGCTATGTATCTGGCTGGGGAAGCTGACAGGGCCCCACAGTTGGCTTGGCCGAGGGATATGGTTCTTCTTCGGTAGTTTGGTACTTTTGTAGGGGGAGAAGGTATGGAATGCTCAACTCCCTTTGATGAAAAGCCGAACTCCAGTTGATCTCTTGGGGAATCCATTGAGAACAGGTGTGGAGAGGTCATCTGTTTCTATTGCTCGGCCACTCAATCTTCAGGGGACGTAACTCAACTCGGATCATGGGCTTGAGTGTATTCATCCTTGCGCACTCAATTCGTCCAGAAAATGATACAAAGTGATCCCAGGAAGATTGATCGAAGTATATCAAAATACAGGGTACAGGTCAGGTGCACGATGCCCCACGTGACACCGCCCTATTCAGGACTAGCCCCGACCCCATCAGCCCATCTCGTCCACCACGATAAACCGCCACCCAGAACCTACATTAAACCATCAAAACAACCCACTCGGACAGATTGCACTGGCCATTGCGGAGGTAATATACAGCATATTACGGTGTACATATACGAGACATCCCTTTCTTGGTGGAAACCGGCAACTCGGCACGATCCGGTCCATATCTGAGACCCGACCCGCGGCGTGACTCTCCACGCCACGGCGGCTAAACTAGCTATCGTTGAGACCCGCCAAACAAAAGAAAAAAAGTTCTGGCTGAAAATGGGGCCATAAATTTGCCCTGCTAAGTACATGCTGTGTGGTGTATAAACAAAGAAGTATACGGTATCACGCGACGCTATTGTACAGACCGTGTCTGCGAACATTGTACGACAAGAAGAAGAAGAAAGAAAAAAAAAGAAAGAAAATGCCATCAAATAAAGACCGGCTTTATGTTGCACTGTATGTTCGGGGAGGAGCGCCCGCCATGCCGGACAAAGAAGACACGTAAGTCTCTCGCCGGATTTGAATCCATCGATCGTCGCTGGGGTGGATATTGACAACCACATGCAGATACCATTGGGCGCTCATTCTCGGGCCCAAGAAAGAAACCGACGGCTTGATGGGGATGCGATTTCACGTCAAGGAGCGGATCCTGCCGGGCGGGCAGGGCACGGAATGGGTCTTTGAGAACCCGCCCTGTCGCCTGGGAGCGACGAGCATGTTGCTGGTTCGAATCATGGTCGGGAAGGTGAAGGATAGTCAACGGTTAACGGAGATCCTGCGCACGACGCCTGTTCGTGGGGATGTGGGGGGGTGGAATTGTGTTTCTTGGGTGAAGGAGGCGGTGGAGAGGGCCCAGGCGGAGGAGAAAGTCTTGGGGAAGTGCGTTCTCGATTGGCAGACCGTGAGGGCTGCGGCGATGGACTATTGCCAGGAAAAGAAGGACCAGCATCGGTTTGATGGGCAGGGGGTTTTTGATATGAGTCGCGCGCCGACGTACGATCTCATCCAGCGGAAGGAGAGTATCGGGTGAGGTGGTCTGAGCGATGCTTGGGAAGGCCGATAGTGTTGTACATGGCGTCGTGATGTCGTCGGTGTGTGCATGATGAACCGGATGAATAATGACGAGATATGAAAAGGTATATCAGGTAGAGATGAAGCGTATCCTCCGAGCGTCGGTGTAAGGACAGTACTCTTAGGCCATATCTGCAAAGTACTTCTGGCGGAGACGTTCCATCTCCAACTCCCGCGGCATCGGGGTCAGGAACTTGTCGACCTCCTCAATCCAGAACGAATTCTGCGGATTGACCTGGCAAGCTGAAGTATACTCCCAGTACTCAGGCAACCAGCCCGCATTCTCCCAGTCAACAATGCCCACAATATCATCCCCGCGGGCCAAAATGTTCAGACTGCTCAGATCGCCATGCGTAAGCTTCAACGGCCACGTGCGGCTCTGCAATTCAATCAAGGTCTGGATCTCCGGATCCAGACCAGCATTCAGATGCAGCCCAGTTCGCAAATGCCCATGAAACCCCTCTACATCATCAAACGGGCCGAACCGCATAGACGGATGGATCCGGACATCAAAGAGCGACCCGCCCTCTACAGACGCGACGCCCATCCCGGCCGGCGGCTGCAGCTGTCGCAGCTCCGCGACCATAGATTTCAGCTGGTCGAGCAGTCGACTTTTCGACTTGTCGCTGCGGGAGGTCCAGCCCGACCCGATCATCTCGCCGTCAATGCGCTCCATCACGATGTAGGTTTGATCGTGGTGGGTGAACGCGCAGACGACTTTGGGGACGGGGAGGGAGGTGTTTTCCTGGATGAAGCGCATGGTGGACGCCTCGGCTAAGTGCACCCCTTGGCCATACTTGACGCATAGGCGATCGGTCAGCATGAGAACGCTACCCGTCCGGGGTCGCATTGCCCGCAGGGTCCGGATTGCGAGTAGGGTAGCATAGCGGAACAGGGGCCGGTCATTATAGGGGCTAGGGTTCCCCGTGTCGGAACCCGAGGGGCTGTCGTGGGTAGGTGCCATAGATCCTGATCCTTGGGGTGTGGTGTTGTGCAATGGTATTTCATTATCGATAAAGTGGAATTAGACCTTCTTGAAATAGTCTGGTATCTAGAGAGGTTGGCCAAAGAGGGGAAATGGCATGATGTCGACCGTGATGTTTGAATGGAAGTTCGGAGTAAAAGGAGTTTATTAAGGTTGGCAGGAATGTGGTGGCCCGTGCACCCCGCCCCACCCAAACAAAACAAACATTCCATGGTTTGATTCATCTGATCTCGCGTTCGATCGGAAGACCCTGAATTCCTCCTGTGCCTCCTTCTCTCACCAATCGTCCAAAACACTCCAACTCAGCACTGGTCAGGACCGTTTTCAGTAATGCCGGCATCCCCGCATCGGATTGATCCCCACACACAGTTGAATTGAAAAAAGACGCCATGGATTCCGCCGACGCATAAACCTCGCCCAGCTTCTCCAACACCTTCATACATTGGTAGAACGACCAGAACGCCTCCACCCACGTATCGGGCTGCCCGGACCGGATGGTGAGGATGTGGATGGTGAGGACGGGAAGAAGCATTCCGACCGTCGTGGTGGGTAAGTAGTGAATGGCGTCGACGCGACCCAGGCCCTCCGCGACCGTGGCGATCGCCTGCGTCGCGTGCTGCACCTGACTCCGTGACAGGTCGCTGAGCAAGGACTCCACGGAGACGGATGGGTCGTTCACTTTGCGCGACGTCTGGTGGCGATGTAGGGCGCTGGATGCAGCGAGAAAGATCATGTTCAGCCATGCGCGGTGCACGAATAGCGGTTTCTCGACCTCGGGGAGACCCGGAGCGGAAGGAGGCTGGTACCGGACCTCCGGGGGGAGATGCGTGTGCCAGTCTTCCAGCAGGCGGTCGCACTGGGACGATGTAGACAGTGAGGCGCGGAGGATACGGCTGATGACGGTGCAGAGCCGGGCTTTCTCGATGAAGATCTGCGCCAGCTGGTTCTGATGTTGTGGCGATTGGAGGATCTTGCAGCTTCCGAGCAGCTGGGTGGTTTCTTCGGGGAAGACGCGGATTTCAAAGTCCGACAGGGTGGGAAGCGGCACGCTGCATCCTTCTTCGCGGATGATGGGCGGTCGGCGCAGGTTGATTGCGTTGAGGTGATCGCGCGTGTAGACACACCACCAGAGGCGCTTCCACAGCCCCGTGGGCCCCAGGTAGTCGCCCGGATCTGGCACGGGCTGTAGGCCGATCGATGTCGCGATCGAGAGCGCGATCTCAAGCCAGTAGTGGAAGTCTTTCGGGTCGTCGGGCGTTTCGTGCCAGTAGGTCATCAGCAGCGCTGCCTGCATAAGGACCACCCGGTCGGCTTCGACGTCAAAGTCGTAGAGGACCTGCTCTGTCTGAGAAAAAAAGGCCAACAAGGGGATCTGCGCGGAAGGGCAATGCCTACTCTTGCTTTCCGGAAGAACTCCCTGCGTGCCTCTTTGCGCGAGGAGTATCCAGCACGATACAGGTGTTCTGGTTCAATGAACGCAACACTGGAGAACATGACTGCATGGAAAAGCAGAAGGCTAATACGCGACTGTCCATCGCCGATAGCTATTGGCTGCAGGAAGTCTGCCAGGTCGAGCAAGGGCAATCCCGGATGGACATTGACCACAAAGGTGTTTAAGAGCTCATTGCGCAACGGTGCATCCGGGACCGTGAAGGCGCCTTTCAGCGCGAGGTACTGGACATCCTCGAGCGGTATATGCGGCGGTAGGTCTTCGAAGTACAGCGGAAGAAGGCCATTGTATGGAGAGGGAATCCGCGGGCCCAAGAGCACGTCGTGGGCGGTCGATATGAGAGAATCTAGCGGCTTCATGTAATGGACAAGGGGATGTGTCTGTCGTGCGAAGATCATCTGGTCTTCTTCGACGTCATCGACATCTGGAAGCCGTCAGCCAGTGGCCGCAGGCTATATACTCACTCCATACCTTCCAACCCCTCATGGTCGCAGACACTTAACCCGTCTTCATCCTGAGTTATGTCCACGGGCAGATCATCATCACCCCCACCCACGGGTGGACAGCGTATCTTCCAATGTCTACACGTTAAACAGGGCGTCCCATTCTGCGCATCACAGGCGATCTTGTTCGATAAACAGTACCCGCATCCACCAGAGAGTGGAAACCGCGCCATCCGAAAGGGGCTCTAGGCGCGACTTTAGCCGGACCCCTAGTCTAAACAGGAATAGAGCAGAGCAATCCAATGGACAATCTATTGACCATCAGTGGCCCTCAAGAAAATATCCGATGAGGAGAAGCAGGCGGGGGTGGGTAGAATGGAATTAGGTGGCTTTGGCAGTTGCCGACTTGGCGGGTCTTTTAACCGCGGTTATATCTGGGGTAATGATGGGCGATTGTTAGTTATTAATCGCTCGGTTGCATACCCTGCTAACCGTATGTATAGGTGCTCCGGCTTACGGTGCAAGGTAGGAAGTTAGGAACCGGGTCTGCGGCATCTCACTTGTGGGAAATTTCCCGGGCGCTCGAGGCCGTTGACTTGGCACGCGGGGTATAATAGTGGATTGCGGGGTTATCCTGCAAGAGGTTTAGCTAGATTCTTAGGACGAGTTATTGGATGAGGATGTGATTGAACTGGAGTAGCTCATACAACGGACACGCACGTTGTCCGTCGACTCTCTCCTTCTGAGCCCACTCTGGTGGCTGGGTAGCTACAGAAGGAGGTGGAATCCACAGGCACTGAGGGCATGGGGCACGACGAGCGCGGGCCGGACCGTGAGGTGCAAATCGACCAGGATTAAGTATCACGATATACAATTCAGGAGAAGATAATCCAAGTGCTACAAGCTACGGAGTTAGCTAGAGATGACACGATCTCGCTTAGGTTCTTCAATCTACCCCCTGGACTAAAGATAGGCACCCGATCTGCACATGCCCTCCGACACGGTCATCGCTTAGTATAGTCACAAAGTAAGACATGCTGAACCCTAACGTCCAGGAACCACCTCCTGGGCCCCTCCCACCATACTAACCTAACTCGACGCGGAGCAAAACAAGTATGTAGTCAAAAATTCAATCCATTGGTAGAGACGTCTCTCAAAGGTTAATGACAAGAATAGAAATAAATCCACAGTCCAACAACGTGATATATGTCCAGCACAGCTAGCTCGTCTCCATCATCTCTCATTGGGAGGCCTCCCAGTCCCCCTCCCCACCCAATTCATTGGGGAGAAAAAAGCCGACGCGTTCAACGCATTTAGATACTGACAGTACCAGCCAGGAACTCAGCAGCCTCCTTCGCATTGATTCCGTAGGTCAGATGCGCGGGTGTGATGATCAGCGTGCCCACGCACACCATGTCGCCCAAGGCGCAGAACACCTTGACCTGCTCCTTGGGGTAGTTGGGGATGGTGCCCTTGTCCCTGACGTTACGGGTGAAGCCGAAGAGCGTCACGCCCTTGACTTGGGCCTTGAGGTCTTCGTCGAGGGCTTTGACCGAGTTGTCGATGACAGCGGATCCTTGGCTGTTGGGTTTACCATGTTAGCCATGCATTCATTCGCGTACACACTAGTTCATCCTAGTGGAAAGGAAAAAAGAGGGAATTACCTGTATCCACCGGCCACGATCTGCGTGTCGGGGCACTTCTCCTTGGCCATGGTGAACATCTTGGTGGCCTCCGCAATGGACTTGCGGTCTGTGTTCTCGGACAGGAAGTTGGGGAGCAGGTTCGCAGTGTAGTCACCGCCGACGCCCTGGCAAGCGACGTTTTCGGCGCCCAGCTTGGCCTTCAGGGCAGCGCAGGTCGGGCCTCCGATGATCAATCCCTGTTTTACCCGTGTAAGTTCCTACCCGACCAAAGTATAGCTGCATTGCATTGGCGATAGACTTACCATGTTACCCTGTTCGGTCGACCCGCGAGCGAAAATCAGAGTCACGGGGCGGCAGATGCCCTCCTCGATGTCCTTGGAGTTGAGGCCCTGGCGCGCGACGAGGGCGTTAGCCTCTGGCTCGGGGATGGGGTTGGCGATGGCCAGAGTAGCCAGGGCGGCGATGAGGAAGGACTTGATGGCCATTTTTGCTGGAGGCGGTTGCGCTTGTTGGGCTGGCTGGACTTGTGAGGAGTGGAAAGAATGGAAGGGTTGGATCTGGATGATTCTCAAAAAAGTTCTTCTGGGTCATTGACTGCTATTTATATTCATCCTTCTGCCTGGGGTTGAAGACTTGATGGAGAGTTAATGCATTGTAGTATAGTGTAGTATAGGCAGTGCCGTGAGGCTTTTCGTGAATACTCCTCGACCGAGCAAGTGCCGACCCTAGGATGTCCCGAAGTCAAGACCAGACGTAAATGAAACACTCCCTGTTGCTCCAAACTCTCGGTTGCGGGGTCTGTTTCATCCTGTCGAGTATCATCACGCTTCGTTTACAGGGCTGGGCTAAGCCCAGACCCGCCAGGAACAGCCACGAATCACCCGATCATGCCCGGCTAGGAATGATCTGCTGATTAGAGTCGTCGCAGGTATGTTTAGCCATAGGGAAAAAGTCAAACTTACGAACTAACTGCCGGTGTCAAGCCAGGATGGGGACGCTCGACCGAGGCGCTGAAGAAAAGGCGCTTCGGTAGTAGACCGAGCTGGGGGCTAGGGCTTCGTGATCTGCCTGAGCGTCGACGGTTCCTCTTGTCTCAGGAACAGAGGGATTCTCCACCAGTAGGCTTGGCTGTTTTGCGGGGTGATTAATTGGGCTAGGACATTGAAGCGGGGGATCAACAGTCTGTCATTATATTAGTACGCTATCTCATTGTTTATATTGCTCGTTCACTACCGATGCCGTTGTCAAGCGCCTCGGTTTCTGCCCGCTCATCCTTGTTCAGGCGATCGGTATGGTGGTGGTCTAATCTATTTGATATATCTGGGGAGTGTCTACGACGATCTTGTCTTGGATATCTTCGTGTTCCGTCGGGTCCGACATGTTGGTAGTGAAAGGTCTTGTTGGAGAGTTGACTACGATATTCACCTTGCTTACTCTTTGATATATCATAAGGATAGTATACAGAAATGACATGATCTAGCTACACATGACAGATTATCACTGTATCATTCACTATCACTACCAAATACATATACACAGAAATAGCCGAGCATATATCTTCTAAGCGAAGAACTATATGACACCAGCCACTAGTCTAGATAACTACATATAGACCCACCCTCGCTTGTCAGACACTGCATCATCGCTTGTTAGCTCTGACAAGGGGTGCATGGTTTAGAATTGCGATATAGTGCCCTATATCATTATCTTAGTCGTGGTTATATTATCTTCATCTATTCCCCGCCTCGGTCCATGCACTGCCGACTACACACTAATTCAGTCGAGGGTAGTGGGGAAACTTTGGGCTATATTGTATGGAGCTTAGCGAGAATAGGTTTCAATCAGATCCATATTGATTCATCTTCTACGATATTATCATCCTGATAGCTCCGATCATATTAGCGATGTCTCCTACGCCGTCCCTTTCCTAGAGCACAGAGTCAAACATCCTTCCCAACAGCTGGACTCTTCTATACGACACTTTCAGGATCTTTACGACTGCTCGAGAGTTGTCTAAGTTCAAGTTATTCTCCTAGAATAGGTGTCAATCAACGTTTTGCTTATAAAATTTTTTTTTATGTCGTTGACAATGCCCAGCAGGGCCATATCTCTCGAAGCTATCCTCGACAGAGAAATACCATGTATAGAAGTAAGTCCATTATTTCCTGATATCCCCCCAGTATAGAGGAAATAAATAACAGTCTATTCATAAAACTCCTTCTCCTTGATCAACTTCAACGCCACCTCCCGATCATGCCCAAAAACCAAAGTAGCCCCATACAGCCTCTGCAACCTCCGAATCATCTGCAAACTCCTCCACCAAGCCGAATGGTCCCTCGCCAGCCCCCCATGCGGCGCCCCCTCCTCGTAGTTCTCCTTCACATGGAACTGATCACTCGTCCAGATAAACGTCCCGCTCTCCTTCAGATTCACCTGCATAATGCACAGCCCGGGCGTATGTCCCGGCGAATGATGCACCACAATCCCGTGGTACAGGTCGAGGTGCGGCTCGTTAAACGTCTGCCAGTTCAACTTCTCCAGAAGCATGTAATGGCCCAAGTAGACGCCGAGGTCGGCCTTGGTGGCGACGGCCCAGCACGCGTGCTTGAACTCCTCCTCGTGCACGTAGATCGGCACGTCTGTGTTGACGAAGTGCTCCAGGCCCCCTGCGTGGTCGAGGTGCAGGTGGCCCATGATTACCGCCTTGACGTCTTTGATGTTGTGGCCGGCTTTGGCGATTGCGGCGGGGAGGCGGTTGTTTTCTTCGTAGGCTACTCGGGGGAAGATGTCGGTGATGTGTTCACCCCAGTTCTGTGGTTTTACCTGTTAGGAACTGACTTCTTTCGGTGGGGGGAAGGGTGAATAACACACCACTTGCAGGTCTTCGGCGCATCCGGTCTCATACAGGATGAGGCCAACTCCGGGATAGTCGATGAGCGCCGAGAGCACGACGAGCTGGCGGCGTTTGTTCGTAGGGTTCTCGTTGCTCACGGAGCTTGCGTTCGCTCCACGGATGATCCTGGACGTGATAATCCATTAGTCCGTGAAGGTCTCTAGCAGAGAAGCTGGACGAACCATGATTCGTCACATTCCAATGTACCCAGGTCCAGCAGGTACATCTTCGTGCCCGCCGGGCAGTTCAGTGACGATAAGGGCGATTCCATTGTGCACTTCCCACGACTCGATTCTCAAGAAGAATGAAGTTGGAAGGGTTCAAGAGAAGTTCTCCGTTGGACTCTCTTATGCTGACTGCGGGGTAGCTCTGATCATCTGGTTGCGTCTGTTTTCCGTAACCGAGTTGCCATGATATCAAGCCCCGTTGTCTTCTTCCCCGCTTCCCCGCTCGCTGGATCCACGCGTCCCCGCTGACGACGTGTTGATCGCCCAACATTACCTTTGAGAAAGGATTCGACCTTTCTCGCGTTTTCGAGGTATCAGTTGAGAAATCTGCTTTATATAAGGCTAAGAGACGGTTGAGAAGTCCTCGCTTACCATCCGAGAGCTGGGAAGTGTTGACACGGCGAGAGAGAAAGCGAACCCCGGGAATAGTTACTTCGCTACCCAGCGAAGAATGCGCAAAGTGGAACCAGACCAGACACAACTCTCGTCATCAACATATGAGTAAACGGTGGATCGACGTACTAGTGATATGTCTGGTTCCACCAGTCCAGCACCATATCCTCTCCTCTATTAGTACTTGGGAATTCGGACCCACTTCTGGCACGAGAATGCCTCTATATGGAGTACTGGGTAACCTGGGAATGTGGGGTAGGATGATGAAGAACCAAGGAGTGGCACTCGCTTTCTTAAGTAGTTTGAGGCTTATTTGCCCATGTATACCATAGCACAATACGCCTTTATGCCACCGAAAACGAATCCAGATCTATTCGTCCAAGTGGAATACGTGCTATATTCTTCCCATGTCTCTAAATAGACTAGTTGATATTGGGATTGGGACCTTAGATCCTCTCGTGCGTATCTTCTATAAACCTCCCCCGTATCATCAGATACTAGCTCCAGCAAAGACCCAAAGACAGATCCCCCCACGACCACCACACCACAAAGAGAAAACAAGCCCAATCCACAGACCAGATCGATAGGAAACAACGTAATTTCATCGCCCCCCAATCGCAGAATAGGATACATGTACCCCGGTGCCGTAAGCGAAAACCATGCCACTACCCAGACGAACCCCACGCCTCGCTTCCAAAGAAGGGTGCGGCGTCTCGGCCCCGATGTATCCGGAAATATTCTAGCCCATACTGCCTGCACGCAGTCCTCGATCAAGATTCCGAGAGGAAACGAGCAGTAGAACCCGAGAACCCCCTGACTGCGACAGGGGGCACCCATCAAGACTGAACCCAGCAGGTGCTGCAGACCGGAGATCAGGAATACAAGAAACATATGCAAATACCGTCTTAGCCGCGAGGGGCGACGCAGTTCTAGGATGTTGTCCGTGATGTAGCTGCTCACGGTGGAGTTGGGCCATCGAAGACCTTGCTGCCAGAATTTGCTGCACAATCAGTCAGTCAATCAGGCCCGATATATGTCTACGTCTGACTGCAGTCTACCGATACGGATAGGGCAGACGAGAAGGTATACCCACCCCCAGAACTTCCGTAGCGTGTATGCCTCCCAGGTGCTACCAAACATCGGAGGCCACTCCTGAGCACCAGAAACACCTAGGCCGACGCACAGAACGGAGGCGATCCGATACGCAAGCTCGAGACTTGCTCTCACACCTCCCATCAAAACGACGAACCCAGAAAACATGCGCACGATGGCGCGTTCCAACACAAGAGAATACAAGGCGCTCTCCTCCTCCAGCGGGAACAGCGTTTGACTCAATCCTTGGATGTATTGGTTCCAGACAAGGTGGATAACGCGTAGCCAGCAGTAGATCCAGCAGATGATGGCAGACTGTCGAAGCAGAAAACCCCTCGTGGCGCGCTGGGGTGCCCGTGCGTGCAGTACCCCGGGTACAGGTGGTATGTTCTTGACTTGCCAGTTGGTCCCGATGCCACGGGTGCTGGAACAGAGCCGGAACGCGATCGAGTGGTCCTTCTGGGGGGGTGAATGCTTGTTGGCACCGGTGGGCTTGTGCCCCAGGGCGCTTTTCGGAGTGGCCTTCTCGAGGAAGAGAAGGCTCGCCAAGTGCACGGCGTATATGAAATGGGTGACTCCTAAGCTGGCGCCCCACGTGGCGTTGATTCTGGGGTAGTTCTGTAGACTGTGCTGTGCATATGTGATTAGGATAATGACGAGCATGCCGGTGTAACGGTAGAGCGATCGGCTTTTCGTTTTTTCCAGGACAGTCGTGGCCAGGAGAATCTGTAGGGTGAGGAGGGCGAAGCTCAATGCCGGAGCCAGCATTATGCCGGGGCCATTCCTGTCGGTCGATGCATTCATCTCGACTAGACCCAGGCTATCGTGATGTAAATGTAGATGAATCCTTCAACTGTGGCAGCAGGGTTGTAAAAGTGAGTGTCGTGTACTCCAGCTGGAACCCTCAATACATTGATCAATGAAGGTATTCCGATCTGCTTGACCCGTCCTGCAGTCATCAACAGATGGAGGTGGAAGTCTCAATTGTATATCAATCCATCCATGTACGAGGACTTCACCCGGTACCTCCATCAGAGTGCAATTTCCAGGGTCATACATAATCAGTACTGGGAAATTCTTTCTTCTTAACAGGTTTAATCCACCATGATTCCATGTCCTCCCAAGTCACACTCCAAAAATCACTTTTCGTCAAACCTCGCAGGAAATGTAAGTCCCTTGCATTGAGAATATGGTGAGTTGTTATAGAGTGGGATCAATTTGCCATATTTTAAACGGCTTAAACTGTTGTAGGAGTAGTGATTGAGCCGGTCACATACATCACCGAACCCTACAAATACAGTGGTTTACATCGATCCTGGCCCACATCTGTCACCGAGTAGATCGATGCGACTTGATATAAGGAAATGGATCTATCTTTGACCACCTGGCATTTAAGCGATTGACCATTTGCCGAGATAACCCTCCTACGTCTAGCGTCGATTCAATCAGACCCTAATCGACATCGCCAGCTACCCTCATCAGTACAAGCGTGCAGCCTGACGATAGTTCAACCAATGGGCATATAAATGGTCACTGCAGATCATGCAAGGGCAATGAGATCGCTCCATCCACGGCCGCGAGAAAAGTCCGCAGCGACCTTATCATATGAGTCTCCCAAACGGGCTCGTATCCCCAGACCAACACAATGAAGTCCACCACTCTCCCCGGTGGAGATCGAATCTTCCACTTTATATGCGAAAGACTTCGGATCCGACTCATCACTCCCGGCAAGACAGTCCCAATCCACCAAACAACAGACAAAGGTCCTTACATCCCCCAGTGGCAGCTCCACCGCTGGCTGATCTTCTACGGTAGCCTAGTATTCACGACCCACCACCTCTACGCACGGTGTGCAGGACACAACCTCACCCCCCCTCTCAACCTTCTTATACTACAGCAGCGCACACAGTCTAATCAGCATCCACGGTCTGCGCATCCTCTGCCGTCTAGGCCTCAGTCTAGCGGGCCCCAGACGACGTACCCACCACCCAAGTAAGCCAGATCATGATCAGCCTGATATCAATTCACTTCGTCCGACCCATCCTCCCTTTCTACCTCTCTTACCAATCCAACCAACTCTCCCCCACCAGTATCTCCTGGTGGAGACTCTTCCCCACAATCGGCATCTACAGCCTCGTGCTCGGTTTCTGGTTCTACTGATACCACCGCGCGATGCACGAGTCGCACCATTCAAGCCCCTTACTCCTCCTACCCTTCGGCGTCGAGGGAAGATTTTTTAACATTGACGTCATCCCGCTACTCACCTGGTTGAGACTCTGCTGCTTTGCAGTATTGGGTTGTGGAGATCATTGTGGAGGATCATGATGTTCATCATCGGCTTGGGTGGAGAGTGAGTGGGCATTACGGGAAGCTGACTCGAGTTTGGGATTGTGTGTTCGGGACGTGTAGAGAGAGGGTTGAGTGTATGAGAGGAAATATTTGACTTTGATGATCCTGTTATGCTTCCTATTTTCTGAGATCAATCTGTATGGATTGGATTCTTTGGGTTGGTATCTGTAGATTTATTGTTGTGTATTCTGGGCTTCTTCTGGACGAAAAACAGTTGTACTCTCCCAATGCTATTGAGCTCCAATGCTATTGAATGTACCAATCTCAGTCATATGGTTTATTCCTAGCCCAACTCCCCATGCAAATCCACCGAGATAAATCATCCCTGGTACTTCAGCGCATAAAGTCCCCTCTCGATACTGTTCAGAATGAGAGTCCCACTCTTGAAGTAAGGGTAGACACTCCAGCTGCCCACGAACTCAACCTCACCCCCAGCCTCATCATCCTCAGGATAGCAATCAAAGAAGCCCACCTGCTTGAAGCCCTTACCCGTGGGGTCCTCCGCAATGGAGCTGACATCAACAATCCGCAGCCCACTACCATAGTTGCTCTGGTAGGTCAGCCCGTCGATGACATACTGGTTGTGGTCGATCGATCGCACGGGCGACTGGTACAGTCCCGTGTACTTGGGCTTGGCCAGGTCCGTGATGTCGAAGATGTAGGTGGTTGTGTGGCCGTTCTCGGCGGCGCCGGTCTTCTCTTGCTCGTCGAGCTCGTCGTCGAGGAGGAGGTACTTCATGTCGGCGGTGGCGATCCAGCCTTGGTGGGTGTAGGCGGCGCCTTCGTAGGGGGTCTTGGAGATCTGGACGGGCTTGGCTTTGTCGGTTACGTCGACGATTGTGAGCGTCTCTTCGTTGTAGTTGAAGCAGATTTCTTTGTCGGTGTACTGCTTGTCGGGGCCGGCGTAGATGACGCATTGCGCTGTAGTTCGATTAGTACGCTCTCAAAATGATATTCTCCGAAGGGGGGGGAGTTACCATCATGCACGTAGCCATCTTCGTTGGCGCACCCTGGGGATGTCGGCTTCGCCGGGTCCGAAACGTCAACCATCCACAGACCTCCCGCGCAGTCGCCCTCCCTGTCCGTGCCAACGGCATAGATCATGTCGGTCTCCTCGTGAGCGACGATGTTGTGGGAGCTACCGAAGTCCTTATACCACGCCTTCAGATCTTCGTCGATGGTGAAAGTCGTCGGGCTGTTGCTGCTTGCTTTCACGAGCTAATGCGATAGGTCAGACCTATCTCTTTCCAAACACTCGGGAATGGGTTGGGGTGTCTCCTACCTTGGTCAGGTCGAACACCTGAAGCCCGTGCCCCTCGGCCTCAGACCCAATGTAGACATGGTCTTTGACCACCTTCATGTCTCTCCAGAGACTGGACTCCGTCTGCGTCGGCAGCCGGCCCACATACTCGAGGCTTCCGTCCTCCATGACCTCCACGAACGCCGTGCCGTCCGTCTGGCCCACGATGGCGAATTCGCGCCCGTCCTCAGACGTCCAGCCTAGTCCAGGGTATTAGCAACAGGGTCCCACAAGCCCAGCCTCACGCAGTGCTCCCATATTCAAGAAGTCATGCACTTACCCCACACATCGTTGCCCTCACGGGTCTTGCTCTCCATCGCCTGATGGCTAATGAAGCCCAGCAAGTCGACATTCTCACAAGAGTACTCGCCAGCCTTTCCATCCTTGCAGGCCGTTGCGCCCGCATCGGGATACTTGTTCAAGCTGAAGAACCCCTGGTCGCGGGCCCGCTGGCGGGTCTCCAGCTTGTGCGTCATCAGACCGCCCATGATTTTCCCGCCGGTGTGCGAGGCCAGCGCCACCGACGACGCGGAAAGAAGAGAGAGGATTGAGGCTTTCATCGTGAAGAATGTGTACCGCGCTGGTGGACAGATCACTCGGGGGATGCTTCACGGGGGGCCGTCTTCCGCGGTCTTTATACCCCAGTCCACATTCCCAGTCTCAATCTACCAGGGCTACCTACGCGCTCCCTGCGGGGAAGTTGCTTAACGCGATAGTGGTAGGTAGCATAGTCGCCCAGGGTGGTATTAGCCATTTCCTTGACACGGAGCGATCCGATTGTCCCGGACTCCGCTATCTGCATCCACATGATTAGGTATCGGTATATTAGACTAGAAGGGTGTGTTTCTGGGCGTGCGTGACTATATACCAGGATCGATGTAATTCCTTGGGTTACAACGATAGAGACCCGTGAAGAGGGAGCACTGGATGTTGGTTGGCTGGCGATGATGCTGCACAGACGGCACGCCTGTACTATCTTTCTTGGCTGGAAATGTAACTCTTATTAGCCTCATAATTGCATCGGCATGGACCGTCATCAAGCTGCAAGAGTTTATCGCGAGAAGCCCAAGCCTCTAATGATCCTGGGAGATCCTGATGGCGTTATTCAGCTGGCCATAATATAAGGCAATCGGCGTTATGATTGTGGCACTCCTGCCGCTCCTGAAAAGGAGTTCTTCATCGCCGCTCGTTATCGTCAAAAAGGTTAAAAAGAACGACATCAAGGCGCTAAGATTCCGGAACATTTTAGGCCATCGCCCTGAAACCGCTCAAGGGTTCCTTTTCCCCTGAGGGGTATGGACCCGATGATTAATGAGATAAGGCTGTATGGTCCAGACAAGATACGCCATCCCCGGTTTAGGAACGGAGCTCCAACGGACATGTCTAGGTCCAAAACCTTAGACTGCATTCTAAATTAATTATTGGAGTAAGTCGGGCTTGGCTCTGCCTAAGTTTGCATCCCTGTCTTGTGGCCGTATCAGCATTTGTTCGGACTTCCAAAGGCAAACCCAGAATAAAAATGTTGTAACACAAGATTGAATGGAAATCAGACGTTGGAGAGTTCTGTTGGTAGGATGATTCTCTAGTATGTACAAAGTCCAACAGATTAACACCTATGATATCCCCCTCTTATGCAAATCGCGGCACCATGCCGGTTAAACGATGCGCCAATCCCAATGTAAGATAAAATTAAGAGGAATAAAATGAAATGAAGAGGGGAAGAAACCAAGAAAGCAAAAGGAGATAATGTGTCCAAGAAAAGAAAATGAATGTAAAGATAAATAACACCAGATAAGACAGTATTAACGCCAGGGTCCACCTTGAAATGCATAGAGCCCGGAACTCATTCGTTTTAGACGATGATTACCATTCAGAAGAAGTTCCTGGTACGCTTGACCGGGCTAGGGGTTCGCATGTGGTTTGCTCGCTCCCGGTTTCGCTCGGTCCCAAATCCCCGAATTTGCGAATGTTCAAGCAACAAGGGCGGGGCGTCTTTGTGGTCGAAATCCGCGCCTGGCGCCTGGTTGGGATAATCGTATCCCGAGGGGGGCTGGAAATGCATCTGAGATGAGGCGAGAGCGGGGTGGTGCTGAGCCGACGACTGACGGGAGAAGCTAGGTGGTTGGTGCGTATATTCGTGTTGATGGAGGCGGTTTCTGAACGAACGGAACGACCAGTTGCTGACGACCGTGACGGTCGAGATCGTAGCCAAGAAAAATAACTGCAAGATGTGTCAGTACTGTCGATCTCCCAGACATAGAAAGGATGATCGTAACGTACGATTGCTTTCCAGCTGATCGGGTCGATAAAGCTGTTGATGATGATCGCCATCGTGTGTGCAGACACCTTGGCTCGGCCCACCTTGGCCGGGTCGCGGTTCATGCAGCGCTCCCAGTTCTCACACACGGTCTCCAGGGCCGGGAGTCGGTCACCACCGGCACACCTGTTGTCGACATAGCTCTTCGCACACACGGCCATCTCCGCCAGTATAGTATCCGACACCTCCTCTGCAGCCTGCTCAAACTCCGATCGGATGGTCGACACAAATCCAAAGACCACGTAGACCGCGAGCGAGAACAGCGACAGGTTGACCACCAGCTGCGCCCACCACGACAGAATGCTCGGTACATGCGGATGCGCCTCGAGAAGCGCAAAGAAGTCCGAAAATGACATGCGCGACCCCGCGGGACGCGGTTCCGCTGCCGGCCCAGACCGCTGCTTTTGAACGCGGACGACCTTGGACTCGCTGCTGCTGGGCCGGTCACTGTCATCGTCACTGTCCTGACCCCGCAGTTGTTGGCCTAGAGCCTTGTCCCTCCGTCGTCTTTTGTGCACTCGTCGCGCCAGGGCATTTGAATAATGGTTGAGTCGAGGGATCTCTCCACGTCCAGGACTCGGCGCAAAGCGCCCGTACATGCCGAACAGGGAATTCCGGTGCGCTCCGGTCTTCAAGGGCGGCTCGGGGGTGTCCTCGTTGTCTGCGTTCTCGGGGGACGACATATTTTCGGGACCCGACGAGAAGTCCAAGTCGAATTTGCGCGGGGTCATGAAGGCTGACGGGCCGAAGGAGGATTTGGGAGTACCGGGCGGGTTTTGAGCTCGGGGCTGCGAGAAAAGGAAGGGCTGGGAGTTGGGTTCGCGGAGGGCGGGCATGGATTTCTTCTCGGGCGAATCGAATGTGCTGTGGGGTCCTGCATCCAATATTAGGACTCTATTAAATGCAGACCTTGTGCGGGTTGGGCTATACGAACGCTTCTTCTCGTTGTCATGCTGCATGCTCAGTTGGTAAAAGGGTGAAGTGACATCTCCGGGGGCTCTGGACTGCCACTCAAAGTCCATCGGACTCTCCCCTGATCGCTTAGCCATCTTGCGGATGGATGGACGTAATGGTGTGAGTTATTCCAAGATAAACGAATGACTGGGGAAGAACAACAGGGCTGAACCTCATGAAAGTCTTGTCTTGACTTGACTTTCGTTATCGTCGGAGGGCGGAGAGAGATCGACTTTTCCCGCTATACCCGATTGGAACGGGCGTAAACAATGCCGGCACTGCTGAGGCAACGGGTCAACAATGTCTTCAGCTTCAAGTTTATTACATGTTTCTCTTGATGATATATATATTATTTATTTCAGATTGGATAGCTTCATTTCCTAGTTTCTTTACTGTTTAGAATACGCGATGTCATGGCTCATGTGTCTGCATGTCATTGCAGCAGCACCGCTAGGGGGATCCAGGAGGTAGTGACTATCTCGTAAATAGCAACGATTGATCACCTCTTTGGGAATGATCTTCTAGTGAAGGTTTTAGATTGAATAAGGAGAAGAAAAAGTTATCTACACAAATGCTCTTGTGTCATGTATAGATGCGTGAACACTCACTGCCCAACATCAACTCATCTTGTTCGATCAAAATCCCCACCTTTCCTCCTACTATACTCCATACTACCATCCTATTAGAAAAACAAGAAGCTTCTCATATGTTCAATAAAGACTGACGACAAACAGCCGCAACACTAACAATGTCCAGGTCAGTCAGAGAATTAAAAAGCAGCTATCTCAGTCTCAATCTAGTACAGTGAATCCGATGCTGAAACAGTCTAACACAACTCCATAACGACTCGAACGACCAACGGAGCACCAGAAAGAGTAAGCAAATATACAAGGGGAATAATAAAAGCAGCAACAAGCACGCGCGAGCGACCTATAATTCCACACGATCAACCAACTCGAAATCGCCGTCAACAGCCACGCGGCGGGCAAGGGACTCATGCTCCGGCACCACCATCTCATACTCCTTGGCGAGCTTCTCCGTCTCCTTGGTTTCAAACTTCTCGATGGCCTTGCTCACAGCATCGGATAAGAGAGTCTGTCCCGACGTGGAGTAAAACGGGTCGACCGCGCCCACCGGCAGTGTTTGGGCCGCCGTGGGTTCGTCCACCTCCTCTCCGCTGGAGGAGCCCGAGGAGTCGCTGTCGAGCGCCTCGCTGATATCGCCACGTAGGGCAAGCTTCGCGGTGCTAGCGATCCGGTTGGATTCGGCTTTGCGGTCGAATCGGAGAGCACGAGTAGAGCTACAGTTGTTAGTACTACTGCGCTCCGGGACATCGAGAGAGGGTTCCATACTTCATAAAGTGAGTCCTGGGCATAGCAGGGCGTGCGATGACAAAACCCTCGGTGACGTGCGCTCTGCAACTGGCGCTGCGGCCGCCATATGCCCACTTCGCCTTGTGGTCGTGGAAGCGCTTGCTTTCCGTGCCTCCGTGACGGAGGTCACTGGCCACCAGGTTGTCAGAAGCCATGATTTGCGAAACGACAGACTACTAAGTCGGAGGTATTGGGTAGTAGAGGGGTGTAGGTGTGGTTCGTTATTCTCGTTCGTCGGTGTGGTAATAATATGGGTTTTGTACTGAAGACGTGACCAAGGTTGTTCCTGCTGTTGCCGGTGGGCGACAATCTGGGGAAAGGGGCGGGGGGAAGGCGTATAAATGAGAACAAACGACGGGTCTGAGTATAAAAGCACTGGTTCCACGGTATGCTTCGTCTGAGTCACTGGCGATCCTTTATCAGGAATCCAGCTCGAACCGCCACTCGGTGCTGGAATGTCTGGGTCGCTTTGATTGGGAAGGTAAATGAAATCGGTTGATGAATACAAAGACGTCCAAATCTAGACAGAAAGCCAAGACTACAGTAGAGAGAAAGATCCAGAGAGAAAGAAGGAAGGAAGGAGGCAAAGGACTGAGACTACGAGTAGGCAGAGATATCCAGGGTTATATTCACCTCCCCCAGCCGCATGCACCATCCACGAGGTCCGGGCGAGACAGGCAGGCGCTCCTGATTATGCCATAGCAAGTCATGTCGATGACTGATTCATAATCCAGCTCCTAATCGGACCTGGTCCAATTCCGGACTATTCTGGCTGTGTCTCTTATCCACTGGTTATCCCCACGTTCCAAGCCCCCCAAGATCCCTTATCGTGCCCAGCCAGTCCCGAGGTCCGTGGGCCTCAACAACCGGAGTAACTTCTCCTCTTTGGTCCTGCATCTGGTTATCTCCTCCGATCTACTCCATCCGGGCGCTAACTTGTGGAGACCGGAGCCTAGCAAAGCACCTGCATGTATGAGACGCAGTCACCCCCGGGGCTTCCAGTTCCAGTCAGCCTTCCCTGTCTCATTCATTCGAGTAGTGACTCATCGCGGCAGCAGTCCGACGCGGTGTTACTCCTTACTTGGATACCGCCATTTCTATTCATATCTAATAACCCAAGCCGTTCTCACCAAATGCTACGACCCTTCATTACCGCAAGAGGAGCCCGCCTGGATTGAGTCACCTGTGCCACCGCGATGACGCAGAAGCCGCTTATCAGCTGCGGAGTGGCCGCTGATCCCCCTGCTGACCTTGCGCCACGATCATCCGTCATCGCATCAACCTGCAGTTTCCTATCATACTGCTGACTGCGCGTTTCCTGCCTCTCGAAGGTTCGCGGCCTCGAACGTCTTGTGATTGCGTGCTCGTTGCCTCTTTGGAGTCTGGAATGCGAACTCGATAAGAGATGATGTCATATATGATGAGTCAGCAGATTGTTCAGATGTCTGTTGATGCCTGAGGATGCAATATGCTATAGTGCACGACATCATCAGACGACACTCTACAATCAACACTGTCGAAGAGGAACTGGACGAACGTGTCATACTGTGTTGCGGTAAACGTGCTTACAATATATTCCCAGGATACGCTACGAGCCCTGAGTCTTGCCATATATCACTAACGGAATCTTCCTTATTGTATGCGCAGACTAATGCTACATGGAAGACTCCAGTAGTCATGACTTTGTTTTTTGATTATTGGCGAATCACTTCTCATGCTCTCGGGTTTTTAGTGCTGACATGAGCCAGAGTTGTGGGATCATATTTCCTTCCCGAGTCATCGGCTCCAGGGTGTCTTCGCAACATATCGTATCAAGATGCTCCGACAGTACCGCGAACACTATCGCTGGAATATAGAAGGTACGTCCACTACACATGTGGATGTATCAGTTATTGGCCCACGGATCTGGCCAAATCATCGTCATGATGGGACCAAACAGGCTCACACCTTTTACAGCTGACTCAAGCATATTGCTCCGAAAGTGTGGGCAAGACCCTGATCGTCGATGTGCCCTTTCTGCGCCATCCTTCCTTTATAAGAGGATGGCTGTATCGTACTGTCTAGAAAAGGATTTAACTGAACTATGCTCTCTCTAGCCCCCCCCCCCCCCGCACCGAACCCAACAGCAGCAGCCACTATAACATCAAGATCTCCGGATCCAGCATGCCCTCAGAATGTCCTTCTTCAACACCCTCGGCCCTACCGTCCCAGTAACCTGTTCCTGCGTAGTGGTGTATGCTCGGCCTTTTGTTGGGTCTGGGTTGGATGTAGTCCAATGGTTGGGTAAGGCTAAATAGTGTAGTAATTTAGGTAGTACTCGAGTATTTGGTTTAGAGTCTATCGACTCGGCTGGTATGGAGAGATTGCACAGATTGGTTGAATAGTTGGCATATGCATCTTGATTGTACCCGTCCAGTACACCCGTCCAGCTAGTCCATGATAAAGAAATGATCATAATATTACATCTCGGTGTCCAGCACCCAAATCCAGCCTACTCGTCCATCTGCCACTGATAATCCAACGCCTCCAGCCTCCCCCTCCGATTCCTCGCCGCAAACCAATCCTTCTCAAACCCATTACCCCGATCCACACCGTCCCATCGATGCCCGGGCCGGATCTGATACCGATTGGGCTGGAACGAACCCTTATACAGCGGCCGGCCGGAGGTACTCACACCCGGCCCCTTCGACTTGGTCAAAAACTGCGCCGCAGGATCATTCCACCGCTGCACCTCCCTCAGCTCATCATTCATCGTCTCGTCCTCGATCGTCCGCGCGACAGGCATCGCGCGCGCCTCCTCCAGCTTCTGCCGCCTCTCCTCGCGCTGCTGTCGTTGCACATCGCCCATGAGCGCCTCCTTCGCCTGCTCCTCTTTGATCCTTTTCTCCTCCTCCGCCCTCCGCACCTCCGCCCGCTTCATCGCGACGTTGATGATCCGTCCCGACGCGTCACGGTAGATCGTCTCCTGCTGCTGCTCCCCCGCAGCCGCATTGGCATTCTGGAACTTCATCGCCTCGAGTTTCTTTTTCCGCTCGTGCGCAGCTACCATAGCTGCCGTATCAGCAGCCGTCTGTAGTCCCGCCAGCGCGCCCGACTCCATCCTCACCGCCCCCTCATCCTCCTCTACCTCCTCCTCATCCTCATCATCACCGGCCTCGCCCCGTCGCGCCGCATTCTCAGCAACCGCATCCGCAAGAATCGCATCCGCCGCCGCCTGCTCAGCGTCTCCATCCCCCGCGGTTCCAACAGTCTTCCACCCGGACTTCTTCTTGCGGCGGAACTCGGCGCTGCGGGCAGCTGTCACTAGCGACGGGCCGTCTTCGTCGTCGTTCCCGAAGGCTGTTGCGGAGGAGGTGCGCAGGTCGGGCGGGTCATCGTCGGCGATGATTAGGCCTTCTGGGGCGGTTGAGGCTTGCTTCTTCTTGCGCTTCTTTTTGGGGGGTTCGGTGGGGGATGGGTCGGCTGTTAGGTAGTTTTTGGCGAGGTATTCTGCGAGAGAGGATGGCATTTTATATTCTTTTTTGTGATGTCGTTCTTTTCTTTTTGTGGCTGCTTTATTCGCGTACTTTTTGTGTTGGTTGATTGTTTCCCCTTGGTTGGGAGTGGTGGTGTTTGTTGGTGGATGATTATGATTTACTGGTGTTATCGCTGGCTATCGCTCAGTTGATATTCTGGACTCGCCGCTTTAAGGTTCACGTGACTTCCCCGGATGTCACTGCGCGGCATTTCCACCATGTACCGTACTCCGCGGTTGGCAGCTACATAGATCTACCACGGACTCACTGGTCTTCCCCTGCGTAACTTTCACAGGGTTTGATCTTCGGGGTTGATTGAACCACTTGCTGCATGACGTACGCACGGGTAAATACTTCAGCCGGAAGCTGCCACCAGCTGACTCAAGCCTCCTTGGGCCAGCAAGCCTCCTTGATCAAGAATCAAGCAGAGTGGTGATTGTCTCGAGCTATTCCCCCTCTCCATTTCTCATTTATGGCGGATGGCGGATAAAAGCTCTCCAGATTACAAGTCGCTCTACCTACAGGCCGAACAACGGCGCGAAGAGGCCGAAAGGCAACAAAGACAGGCCGAAGATGAACGCAGACAGGCCGAAGAGCGACAAAGACAGGCCGAAGATGAACGCAGACAGGAAAAAGAGAAACGAGAGGAGAATGAACAGCGCACTCGCAGTACAACATTTGAGGAATATTTACAACACTGTCACAACCTTTCCCGGCCGTTGAGAGCCGAGATACCATCACTCTCAACAACCGGACAAATCCCTGCTCCCACAGGCAAATTCTGCCCCACGCGATTAGAATATTGGCTCGACTGTCCACAGCAACTCTCAGAAATATATCGATCCGTTCACAGCTATTTTCAGCCGGACAGAAGGCAAGCACCACGTCTGTTCTCATCTTTACTAGAATTAGACGGATTAGTCCGGCGCGTTGTTCGCAGACCACTGAGTAGTGAGAAAGGGCTCGAGGCCTACGAGCAGTTTGCCGTTGAAGAGCATGTCCATGACATAGTTACTGAGTTATGCAAAATACCTGCGGCTCGAAACGAGTTCGGTCTCGGTGATGGAATACGGTTCGAAAACCACACAAATATCTTGAACGAGAACGAAGAGACCGAAGCAAGTGAAAGTCAAATCTCAAGCGTACAACACCCACGGCCTGATCAATTCTGCATCCACCGCGTCGACGGTAATACTAACACTCTCCTCACATCTGTCGAGTATAAGCCACCGCATAAGCTTCCCGTTGCCACCCTTCGCATGGGCCTCCGACCGATGGACTTATGGAAAGACTTAGTCAGGTCTAATAAAATTCCTACAGACCCGGAAGCGAAGTTGAGATACAATACAGAGCGGCTTGCCTGCTCTGCTATTGTCCAGGAATATCATGTAATGATTCAAGAAGGCCTCGAATATTCCTATGTCACAAATGGAATCACCCGGGTTCTACTTCGTGTACCGCATGACAATCCAAGCACGCTTTACTACTTTTTCTGTGATCCGAACAGCGACATGGATCCAGAAGGGGATTATATCACTAATCTATCGAAAACTTCTGTTGCAAGAGTGCTCTGTCTCTGTTTAATGGCATTCCACTCATCTATCCGTGGACAAGAGTGGAGAAACCGTGTGCACCCAGATCTCCATATTTGGAGGACAAGCTTCGATCACACACGCTCGCAGATCCCCAAAAAGGAGTTACAGCAGATTCCCCACTCTGATAGCACAAACCCTGATTTCCCGAGTCCAGATTCTGGATCGTCCTATGGACTACCGTCATCATCCCCGCTGCCGTCTCCCTCGGAGGGCCGTCGAGTGCCTACACGATCTCAAACCAGCTGTGCACCTTCAACAGAGATCCGACGGCGCTCGCTGTCACCTAACTCGTCTGGATCTGACACAAATCAAACGGCAGGGCATAAGCGAAGGATCAGTCAAGTCACTTCTTCACCGTCCACTCAACGATCAGGTCGCCTCCAGCAAAAGTCCGGGCATGACCAAGATGATCATTCCCGACGCCGCGCTGCACAATTTTGCACACAGCGATGCTTACTTGGCCTGCAAACCGGAAACTCTCTGGATGAGTCTTGTCCAAACGTGAACCATCATCGCAATGGCCGGAACGACCCGAGTCGGCATCCTATCTCAGCGGAAGATTTGATTATCTCACTTAAAGGCCAAGTGGACGAAAATATTGATCGTTGCATTCCTGTTGGTGCTTGTGGCTCCTACGGCGCCCCGTTCAAACTGACTTGCACGACGTATGGCTACACGGTTATTGGCAAAGGCACCACTTCGGGGCTGTGGAAAGCAGTCTCCCGCGAAGCACAGGTATATCAGCTCCTGCGCAAGGCTCAAGGATCTGCTGTGCCTGTCTTTTTAGGAACGATTGACTTGGCCAAAATATACTTTCTACATGGCGCTGGACAGATCCGCCATATGCTGGTTATGGGCTGGGGCGGTGAGTCCACGGCCAGGATGGATCTCACGTCATATCTTCGCCGAGAGATTCATAGGTCGAACAAAGAAGTCAAAGCCCTAGGCATAGTCCATGAAGACCTCAAACCAGACAATGTCCTTTGGTGTGAAGAGCTCGGGCGTGCTTTGATCATCGACTTTCACCGTTCTTCTCTGAGACGCCGACCGGCTAAGCAGCGACAGGGATCGGCGAAACGACGACTATTCGTGGCGGAAACAGGGGATGCAAAACATCTTCGGGTTTCGTGATATGAAAAATGTGGCAAGGAATACCACGCGGCTACAAAAGATGTCTAGACACTTCTGAGCACTGTGGGTACCCTCTTATAGTCATCTTTACATTGCGACAGAAAACTCTTGTCTACCTGTTGAATAATTAGCGATCCTACTATTGATACCCCCTTTTTTTTAAAATGTCATCTATATATTGCGAGACAGGTGTACTCGTTATTCATGTGCTTTAACACGGCCCGAGTTATTATGCGAGGCGAGCTCTCGAGCTTGAGAACTTCTGGAATGATATCTGTTGAGCAGACCATTGCAAGAGTATTGCAGACTATCATTTGATTCTAATACATAGGACTGTCATTGTTAAGGGTGGCTTATCGAGATAATCCAGCTACACCTACGTACAAGAAGGAGTAGTTGAAGATCAGGAGATTCTGTTAAGACCGCAGAGCGTAGCCTAACAGAAGACCTGCGGCCCACTGGGCGCAGGCCATGTAGCATACTATCTAGGGGTGTTGAACAAGGAGTATAATGAGAGTATGGCCCAGACAGACCTTGGACCATACTACCATACATGATACATGATACAAACCCATGAAGTCAGAACCCCAGAGAATCCACAGATAGACAAAGCTAAGACATGCACGAACATCCTCGGCTCACTCTCTCTAGCGGGGTATCGCGTTCATCCCTGTCACTTCATCGGTCCACATATACATAGAGGGATAAGAATGGGGGTGGTACAACTAATACCAACTTCATACACTCGACAATTCCCACTCAATGATCTATAAGTCTGCCCTGGATAGCATCGGTTTTCGTCTCGCTTGTATCCAATGGTGGAGGGTCTAGCGCTATAAGAATACCAGCTAATGGTACGGGTCGATCAGCAAGCTTGAGACTAAGACCCTTGTTCAGCCGCACTCATTATGGACGTGATCGAGTAAGATTTGTGTCCTTGTTAGCTTATACCTACTACACCTCACATTTATATACATATATACCCATACACATCCACATAGATATCCATCTATATCTATCTACATAGGTAGATAATAAAATGGGCTGGTTCCCAACAACCCGCGACGAGGACAACGGCTGGCGCTTCGACATCGTCAGTCTGCTGGCCGTCATCGGCGAATCGACCATCGAGCGCCACGTCCAGGTCATCACGGCGTCTTCATTCGCCTTCTATCCACGGCTGTCCCCGCTCCGCAAACAGTGCTCAAAACCGACCGCCCCTCGCGCCTCCCCTCCATCAAAGACGTTGTCATCGTGGGCGTCCACTCCGGCACGCACCTCACAGAGCTGAACTTCTTCGCGGACGTCATCCACGAAATCAACCAGCTGCAGCCGTACGAGTTTCGCGTGTTCGATATAAAACACGCTCATCCACCTCCAGATGTCTCTCTCACAAACGACATCGAGAAACAGCCGTATGACCGCTCCGACACCACCACCACCACCACCACCACCACCACCACAGCAACCGAACCCCCCGACGAAGTCATCCACGTCCCCCTCAAGCGCGCCTGCGCCCTCAACCTCGTAATCATCGCCTCCGTAATCATGACAGCCGGCCTCTTCGCCTGGGCCGGCAGCATCGGCGACGGAATCGCCATGATCTCCATCGCCACGATGTCCCTCTCCACGAGCCTCGCCTGCCTCTCCTCCTCGTGGAAACCCGTGCTCTCGGCACGCCCCACCTCCGCAGAGGTCCCACCCGGCGACATCGTGATCAGCACGCGCAACCGCGCAATGGTCGTCGTGCACTGCACAGAAGAAATCACGCGCGAGCTCTACAGCGGCACCGAGAACTGCCGATACCGGCTCAGCGACCGACCGCACCGCGCCCTCCTGGGCACCAGCACCGTGCTACTCATGGCCTCCGTCGTCCTCTTCAGCAACTGCGGCTGGACAATGCAGACCGCCATCGGGGTATCCTACATGATCCTCAACATCCTGTACTGGGCGGTGCCTTTGCTGATGGACCGGCGCGACACGTGGGATATGAGCCGGTACGTGATCTCGCAGCGCGGCGCGGCGTTCTCGCCGTCGCGGCCGAAGGCGAGTTTCACGCAGACGCTGTGGTATGCGGTGCAGGAGACGAAGCGCACGGAGTGGGTCGCGACGGGCAAGTTGGCGCCTGCGTCGCCTTGGTGGGATCGGTGGCTGGAGGAGGCGCTGGCGAATTGTGAGAATGTCGCTTGGGATCCGGTCGAGGCGAAGGATCGCTGGATGGCGATGGCGGTGCAGACTTCCAAGGAGCAGATGGCGGCGGCGGCGACGACTCGTCGGCAGACGGCGCCTGCTTTGGTGGGGGGTAGGTAGGACTATCTATACTCTACGGTTGACGGTGTTTCTTCTGTATCATTCTTATTATCGTTCTTTCGTATTATCGTGTTGTATCAGTAATTCTCTATACATAGCATACAATCATACATAGAAGGCTCAAGTCCACCGATGTATGTACCATATATTCCTGCCTCAGGCATAAACCTATCATATACGAGACCAACAACATCAACAAGACATCCCATACTTTCATCCATTCCATCCTCCAACCATCTAACACCCCAAACCGCCAAATCATAGATAAAGAAAGAAGAAAAATGCCCCGCACAGACGAAGCCGAACACTGGTTCAACGCCGTCTACGCCGCTGTACAAGAAATCCCCCGCGGCAAAGTAACCTCCTACGGCCACATCGCCCTACTGTTAGGAGAGCGTATGTTGTCCTTTCTTCTTATTCTTCCATCCCTTTCTATATATTGATCCATTCTTCTCCTTCCTCATTACTCGATAGAGACACTGGTACTAGTAAAATGATAACAACGATATAGCGAAACGCCCCCGCCAAGTCGGCGTCTGCCTCAAGCATCTGCCCGGCTCAGACTCCGCCAATTACTTCCACGCCGGGAACGTGCCCTGGCAGAGGGTGGTGAATGCGAGGGGGATGGTGTCGCATCGGTATTTATCTCCTATTTCTTTCTCTCTCCTCTATAAACAAATATATATTTGCATATACATATATGTATTTACTATGTTTGCAAGTCTTTCGTGACTTGACTAGTGCTTTTGAAACACATCCAATGAGCTAATGAGGAGATAGAGGACCAGGCAGCGCCCAACGCCAAGCCGACGCGCTGCGCGACGAAGGCGTCGATGTAGCGGAGGATGCGATGGGGGAGTTTTCTATTGATTTGGGGAAGTTTGGGTGGTTTCCTTCTGTGTTGCCTAGTGAGAGGGAGGAGATGGGTGTGTCTGACGTGGATGAGATAGATGAGATGGATGAAGGGGGGCATAGCTAGTTAGATATGTGTATGGTAAGTGTAGCTACAACGTATTGACCATCATTCTTAATTCCGTGCTCATCAATCGTATCTACAGTCCCTCGTAAGGGTCTGCTCTGACCTAGACGACACCAGGGGTGTGACAGGTACTAGGGCACAAAGCGTGGAAGGGAGAAGGAAAGGGGAGGGTCGGTAGCCTCAGGTTCAGTCAACCGAGTGCTACCGAGTGGATAGACTCTATGCGGGTAAGGCGGGTAAGGAACGGCAGAGAACAGATCAAACAAGGAGAATAAATGGGGGGGGCTGCGAACATCGTGTCAAATCATAAACATCCCGGGCCGCCAAAACTGAGCCAAGATCGACGCATACATCGAGGGTAAATCGAGTATAGAAGGTATTAAAGAGATGAGAGAGGAGGGAAAAGGGTAATGTGATCATCTTCTCTTCACTTCCATGGCCCACCCGTCGATCCCGTCGCCTCGACTCCCCGGTGCGATCCCCAGTTCGACCCCGTCCATGCCGAGCGTGCCCTGCATCCAGTTGTGTGATGCCATCCCGCCCGCGTTGGCTCGTCGCTCGGGCGTCACCTCCAGCATCGGGAGGAGGAACTCGCTGATGCGCATGGCCTCCTCCATGGAGAAGTGGTACTTCTCCCGCAGCACGTCTGGCAGCGCCCAGTGCCGGAGTCGGTGGATATTTCGCAGCTCGCCTTTGCGGTTGAAGATCTCTTGCGACCACTTGCCGGACAGGCAGAGCGACCGCGGGAACGGCCCGAGCAGCTCGATGATCTGCGCGATGTGATCGTCGTCTTTGCCGTATTTCGTCCCGGATTGTGGATCGAAGAGGTAGTCGCCGGTGATGAGTTCAAACGACTGATTTCATTAGCAATCATCCTAGGGATGGTTCGTAGGTGTGTCAAGCATACCATGCAGGCCATACTCCAAACGTCCGTACTGGCGCCCCATTTAGACCCTAGAATCACTTCGGGCGACCGATACTGTCGTGTTTGGATGTCGTTGGTGAAGTGGTGGCCGACCCAGCATGCATTCCCCAGGTCGGCGATCTTGACGGAGATGATGTCGAGGTCGGGCTCGTCGGCGGAGCTCTTGGACGAGGTTTTGTCTAGCGAGATGCCGGATACCTCCCGCTCCAAAAGATCACTGTTCCGTTAGCTCGGGTCACCCTTGGTGGGGACATGGTGGACATACGCTGTCTTCTCTCGTGTGTGTTGTTGTTCATCCTCCTCTTTGACGCCCAACAAGTCCTTCATCGACGTGGCTTCTTGGGTTTGGGCTACAGCGGTCAGCGCGTCTGTCTTACAGACTGGATGGGACTCTGGGCACTCACACTCGTTCACCATCTGACTGAGACTGCTGTGGGAGTTCTGCGAACTGTGTTTGAAATCGAAGCTGGTGTTGAGCGGACTGGGCAACGGCTGCGAGCCCGTGATCAGCGTCCGGCGACGCCGTCTCCCGTTGCGATTATCCTCCTTGTGGTCCTTCTTCGCCTGCTCCTTCACGTAGGTCTTGACGATCTGCTCGACATCACCGATCTCGATCAGGACATTCTCCGGCTTCAGGTCCGTGTGGATGATGCCGCATTCCCGGTGCAGATAATCCAAGCCGAGGAGCACCTGTTTCGTGATCTGCTTTACCAGGGGCATCGGGATGCCGCGGTGGTTCCATCGCTTGATCAAGCCCAGCAGATTCTCCCCCAAGACCTCGAATACCATGCAGACGTGGACGCCATTGGGGCCCTTGTGTTCGAAGGAGTCGAGGAGGCTGACGACGTGTTTGCGACCGGGGTGGGAGGGCTTCGCTTGGACGATGCGGTTGAGGAGTTTGATCTCGTCGATGGCGGTTTCGGTGTAGTGGGCCGCGGAGCGGACGACCTTGAGGGCGACGTGTTTCCCCGTGGTGGTATCGCGGGACAACCAGACGGTCGAGAAATGACCCCACCCCAGTTTGCGCACGACGATATAGCGACCATTATTGTAGGTCTCCCCGATCTGGACGGGATGGTAACCGCCCTTGCAATAATCCTCCGAATCCTCTTCTTCGGCGGTGGTCTCGACCTCATCGCCGGAGGATGAGGCGGACGGGGAGCGCGATGGCGGGACACCGTATCCGGGAGCTCTGCCGCCACCCATGGCGGTTAGAAATTGCACGAGTTGTTTAAAATCACGGAGGCGGGGGGAAGGGGGGGGATAGAATGTAAAGCGATCGCAGAAATCAGGGGCGAAAAATTCGAGAGATGGAAAACAAGAATTTCAAGACTAGGAAAGGATAAAAGAAAAGAAAAGAAGAAAGTCAAGCATACCCCTCGCTGGTGTCTGTCTGACCGACCACGGATGAAGCGCCGTCGTTGGTGACGATCGGCTTCAGATCGGTTCCCTTTCTTCGCTTCTTACCGCCATTATTATTGCCATTGGCGGCCGACGCTGCAACGCTCGCCATCTGCTTGCCCTTGTTCAACACCGCTTTGGTAATATCCACCCCGTCCATGACACCGATCAGAGAGAATAAAGGGGAGAAAAGGAAGAGAAAGGAAGAGGTGGGGGGGGGGGGGGGAGTGGCGAATATTGAGGGGGAAAGGGGAGAATCAAAGTGGAGAGGGTAGGACAGCGACAGTGTGTCCGTTCGATGAAAGTTGAAAGAAAAGAAAGCCTGGAGGAAGAAAGGCGATCAAGGAGAATAGGGTCGATGGATGCGATCGAGAGAAAGTGATCAAAAGATCGAGATCGAGGTTGACAGTCGAGAGAGACTTGAAAGTTGACTTGAGAGGCAAAAGCGGCGGCTGGGCTGTGTGCCTGAGGTTGGGTTGGTTTGCGGAGGGGGTTGGCGCCCGCAATGAATTACAGATACAAAGATGTCACGATCCTGAATAGTAGTCAGAAACTTGTTAGAGATGGAGAAATAAAAGAAAGTAAAAGAATAAGGTAGAGGATCAATCAGACAATGACGCAAACGATATAAGCAAGTCTATCCGGAATGTTGTCGCAGTCCCTGGTTCGAAAGAATGGGACCCCAGGAGATCGACAGAGAATGTTCCGCGAGCAGGAGACTCCCAGGACGCCAGAGACTCCCATGAGGGTTTCGATGAGGAGACGATCGGGAGATGACTGGCCACTGACCACGGTTGGATGTGGCGAATCATGGATGGATGGGTCCATCAATCCCACGTCGCCGTCAATCAGGATGTCAAGAGGTCCAGATGTCGGATAGGGTATCTAGAATCGGGCAGATCCGCGTTGACAGATGACTGGTTTTATAGAACTCTGCGAGTTTATAGAATATAGGTCAATGGATCGAGAGACATAGTCGGAAAGATTGTAGTGTCTTTTCTCGTCTGTCTATAGATCTATGTAACGATGAGACGGTGACGATAGCTGGGGTTCCATCCGCCCCAATCCAGACTTCCATGATTCATGGACCAGGGCACTTTTCTCCCTTATATTTTGATTTTCCTCTTCTTCATTATTATCTGTCATTTCTATGAGAATAAAATTTAAATCCTTGAAAAGAGACATATCTAATCTATTAGAAGTCGACAATTCCTGGTGTATATAGGTGTTCGTATATAGAGATATATCCATCCCATTCTGGAGCTCCAGATTCAACGTCCATCGCAGTCTAGACTAGGCTAGACAAACCATCAGGAATCTTTCCTCCCCCGTACAAAACCGATTGAGTTGTTCAGCATTCCCCATTCCTCCTGCACTGGAATGGAGATTGATCCCCACCTCCACGTGATGGATCGGTCTTTACCCAGATCCGATCGATCACCTTGCGCTTTGTCAAGACCCCAGATGTTGTCGACGAAAATAGACACATGAGATGACTGCCCTTTTTGTCCCTTTCGAATTGAGGGGATTTCTTTTGAACTGTTTGTTTGTTGATGTGGACCTTGAGAATCAGTGTGGCGACGGATGGAGTATAGCTGCCCCATCCAGGTTTAGTCGGTCCAGAGTGTGGATTATCGAAACGTTCAGATCGCCATTATAATCTGGTGTCTTTGACTCTTTATACCATGACTATTCAATTTGAATTATATGAGATTGCTTTGAGGTTGAATGGTATATTTTCTTGGACATTTATACGGTGTTAAGCCGAGTTCACGGAAATATATATATATATAAATATGTACTTTGTTTTACCTGTACATCGTCCATACATGCTAACCATCTATGGTCATTCCAACCCTCAAAAGTTCTCTCACTCTTGTAAATTTAATACCTACGATATATTAACGCACACAATTATACACACCAATTTATGTGTCCCATTCAGTATCTGGATCCTGAACGTATGTAAATACGCAGTCGGGGCTGTGCACGCCCCATTGCATGTGGGACGGCATCCGCGTGGGTGCCATGCACTAAAAATGTCATCGGGCACATACAGGGACACCATCTTACATCCGTCCGAGTATTCTCTCTATCTGTAGAAAGTAGAAACTCAGCCTGATCTTATTCTATTCCTGGGGTAAACGCCCGGCGGGGCGACCTACTCGAAAAGCCATTGCCGTCAAGCTTTACACATACCTCTAAACGGTCCACTGCAGTTATGCTAGCAAGTAGCTTATCCCCCACTTGAACGCCCCAGAGGATGTTTGGAAAGATATCCGAGATATATATGGATTGTCTGGAGATGTATCTTGTGACGGTGGGCGTTGCGTCATTACCGCCCTAAGCGAGAGTCGCAGATCCTTAGTCTGTATTTACCAGACCGTCGAAATGTTAATTCTACACGGAGTCAATCCCCTTGTGAATTTTGATAGATAGCGACCTCGATCGCTGGTCGAGATATGGGGATGGGTGACGTGGGGACAGTGCATGGTTTGATTGCACGGACTGCAAGGAGGTCTGTTAGTGAGGCACTCGTTGCCTTGACTATTTGACTTGGTTGACTTCCTTCGTACCTTGGTCTACTATGCCAATTTCGCAGTCAAATCCTTAAACCCAACGTCAAAGGATTCGAGATCTGTCTTGATTGATTGATGGTCTGCTGGAAATCCAAACCATGGTGAGAAGTGGGAAGGTTGGCCGGTTGCCACCATCTTGAACAATGCGAATCATTATATGAAGTGAGACGGTTCAGCCTCGTATCTCTCCAGCCCAACAAGAATCCAACCAACGAGTAACAACCATATCCCACCCGTGAGTCAGGGAAATGACCAATTCGACGATCTCCTGGTGGTTGCAAAGGTGGCATAAGCATTAGTTCGCCCTCCTAGTTGGGATGACTAACCCAGTTGGTTCATAGTACTAAGTACCTAGGGCCCAAGCGTACCCCTCTTGCCCCGTACTAGAATCTGATTAATATCATTGCTTTGCCATCCCTTGCCGAAGTGCAAATTTCATTCAATATCTCTTCTCTTAACCAGCACCGTTTCCCTCCTATCCCCTCTTAATAGCACTTCTTCCCGCCGTTTTTGGTGGGAAGTTTCCTGGTTTTCCCCTTTCTTTTACTCTCGATCTATTGATCTATTCTTATTCTCGGTTCTTCGCTATTGGGTATATTATTCAGAACAATCCTATTGTTCTCATCCTCACCCTCCCCCGATAATATCCTCCCCCGATAATATCGATAATTCTTTTCGCATCCCTCCGTGATACTTACAGAACCAAGCTGTAACACCATGCTTTGAGCCAACATCGTTTTGCCATGGAACCCGAAGGACCGCTCCATAATGGGGCCCACCTCGCCATGGCCGTTTTCGTGGGCGTCGCGTGGTACAACGTGGTCGAACTCGTCAACCTGATCTTCCTCACCTTCAAGCGATACAATGGAATGTACTTCTGGAGCATGCTGATTTCCACCCTGGGCGTCTGCCCCTACTCGGTCGGCTACCTCATGAAATTCTTCAAACTCACCACCGCCACCTGGCTGCCCGTCACTCTGTTGACCATCGGCTGGTGGACCATGGTGACCGGCCAGTCCTTCGTGCTCTACTCCCGCCTCCACTTGATCCTCCAGAATGCGCGACTGCTGCGCATTTTGCGCAACATGATCATCGTCAACGCCTTCCTTTTCCACGTGCCGACCACCGTCCTCACCTTCCTGGACAACCTGCACCCCTCCGCAGCGTCGAAAAAAGGGTACGAGGACATGGAGAAGATCCAACTGACCGGGTTCTGCGTCCAAGAAGTCATCCTGTCCGGCATCTACATGTGGGAGACCAACCGCATGATGCAGCACAATCCCGACCGCGTCAACCGCAAGACCATCCGCCAGCTGTTCGCCGTCAACCTGCTCTGTATCCTCATGGATATCGCCCTGATGGTCATCGAATTCATGGGCTTATACTCCTACCAGACCACCCTCAAAGCCACCCTATACAGTATCAAACTGAAGTTGGAAATTGCCGTGCTAGGCCGGCTGGTCAGGCTGGCCCACCAGCACGTCTGGCGCTCCCAGTTCAACGGGGGCACCGGCCGTTACCCTTCCTTTGTCGATGCCACCAAACTCACCAATCCTTTCGGCCAGGCCAACCATCTGCCGCCCCATCCGCTGTCGCCGGGCCCTCTGTCGGAAAGCTCCGGCTCCAAACCGCGCCAGACTCCGATCGAGGATCTCGATGTCGATGCCATGCGATGATGATTCGATAGCTCAAGATATTTTTGTCTACTACGGCGAGAATGCCGTTTACAAGAGGGTCCTCCCCGCCTACACCAGAGTCGAACAATCAACGACCATACGGAGACCCATCTCACCGCCCTCGCCACCTGATCGGTGAAAGTCACATGCCCACGCGGACAACCGACCGGCATAATTCATGTCCGCCCGATAAATGCCTCGAGCTGAGCAAATGGACTGCATGCACTTCCGGAAGTGTCTATTCGGAGACTTGGAACAAAGCTCCTGGTTCCGACGACGAGTTGTGGTCTCACCCGTCTGTACATAATAACGCCACGAGTTACGATATACCACGATAGACTTTGCATACGTCACTACCATGGCCGAGATCCAACCCTCTCCTCACACCGCCGTCCAGAACCGCGATCGCGCCCGTGCGTCTAATACGCATCCTCCGTTTCCACCCAGTCACTTTCGTCCAACCAATCCAATTTAAGAGATCTGAAAGGCAGACAAAGCGAACAACGCGGGTTGACGTCACCTTGGGGGAAACAGTCGGTGGAATATTCTTGGAGGCCGAGCCTGGACAGTCAGGCTGTCCTCCGGAACTACACGGCCGAGGCACGTGCCAAACAAGCAACACTGGCGACTCGGGCAGTGCCGAGGCACAGTATACATACTGAGGCACTACTCTGTACATACTTCTACTTAGGTAGTATTTGCTCGCCTAATGGACACTGTATATATCATACACTTCTGCCGGCGTCGGCCCTGGCCGGCCCATCGACCGGTGATGAATAATTACTACACATGAGCTATAGACTTGATCTATCTATAGATTAATTGAAGTGAACCAACACTATTTGCCTAGGTAAAAATTGAAGTAGAGACACCTTAGCTTTGGAGTCATGTATGTATATAGCTACCTAGGTAGTCTCCACCAGTATCCACAGCGAGAGCAGACTGGACGTTCCCTCTAGAGCGGCTAGCCCTACACCACAACCACCACCACCCCATCAGCCCGACAGCTACCTACCCAGGTAGTGATTTATATACTCCATGCTATCCGAAGCAATATACCCACCGTTGCTCGTGACCTTGACACATAAAATATACATACACCCTACACCATATACATACGGTGTAACCAGATAGAACTTCTTTCGATGCGCATCCCACAATGCGAACCAAGCCGTCGGACAGGCTTTCCACCGGCCTAGATACTCAACTTCATTCTAGAAGAAGAATGGGCCTTGTTGTTGACTGCGCTGCAGAAGTTGTTTTCTTTGACACTGCTTGGTGGTAGCTTAGCTACCTACTACTACCCACCTCTACCTACCTATCTGTCTAGATACTTATCAAGTGGATATAGCTACATTTATGAACAGACCTGCCTACCTACTAGGCTACCTACCTACATGATGATATATGGGTGTACACGGGTAGACAGACACCTACCTGACTCTCGATTGCACGGCTACCTAGGTCATCCAAACCCTCGCCACAAATATCGACTGGGCGTACTGCATCTCTACACCGGGACTACGACGCGCAGCGCACAACGCGGCGGGTACCTGTGCAATGCTTGTCTGGGCCACACGTCGAGTGTCTGACTGACTGACTGACTGACTGACTGACTGACTGACTGACTGACTGACTGACTGACTGGCTGGCTGGCGGGCAATCAAAATGAACCACAGCCGTATGTTATCACTTGGCACACCACTTTTGTTTTGCGCTGTCTATAACGGCGATGCTGTCCGCGCCCCTGACCGGGAGAGAGCGTATTCGGCATGGGTTTGAGGGATAGTGTTGTGGGCACCGAGGGAGACAAATCGAGCTCAGGAGAGGCGCTAAACGAACGGATAAAGTGGCTGGCTGGTTTTTTTCGCTTGTTCCTGCGCTCTGGTTTGGAGTCATCATCGAGGCTGGGAAATGGTTCCCTTGCGACGGGCAGTGGAGGTGTCTCGTCTAAATTGAGTGGATAGGTAGGGAGTCAGGAAGCGTATCTGTTTGAGGAAGCGGCGCGCAAATGATCAGGCGAGGAGGATGATACTGTGCATTGTGTATTGGCAAATTGCTTTGTTGCTGTGCTGCTATTGTTGCTATTGTTGGGTTCATCGATGGTGACTTGTAGGAAGGATATGTCCATTCCTTTCATTGCTTTTCTCTTTTTGAAGGACGAGCAATAGACCTGAAGTATTAAGTGACCGATCCCTACACTTCAAGATATATCGCATGTTCATGTTCGTCTGGAACCAATAGTACAGCAGTCCATCATCACAGTCCACTACGGAGTACAAAGTACTCGGTACTGAATTCCACTGTGACAGGTGTGCGGTAGTACCTGTCATGGGCGTAGACTCCAATGCCGAATCACAGTAAAGCAAAGTAAGGGGCATACCACGGGGCAAGGACATTATTGAATAAGTGTTTAATAAGAAAGAGACAAGAGCAAGGAATGGTTCGAGAACCAAGATCACAAATAAGATATATGGGTGGGCGGGTAAATAATCTAATGAAGGGAGAAGCCCCAGTGATGGTAAGGCTGGCTGGGCTGGTCCATATAAGGTATATCGAAGGGACAATTCCAGCCCTTGCTTGGTGTCTATCTCAAGTAGGAAATCCCGTCCAGTGTCAGAGACAACGGATCCAGTGGATTAAATAAGAGTCATTGTATGTATCATTTGGGGTACCGATGGAGTAAGACTCCTGTGACACCCCAGCTATGCACGATGAGAAATAAGAAGTCTCAGGCAGAGCGGCAGAGGGCGGGCTGGATCGGACTTGCCGGGATGCATATTTGCATGGATAGTGCATGCATACATATATACTCCCTTGTTTTGTCCCACCCCAAAGGAAAAGGTTCTTCTGCATGCATCTGGAATGAAGTGGCCCCTTTGCTCAAAGGGCAACATTGCCGAGGGGGTGGAATGCACTGGATTCATTTTTGGAACATGGTTGCATTCTGGGGTTCTATTATTATTTTTATCATTATTATGATAATTAGTATTATTTTATTTACCGTTGTGGTGATCTTTTTGACTGCCTGCGTGGTCAGGCTGCAAGGCATCGGATGGTTTCGATCGCGGATTGCCTGGTTGGGCTGGATGCGACTCCAGAGTCTGAGACACGGGTGGTGAGAAATATGCCAAGATTGAATGAATGGAGATGCCTAATTGTTGTTTTCTTTATCAAATTGTTTTCTGAGTATGAGCTGTTAACAATGTTATGTCTCTCCCATTAGTAAGTTATGTGCATTCGAGTTGCATGGGTATTGAACTGGACTAGATGTAGGGGAGACCACGATTAAGCGACGTCTTGATACAATTTCATATTTTACAGGAATATTGTTATGGTTTTATAGCGACTCTCTTACGAAACGCAAATAACATCAGTGCATATGCCAAGGATGTGACTGACAGTCAAGATGGGAGATAATCCCATCGGCCCACGGGGCCGTATACGGGATCTACAAACAAGATAGCCGGATCATCAATAGTATACGATACTCACCCGTGCTTAACAACATCATGCCGTTTACGAGTCAGTCAGCCTTACCATCATAAATGCTATTCTCTGAGACACAACGTGCCGGTGGCTCAGGCAACCAGGGGTAGCTATGATACACCACATAGTAGATACTCGAACCGCACATGCTCCAGAGACGCACGCAATTGGCTTGATGTGTTAGGTTACTGTCGTCATTCTGGCTATGGCGCTTTGATCTACGCGTAGGAACCGGTTTGGATTCGGAACGTCTGGAAGGGCCGCTGTAGAGAAATCATATTTAGAGGGTCTAAATCATCCTTCAGTGCTCTAGTACCAAGGACTCCAGGCCTCACAATGGCTTGTGGATGGTGACAGTGAATCATGAAGTTCTTCTTATCTCTTATCTCTTATCCTGCATGCATCAATCCAGTGATATTCAACCATCAGGCTGATGATCTCAGATGATCTAAGAGTGATGTTAATCTGCCACGCCATCTTGTTTCCAGCTTAGTGGAAACCCCTTATCCTGTTCTCTTATCGCTATACATGACCGTCTCCGTCCTTCGTTGGTCGGCAAGCCAGGCCGATTCGGCACCATCGGGCCGATATGCACGGTTTATTTTAAGACACCGGTGTGCCGGTCGCTGGTCAGCCTGCCCCTGAGGCGGCTACCTCTCAGGTTATAAAGACTCGTCAAGTCATGACTGTTCTGACAGCTCCTACAGTTTCATCTACAGTAGCCTATACTCTTGCTCTAATCCTCCATCTACTTCCACTAACTTCCATCTGCCAAACTGACTGACATCACCGACCTAACGAGCTATAACCACTTCCAGTTAGTCAACTCGCACACACCGGTGCGCAACCAAGGACGACCAACTGAAACACCGACAATTGGGCATGACCGTTAAACTCGTCTACCTTATACGTTCCCACTAAACATCTCGTCTAGAAAAACCCATTCGGCCAATCCCCGCCCTCCAAAACAAAAAAGAGCGAAACCATTCCATCATCATTCCCATGCTAAGCGAAACCAGTAAAAGCCCCGTCGCGGCCTTGGCTTGCCTTAGGCCAGACGCTGCGTGCGGGTCGGCATTCCAGAAGCGTGAATTGGGTCCCCGGCCGAAATCCCAGCAGCCAATGGTAACTTGCAGAAACCGGTAAGCCAAGACTTCGGCTGCAAAACACTTTCGGTTTCTCGACCTGTTGGCCGACTCCGTCATCGTTCGGGCCGGTTTTCACGGCCGTCCTTGACTCGGCTTGGGCTCCGAGGTTTCTCCAACTTGAAGCCGTTCGGTCGCCGACTGCCGACCGTCGCCGACCGTCGCCGTCATCGTTGCCCGTTGGCCTTGGCCTTCGATCCTCAGGCAAGCTCTCCGTAGGTGGATTACCATTTCCACTTTCCACCTTGGCGCTTGGTGCTTGGTGCTTAGTGTTACCGCTCAGGCGCTTACGGCTTACGGGGCGCAACAGCATTACGTCGTTCAGAGTTTCTGCTTATGGCGCGTTGAGGATTTTGGTGCATGGATGATCTCGGATGTGTTTCGGATTTCCGATCCACCTTAGGTCCGGACATACAGAGACATCAACCGCACGGACGACGGTGCACGCGACGGTAGCAGTGGTAGTGGCAATGGCAATGCCTACCCCGCTGGAACGCTGACGTTGGATCGTGCTATGCTAATGACGTCTCGATTTTTCCAACGCTGAGGCAAAAAAAAAAAACAAAAAACCTCACGAGTCACTAAGTGGCGTGGTCTACTGTCTACTGTCAGATGGCGACGGACATCATCGTGCAGATGGATCTCTATCTGGTGTGGGCGGCAAGGTTTGGCTGATTTTTATTTTATTTGGTTCTGATTGGTTGTGGGCATTCCATAAGAAAAAAGTGAGAAAAAAGGAAAATAGACGACAGATGGAAAGAAAAAAACCCTCATGCGACAGCACGAGCCAGGGCTAGATCTCCTCGAGGTAGATGAAGCCGACCCAGCAAGTTCGCCCGGTGCCCGTCTATTATTCGCTTCCCAAGGCATCCGTCTCATCCGACGGACCCTCTATAGCATACGACATACAGGTAGATACGTCTTTTCTCTGCCTCTGACATGAGGAGATTAAGATGACCCCATGTGAAAGATGGGTCAAGACTCCAAAGAAAGAAGAGAAGTAAAAAAAAACCTGACCTGACCCAGCGGTAGACCGCCAATCATCAGAATATCGTGCGCGTTCGGTGGCACTCTGTGGAGCCCGGCAGGCAACCGGACGGACTAATCATTGGCCCACGACGGTACAGATTCTCAGGTGGCCATGTTGCGTTGCGCGCGACTCCACCGGGATCTCCGGCGCGGCCTGAATACGGAAACCGGTTTCTCCACCAGATATCCACTGGGTGGCTCTGTACCAAGAAGGCTTGTCAGAAGTCTTGTTCGCACACCAAGGATGCTATCCCTGAGCTTGCTAGTGCTTCTTTCTGATCTTCCCTGTCTTTGGGTGTGCTTGGCGCTTGGCGGGGGAGTTTGATTGGAGGGAATGGAATTAAGAGGTTAAGAGAAGAAAGAGAAGGAACTAGATTCCGTGGCTGACGTAGTTTTTTTCGGTCTTCGGTTTTTGATATCGATGGTACTGTCCTTGGCAGGGACTCATGTTGCCTGGCCAGGCTGTTGTCTATATGATCGCTGTCGTATTGTTTGATTATTATATTTCCTTGTATTATGATATGACACATGACTACCACAGCTAGATTGGCGAGCATTATCTGATTTGTCTTAGTGTCAGTGTCGGTGGACCAAGGAGGGGGGCACTGTTCAGTGTTCATCGTTATTCGCACCAGGGGGGCAGCAACAAAAAAACCTGCTGGAGTAAACTAACAACTGTCCTGACCACCTTCGGCCATAGATGATCTTTGCTCTACTCTACCTAAAATAATAACCCCCCATCCACTGTGTTGCGTGGTTTATCGGGCGCACGCGAATATCACTGATTGGCGCTTCCTTCCTATGCATGATATTTTTTTATCGCTCATCTGACAATGTTTGGTACAGAGAAGGATTGGAAGGAATGGATCCACAGAAGAAGAAGAGAAAAATGGAAGGCTTATAAATTCAAATATAATATGAATAAAAGTATAATAAAATAATAGTAATAATAATAATAATAATAATAATAATAATAAAGTAAAAATAATACATAAAACAAAAGAAACAAACAAACAGACCACAAATCAAATAAAATAAATGAAGAAAAATAGACCAGGAGAGACAAAAGCGCCGGCCGACTCTAGCGGTGGAGATTCAACCACGCCTCTTTGGACCTCCATCGTCGAATCACCAGTCATCCACTCTCTGTCCGCCACCACCACCGACCCAGCATAACTTATCCCAATCCTATCCAATATGGTTTGGAAGTGGCCGATATCAATGTGGACAGGTCATGGTTGGACCCAAAATATACAAGACTAACCTCACCAATGATGACGCTGGGTTGTGGCCGGGAACTACGTTCGCATATTCAACCACGATACCGGTCCCTGGTCCTAATCATGGTACGTTCCTCGCCGTACTGGAGAGGAACCTGGGCGGGAACGGCTTCCCGAAAGGGATGCCGAGTCGCAACCCGCTTTCCCTCAACGTTGCCAAGTCTACAGTACAACTTGAAAACAACAACTACAGAATGAAAACAAAACAAAACGTATCTACAGTGGAATGGGAAACGGTCACACGACAATAGCGAAAACAAATAACAAATTGAAACAAACATGACGATGAGGTTGGAGGAATTTCCTAGGTACGGGAAATTTCAAACCCAGGGATCTCAACCCGCATTCATATATTTTGGGATAACAGGGGGGGGGTGGAAATTAGCCTTCCTCTATCCCTGGAACATATGGAGAAAAGGATACGGAGAAACGAGACCTGGGGATAGACCGAGAGACGGCTGACTGAGAGCGAAGGAGAAGGCCCCTCTCTCCTTACCCCGTGGAAACCACCCCCTCCTCGCTTGAGTTGCCTCCACGATGGAATGAATGGTTGGTGGAGTTCGTCCTCTGGGGCCTGGCTCAGTTCCACGTTGTCGGCAAGAGCCAACAATCTTTCACATTCATACACCCAATGCTTATGGAAGATGCATGTCGGCTGCCACCCCTCGAGGAATGAGAGTGCCTGACGGGAACAGAGGAGTGGAACTCGGCTCGCATTCTGCCTCGGTGGTGGAGGGGAAATAAAAGGTAATAATGATGAGAATTTGCAATTACAGTAAGCCATGCAGGGGCGCTCTGAGAGGCCGAGCGCATCAACGCTGGTTGAGAGAGTCCATACTCGCCCAATGATGGCCTCCAGCATAACCCTTGCTGCGGGTCTCCCCTTTTCCCATCCGCCATTTATTATTTTATTTTTTATAAAAAAAGGAAAAATGATAATTGATAATCTGTATGGAATATTACTTGTCGTCCGCAGACCTGTGTGATGTCATTCCCAAAACGATCCACATCCAAGTGGGTCTGACGAACCGAGCCAAAGTAATGCTTAACTCAGCGTTATTGATGCATCCGGTGGCTGGCCCCACTAAACCAAACAATGGTACGGTCAACTATGAGAAGTTCTCAGTTGGAAATTGGTGGAGTGGCAGCATGGGGTTTTTTTGGAGATTTGTTCGCAAAGGATGGTCACCCCGATTGCCCTATCCATGTCAGGTGGGTGTTTGTGCCCACAAGAGGCCGAAGTACTAATTACCCCCCTTTCCCACCCCCGACTTTCATTCTCCGCGTTGGATTGTTTTCTCTTCTCAGTCACCCCCTTGTCCTGTTCTTTGCTTTGGTTGTTTGAGACAAGCCTCAAGGAATAAAGGAAGCATAGGGTCTCACCTCCAACGACCCCCCCGATTGACGCCTTCTTGACCAAACCCTTTTTCCTCTGAACACACACCATGGCCCCCAACTTTGCTGGCCTGAGTGGTCGCCCTCTGGGGTTGACGATCTCGACCGTGGCGACCATGGGTTTCTTGCTCTTCGGTTATGACCGTAAGTGGACTGGACCCCAACAGGAGGGAAACGCTCGTTGCTAACCTGCTTGCGCAGAGGGTGTCATGTCCGGTATTATCAGCGACAAGGCGTTCAACGATGTCTTCACAGCCACCAGGGGCGACATGGTTATGCAAGCCTTGGTGACGGCCGTGTACGAATTGGGATGTCTGGCGGGTGCCATGTTCGCCCTCTTCTTCGGTGACTCGACCGGTCGTCGCTGGATGATCTTCTCCGGCGCCATCGTCATGATCGTCGGTGTGGTTATCCAGGTCACCGCGTTCGTTGACCACATCCCCCTGCTGCAATTCTTCATCGGTCGTGTCATCACCGGTATCGGTAACGGCATGAACACCTCGACCATCCCCACCTACCAGGCCGAGTGCTCCAAGACCAGCAACCGTGGTCTGTTGATCTGTATCGAGGGTGGTGTCATTGCCATCGGTACGATGATCGCCTACTGGATTGACTTCGGTGCCCACTACGGCCCGCCTGACCTGGTCTGGCGTTTCCCCATCGCCTTCCAGATTGTCTTCGGTGTTATCATCATCGTCGGAATGTTCTTCCTGCCGGATTCTCCTCGCTTCCTGATCTCCAAGGGCCGCGTCGAGGAGGGTGAGTACGTGCTGGCTGCCCTGGGCGGTTACGAGGTCCACGACCACGAGACCCAGGTGCAGAAGAACCTGGTCATTGACTCTCTCAAGGCGTATGTTTTTTTATTCTTTCCTGCTAAGGTCAACAACGTGACTAACGATGCAACAGTTCCGGTGCCGGTGACAAGACCCGCTACCGCGACCTCTGCACCGGTGGTCGCTCTCAGCACTTCCGCCGCATGCTTATCGGTTCCTCGTCCCAGATCTTCCAGCAGCTGTCTGGTTGCAACGCTGTCATCTACTACCTGCCCGTCCTGCTGAAGAGCTCCCTGCACCAGACCAACGACGAGGCTCTGCTCATCGGCGGTATCAATATGATTGTGTACGCCGTCTTCGCCACCTTCTCGTGGTTCTTCATTGAGAAGATCGGTCGCCGCAAGCTGTTCCTGGGTGGCTCGTACCTGCAGACCATCGCCATGATTATCACCTTCGCCTGCCTGATCCCCGACGACCCCCAGATCTCCAAGGGTGCCGTGTTCGGTCTCTTCCTGTACATGGCCACCTTCGGTGCCACCTGGTTGCCTCTGCCCTGGTTGTACCCCGCTGAGCTGTCGCCCATCAAGACCCGTGCCAAAGCCAACGCTGTGTCCACCTGCTCCAACTGGCTGTTCAACTTCACGGTCGTCATGTTCACTCCCCCGTTGGTCGGCGGTGCTGGCTGGGGTACCTACCTGTTCTTCGCCGTCCTGAACGCCCTGTTCATCCCCGTGATCTGGTTCTTCTACCCCGAGACCGCTAACCGCAGTCTGGAGGAGATCGATCTCATCTTCGCCAAGGGCTTCACCGAGAACATCAGCTACGTCAAGGCCTCGCACGAGCTGCCCAAGCTGACCGACGAGGAGGTCGAGCAGAAGGCCGCCGAGTACGGCTTCGGTACCGATGCCCCGCCGAGGCGGAGAAGGGCCAGGCCACCGAATTCTCCCCTGAGGGAAGCCACAAGGAGAACTCCGAATAAATCGATCGAACTCAAAAAAAAACAGATCGTGAGCAGATGTTGCACCAGATTGGGTTGTGAGAACGTGGGAAGTCCGGACTGGCTGAAATAATGCTGAGTCCGAGTTTTCCCTCTCGGTGGCTTGTACAGGACGACGGCTTTCTTTCCGTACATTATCCTTTTTACCTCCTATCATTCTTCCTTCTTTGCGCCTGGATTTTTGGTTGGTGTCCTTTGCCATTTGAGTTGTTCAGATTGGCCCGACTCTAGTGCAAACTGCCGGATATATTCCCCTTTTGTGATTTTTTTCTTTCTCATTTCCTATTTTTTATTTCTTATTCCCATTTCCTTGGATCTTATGTCTTTTTTCTTTATATCTTTTTGATCTTTATGCGACTACCCCTGAATCTGGTCCGTGGATCGGATATTGAACTGAACTTGCCCAGCGGCAAGAGCTTGTATGTTTATGATGGCTGCGTCTTCGAGGAACGGCCGGTACCATTAGATAGACCAAGAGTCTGATTACCTTACTGCTTTTCAATCGTAGTTCGTGACTGTATTTTTCAATTGATGTTGACACTGTAGTCTGTAGTGACTCCACCGATCTCATGCACGGCATCGTGTTGAAGTGGGTCAACCAAGGGATCGTCCTCTGGTATGGAGACATGGAGAGCGATAGCGTGATGTCACCCCTTCACCCATCACGACAACACGGGGAATCTGGCGTGTTTCTACCCTGACAGTGCTGAGCCACTACACCACCCATGTTCAGTGTGAGGGATCTGGTACGACCATCGCGTCGCTTTCCTTTGATCGTCAAGCTGACGTACGGAATCAATTCCCGTGCCGCAGTCGTTGCAGCCTAGTAGTCCGTAGTCTCGTAAACCCTGTCTCCAGCCGAGGATAGATAGACAGACCGCGTGGATCAATCAGATCCGATGTGAATTTCTTCCCGTGCGGGGGAGCGCCACCAGATTCATCCGCTGGTGGGATGTATCATGTAAGGGACACTGGGTTCATCTGTCTATCATTCTTGTTGTTTCTTTGGGTTTTGGATTGTTGTTACTGTCTGTGGCTTAGACTGACTTGGACTAGGGATAGAACAACGGTCAGGACAATAAGAAGACAAGAACAAAGCATCGACAGAAGAAAGAGGAAAACAGGCTAACTGGATACGGAACAGTCATCGTCTTGATCGGCTGATCTGATCACTTCAGTCATCTTCATCTTCTACTATTCTTGGAGATCCTTCTTTATCTTCACTTCTCTCGCTTCTATTTCTACTTCTGATTTCATCTTGACTTCCCTGTCTCTTCGGAGGACCTTACGTGCAAGACTTCTACATCCTAATCTCTCCTAACCTCTCCTACGCCATCACGGACATGCCAACTTCACGCGCGATCGCATCGACCCCACCATGAGTTCCTCTCTAGAAGCAAAGATAGTAGTCCTCGGCGCACAGGGTATTTCCACCTTTACTCTCGCATCTCCCTTCTATACATCCCCTTTCCCCTTCCCTCCTCCCATCAAACCCCAGATCAAACCACCGCTACTAACAATCCCTCATTGACCACAACAAATAAATAAACAATCTTCTTCTCCCCAAAACAGGCGTCGGCAAAACCTCCCTCGTCCACCGCTACGTCAAGAACGCTTTCACCCCAACCACAACCCCCTCCACCGTCGGCGCCTCCTTCATCACCAAGCGCGTCCTCGACAGCGCCTCCGACACCCTCGTCCGTCTCCAGATCTGGGACACCGCCGGCCAGGAGCGCTTCCGCAGCATCTCGCGACTGTACTACCGCGGCGCCAACGCATGCCTGCTATGCTACGACATCACCAACGAGCAGAGCTTCCAGGAGATGACCGGCTGGCTGGTCGAGCTGAAGCGGAACCTCGACGACAGCGACGGCGGCGCCCCGCTCGTCATCCATGTTGTCGGTACGAAGTCGGATATCGTCGCGCTTGATCCGACCTGTCGTCGGGTGCCGTTTGAGCGCACGATCGCTTACGTCGCGGACCAGCTGTATCCGTCGCGCGCGTCGACTCCGCCTCCGTCGGCGGGTGTCTTCTCGTCGAGCGCCTCGTTGGGTATGATGGGTAGTGCTGGCACTGGCGGCGGGGACAGTAAGCGGAGTAGTGGGTTCTGGGGCCAGGATATCGGGTGGGATTGTTGCCATGAGATCAGTGCTAAGGATGGGGAGGGCATCGAGGAGGTCTTCCGGGTTATTACGCGCAAGCTGGTCGAGCAGCAGAGGTATCGGAGGGATATGGGTCCGGGTGGTTCTGGTGGGGGTTCCGCTGCGGGGTCTTTGGGTTCGATGGGTGGTGGTGCAGATGGGTCTGCGGGGTGGGGTGGGCATCTCACTCATGGGGTTGGGAGCGGGACGAGCGATGGCCATGGGAGCTTTAGGCTGGGGTATGCGGATAAGAGACGTACTTGGTTGGGGTTTCCACCGAGTAGTGTGGGGGATGAGGCGGGGGAGGAAGTCGAGATTGTGAAGCCGAAGGGGAGGTGTTGTTGATTTACTTCTTCTTTCTTCTCTTTCTTTCTTTTTTCGTTTTTCTTTCTATTGATTCCCTCTTTTGACACACCCTCGGACAGAGTGAGATCGATCAGATTGCGTTTTTGTTACTTGACTGACAGGGCCAGTGTCTACCGGTTTTCATTCTTATATTCTCAGCATATGTATATGCATGTGCATATCCTGTTGTTTGTTGAAGGAAGAGACACCAGGGACAATCTGGTCAAACAGATAGAACCCCAGATACAAGTCCTGGATGGTTATTACTACGGTCTCAGTGTTTGGCCTAGGACTAGCGAGTGAGATGTTATTATGAAGATATGATTACCATGGTTGATGATCATTCAGTGCATAGTCTAACCTAGCACCTACCTACCTACTTACTAGGTTTCAGTACTAGGTTTCAGTACTGGGTTCCCGTAAGTATACATTCATCTCAAAGAGCACTGACCTCACTTTAATCACTAAGCAATGTCACGATCCACCGGTCGTCAAAGATGTGTTCACTCGTAATCGATGAACATCGCCAATTCTAGTCCACTTGTAGACCTTCACAATATCATGACTCAAAGTGCTACTGAAGTAGACTTCACCAATTATCGCATATCTCCTGCGAAGGCATGACCTATATTGGTCTGTCTGGTTCGCGATGTAGCTGCAATATCTGGTAAAGTCTTGATGAACCTCGGGACGATCTATGACAGGAACGCACAGACCACTTTGGCCTCAGGCACGGCGGTCAGCACCGGAGTATTCTGCCTAGACGGGTCCCCGATAATCTGACCATCTTCATCATTCCCCCACTCAGTCCCCTCAATCCGTCCCCTCATTCAGTCCTTTCACTCAGGCACTCCTCCATTCAGACAATATGAACGGCACCGACACTGTCGAATCGCAATGGCTGGCCCAGCTAGAAGCCATGCGCCAAGCCATCGCAGACCTCAAACTCCCCAAAGACCCCGCAACAGACCGCCAACTGGGTTACGGCAGTGACCTAGAGCTCGACCTCGACGAGGACTACTCCTCCTCCGGCACGGTCGACGACATCTGGGACATCATCAGCTCCGACGACGAATCCAACGAAGACCTACTATCCGTCGAGGACCTGCCCTCCCCCCCGACAGCGCAGTACGACCAGACCTGGCTGCTGCAGAAATGCCAGACCCTCACGGCCCAGAAACCCGGCATGGACGCCGTGGAGCTCGCGCAGCAGATCACAGCCACACTGGCTACAGACAGCGGCGACGACGAGCTGCAGATGTCGCTGGCGGAAATCGTCGGCTTCGACGATCTCGACTTCGTCATCGAGCTGATCGCGCACCGCTCGAACATCCTGGGGAGTTTGAGTGCGGGCGCGGGCGCGGGTCTGCAGGCACAGACGGATGGTCTGGCTGCGGGGAGGCTGCAGACGAGGGCGGAGCGGGAGCACGCGCTGCGCCAGCAGGACTTTGAACATAAGAATGCAGCCCTGATGCCGGAGCAGGCGCGTGGCGAACCGCAATACCCGCATGTCTTCAAATCGCATGATTCGAGGAATATGCTGGCGCTTGGTGGGAAGAAATACGGGCTTCCACTTGGTAGCAGACAGATTGATGAGCAGAGGTATACGGAGTTTGAGATCCCCGCTGCGAAGGTGGGCACGCTGGCGGCACACCAGAAACTGGTGGATATTGCGTCTTTGGATGGCTTGTGCCAGGGGACCTTCAAGGGCTACAAGAGTCTCAATCGCATGCAGAGTCTTTTGTATGATGTGGCGTACAAGACGAGCGAAAACATGCTGATCTGTGCCCCTACGGGTGCTGGTAAGACGGACGCTGCGATGCTGACTATTTTGAACGCCGTCGGCAAGAACACCGTTCCTAATCCTGTGGAGCAGCCGGAGGCAACGGAGTTTGCGGTCCAGGTTGACGACTTCAAAATCGTCTACGTGGCGCCGATGAAGGCCCTGGCTGCCGAAGTTACGGAGAAGCTTGGAAAGCGTCTTGCCTGGCTGGGAATCCAGGTCCGTGAGCTGACGGGTGATATGCAGCTCACCAAGCGAGAGATCGTCGAGACGCAGATCATCGTGACGACCCCTGAGAAATGGGACGTCGTGACCCGCAAAAGCACCGGGGACACCGAACTCGTGCAGAAAGTGCGCTTGTTGATCATCGATGAGGTGCATATGCTTCACGATGAGCGTGGTGCGGTTATCGAGTCGCTGGTGGCCCGCACTCAGCGCCAGGTGGAAAGCTCCCAGTCGCTTATTCGGATCGTCGGTCTGTCTGCCACTCTGCCGAATTATGTCGACGTTGCCGATTTCCTGAAGGTGAATAGGATGGCTGGGCTGTTCTATTTCGATGGGTCGTTCCGCCCCGTGCCTCTGGAGCAGCACTTCATCGGCGTCAAAGGAAAGCCTGGTTCTAAGACATCCCGCGATAACCTTGATCTGACGACTTTTGAGAAGGCTCGGGCTATGCTTGAGGAAGGGCATCAGATCATGGTCTTCGTACACTCTCGGAAGGATACTATGAACACTGCCCGGATGCTGCGCGAAATGGCCGTTGAAGATGGCTGTGAGAGCCTGTTCAGCTGCGTGGATCACGAAGACTACTCTTCCGCTTTAAAGGATATGAAGCATGCGCGTGCCCGCGAGTTGCGCGAGCTATTCGCGAGCGGTTTCGGTACGCATCATGCTGGCATGAGTCGAAGCGATCGTAACTTGATGGAGCGCTTGTTCTCCCAGGGTTTGATCAAAGTGCTGTGCTGTACGGCCACTCTCGCCTGGGGTGTCAACCTTCCTGCCGCCGCGGTCATCATCAAAGGAACTCAGCTATACAACCCCCAAGAGGGTAAATTCGTCGACCTCGGCATTCTCGACGTCTTGCAGATCTTCGGTCGTGCCGGTCGCCCTCAATTCCAGGATACGGGCATTGGCTTCATTTGCACCACGCACGACAAATTGCAGCATTATCTTTCTGCGGTGACCTCTCAGCAGCCGATCGAATCTCGCTTCTCCAGTCGGCTTGTGGATAACCTGAACGCTGAGATCTCCCTTGGCACTGTCACCTCAGTTCCGGAAGCGGTGCAGTGGCTGGGATACTCGTATCTCTTCGTGCGCATGTTGCGTGAGCCTCGCAATTACGGCATCGACTATGCGGAGATTCGTGATGACCCTATGCTGGTGCAAAGGCGTCGCCAGTTGATCATTCAGGCTGCGTTGGTGTTGCAGAAGAGCCAGATGATCATCTTCAACGACAAAACCGAGGAACTGCGCGCGAAAGACGTAGGCCGAATAGCGAGCCAGTTCTACGTGCTCCAGACCAGCGTCGAGATCTTCAACACGATGATGCGTCCTCGCGCGGGCGAGGCAGACGTCCTCAGAATGATCAGTATGAGCGGTGAATTCGACAACATCCAAGCGCGGGAAAGTGAATCCAAGGAACTGAACAGACTGCGAGACGAGGCGATCCAGACGGAAGTCGAGGGAGGGAACGATTCGCCGCACGCGAAGACAAACATTCTTCTTCAGTCTTACATCTCGCGGGCCAGGATCGAGGATTTCGCGTTGATGTCTGACTCGGGTTACGTCGCTCAGAACGCTGCCCGTATATGCCGCTCTCTGTTCATGATCGCTTTGAACCGCCGTTGGGGATATCAGTGCCAGGTGCTTTTGTCACTTTGCAAGTCTATCGAGAAGCAGATCTGGCCTTTCGACCACCCGTTCCATCAGTTTGACCTTCCCCAGCCGATTCTCCGTAATTTGGACGAGAGACTCCCGTCATCATCCCTGGAGTCGATGAGGGACATGGAACCTGCGGAACTTGGACAGCTTGTTCACAATCAGAAGATGGGGAGGACATTGTCTAAGCTACTGGACAACTTCCCTACACTTAGCATTGAGGCGGAAATTGCTCCTTTGAACCGCGATGTCCTCCGTATCCGCCTGTGTCTCTACCCCGAATTCATCTGGAACGATAGGCACCACGGGGCCTCGGAGTCTTACTGGATCTGGGTGGAAAACTCCGAGACGTCCGAGATCTACCACCACGAGTATTTCATCCTGAGCCGGAAGAAGCTCCATGACGAACACGAGCTGAACTTCACGATTCCCCTCTCGGATCCCTTGCCCAGTCAGATCTACGTTCGTGCGATCTCTGACCGATGGCTCGGTGCGGAAACGGTGACCCCCGTCTCGTTCCAGCATCTCATCCGCCCCGACACGGAAAGCGTCTACACGGACCTCCTCAATCTGCAGCCGCTTCCTGTGTCCGCTCTGAAGAATCCCATTCTCGAGGAGCTCTACAGCCAGCGCTTCCAGTTCTTCAACCCGATGCAGTCGCAGATCTTCCATCTGCTGTACCACACCCCAGCCAACGTCCTGCTTGGTTCTCCCACGGGAAGTGGAAAGACTGTGGCTGCTGAGCTGGCAATGTGGTGGGCTTTCCGCGAGAATCCAGGATCGAAGGTGGTCTACATCGCGCCGATGAAGGCACTGGTGCGCGAGCGAGTGCAGGACTGGAAGAAGCGACTTACAATCCCTATGGGTCTAAAGCTGGTCGAGTTGACAGGTGACAACACACCTGACACCCGCACCATCCGCGACGCGGACATCATCATTACAACTCCTGAAAAGTGGGATGGTATCTCGCGTAGCTGGCAGACCAGAGACTACGTCCGCAAGGTGAGCCTGGTGATCATTGATGAGATCCACCTGCTGGGCGGTGATCGAGGGCCTATTCTGGAGATCATCGTATCTCGTATGAACTACATCGCTTCGCAGTCCAAGGGCTCTGTGCGGCTGATGGGCATGTCTACTGCGTGCGCGAATGCATCGGACCTGGCAAACTGGCTGGGCGTGAAGGAGGGGCTGTTCAACTTCCGCCATTCCGTGCGTCCTGTGCCGCTGGAGATCTTCATCGACGGGTTCCCGGAGCAGCGTGGCTTCTGTCCTCTCATGCAGTCCATGAACAGACCCACTTTCCTCGCCATCAAGAGCCACTCTCCTGAGAAGCCTGTGATCGTTTTCGTCGCCTCGCGTAGGCAGACCCGGTTGACTGCCAAGGACCTGATCAATTACTGCGGCATGGAAGACAACCCCCGTCGGTTTGTCCGCATGTCAGAAGAGGACCTCGAGCTTAACCTTGCGCGGGTCAAGGACGAGGCGCTACGGGAAGCACTGAGCTTCGGGATTGGACTGCATCATGCCGGTCTGGTGGAATCCGACAGGCAGCTGGCGGAGGAGCTCTTCGCAAACAACAAGATCCAAATCCTCGTGGCTACTAGTACTCTGGCGTGGGGAGTCAATCTTCCGGCCCACCTTGTCGTGGTCAAGGGAACGCAGTTCTTCGACGCGAAGATCGAAGGATATCGCGACATGGACCTGACCGATGTGCTGCAGATGCTGGGTCGTGCGGGGCGTCCTCAGTTCGACACGTCTGGTATTGCGCGCATTTTCACACAGGACTCCAAGAAGGCGTTCTATAAGCACTTCTTGCATACCGGGTTCCCAGTCGAGTCCACACTCCACAAAGTCCTCGACAACCATTTGGGCGCCGAAGTCTCCGCGGGAACGATCGCAACCAAACAAGATGCTCTTGACTATCTCACATGGACGTTCTTCTTCCGCCGGCTGCACAAGAACCCCTCGTACTACGGCCTGGAGATCTCCGCCGAAGAGCACAACACCATCGCCGCGCAGTCCATCGCGCAAGACTTCATGATCGACCTCGTTGACAAGTCCCTCGGCGAACTAGCCGAATCCTCCTGCGTCAGCTTCGACTCGGCAACCGGCGAAGTGGACTCCACCCCCGTCGGCAAAATCATGAGCTACTACTACCTCTCCCACAAGACAATCCGGTACCTGATGGCGCACGCCAAACCAGACCCGACATTCCACGAAGTGCTCAGCTGGATGTGCTCCGCCACCGAGTTCGACGAGCTCCCCGTCCGCCACAACGAGGACCTCATCAACGCCGAACTCGCCCAGAACTTGCCCCTCTCCGTGGAACCTATGGGCGACCTCCCCATGTGGGACCCCCACGTCAAAGCCTTCCTCCTCCTCCAGGCATACATGTCGCGCATCGACCTCCCCATCTCCGACTACGTCGGCGACCAGACCTCCGTCCTCGACCAGGGCATCCGCATCCTACAAGCCTCCATCGACGTCATGGCCGAACTGGGCTACCACCAAGCCTGCCACAAGCTCATCACCCTCCTGCAGTGCATCAAATCCGCCCGCTGGCCCGACGACAACCCCCTCTCCATCCTCCCCGGCATCCCCCCCACCCCTACTACCTCCCCTACCCAAAAAACCAAATCACCCCCCTCCCACCAACCCTCCTCGCCCTCACCACCCTCCCCCAACCCACCCTCTCCTCCCTCATCCAAAACACACTCCACCTCCCACCCCAAACAACAACCCAATTCCAAAAAGCAGCATCCCACCTCCCCCGCCTCACCCTCTCCATCCCAACCACCACCCCCAAGGGCCTCACAGTCTCCCTCACCCGCCACAACGCCCCCCTCGGCCCCGAAAACCGCATCTACGCGCCGCGTTTCCCGAAACCCCAAACAGAAGGCTTCTTCCTCCTCGTCTGTGTCGCCAACGCGGACGGCTCAGACGGAGACCTCCTTGCTCTCAAGCGCGTCTCGTGGCCTTCTTCTAGGCGTAATAACAACAATCGCGCTGCTATTACTGCGGGGCCTAGCCGGAGGAATAACAAGAATTCTGGTGGTGGCGCTGGTCTAACAGTCCGCTCGACGGTCAAGTTCCCTGAGGCTGTTGTTGAGGCGTGTGGGTCTGGTCGGTTGGGCGTGAACGTTAGGGTCCTGAGTGATTCCTATCCCGGGATGGGGTGGAGTTTGGAGAATGTTGGTGTGGAGGTGGGGGGTGCTAAGCAGATGGTTGTTGATGAGGAGGGGAGCGTTCCGGATAAGAAGTGATTCAATTGATTATGTTTGGGTAGAGGGTGGGAGTTGTTTGGCTGTTATGAACCTGTTGTCATTCCTTGGATCCGGGACGGGGAGATAGATTGATTGGGTGTGTTAGGAATGGTTTTGGTGAGCTGGATAGTCTGCTTTTTGTTTATGTTTCTTTTTCTTTTCTCCTCGGTATACTATGGTAGAGCTACAAAGAAGATAGATAGGTGGATAGATGGATAGCTTGGTTGAATGAGATAACCACCGTCGTTAAGTTAGACCTTGAACATAGTAAATGTAAATAAAGAGACTGTGCGAGAGAGAAAAAGAGAGAGAGAATATGAGCAATGGAAAGAAAGCAAAAAGAAGATTGCAAAAAAGAAAGTAATGATCGCAATGCGGACAAAGATCGACGTCGTCAACAACAAGACGAATGAATAGCAAGCTACCAGCGCTGAAATTAAAAAATGATCAGAAAAAAGGGGGGGGACAGGACGACATCTAGTCGTTGTCTTCTCTCCGCGCAGGAAAATGAAACAAAGAATGAAGAAAATGACATGAAATGAATGAATGAACGAATGAATAAGGCCGGTCACGCCATCTCAATCCGCACATCCTGGGAATTTCCATGACGATGTCCATGCTGCCCATCAGTCACTCGAACCATGCGAGCCTTGCGGTCCACCAATCTCTCATCTGGAGTGAGACGATCGGCGCGCGGGCCGATAGGTACTATGATCTGCTTCTTGCCCCGGGAGACGGACACCGATCGGGCGATGGAGACCTCCACTGTGGGGATGGGCAGCTGCTCGGGCTTTAGCGCTTCGGTGTCTTTGTCGAGGTCGAAATCTACTTCGGGGTCTTCGTCGTCGCTGTCGTTGTCGTTGTCGTCGGCGAGGGGCATTCGGGCTGAGCCGGCTGGCGAGATGGCGGGCTTGGAGGCCACGGAGGGGGAGATGGCGGGCTTGGAACTCCTGGATGGGGAGATAGCGGGCTTGGAGACCACGGATGGGGAGGTCATTATGTTGGCGGTGACGCTTGAGAGAGGGGAGAGGATGGGCGACGACGCGGCGGAGTTGATGTCCTCGGATTTCGGAGGCGGCAGCTCTTGCGTATTGACTTTGAGGGTAGCGCCAATCTCCTGCTTAGTTGGCGGTGTCGGGTTCTTGTTTATAAACTCCCATGCGGGTTCGTCTTTGATGGTTTGCACTGGCTTGACACCCTGGAGGATTATCTTGTCGTCGCCTTCCAAGGATGTAAACGTGAGGATTGACGATTCCGAAAATTGGGGTTTGTGAGAAACAGGGGCCTTCTGGGGCGAGCTGCGCGGTGCGGGCGAGGGCTGCCTTGGTTGGATCGGTGGATTCTCTCGGTACGCCTCTAAGAGCGATGACTGGCTTCTGTGTAAAGGGCTGGGGTCGCGGGGGAGGGTGGATCCCGGGAGTTTCGATGATCGATTGGGATGAACGGATGGGAAAAGAGAGAAGCTGGGAGATTTGGAGCGGGATCGGGCCGCTTCAGTCGTCTGTCGTCGGGGAGGAGGACGTAGTTCTGGGGAGATGGAGCGCTCCTAATGACGTTTTAATATAGGTCGGGGTCTCAAGGGTCAGATACTGTACCACAGTGTTGGCGGGCCTCACATCTTCCAAAGTCTTGCTACGCCTCTTGCGAGTAGACGGTTCCCGGGTCAGAAGACCGCTAAACATGACGCTGTACCGCTCCATCTGAACGTCTGGGATGTCTACTGTGAGCAAAGACTCCGTGTCCCCAGCTGGTTTCGCACCCGGCCGAAAGTTTCGTCCACCATCACTCTGCTGCGCTTGACCGCTGGCCAAGCATGGCCAGACCTCGGTGTTCGAGATGGGGTTGGTCTCAAGGGCACATTGGATATGGGACCTGGACTCGTTCGGGCGGAACTGGTAGTCAATCGAGTGAGTAGAGCCCTGGGAAGGCCATTCAGTGCTGAGGCGGACCTGATAGAACGGTTGCTTCGCAGGTGTCATTGCAGTCTTTGCCCTGAATAAACCCCCAATCTTCCTCCACTTGCTTGGTTTCCGCTGTATTGCTTGCTGCTTGGAGGCCTTGGCCCCGGTCGATTTGGCTTGTACGGCCTTTTCCTGCATTTGCGACATGATGTTCTGGGACTCCACCAGTCGAGGGCTACCCAGCGCAATTCCGATCATACTGTCGTTCAATCCTTTGTCGGGCTCGGTGGACGCCACCTCCGGGGCAGGGATATTAATCCGGAAATCAAAGTCCTGACCGGGTGCTCGAGCCTTCTTCTGCTGTTGCTGCCCGTCCGATGTCATAGGGCGGTGGAAGTCCCACTGTTTCTGGTGCACGGGTCGGCCATTTTTGGCTCCGTGTCTGACCTCTCGAAGATCATTGCGGGGGAAGGCATCTGTGAAGTTGAAGACAGGGCTCGAGATATCATCCGTCACCGGCGACGGACGCGACTTTCCCAGAAAGATACCCCTCGCCATTTCTATGCAATCCAAACGGTGGGTATTCGCAATCTGAGGATAGAGAAATCTCGGGATAAAGCGACTCTTGCGGGGAAGGAGAAATGAAATCAAATTAGATCAGAAGAGGGGGTCAAAAGGAAAGGAAGACGCCGACGGGCGAAGAGACTCTATCATAGATTTACCAGCAAGCCAAAGAGAACGGACAGCCTTCCAGAAGGCTCAAAAACGGTTGATTCAAAGCAAAAAACATCAAAAAATCACAAAAAAAAAAAAGTCAACAACCAAAAACCAAAGCAAGAACAAGAGTCATGCACGCATGACAAGAGGAAGGAAAGCCACTACATTTAAAAGGGGCCACCCATGCGACGAATAGTGTGGAGCATCAGTCGCAAGATATTGTATCTAGTTGAGACAGGAACAGGGGTCGCCTAGTGCAGGATTTTCTTTTTAGATTAATGTAGATTTGACGAGGCGCAAGACAACCAACAGACGCGGCGGGTTATAAATTGTTGCCGCCGCCCAGAAGCCTTGGGACCAAATCCGCGGGATCGCAAACGCTGGGAGCAAGCATCGTACCCAGCGATTGGAGTAGTCGCGAGTCGGCTGAGGAGGGGTCGAGTCAGCGCTATAGAACCTCAGGCGAGATATAGAGATGCTTATTTCGGCGGCTGCAAATGAACATCCAGCGTCGCAGAATGATTAATTTTGACCAGACTTTCAACCCATGGGTGACGGTCCTGACGGGGCCAAGAAAGGGCCCCGCCGGTGGCCAGACCAAGGATTAGAACAGTATCAGGGCTGGGATATTTTGGATTTAATTAGTTTCACCCACCCTGAAACCGGGCCAGACCGACCAATGATCGAAGATGGAGGGCCTCGCTCAGGAATTCATCAAAACCCCGAGGGTGACTCCGTCGTCAACCATCAGGGTCGCACCCAACGGGACTTGACCCCTGTTCTGTGCCACTCGAGATATCAATGATCCTTCAGGGTCGGACCTCGTGGATTGTGAGCAATCGTCTTGATGGGTTGGCATCGTATTTGGTGCACTGTGCGTAGAACCCAAGTCACGAATCATCAATCCACCACCCATTCGACAACCATGTCTTTTGAAAGACTCAAGCCATTAGGCGCCCGATTGAGGGTCATAGCACGAGTTGGTTTCTTTTGGTCTCTCTCCTCTGTCCAACGACATGGTCCCCTCCACATCTCGAGGTTGGGGTTGCGGCTGAACCGGGACCGTGGACTGGAAATGATCTGCGTTCCAGGTTAGGCATGGTATATAGTATATACATGATGGAAGAATCATCCGATGAAACGACATCCACACAATCCGGGAGAAGGATGGAGAGGAAATCGAAAGAAAATCGATCTAGTTGAATTGAAGAAGCGGTTTGCCGCAAACGGACAAGCGTCGGGAGGATCAACACCTGACAGTCCTGCCTGGTGTTTCAGGCAGGAGATGGGATACTAATGCTGCATAGTCATCGGGTCATTATTCTTCATAATCAAATCATAATCTTCATCTAGATCGGGTATAGAGAGAGAGACAGTCAAACAGGCGGTAAAGAAATCCAGCTGAGTGGAGCATCCATTGTCTAGTGGGCTTTGGCTAAAGAGGAAAAAATTAATAATACCTAGATAAAAAGAGAAGATAGGGAGTTCAACACGGTTGACTCTCCACCGCTTCTCTTAACTTTGTCATAATCGGAGTACTCCGTACGTAGATGGAGTAGAATGCGTTAACCTGCATAAGACACTTGATTCGCGGATGATGCTCTGGTGAGGGATATGGAAAGTTTCTATATATTGTATGTTATATATCAGATAGGATCAATAAGATTAACCCAACCGATGGAATGGGAAAGAATCGACGCAATAAGGAGACTGATCTTGATGATACATGACTTTTTGGCGGGGCAACTGGCAGTTTTGGCGGTGCTGGTCGGAGAGCGAGTAGAGAGAGAGAACAACACCCCACCTTACTTACCTCCTACTCTCTCTCTCTCTCTCTCTCTCTCTCTCTCTCTCTCTCTCTCTCTCTCTCTCTTTCTTTCTTCCCCTCTTCATCCACACCACCTTTTCTCCTCCAGTCGCTCTTCTCCGACCCTACTTAATCACTCTCCAAGAGTTTCCTGTCATTACTTTCCCCCTCCTCCTCCGCCTCTCCTCTTATCCCCCTATTTCAATCTCCCCGTTGTTTACCCTCATCCGTCATCATGGGTCAGCACTCTGCTGTTTGGCAAGGTACTACTTCTTTCCTGTCCTACTTGACGGTGATATGAGATCGACTGTCTGGATCCAATATATGCTAACATGCTCTCTTTCTCCCCTCCAGGCTATGTCGATTCCAGGTACCGTCTCACCCAGCTCCCCTAATACTACCCGTACCCCGCTTCCGCCATTCGCGCCCCTCCTGAGCCACCCCCGATCGCACGTCTTCTAATCACTCGATCGTCCAGCTTGATGGGATCCGGCCAGTTTGACAAGGCCGCCATTGTCAGCTACGACTTCTCCGACGTGGAGGCTTCCACCCCTGGTTACACGGTATGAATCCTGGAAAACCCCCCCCCCCCCACCTCTCCCCGGGTTCCGACACGAGCTATCCCACGGGGGACAACTCGCCAACCACTTCCGTACGGCCGCCGCTAACTCCCCATAGTTCTCTGCTCCGGAGCTCAGCGGTCTCAAGGGCGCCTACGACAACCCCGCCGGCGCTTTCGGCACCGGTGTCACTCTCGCTGGTGACAAGTTCGTCGTCATCCGGTCCGACGGCACCTCCGTATACGGCAAGAAGGTATGCACACTACTTACCACGCCATAGCGGTTTCGAGAGAATAACAACGACAAACATGGCAATACGCATATAACACAAAGCTAACGGAAAATTACCCACAGGGCAAGGAGGGTGTCATTGTCGTCAAGACCCCCTCGGCCATCCTCGTCGCCCACCACGGCGAGGACGTACAGACCACCAACGCCGCCACCGTTGTCGAGAACCTCGGCGACTACATCCGGGGCGGTAAATAGATGCAGTAGAATGCGCGACGTGATCTGCATCGGGGGAGGGATTAGATGCGCCAATATCGGTTTAACTGAAACAAAACACGACGGCGCTCTCCTTTCTCTCCTGTTTCTCCCTGTGTGATTTCCTTTTATTTATTTTTTTTCTTCGATTTTCATCTGGTGTCCTATCATAACCCGTAGATATGTGCAATAAGAAGCAACCATGACATTATTAACTACTTGGACTTTTGTCATAATTGGTAGTATCATCTAAGGATAGAAACTAGTCAAAAACCAAGCAGAGAGACATCAAATTATATACTATAGGTAAACAGCGCAAAGAGCAAACGTGATGAATTACCATTGCCTGAGGCAGACTACAATATGGGCACAGTACACCCTGGAGCGGATCTACCACATTCATACTCCGTACTTGATAAACAAATCCTTATTGAGATCACCACGACCACACATGCCCATGACCCAAAAGCCACACTATACATAAAAAACCATAAGCTATATTCCCCATCTACCACAACTACATACCTAGATCCCCTTAGACAGCACAAACCACAGCCAAGGATGATACACACCCTCCTCACCAACACCAACAGCATCCACAATACGCGGCACATACTTCCCCCACCACTCCCCCTCCATCTCCTCACTAAAATCCCCCGGACTCGGCCTCACCCGCCTCGCCTTACAATACTCCCAGTAAGACGGATACCACCCCGCCTGGCCCTAGTCAATGACAGCAGCTACTGTTGGGTTTGGCCCCGGTGATAAAATGATATTGGGGGGTACGAGGTCGGCGTGTGTGAAGACTGCGGGGATATCCCGTCCGTCGATCTCGATGTCGCAGCCGTTGTGAAATTCCTGCACGGCGTTGAAGTCGTGGAAGGGTCCGGCTAGGTTGCGGTGATCATGGAGGAAGATGTCGTTTAGGGGGTGGTTGTTTAGGCTACCTTGGGGGCGAGTTTAGCATAGGTATATAGTTTTGCCTAGGTATTGCGATAGATATAAATCACTTACCTACGTAAAGACCCTGGTCGGGGTATTCCAGCGACCTCCAGGCCTTGACCATCCCATTGAGCTCTTTACAGATAGCCTCTCTCTCTTCTTCGTTCAAAACACCCCATCGTTTCTCCAGCGTCTCACCCTCTACCAAAGCCATATAGATAAACACCTGCTCCCCATCTTCCGTCCACCCGAACACCTCCGGAACAGGTACTACGCCGCTCAACCGCTCGTACACCAGCTGTTGGGTCCGTGCCTCTGTGACGGTTACGTCGGCTCCGTATTTGACGATTAGCCCCAACGACGGAAACTTGACTGGCGGGGGTCTGTTGAAGCTTGTGCTGTGGGGGTTGTTTGTTGCTTTGTTGGTGGATCGTACTTTGGCTGGAGAGGGGAGGGTTGATGCTTGATGGTGTTTGAAGAAGGTGGAGTTGGGGCTGGGCTCGGGTTCGGCTTCTTGGGACGTCATTGAGAGATGGTATTCTATCTACCTTAGCAGGGTTGGGTTGGTATAGAAGACTGAAGCGCGTAGTCTTCGTGAAAGTGGACTCGATGTAAGCTGAACGCTTGTAGAATTCTACTAAGGAGTTGGAACGTAGGTCCAAGAATAGATAAACCGAAGATCAGTTCGTATAAACATATACGATCATTAGTAATTACAAATTCTATATCTGGAAGCAAATTATACCACTTTTACCCCGTCCCAGTCCCGTCTCACGCTCAGACGAGCAACTAATGCACGCACCATCGTACACCGGGCCATGCAAGCAACCAACCAACCAACCAATCAATCAATCGATCGCCAATTCAGGACCGGATGTGCATCCCATCGAGAACTACCATATAACAACAAAGCTCGCATAGTCATATACACACATAAACTCATCGCTGATTCCCATGTTCCAAAAAGAAACACCCTAAGATCTGGAGTGAAGATACAATAACATAGAGTCCAGAACTATACAGGCAGCTCGGCGTTACTCCTCCCCCCAGCTAGGATCTCCAACGTGCGCTGGATATAGGGCCCCACAACGGGGATGTTCCCCGCAAACTGGCCGATCGTAGTCAAGAAGTCGCCGAAGAGGATGAACAGGCCGTACAGCTCGATCAGGAAGCCCGTGAGCGGCCAGCGGAAGAGGATGAGGAGGATTCCGAAGACGAAGGCGGCTGTGCCTTTGAGCTTCTGGCGGCGGGAAAAGAAGGCGAAGGTCTTTTCGACGCCGATTATGAGGGTCAGGCCGATGAGGAAGAGGATCTGGCGTTAAGGTTAGTGGGAGGTCTATCTGCGGGGGAATCTTTGGGTGGGTGGAGCGTACGTTTCCCATTGCGAGCCTGTGGGAGAAGAAGCCCGTTAGCGATCTGGTTGTTTGTGTTTGGTGCGCTGGAAAGGGGGAGGTCAAACGTACATTGACCGGTCGAAGAACATCACCACTCCTCCGCAGAGGAAGATACCCCCTACGCGATTCGCCGTTAGTCGTTTGCACTCCTCCTGGTTTGCTATGCTGGTCTCCGGACTATGTCACCTACCCGCGGAGCAAAAGATGACACCGATCTCTGTAGATATCGCGATTAGTCCTGTGTTTGCTGCGCATGTGCTAGCGGCCTAACGGTGCGACAGGGAGAAAGACTCACTCTGATTGTCGGATAACCACATGGTTGGCATAGTAGCGTGGTTTCAAGATATTTGCGTCGAGGACAGAAATGAGGTCTCCAGATGAGATGTTAACAGAGTCGAGGCTCGAGAGATCTGTGGTAGCTCCGAGGCTGTGCCGAACGACGATCAAAGGTAGCGGCTTCTGAATAGGGAACGTGTCATGCAACGAGGACCACGCAATAATGGCACCAGACGTATTAGCAAGCTCAACAAAAGATCGCTAGCTTCTTCTGCGGAGTACGGCTTGTCAAAATAGTACAAAGACAGCACGAAAACACCCAAAGGAAGCGAATAAACAACCAGGCGACTCTTTAATCCATTCCGGCTGCGGCGTGCGGTGTCGATTCTGCCACGTTCCCTTTTTGCGGTTAGGCGACGCTAGGCCCACTTCGGATGGCGGTCTGGCTGCCAAGGCACACTCCTATTAATTTGCTTTGGCCGTTCAAATTCCTCCCTTATCCTTATCCTGTCGCGAGGATAACAGGTTGTTTTGGGAATAGTGACGCCACCCATCTACCGATTGCACTTAGTGCACATACGGATATGTTCATTATCATAACATAATCATGGCTGGATGCAAAGACACAACTTTGATACTGCACAATGAAGCAGTCTACAATGGATGGCCGTACGATGCAGCGTTGAACCTCAAATATGTCATGTCATATCATATACTGTCTATCACCCAATTGTCATCTCGATGACACCCGCCGCGGCGACAGCATCTCCAGAGATGCTGTAACTGGTGTTCCTGTCGGTGGAGCGTCGGTATTAGTCGCGTGCCTCTGGCACAAGGCGAAGAACGACTCTTATATAAGATCACGAATAAGCCGGAGCACTTTCTTGAGCCTGTCTCGAGAGGGGCAGGTGGGTGGAAGCGCTTGACTGTGTTGGTCGTACATAACCCGTAGATTCCATAGAGTGTAGCATCTATCTCACGAAATGACTCGTCAGACCTGTTTTCATGCAATCCCAACCGACGTAACTTACCAATGCGATTACCCATCAATCCTATAGAACATAATCTCGCACGTAGAGATGTCCGTCTTATTTGAGCACCACATGAGCATCTCTCAGCTCAAGATAGCTCTCCGGCACTCCTTGCCCCAGCGTCCTCACCACCCCAAACACCTCCTTATCATGGTATCGCAGGCGGGTTTTCGGATCCGTGTACGAAGCCGGCAAGCCCGTGATGTCGCAATACCGCCTCTGCTGCGATGCACTCAACGATGGAGCCGATTCGATATTCGTGTAGGTAACGGCAGGTCCGGTCTGGAAAGTCGCCTTCGCATTTTTCTCGAGCACCAGCGTGGACAGGTTCTGCGCGGCCTGCGCGATGTTGGAACTCCGCCCGGCGCCCTCGGCTGGCGTCTGGCTGCCGTCGGTGGTGGGCGCGAGGGGGGTTGTTGCGCCGGAGTTGGCTTGCGTCGCCATCACGGAGGCTTCTTTGCGGGTGTTTTCGGAGATGAGCTGCTTCACGTTCTTATTGCGACGCTGGGAGGGCCGCCATGCTGGGTTGCGGAAGGGGCGAGGCATGTGGGCGATGTCTAGGCTGTCTAGCAGCGCCTGGTGTCTTTCGGCTTCTTGGGGGGTGGGTGCCATTGTGATGCGATGTATTATTTGACAGCTTCACGTACAATATGGAGTCGGGCGTGGATTATCGATGATTGGAGCTTGAGGACGAGGAGGATCCAAAGATCTAAGTCCAAGTCCGGTGATGGGCGCCGGGCGGAAATCTGGGGCGATATCAGGTAAGCGCGCAGACAGTCACTACCAGTATGCCTGAATCGAGTACCCAGGGAAAATATCAGGGAAGTAGGTTGTTAGACAACTTGTAAGTAATTTAGAATAAGTCTAGAGTTGAATTTTTATTTACATTTTATTTCTCACAGAAATGACGATAGAAGACTATTTGAAAAGAACAATCCCAGCACCCCATTGACTGTGTATCACGTGACTAGCCTTATCAATTAGAGGATCGCAACAACAAACATCACCAAGACCAACAACACCCCATACCGCGAAAATGGTAAGGCACTACCACCGATAGACTATATTTCAACATTCCCGGCTAACAGGTATTTAAGGAGAGTCCACACGAACAGCAGCAAGCGCTGCTTCTTTCGCGAATTATCAACAATATCGTATGTAGCACGTTATCTCGAAGTCTTGGCGCTATACTGACACCTGCTAGGAGAAACTCAATGAGTCCGTAATGGTCATGAACAAAAGCCTCCAGGTATGTAGCTCGTCTTCTGGCTATGTTGACCGTGAGACTAATGTTGTACAGGAGGTTAATGTTCAGAACATGAATGTCGAGCTGGTGGCGCAGATGTTCAAGAACTACCAGTCCAATGTTCTGTTCCACCTGGAAGGTAAGATATCACCGCTAGCCGGTTGAATATCGCTAATGAGAGTAGCAACGGAGAGTCTGAAGGACCCGTCATAAAGGTTGGAGGTGGGGATCTAACTTGAGGACATTTTATCCTTTCAAGGTAACGAGGACATGAATAATTCTGGGATTTGGTGTTGCACCGGGCAAGGTCACAAAGAATGAATATCAATTGACATTAAAGTGCTTCGATAATAGTCAACAACAAATCGACCACCAATTTGTCTATCATAGAAGCTCTGCAGAATTATCAACCCCAGTGAAATCAAGACCAAAAAATCTACATGATCAAAGATCATGAGACGGCAAAAAAGCAAAAAGATATGACAAGAGTGGGATTCGAACCCACGCCACTTGCGTGACTAGGAAGTTCCGGAGAACTGTGATGGTCAGGTAAACCTGAACCTAGCGCCTTAGACCGCTCGGCCATCTTGCCTTGTTGTTGTGTATCAGTTTTGGTACTCTGTTTGAGGATCCTAACAAAGCAAGCAGGCTAGTTTTGTATATGCAACAGCCCTAACAGCCTCTACGAAGTATTAAGATCGCGGCCACCAGATGAGGTGAACTTAGAAGGATGGTTGTATTTACAGCTAGGCTCAAGGCTAATCTAACTGCATATTGAACCCCTGGGCATAAAAGCGTAGGTCTAGCTTCATAGCTCACCGGAGACGACGGCTAATCATCAGTAGCAGGCCTGCATCCTGATTTTCCCCTCCGTTCATATACCCCTGGAACAAGTGGTCATTAAACAAGGCGGCGACAATCAGTATGTATATATGTGTGACAGTCATGCAGAGTGTGTGGTAATCCATATCCAAAAGCCAGATGATAATCGGTTCAGGCGAAGGGCACATAACTTGGTCCCAATGCCATCGTAGTAGCTACTGATTTAAATAGGGATTATGACCCGGGATTCTACCAGTTTCATACGCCAGCTACCGAGTTTAGCTGACCAGGAAGACGAGAGGGTTCCAGGATATGGCAAGCTAGCTAGGGACTCGGGTGTTCAGTAGACAATGGCACAGGCACTGGCAGTGATAACCAGGTACTTAATAATGATTTGGTTTCGTCTTACCCGAGGGGAATCTGTAATTCAATCTTCGTAGACTCTACTATCTGTGAGACATCTACCTAGAATTGGATCTGTCTCTAAAATATGCATGGGGCGCTGGTTCATTTAACTTACACTATGAAGGAGTGAAGGCCATAGTTACTATACTTCGCTGACAGGAGCTCCTTTGCATGACTTGGATTCCTTGTGTTTGTTTGATTGATTCTGTTGACAATAATGTAAGAAGGATATTTCAAATCAATCGATCTACCCTGCTTACCGGGGAAATGATAGAATGGAGATAAAAATAAGATACGCTGCTGAGTGACAATTAACTGCTGGCGGGTATCTACTGCGGCACCACACGCCCGAAAGTGGTACTATCCCGCCCCACTATATCCTAACAGTCCCATATTTTCACACATCCCGATCCACTCCCAAAAACCAAAAAACAGATTCAATATGTGCAAAAAGAAATGACAAGAGTGGGATTCGAACCCACGCCACTTGCGTGACTAGGAAGCTCCGGAGAACTGTGATGGTCAGGTAAACCTGAACCTAGCGCCTTAGACCGCTCGGCCATCTTGCCTGTTGATATGTTGAAGGCTGACTTTTATGCTACATCAGCCTAGCTGGTGTCTATGCATAGTACCTGCAGTGGAGTATGCATGTCAACTTTATTTAGCAGCTTAAATGCTCCTCATAGTATGCCCCTCGTCTCTACATGACTAGGTACATAAATAGAAATCTGAGCCTAAGTATCACTTGGGCATTTGTCTTCCTTGAATTTCTGTTTTATTTCATTTTATTATGTGTGTGCGAGATACTGATGGGTTTATACCTGCCTTTTTGGTTGTGACACCGTCAATATATATACTTTGTTCTGCATGTTTTTTGTCCAATACCAACACCACCAAGATCTGTATAGGAAAGTCAACAATGTGGGAATAGTGAATGCAATCAATTAGCATGCTAGTCTCGGCAAATTGGTATATTGATTATATAAAATAATTATTCGCAACATCCTTCAGCTCTCAGAATCATAGTTGAACAGTGAGACATGCAATCAGCAACATGTCAGTCGACCTACAGTATTTTCCCACATGAATGATTATCTGAAAATTTGCTGTTTTTGAAATCCTGTAGCCATTCGCAACCTCTTCATGGTCATCAGAATGAATGAAACTCATCAATATTGTGACCGATCCCATCGATCCTCCCACAAGCTGTGAGCCTGGAGTCTCCACGGCTACCATAATATCGTGTCTGAAGCTATTCCTGATAACCTCATCCCACCAAAATGACTATCTTCAACGCGTCCATATCTATTTTGACCATCCGATTATACCCAGCCAAATCGCCGATCACTATAAGTAACATGCGCTCAGCCACACGAAGAGAAGTTTGCCTCCAAACTGAAAAGGATCATGTCTTCGTCTCAGTATTCAAGCAGGCGAGCGACTTGCCAATACTGGGCCTAAATATTGGAGTTCTTCATGTCATTTGTTTTGGTTTGCATCCTTGCAGGCTGGTGACTTTCCCGTAGCAGGCATAAACTTCAAGAACCTAGCTTAGGGAGTCCCTATGGCAGGCTGGAAGTCACACGGTCATGGTGGTCCTGGAGGCCAGTGAGCTCACCAGGGTCAATATATATCCTAGCGTGATAGATTAGGCTCTGAAGAGCAAGGTTCTGATAGACTCAGCAGGTTCACAAATAATGAGTCCAACGAGACCACCGCAGACAGAGCTCACCGCGGTAGGAAACTTGACCAAGACCTGTTACGCGAGGGTGTAGAAAGGATCTTGACCAGAGATCATGGTGGTGAAGGGATGGCCTCTGTACATACACCCTGCAGCGTGAAGACAGGAGAATAACCCCTATGACTCTCCACCCCAGGCAGGTGTGACCCTCCATATTCCCGAGACAACAAAGAAGAAAGGTGACTGGGGGCTTCATACATTATGAGAGGACTAAACCACAATAAGAAAAAACAGTATCTGCCGTGTCGATAGTCTAAAATATGTATACGGCATGCGTGTGGGAATGATTGAGCTAATCTATCCACGCAACAGCACCGGTTCCATGATCAACAGTGTAATATGATTAACCCCACAATCCCATGGGACCCGCGAATACGAGACTATATACCAAGGGGAGTGGCAGTAGGGGCCCGCGAAAACCCCAACAGACACACAAAACCACAGAAAAACAAAGGAATTGAGGGGATACCATGGATTAGCAAAACAATCCGTTGATACCTGGCCAGACTAGGAGCAACCTTTTATTTACCACCATACAAGGCTGTAGCTGACCCGTTCATTCCTCGTCTGTGGGTTACTGGCATTACGCTCCGTTGTATAACCAGTGATCACCGCTGCGTGCTGGATGTGGGCTGTTTGGTCTGAAATGTGCCGTCTTAAACCTGCCGATATACCCAAGGCAATTGGGCTCTGTATCTCTCGAGGCCTCAAACCTGACGAGCTAGGGCTGGACGAGGCTTTAGCAAACGTGAGTAGAACACCCTTGCATCAATAGGTTAATATGCCCAAGTCCTCCGCGAGAATGTCCTTGAGTTATGCTATACAAGGATGTCTCTTGGTCAACAGATACTGGACTCAACGTAGGGTTATTCAGAAGAAAAACAATAGGAGAGACATGGAGGGCCCTAGAGAAGGGAGAAATAGAGAACATAAGCACTAGACTGAGTAGCACCATCACTGAAAGCCAGCCCATTCAAGTATCAGTCAAAGCATTGTTGACATCCGATAGTTGATACTATAAACTACCATAGGATAGAGTAACACGTACCAAAACCTCAGGTTACCATTTCACTACCATTGATAACCATCTGCAACCGATGTGGTAACAGTTAATACTCCGCAACCTCTCAACCATATGAGTGCGATTACATAGTCTTGAAACCATACTCTTAGACCAACCAACCGGGCCTGTATATATATAAAATATATTGCACAGAACATATTCTGTCAATGAATCATGAGTGGATGAGGGGAGAAATAGAGCAAACAGGGGATATGGAAGATCAAAAGAAGAAGGGGAGAGAAGGCGTAGAGGGAAGTAGTAGAGTGGAGGAAAAAAAGATATGACAAGAGTGGGATTCGAACCCACGCCACTTGCGTGACTAGGAAGTTCTGGAGAGAACTGTGATGGTCAGGTAAACCTGAACCTAGCGCCTTGGACCGCTCGGCCATCTTGCCGTTGTTGAAGAAAATGCTTCTTTAGATGCTTTACCAGTGACAAAGAAACAGAGCTTGGCACATCAACAAGCCACTGCGGAAGTTGCCTCCTGCGCTTTGCGGCGTTCAAAAGCTGGTTGCGCATCTTAACTTCAGTCCACCGCCTCCCCTTTCACTTGCGTGTTTTGGCTGTTTTGGCTCGGAAATCCATCCTTTTACAATAACTCGTCCTCTGTCACCCCACCCATTGCTCGCGACAACTTGCAATGAGGTGATTCGCTCTCGCAGAAGCTCCTGAGTTGCTAGTCACTTCGAACGCCCTCCGCCATGACTATCAATTCGGTGCAGACGCTCTTCCCCGGTCGCCGTTCGATCAATGCCACCGAGAAGAGCGCCGCGAAGCCGCCTCCGAAGACTTATCCAGCACGAGATCCTCCTTTCAGGGGGTATCTTTCCCCGCAAGCCGATGGGTTCGAGCGAAGCAGATCGAACCCCGACTCCAGCGCCATAGTCATTGACAATGGTAAGTCCATATCCTCCTGAACAAGACTTTGTCTCCCACTGACATTCCCTGTCCGTAAGGCTCTAGTCTCGTGAAAGCTGGATGGTCGTTCGACAAGGACCCCCGCTTCGTCATCCCTCCGGTTATGAGCCGGTATCGCGACCGGAAGCTCAACAAGGCGTGTCAGTTCATCGGATATGACGCCTACGTCGATGCTACGACACGGGGTCAATTGCGTTACGCCTTTGACCCTGGCACGAGTGTGGTGGGAAATTGGGATGTTATGGAAGGGGTGCTTGATTATCTATTTCTCAAGCTGGGGGTAGACGGGACAGACGGAGGCGTTGACCGGCCCATCGTGATGACAGAACCGATCGCGAACTTGAACTACCCGCGACGAAGTAGGTTACATCTTGATTGCGATGGGGATCGTCTTGCTGATATACTTAGTGATGAACGAAATCCTTTTCGAATGCTACTCCGCGCCTTCCGTTGCCTACGGGATCGATTCGCTCTTCTCCTACCGGTACAATCGTGGGACGGATGGATTGATTGTTTCATCGTCGCATACATCGACCCATGTTATTCCCGTCCTTAACAACAAGGCCCTGTTGTCGAACTGCTCGCGGCTCAACTGGGGTGGAATGAACGCGTCTGAATACTTGCTGAAGCTGATGAAGCTGAAATACCCGACGTTCCCCGCAAGGCTTACCGAGAATCAGATGGAAGGGCTCGTCCGAGAGCACTGCTACGTATCCACGGACTATGACACAGAGCTCAGCCACTACCTCGATTGGACAGGTCTCGAAGATCGCGATCACGTCATCCAATACCCATACACGGAACATGTGGTGCAGGAAAAGACCGAGGAGGAACTTGCGCGCATCGCGGAGAGAAAGAAGGAGAGTGGACGCCGGCTGCAGGAACAGGCCGCCAAGATGAGACTGGACAAGCTTATGAAAAAGGAGCAGGAGTTGGAATACTGGAAAGACCTCCAGCGGGGTCTTCAGTCAGAGACTAAGAAAGAGGCGAAGCGGATCTTGGATGCGGAGGATCTGAAAGACGAAGCACACCTCGATCGGCTCGTCCGGGACCTTGAACGGTCCATCAAACGGTCTAGAAACCGGGACCTCGGAATCGAGGAGAATGAAGAGCCTCAGGAGGAGATGTCGTTCCCCATGTTGGACATCCCTGACGAGGAATTGGACGAGGCCGGCTTGAAAGAGAAGCGCCACCAGCGACTCATGAAGTCCAACGTCGAGGCACGCCAACGCGCGAAGGCCGAAAAGGAACGTGAGAAGGCCCGCCGGGAGGAAGAAGAACGACTTGACCGGGAGAAGAGGGAGAACAATTTTGAGGAGTGGATTGAGGAGAGAAGGGTGGCTCGACAGGTAAGGTCCCATCCCCGACAGAATTTGACCGAAATAGGTTCTAACTCTGCATTAGAATATCCTGCAGAAGATCAAGGAGCGTGACAGGATGAAGGCGGATCTGGGTAACCGGAAGTCCCTCGCCAGCCAGATGCGGATGAAAACGCTAGCCAATCTCGCCGCAGACGGACCCAAGAAACGCCGAAGAGGCGGCGACGATGACGACTTCGGCGCGAACGATGAAGACTGGGGCGTGTACCGAACCGTGGCTACCGGCGACCAGAGCGACGACGAAGAAGAGGAAGATCTCGGCGCCGTGCTCGACAACGTCGAGAAGGAGCTCCTGGAGCACGATCCCGAATTCACAGAGAACCACACGCTCGCCGCGCAGTCCGACTGGACCAAGAGCCTGATCCACGTCTTCCTCCGCGGTCCCTGGCCGTTCGACCCAGAGAGCCAGCGCGAGGCCCACCAGCTCCACCTCAACGTCGAGCGCATCCGCGTGCCGGAGGTGGTATTCAAGCCCTCTATCGCCGGCGTGGACCAATCAGGCCTCGTGGAGATAGCCGCCGACATCGTCAACCACCGCTTCGGCAACCCCGACGACCAGGCGAAACTCCTCCGCGACGTCTTCTTCACCGGCGGCAACACGCTTTTCAAGAACTTTGACGAACGATTCCGGAACGACTTCCGCGGTCTCCTGCCCATCGACGCCGAGCTGTCCGTGCGTCGCGCTGCTGACCCCGTCTTCGATGCGTGGAAGGGAGCAGCGCAGTGGGCGTCTGGGCCGGAGCTGGCCAAGTCGTCTGTCTCGCGGCAGGAGTATATGGAGAAGGGTAGCGAATATTTGAAGGTATGACCTATCCTTACATATCCTCTCTACACTTACATCTCGTGCTGACAATACCTAGGAACACGAGCTGGGAAATGCTACCTCGTGGTGAATGACGAGGTTCTTGATTATAACTGGCAACTACGTAAGCCTAGACAGTAGTCACTGTCGTGGTCGCTGATTTTTCTATCGAATGCGAGCGTCCTTGTCAGTGTGAAGGTGGGCGAATGTCGAGGCGTCGGGCGTCAGGAAAAGGGTTCGTTTGTTATATTATGAGTGATTGCGATTAGATATCTATCTTAGCTTATCTTACTACTACCTTAACCACTATCATTATCAAATGTAGCGCTGTTATCGTACCTATATATTCCCTTCCTTCTTTTCTTCTAAGAAGTCTTTTGGCACATCTATCTCGACCCGTTTAACGATCTATATATTCTGTACTATGGACACGAACTCCTCTAGGATATATTCGTAGACACACAAGTTCTTTATTGTAAAGACCTCAAGCCTCCCTTTAACCTGAACCATAAAACAAGACGCCACCCACATGTTCTAAAATCTTCCTATATATCATAGGACAAACATACTAGACCGCCAAGCAAGCAAGCAAGCAAGCAACCCATTCAGATATAGTTTATAGTCAGTGGGGCAGTCGTGACACCGACAGGACCAGACAAAGAGTATCCATCCAACAATGGGGGGTGGGGCATGGTTTAGGTAGGACAATCTCGTAAAAGGCGACTAACTACTTTGGAGATAGAGATAGGAAGGGTAATAAGAATGTCATTGTGGGCTCGGGATGCTCGGATGGAGGTGGGGTATTGTTTTTTTCTCGATTCTTTGTCTGTGACAGGTGACGAGGGATGAAATCATCAGTGGATATCAATATAGTTATTGGCAGTGAGGTATCCGTGTTTATTGTGGTTGGGAGGTCTACTTGGTTGGTCTTGGGTTTATGTTGATATTGGTACTGTTTTATGGGAGGTAAGAGTTGAGATCTATCGAATTGGCTCCTATTTGAAATGCTGATGATTATGATCGGATAAACCCTATATTGGTAAACATGATACTTTCCAAAGTTCTGAGTAGATAGAAAGCCAAGTCACATAACGTGGTCGACTGTTGAAGCTTTAGGGTTAGCTTTGATCTGCGGCAGCCACAACTATAGCTATAACATCGTATAGAGGTCAGACGATATCCCCAAATTGATCGCCATCACAGATGATAATAATTGGCTCAATTAAAGTGCATCGTTGAGCGGATCTGTCGTGGTAAAAACATGGTTAATCCTGTGGATCTTAGTTCATCACATAAACCTTGATAGACAACAGAGACTAAGCCAGTGACGCCTCCAAACCCTATCCCGCATTTATCTTACTCTCACAATGTTTGGAATTCACCACGTAAATGCACCCACCTGAGCAATGAACATTGAGATAAATATCTAGACAATCAGAATGATGTAACAAAGATTGGTTCCATCGGGCTCACCCGTGGGATGAGTGGCCTCGACCAACGCATCTGTCTGCCCACAGCTTCCGCAGCATGCCGAATGGATCGTTGCAACTCGCCAATCAGCATATTGATCGTGTGTTTCTTGGGCTGATTGTCTGTATATCCTCTTTCTTGTTTTCTTTTCTTTATGGTTGAATTTCTATTGTCTGATTGTTACCTCTTTCTCCTACTATATATCACCTCCTCGAATAACTTTTACATATAGCACCGAGAGCACCGTCTTACAAACCCCAACAGAGAACAGACCCCCATCATCTGACTACCAAACCATCAACAATGACAGAATGATAACTGGATTGATGAAAACTGGAATCTGGATCTCCCGTGGGTCAATCCTGAACTTAGACCGAGCCAGCCAGCCCTACGCCGGCACCAAACCGACCTCACCCTCCATGACGTATCCGGGGAACAACAGCTGTAGAAGTAGATCCAAGCAAACCACCCAATGGCAATAGAGAATCGCATTGATTTCATATCATTGATAATTCCGTCCAACCCCTCTGACGCAAAGGGCAGACGGCAAAATCGGCCACTTCCATCCTCCTATATAAACCCTAACCTTGTCGCGACAAACCTTCTGGCCCTTATACTGTATTTTCTTCTCTTCTTTCGATTCTGGTCTGTTTCACACCACGTTGAACGCCTCTTCATTGCCAACCCCCCAGCATAGATACCGAAAGGAGTTGAAGAAAGAAAAACAGCCACCATGTTTCCCAGCTCCCTCACCAAGCCCTTCCAGCTCCTCTGCCGTGCGATGCAGTGGTCTAGCGCGGCGATCGTGCTGGGCCTTACGTCCTACTATATCCACAAGGGTCCGAGGGGCTTGCTGTTGAAATATACCGAGGTTATTGTATGTCTCGTTCCTTCAATCACACTTCGAATATAGATGTCTAACAGGATTCAGGCGACAATGTCCATCGTCTTCTTCCTCCCGGCCTTCGTCTCGCCTTTCATGCCTAATCGACTCAGCAAATATGTTCTCTTGATTGATGTGGTCTTCTCTTATCTGTACGCACCTACCCACCATTCAATCCAATCCCACCATGTATACACACGATACTAACCTTGATATAAAAAGATGGCTCACAGCCTTCATCTTCGCCGCCCAAGACTACAACCGCGACGACTGCTTCCTCAACGCGCCGCCCCACCACAGCTGCGCCAAAAAGAAGGCCAACGAGTCGTTCATCTTCTTGACTTTGTACGTTCCCTCCCCAACATCCAACCATGAGGCCCCTAGAGAAACACAGAATATAAGGAAAAGGAAGAAACTAACAAGTGGTATACAGCATCTTCACCTTCTTCGCCATGTTCCTCGAAGTCCTCAACCTCTGGGCTGACCGTCGCGAGAACCGTTCGCCCTCCAGGGAGAAGTACTCTGGTGGTGCCCATGGCGGCCCGCCTGATGCGCCGCTCGGGTCGAGTAATGTTTAATAACCATTCACTTTGTTGACTACATACCTACCTAGGTATCTACCTACCGAGGTACTATTTAGGTAGTTTGGACGTCTACGTGTGAGATGGATGTGAATGGGGAGAGTGTGTTATGATGGGGATTCGGTCCTCCTGCTCTTCTTCTGGATTTGGTTGGATGATCTATCAATGTTGGTTGTCAGCGTGGCTGATTTTTCTTTCTGGGAAGGAAATGATTGAATGGATTTGTTAATATGGTTGTGGCTTGGTTGACTGCAACGAGCACTGACAAGAGAAATAACCAAGAGGCGGAAACGTTATATTGGAACAGTTATATTGGCAAGCTTGTCTATCTACCCTTTACATACGATCCGTTCGATCGATATTGTGTACCTAATGCCCTAATAGCTCCCTAGGAGCGCTCATAGGATCGGATTTGATATAATGTATTTAGGAAAGTGAAGCGCGATGCAATATTTATGTACATTTCTATATTTTTCATGATTGAAGCTCGTCGCATCTAGTCATAATCGTAAGCATATGATCCAAGCCAAGATCCATGTCAGAACCCAAGACAAGAACCAGATAAGTTGTTTATATACTAGCCCGCCGCGGCGCCATCGTCCGCTGCAGCTTCTTCTTCTCCTCCGTCTCCTCCGGCAGAGGCAGCGAACCCTCGCTGCGCAGCTTCTCTAGATACTGTTTTCCAAATTCGTACCCGACCTGGTAGATTTCGTCGAACTTGCCAAAGTCGAGTGTGCCGTAGGGGTCGATCGGCGGCCGCATGTACAGACAGCCGGGCATGTTCTTGGCGCGCTCTAGGTTGTCGATGGACGAGACATACGCGAGTCGCGCCTGGATTTCCGACAGCGTGGGTGGGTTGGGAACCGATGAGAACGGGTTCCAGCGGTTGAGGACGGACCATGCGCCTGAGAGGGAGTCGCCGTATGCTTGCGGGGTGTTGTCGTCGATGGAGCCTACGTCTACGGCGAAGACTACGTCTGCGCCGAGGCCCTTCATGTAGGCGACTGTGAGGTTGTCGATGTAGCCGCCGTCGAGGAGCATGCTGCCTTCGTCGCAGATTGGTGGGATTAGGCCCGCTAGTGTCATGGAGGCCCGCACGTAGCGCCAGACGTAGCCTGAGGAGTGGAACTCGGCGCGCGATTTGCTGATGTTGGTCGTGTTGCAGTAGAACTCGAGCCAGAAGTCTTCGATTTGGCTGTCGCCGAAGGTTTTGAAGATGCCGCGGTTGAACTCGTGGCCTGTCGTGTACGAGGCTGTCGGGTATGTCAGGTCGAGCGCGAAGCGCCAGATACTACCCATGCGGCCGGCGAACTTCTTGGCACGGCCGAACATGGGGACCACGTCGGCATCCCGCGCGTACAGGGCTCCGATGAACGACCCGATAGAGGTGCCACCGATGATGTCGATCGGAATTCCAGCCTCCTCGAGGGCCTTGATGACCCCCACTTGGGCGATGCCCCGGGCTCCGCCGCCTCCAAGGACGAGGCCGACGGACCGGCCACAGAGTCGACGCGCAAGGCGGTGGAAGTCTCCTTTGAACGGTGTCTCAGCGGAGTAGAGGGGCGACTGGTGGATCCGTCGCGAGGTGTACTTCTGGATTTCCGCCTGGATGACTTGGACCCTCTGCTTCAGAACCGCCCCAAAACGTTTTGTCGTCTGCGGGTGGGAAGGCTCTTCCGTCAGTCGGAATGGCATTTGGATGTGATGATGGCCTCCGTTGATCCAGACTCGGTTCTTCAGCCACCGCCGCGTTAGGCCAGGAGAGCAGTAGCGCTCCGCATGCAACAAGACGAGCTCTTTCCGGGCGGTTGTCTTCATTCCGAGAAGGAATCGTTCGTACTCTCCGATGGCCGGGGACGACTCGGCGAGACCGACAAGGAGAAGGCAGTCAGCCTGCTTGATACAAGTCTGCGTCCACGGGGAGTTGACGTTGGTGTCTGCGATGTACAACAGCATCCCGTACTTCTCCTCCAGGTCTGCCAGATACTGGGACAGCTTCAATTTACCCATCTTGCTGAATGCGTGGCGACCCAAGTGGTTCAGGATGGCGGCCTGGTTGAGGGATGTCACGCCATTCGTGACGCCGATCTGATGAAGGGCGTTCAGTAACCGATGGCCAAACTCGACGACAGGCACCCCAGCTGTCACAGGCAAGATGCCGACGGTACGCAGATTGACCGTTGAGGTTGCTGTCTTGACGGTGCCTGTGTTGCCATATTCGGCGCTGTTCTCGGTGATTGGGCGCTCGACCAGATCTCGCATGCGTTGCGCGATAAGCTTCGAGACCTGGATGGTGATCCCGGGATGCTCCTGTGCCAGGCTATTAAAGAGAGACCTGGGAAATTTGGCCAATTCGGTGTCCCGGATGGCGTGCAGAGCGGCCGGTCGAGTGGACTCGGTCATGACCTCGAGCTCGCCAACGCTTTCTCCCTGGCCATATTCGCCAAGGACGGTCATCTTCCCGCCCTGGCCTTCGATGAATGACCTTAGACGCCCGTTGAGGACAAGATAGATTGCGTCGCTTTCGTCGCCTTGCTGGTAGATTACCTGGCCCGCAGAGACCTGCACCCATTCCAGGGCAAAGTCGATGTGCAAAAGCAACCTGGGTAGGAGATCCGTCAGGCGCTTAGCCAGCGTCAACAGGACGATGGGATACCGTTCCGCAATCCTCTCCAAGGAGGCCCGCGGCAGGAACCCGACGTACACGTCAGTCTTGGCCACGACGTCGGTGTGGGAGCGGTAGGAAGCGGTCGCTCCCACGTAGCCTTGAATGCCACCGGGCTTGATCATGTACAGCGACTTGCGAGATTGCTTCTTGCGTCTGGAGTCACCGCCGCCAGCCCCCAGGCTCGGAGCGCGGGAGGAAGCCCCCCTGGTAGACTGCCTCAGTGGCGTGAAGCGCTCTTCCTGTGGATTGGCCGTCTTGGATGCGCCCAGGAGATCGTCCTCCTTGTCGACCACGGGTACACCCACGTCGAGGAATCCATCGATGACGTAGTACAAACCGGGATGGCGCTCGCCTTGTTCAACAAGGACGGAGCCCTGGGGAAAGTAAACCACCTCGATGTCATTCCGAATCTCGTCCTTCAGGTTGCCAATCGGTGGCGTGCCGCCGACACTGGTAACGGACATCGACATCGCCGATTCCGAGTCACCATCGTTGGACCCTTCATAAGGGTCCATGAAACCAAATGCGTTGTTGCTAAACACCGCCTTCTGGAGCCGAGAATCATAGGATAGCAGCCTGGGAGATGCATCGCCCGACACGAGACTGCCCTTGCGCAACATCTCACCAGTGGTTGTTGTGAGACCAATCCCGTTCATTATACACTCCAGGATGGACTCTCGGAAGAGGGAGTCTTCGTCAAAAGACTCCTTGCGCTGGAAGGGAAGGCGGGCCGTGACTAGCGGCGGTTGCTCTTTTTCGGCCAGCGGACTCTGTAACTTCGGGGTCAAAAGGTCGTATCTAGGGCCGAACCTCGAAAGCTGAATGGTCGAAAGGAGGTCTCCGGGACTGGGCCCGGGCCCTTCTCGGTCACTTCCCACATAGTCCGAACCGGCCACGGAAGATGGGCGATTTGCGTTGGCCATCCTCGCTTGCAGGACGGCTTCCTTTCGTAGAAAGCTGCTCGAGCGACGTCTCCTCCCCATGGAAGGGTTGTGCAACGCGATACCTTTGGTGATCTCCTCGGGGCCGAGGCGGTCCCGCTCCTTGATGAACTTGCCCTTGAGCCGGTCCAAGGCGCCCCCCCTCATTTCATTGGGGAGGTCGTACGTGGTAAACTTGTTCATCTGCCGCTCAATGCCCAGAACCTCGTTCATGAGGCCAAGATAGGAGTGGGCCGTCGCAAAGGTCACTCGTTGCAGACGCGTCAGGATCACTTGGACGATATGCGCTGTCGCTCTGGGGTAGACCCGTGTCAGACGCCGAAAGGCGCTGGCAGGGATGATCGCAATCGTGGTATCTACCATGGCCCGTGCCACGATGTCCGGATGGACTGACTTCTGGTGCTTCTTACCCGGCCGCTGCTTGGATTCTTGCTGCTCCGCCTGGGGACTCGGGATGCTCTGGCTGCCCTCGAGGTTTAATGGCGGCACGGAGGGCAGGAACTCCTCATTACTAGCCATGGGGGAGGCGAGGTCGTTTGGATCTCTCAAGGGATTAGGGGAGGCGCTGTCTAAGAACTCTCGAGGGCTGACCGGGGCCGGGGTGGATGGCCTCGCGGTGCTGCTCGGACCTACGCTGGGGGCCCTGGAAGCGGGGGTTTCCGCAGCCCGTAACTGGATATCCTCCGTGAAGAGAGAAAGGATGGAGAACAGGGAGGACATGGAGGCACCGTTTTTGACCTCGGTGAGCAGCTGGTAGCGCTGTTTCCCCGCGAGGTGGTCGTCCTCGTCCGCAGATTCCGCGCCAGCGCGGTCCATGTCCTCCTCTCCATCCGACTTTCCTTCTCGGATGGACTTGACAAAGATCTGAACGAGCCCGTCTACGACCAGACAGAATCCCTTCTCCTCCTCGAGCAATAGCGTTTCGCCGGCGATCAGTTTCCTCGTCTGCATGGTCCGGGTCAGTTCGTGGAACACCGGCCGTTCCAGGTAGCCAAAGACCTTGATGGCGCTGAGGAATTCATCGAGATAATTGGCCAGACCCGGTTTCGAGTCCCCCTCCTGGGTATCCGGGAACAGATCGAGCTGCGGCTCCTTCCGCTGGGGCTCGGGAGGCAGGCGGCTGTACATATTGAGAAACCGGTACCGAACGAACCAGATGAAAGTCGACACCACGGCCAGCACGATGAGCAGACTGATCGGATCGCCCATTGGTCAGCAATCATATAGAAAGCAAGGGCAGCTGCTCCATGAACTTACAGGGTGGTGAAATTCATGGTGAAGGTCAAGCTCATGGAAAACAGGGTGAAGAGCCATGTGGGAAGGGTGATGGTAGAAAAGGTGATGATCCAGTATAAGAGGCTTGGAATGCCCTGGAAAAGAAGGGAAAACACCCAACCGATCCACCCCACCATACTGGTCGGTTTTGGCGGCGATACCGGTGGGGGTGGGAGATGGGAATTGGAAAAACCCGAGAGGCCGGAAAGACTCGCGGTTATGGCGGGCGCGAGGGGCAAGAGGGACGAGAGGGGTGATGCGGAGGTTGAAATCAAAGCGGACGAGGTAGACACGTTGAGGACGCTGGAGGGAGAAGGGACTGATATTCCGGCGTCGGCCATGATGGATCCCTACTCCTCCGGTTCTTTTTTTCTTTTCTTTTCGGGGCTATGCCTGGCTGGGCCAGGAACAGCAAGGTCAAGGTGTATTTGACGTCGTTGAATGGAGCCTAAGCCACTAAGCTCCCTGTTTTGTTAAACAGGATTGGCACAGGCTAAGCTAAACCCTATTGGGAGACTGAGTGGACCGTGCCACGGTCAAATTGGCTGATGATTGATGAATCATGAATGGTGTCGTAGTAATAGGCGGACATAATGGTACCGAGGAACCTGACAGGTGTAAGGGACGGTGTACAGTAAGGAAGTGGTCATGACCGATCAAGGTCATGAGTACATACCGCCATTCAAGGGAGCCACCGCATCGGTAAGAATTAGTATGAGACGAACGCTGTTCTCTAGACAAGAAGAGGGAGAGAGGAGAGAATGAGAGAGAGAGGAAGAGTAGAAGACATGAAGTCAAGAATGGGATGGGATGGACTTCTTGTTGTTTCTTACCTGAGGCAGAACAGTCACGGGCTGCCCAGGAGACACTAGACCGGATTGGGACTAGTGGATATGGTCGAGTCTGGCACGTGCAAGTTGCATAAAATGGCATTATTAGTGTTCCGTGGACATCTCGGAGATCAAGATTATGGATCAGGTGATCGTAAGGCAGAAAGAACGTTATTCGGGACTTTACCCCGTACTCCCCATGCTTGTGGGGAGATGATAGATAGATTGTATGGAGTGTTCTTCTCAATGTCCGGTAGATAACAAAGAAATATAGAGATAACCTATTCAATCCCCCTCTGGGTAATAAATAATCCAACCGTCAAGTAAGGTAACCATACGACCAACTACCCCTTTGAAAGGATCAAGTCTTGGCCGTCCGAGCGGAATACCGAATCGGGGATTTTCTGCCAACGTCTAAGGCCGCCTGACCAATCTGGCCTTGTTGCTGCCTCAGCTCCCCCCAACATCCCCGGGCATGCTCCTCCTGATTCTTCCTGTCTTACACCTCCTCCCACTGCTCGATTTATTGCTTCACCTAGGTGGTTTTTGTCTTCCATTTGTCTATCTAGCGGTGGTCCTGGTGACCAGGCCTGCTACGGTCATGTTTCAGGTACAGTTGATCTTCCCTGTCGATGGCGTGAGGGCCTGATAAGGCTTCCTCTGCCACCAGCTCTCTCCCGGCTTTATTAACCCCATCCTTGTTCATCGGGTGTTATTGACACCGGCTAACCGCATATTCAGCGTCTCCGCGATGCAATCGACTCTCGGATTGCAGAGGAACAAGCTCGCCAGAAGGACGCCGTAACCCGCTCCAATTCCACCCGCCGTGCCGACCCGAATCGACGACCCCCCCGGGCCCGGCGCAACACTGGAACGCCGGTTCGCGGACCCGATCCCACCGAGTTCGAGCCGGATTTTGCGATCGGAGAGGATGACGAGTCCAGCACGTCGGGCACTCCGCGCCCCGGATCCGCCGATGTCCCCGAAAGCGCGCCGGCGGAGAACACTGGGGAGGAAAAGGCAGCCGTAGGGGAGTCGTCGTCGGCAGGGAAAGAGGCGGCGCCCGCTGCGGAGGCGAATAAGCCCGCAGCCCCCGCGGAGCTCCCTCCTGATGTTCGGGTGAAATTAAGGAAGCTGACCAAGATGGAAGCTCGATATCAGGGTATGTCACGGGGTTACGCAATTTGTTAGGACTCGGGATTCTAATGACCCTCTGCTATAGATCTTTTGAAAGCGTACCGAGCGGCCCATTCGCGTGTCCTGTCGATCGAACCCTTCGAAGCTGCCTTGCGCGAGAACACGCCCCTGACCTCCGTCGGAGACCCCAAAGCCTTGACGGAATACTTGAACCAAATCTCGTTGAAGAGTGATATGGTTGGGGAGGAGCTGAAGCGTGTTACGACCGAGAGGGATGACTACAAGAAGAAGTACGAAGAATCCGAGAAGGCGAAGAAGGCGGTGTTGGACGAAGTCGACCAACTCAAAAAGAGTCGCAAGGACGATGATGATGCGAAGGGTGACCAGAAGGTTGTGGATACCCCAGAAGCGAAGAAAACATCGTCGGACGACACCGATAAGGCCGCCACCCAAGCCTCCGAACCGCAGGAAGAGAGCGAGGAATTCTTCTCCTTCGACGCCGAGGTCCCGCGATTGGAGTCTGAACTGAAGCAGAAGCAAGAAGAGGTCGAAACGCTCCAATCCCAGGCGGTGTCGCTGAAGCGCGACCTGTCCGTGGCACGCGAGTCGACGGAGGGCATGGTCATCAATCTGGAATCTGCGACTAGGGAGCTTGTGGACCTGCGCGATAACAAGGATAAGCAAGACGCGGAACTCGAGAAGCTGAAGAAGGCTAGACAGGAAGACGTGGACGACCTGAAGTCCAAGCTTGCCGCCTCCGAGAGCGCCGTCGAGAAAGCCAACACCGAAGTCGAGAGTTTGAAGGCTGAACTGACGCAGAAGTCGACCGAGATCGAACAGCTTCGCGAGAAGGCCTCCCAGTCTCAAACTGCCGATCAGCAGGCCGAACTTACCTCTAAGCTCGAAGAAGTGAAGAAAGAGAAAGACACAAGTGAGAAGCGCCTCGGCGTGGTCCAGGGCCTGGTTGACAGCCTCAAGTCTCAGCTCAAGGAGACGCAGGAGACCATGTCCGGTCTCAAGGCCGATGTCGACCAGAAGACTGAGAACATGGGCAAGCTGCAGAATATCGTCGACTTCCTTGACGGTAACATGAAGGACAACACGACCTGGAAACAGGCAAAGGACCAGGTCGCGAGTGGCAAGAAGGCCGATTTCAATGACCTGCGTGAGAGTCTTGCTCCTGCGCAGAAGGCCGCAGCCGCTACCAAAACCCCAGAACCCAAGGCTGCCGAGCCAGTCAGTCAGCCAGCTGCCTCTACAGCTGCTGCTGGCGGAGGTGGTAAAAAGAAAAATAAGAAGAAGAAGAAGGGTGGCAAGGGAGGCGACGAACCCAGCAAGCCCGCAGAGGCTCCAGCGGCTCCAGCGGAGGAAGCACCAGCGACGGAGACCAAGCCGGCCGGTTCGGACTCGAGCCAGTTGCAACAGAAGATTGAAACTCTGACGCAGCAACTGGAAGAGAAAGAACAAGCCATTGACCGCCTCAGTTCGAAACTTAAAGGGGAAGATGACCTCAAGGAAGAAATCGAGTCTCTTCGCGACGACCTCCTCAACATCGGCCAAGAACACGTGGGGTCGAAGGATAAGATCAAGGAGCTCACGGCCGATAAGAATGCTTTGGAAGAGACCATCTCCAAGTTGGAGAAGGAGTTGACTGACTTGCGCACTAGCAGCGCTTCCAGCGCTGATAGCGAGAAGGCGCACAGTGACCTCAGAGGCGAGTACGAGGGATTGAAAGTGAAATTTACCACTATGGAAACCGAACTCTCTGCTGCCCAGCAGCTCGCCACAACCCGATTCAAGGACCTTACGGACCTGCGGGAGACTGTTCAGAAGCTGCAGCCCGAATTGAAGAAGCTGCGGGATGAGTCGGCGGAACTCCAGAGTACCAAGGAGGCTCTGGTGGGCAAGACATCGGACTTGCGAACGCTAGAGGGCAGACAGGAGGACTTGAGAACGGAGCTGAAGACCCTCAAGTCGACGATATCCGACCGCGACAACGAAGTGAACACGCTCAACAAAAAGATTCGACAGGAGACCGATAGCCGCTTGAAGGCCGAGGAGAAGCTAAGCATCGCCCAGTCCGACCTGCGTTACTCGGAGGGCAAGAAGCAGGATGCGACGGAGGCGAAGGAGAAGGTCGCGGCGGACCTCGCCAAGGCCCAGAGCGAGTTGAAGACTGCCCGGAATAAGATAAAGGAAGTGGAACAGAAATCCACGCAACTTAGCCGGGATCTGAGTAGTCTGCGGGAGGATATCCAGCTGAAGACCGCGCAACACGCCAGCGCCCAGAGCCTGATGAACAACATGCGGGACCAGGGGTCCGAACTGGGCATGCAGATGAAGGAGGCGCGGGAGCGGTGCGAGAGCCTGGAAGAGGAGCTGGCCGATGCCCAGCGTCTTCTGAGCGAGCGGACCCGCGAGGGTGAGACCATGCGCCGGCTGTTGAACGACATCGAAGGCCGCACGGATAGCAAGGTGCGCGAGTTCCGGGAGCGCATGGAGGCGGCCATTGAGGAGCGAGACCGGGCCGAAGACGAAGCCAGCGCGCAGGGGCGCCGTCGGGCGCGCGAGCTGGAGGAGCTCAAGGGCAAGGTCCGGGACGCCGAGAAGGCGTTGCGGGTTGCCGAGGAGGACAAGGAGGAGCTTCTACATTCCCAGAAGGAATGGAAGCGCCGACGGGACCAGCTGGAGGAACAGTCAGTGCACTCCACTCAAGAGCTGACAGATACCCGCGAGGCCATGACCCGACTGCGCGACACCCTAGACGAGAGCGAAAAGCAAGTGCGCGATCTCGAGAAAGAAAGATCCGAACTGCGCCGCTCGGTGGAGGAAACCAACGCGCGGTTGGAAAAGCTGCGCAAGTCCAACCGCATGCTGACCGAAGAATCGCGTTTCGGACGGGGCTCGCCCTCACGGAATTCGATGGACTCCGGGTCGCGGAGGATGTTTTCGCCTGGGTCGATGGAGCGCAGTCCGTCCGCTCGGGGGAGTGACACGCCGAATGCGAGCGGGACGATCGACTACATGTATCTGAAGAATGTGCTGCTGCAGTTCTTGGAGCAGAAGGACCGGAACTATCAGAAGCAGCTGATTCCGGTTCTGGGGATGTTGCTACATTTTGACCGGTATGTCTATCATTTTACCCCCTTCTTCTTTATGGATCTGAATATTTACTGACTGCGACCAGAACGGATGAACAAAAGTGGATGGCGGCAATCTCGAAATAAATCAGATGGATAGAGTTGGTGTTTAGCTTGCATGACGAGCATAGATTTTGTTTGAAACTGTATAGGTACATAATATGTTTTTTAATCTTTTTTCTTCTTACTCTCTGTCCACGATACAAAGCACAAGCATAGGGCGCAGGGCGCGCCAAGAATGGTGGGGTTTCTGGATCTGTCATTCAAATTCTGGAACGCATGTGGGGTGATTGGATTTTCTCCATCGACAACATTTTCAAAACAACAAGATCAACAGAGGCTGCGAAGAACAATATACGTCTTGACCACACATCATGGCCGACCAACCTACCATCCGCCTAGCCACTCCGGAGGGCAAGTCCACCTCAAACACCATACAAAAAAGCCACCAAAAAACACTTCAGATGAATGGATAAATACGTATATATACACAACTAATCCAACCACAAACAGACGTCCCCCTCATCCTCGGATTCATCCGCGAACTCGCCGACTATGAAAAAGCCCTCCACGAAGTCGAAGCAACCGAAGAGTCCCTCCTCGCCACGCTCTCCTTCCCCACGCAGGCCCCCAAGCGGGGCTCCGTCTACACGGCCCTCATCACCCCCCCGCAACGGCGACCGACCCAACCCCCATCCCCGTCGGCATGGCCCTGTACTTCTACAACTACTCGACGTGGCGCGCGGCCCCCGGCATCTACCTGGAGGATCTGTACGTGCAGCCGAAGGCGCGCGGGAGCGGGTACGGCACGCTGCTGCTGCGGTGGTTGGCGGGGCAGGTGCTCGAGGCGAAGGGGAAGAGGCTGGAGTGGAGCGTGTTGACGTGGAATGAGCCGAGTATTGGGTTTTATAAGCAGTTGGGGGCGAAGCCTATGGATGAGTGGTTGAAGATGATGGTTGAGGGGGAGCAGGCGCTGGGGCAGTTGGCGAGGGGTTGATTTGTGGTAATTATATTGTGCACTATGTGTGTGGTGTGACTATAGCGTGATTATAGCATGATTATAACATGGCCATATCCATAGCTATCATCATCGTGTTCGATCGATCACCTTATGTTGTAGGTCAACGTCTCACGTGCTGTCAACAGTGAGGAGCTCTTCCACTGTAAGCATGGCCACGATCGAATATCGAAACTGATGTTTCACGCCCACCACGGTAATAAATAACAGAGTCCTTGCGATAGAATAGAAACCTTTGAAAGAAGTATTTATTTACCGGATAAAAAAAAAAAGACAAATGGAGCAGCAGGGGATTGAACCCTGGACCTCTCGCATTCATGAACTCAACTCGGAAGGGAAAGTCACGTGCAAAGCGAGCGCTCTACCACTGAGCTACTACCCCAAACATACACTGACACATCTGCCTTTGTGCCTCATAGCATCCAGGCTATCTGCAGAACTATACAGTCTGCTGATTGAAGGTACGCTGAGCACTCACCACCAGGGTACATTGAGTTATCAGTTGCAAAGGGTATCGATTATAGGATGTATCTGTTATATACACTGAGGAACAATAAAGAAAAAAAAATAAAATAACACGATCGCAGTCAGGTATGATATGGCTTCATGTTCACCATCACGCCAACTCGCATTCAATCAGCCCATCAACACAAGAAGGAACAGTCCATATCTTCAACACACGCAGCCCAGCCAACCAAGCCAGTTCTACCCACTGCCGCTCAGTGCGCTCCTTAGCCGCCACATCAGCCATCATGACAATATCCAGCGACGTAGCCTGCCAATGCGCCCCAGTATCAGGGATGACATTCTCATAGATAAGCAGCCTGCTATATCCGCGCGTCATACTGGCCGCCAAATTACGCAAGATTGACACGCACAGCTCGTCATTCCAGTCGTGTAGCACAGAGTGCAGGAAGTATGCGCGCGCGCCACGCACCGGCTGCGGCGTGAAGAAGTCATGCACCATGGGCTCGAACGGCTTGTCGTCGTGGCTGCTGGAAAACTCGGCGAGTACGGCGGGCCGGTCTTGCAGGATGAGTCGGCCTGGGGCACTGGGATATCTGGCGTAGAACCGCTCCAGGTCGTGGCCTTTGTTGCCGCCGACGTCGACGAGGAAGACTGCGTCGTTGTGGGCGGTTTTGGCTCCGTGGATGAGCCGTTCTTGGACCGGGTAGAAGCCCTCGTCTGTCCAGCTGGGTCGGCCGTGGTGGTAGGTGGACATGAGCGAGTTGAATTGGGCGGGGAGGCTGGGGTACCGCGGGTTGTTGGTCTGGAGGTATTCGAAGAAGTGGCTGTTTGTTTGAAAGCCTACGTTGAAGGGCGAGTTTGTGCCTTCTGTTGGGCTGCGGTAGTTGTTCTCTTTGAGCCAGGTCGGGATGGCGAGGATTGCGGGGAGGGTGCTTCCGGTTCTGAATGGTTTATGGTGTTGGTTCCGGGTTGTTAGGGTTGGGGGGTTGGATGGACGTACATGCATGGGAATGTGTCGCTGTATCGGGGCATGGCTAGGGTGGAGGAGAATCGTGTTCCGCGATATTCATCATACCCTGTTTCGGTGATGACTCCCACTGCTCCGAGGTGCTTTAACAGTCGTCCTGAATATATCAGCTTTGACTCCAGCCCTAATTCTACTGCGCTCATGCTGAGACCCATACTCACCAAGGATTTCCGGCTCTACGCCTGTCGCCTTCGCCAGGTCTGCCACGGACTTCGACCTGCCATTCCAGGAGATGAGGGCGAATATGTTCAGATCGATACAGGTCTCAATTGCTGCGAAGGTAGCAGGCTATCAATCAACCTTGTTAGTACCACAGGCGATAGGCCAGAGCTGGAAGAGAAAGAAAATCATGCCTGTGCCCAAATATAGCGGAGTATCGTCTCCTGAGGGGTTTCCATCGCTTGCAGTAGCGATTGAGCTGCTGCCACCAGCTTCAGCCTAGAATTAGCATCCCCATTGCTGAATGCTGCACTGTGACCGTTGATATCCTTTAGAAGAGAGGCGAGTTGTTCGGGCGCATTGGGGGCCGTAACCACGGGGCCGTTTGCCATGTTGTATTATCCGTTGAATCAAACAAACCACGAAGAGTACTAGATAAATATATTGATAGGATAGTAGAATCAGAGACAGTAAGTAGTAAAAAGATAGAAGGAGAAAAAACGACCTCAATCAACGTCTTTATCAACCTTTCCCCCTACAAAGCCAGGGACCGAGGGACAATTAGGGCAAGGTCCGGGGCGTTCCCCCCACCATCCTGCTGCCTCACTAAGTTAGCTGTTCAGGATTGGAATGGTTTGTAGTTCGCTCCGCTCAAATCCTTCGTCTTGAAAACATGGCCCCGGTGTTCGTCCCAGCCTCTTCCTGCACGTTTATCAGGCTGATTTTCTTGATTTCGCCCGTTTTCTCGGTTTGGCGCTGGCGTGATATAGCTGCTTCCGCCGGTGTGCTCAGCCATCGCCCCTCCGGGTGAAGGATGAAGAAAAGGAATGATCTAGCTTAAACGGTACCAATCTTCACAATGTTTTTATCTTCGCTGGCGGGGCGGATCAAGATAACGATGAATGATAAAGAACTCATACCCTCTCTCGCAGGGTCCTGAGGGAAGTTCACGCTTCGAGGCCAATTTTACCAGACAGACCCCTGCACAGCACACATTGCTTGCAGCTTCTTTGTTGTTTGATCTGGACTATCACTGATCATAGCGCCCAACATGTCACCTGCGATGGGGACCAAAGCTTACGATGAGGAGACCTTGGGGCCCATGGTGCTCGCTGTCATGTGGCTGTTCACCGGCCTGGCGAGTATCTGCGTCTTCACCCGCCTGTATATCCGGCTACACGTGCTACGAAACCCGGGCCCAGACGACTGGATCATTATGATATCCATCGTGAGTCTGCCAAATTTGCCCAACATCTGTTCTTGACCAAACTAACGTGCCGGGCGCGACTGTCTAGGTCATGGGGTGGATGTATTGCGCCCTGACGACAGAAGCCGTCACATTAGGATACGGGCGACACACAGCCTCGATACCGATCGAAGAAGCCCAGACAGCCCTCAAGTGGAACGAGGCTGCCTTTGTTTTCGGAATCGTCTCGTTCGTTTTGCCTAAGCTCGCCGTGGCTGCTCTGCTGGATCGACTCCTGCTTCCTAGGACCCTCAACCGCTGTATCATTTGGGGCCTGGTGGGTGGGCTGGCGGTGGTGGGCATCGTGAACATCTTCATCTATGTGACTATGTGTGATCCGATCCAAGCGCTTTGGAAGTTCACTATGGTTGCGACTGGGGAGGCGACTTGCAGGGATATCTGGATTTTGATCAATTATGCTACGTTTACCAGTGGTAAGCTATACATCTTCCTTCTGTCTTGGTGACTACTGCATGTTCATTTGTACTGATAACGTGATGCAGCCCTCTCGGTTTTTGTCGATTGTTACCTCGCAGTATTCCCGAGCTTCGTTCTTTTCAGTTTGAACATGTCCCTGCGTAAGAAGATTGGGTTGAGTGTCACCATGGGACTGGGCTTCTGGTAAGACTTCAATAGGGATAGCTTCACCGCAGATGAAAGTATGTACTGACAAGATATCCAGCGCGGCAGGAGTTGTGGTTGTCAAATGCATCCAACTCAAATCACTCGCCAACCTCAGTGATTCCACCTGTACGCCTCCCCCATACTGCCTAAGAAGAGCAAAACTGACTCGGAAATAGACAGCACCGTCTCCCTCGCCATCTGGACAAGGTACACCATCCATTCCATCCCCCCCTCACCCCAACCTCCTTAACTAATAACGTTCAACAGCATCGAAGCCAACATGGTCGTCATCGCAAGCTGCGTCCCCTGCCTCCGCCCCCTCCTAGACTTCATCACAACCGGCTCCTGGCACACGAAATCCTCCCAATCCCAGGACGCCTCAACATGGTACGGGGCGAAACGCTCACGCATCTCAACTAGCATCACCAAGGGGCCTGAAGCTGCGGACAGCGATTCCCAGAAAAACTTCATCATCCGGCGTACGACCGACGTGGAGATTCAGTTCGAGATGCAGACGTCTGTGGCGCCGAAGCAAAGGCAACATTTTGATTTTGAGTTTATTTGATTGTTTATGTTGGTTTTTGGGATGTTGAGGTGAGACTGGTTTTGTTTATGCGGATACCAAAATGTTTGATGAATTGTTTTGATCTATGCAGCTTTTTTATATACCCAATTTCATATATTTGTACTCTACGCTACGAAGGATATCTCCTCCAGATATTACTAGACAGGTGAAGCCAGTCAGATTCTTATCTATCTGTGTCATCCCCCAAACCTTGATCCCCACCGGCAGTTGCTTGCTTGTTCTTGCAGAATATAACCAGTATCAGAGTAATGATTAACACTTGACATAGTAGACAGTACTCACACATAAACTAGACAGAATCAGAGGAATACCCCAAGTAGAAAGGAGCGAAAGAGAGGGGAAGAACAATAGACGATCACCCAGCAACGCCCTTGTGGGAACCCTGGACTCACTGCGCACAGTATCCATAAATAAGCCCCATGGACCAGTTTCTGGCAGGGGGGTTGTCACATCCCGATGCACCGGTTTCACACCCGGACCCTTACTGTAGAGTGGGCCTTGTCTACTCCGTATGGGATCGTGCAATCACACGCTAGACAGTGACGAATCCTAATCCGACATAGCGCCCCCTAATTAGGGCCGTATCATTCAGATATCGGTGTGGGGTTACTGGGTTTCTACTTTTTGGTCCCCTAGCACTACTGCATGTAGCGAAAATCAATAGCGCGGGGCGCTTTGAATCCTTACACTACCCTTGTTGCAGCTCTTTTCTTCCTTTTTGTCCGTTTGAATGTCGGATGTCGAGGGTGAGGAAGGCGAGGGCCTCGTGGTAGCCTTGCGCTGCGAGGGGAGGATTGGATCCTTTGGACCCCACCCCGCTTGTTTCTAGGGGCCGGGGTTGATAAGACCGGGCCGGGCAGTTGACTGGGATAATAAAATATGTATCTACCTCTCCGTAGTGGATATGTATATGCTACTGCTGCTGCAGGAGTAAATGGCGTGGATCCCCGCCGTCGTTGGTAGGTTAAGCTCAATATTGGAGTTACACTCTCACCGGTGGCTGTGTTGCAAACGTAGGTAGCTTCTGAACCCCTATGATCTACACTGATCGGTAGCTTTATGATTCATGATCTGCCCGCTTTCACATTCCTGTAGGATGTTGTGGTAGATCATACGACGGGAGAAAGTCTCTATGTGCTTGCGAGAAAAAAGGGGTCTTTGAGTGCGCCTTGACCCATGTTGTTGATGGCTACTCTGTAGAGTAGTCTCAAGGTGTGAGCGTGTGGTGGTTTTCTATTGTGACTCCTCGAAATGGTTTTGTATGGTGATCTGCCTGTAGTGTTTAAGCGATGTCACTGCATTTAGTGATTGGACTGAATAGGTATGTTCGATGGTATGAATAGTCTATTGAACATAGATAGTTCATTGGTACATTCGACAGGCCTTCCACAAATCTATGCGAAGTATACTATTAATGACGTCAATATATCAACTGGAGAGCATACAATAGATTGCCTTCAAGTATCTGCTTCAACAAACTGTTTTGATAGTTGCCTCCACCTATGACAGCTCTTTCTAACCCGAGTCAACTTATACTGGGGGAAATCAACCATCAGGGGCTCTCCCGTGCTGTCATAGCTGCGAATATTGCTATATACTGTCCTATCCCAAGAATTGAAATGGTCCTCATCAACAGCGGTAGTGGGTATCTGAAACACAAACATGTAGAACAATAGTCTGAGAAGCTGAGTGACATATACGAACCAACCCTGTACCATCTGAACACAAGTTGAAAACGGTAGTAGTCAATCGTTGTATTCATGCAAGGGCTGTCATATTCAATCCTCCTGCCTGGTGGTCTGTTATCAGCACTCAAGACGTCGAGATTAGATAGTCCGAACTTCTGGAAACTGTTGATTATAAACGATAGCGGATTTATAGAGACATAATAAGGAATTTAGCAAGACGAAATGATCCAAAGCTTTTGTGCCGTCATCTATATATACGATCGCAACGGCTTCGATGTGTTTCACAACGTACGCTGTATTTGACTGCTGGCTGGTATAGTTTTGGGCTTGCCCTTAACAGATATCGTACTGCTATCCATGAGGGCTCAAATTGGTTAGCTGTTCCAAGTACTTCCACCTCTCGGTATGGTAAATATTGGCAACATTGAAGCATTTCAGTTGTTATGGAATGACGTGGACTTTGTCCAGTAACAAATACAAGTCAGTAGATACATGACCGCGTCTAGAGTCAGATAATCGGCTGTCTTGGCCTAGAGTTCCGAAAATAATACTGCTTTATGCTAAAATCTCAAAGGGAAAATATATTATACACGAGAGCCAAAATAGATGGTTCCCTCCAATATAATTGGTTGTTTATCTGCAATGGTAAACAGAGGCTTGCCATGATGTCATCGTGGGAATCTTCATGATGTGGGCATGCATATCCATTGTGGGGATGGAAACAGGATATCAATTCCTACATTGTGAGATCTGGGATCGGCCAAAGATCGGAGTCTGGCGGTGAGACTTGTCGTCATTGCCGCCCGAGTTGGTCCAAGCGCTCCGAGTCCAGAAAATCATCCCGTTTCTTGACACCCTCTTCCCCTTTACTTTCACTCGACCCCCTTCTCACTATTCCAACAACATTCTACTTTGTCCGTTTATGGGATTACGGTAGAATCCCGCTCTCTCTGCCAAATGGCCACCTCCGCGCAAATCAGCGCTGAGAACAACAATCATGTGGACTACGTCATCCAATATAGCTTCGCAGACACGGGTAGGTCCCCTCAGCACTTGGACGAGACACGCAGATACCTAAACCTCCGCAGACATCTCCCAGGCGTCTCAGCAGTTTGAATTGCTGCTGCGGAGTCTGTCCGAAGTAGGACTGCAGTCGGAAGTCCGCCAGGGGGATGAGGAGTCGTTGCTGGTCTTTGTCCGCGCGGCCAAAAAGCACCGTCTGAAACGAGCGATCTACCAGTCCCGGTAAGTACGATCATATATGGAAGGGACCTTCCTGGGCTATCGTCTAACGTTTTCTTCTGCGGTAGAATTCGTGATTGGTTGCATGGCGTCCGTAACACCGAGCCCGAGCCCGAGGAATCCGCCGAGCCGCAAACCGAGGGGGAGCGCTTGCGCGTGATATATCATATGATAACGGTGCCCAAAGATGCCGGTGGTGCTGGGATTACGATGAAATATGGCGAATGGAAGAACGTCACGGCGATATTCCCCCTGCATGACGACGAGGCCAACAAGCAGTGCATGCGGGCGTTCAACAGCAAAACTTTCCTGTCTACGGAGGATATAGATTATATTCGCGATGCATTCGGCGAGAGCGTATGTGAACGAGAAACGTGGTTGGCAGTTGGATACTAACGATCTCTGCAGGTCGGGTTCTACTTCTCTTTCTTGCAATGCTACTTTAGGTTCCTCCTCTTTCCCGCGGCCTTTGGATTCTCGTGCTGGTTGCTGCTGGGGTCGTTTTCGATTATATACACGGTCGTCAATGCTTTGTGGTGCATTATATTTATCGAGTATTGGAAGCGCCAGGAGGAGGATCTCAGCTGTCGCTGGCAGACAAAAGGGGTCTCCGCCGTTCGTGAGAAGAGACGCGAATTCAAACCAGAAAAGGAGGTCTACGATGCAAGCACGGGTGAGACACGGGGGACATTCCCCACGGTGAAGCGGACGTTCCGACAGCTGCTTCAGGTGCCTTTTGCGGTGCTAGTCACAGTTGCCTTGGGGCTTATCATCGCTACCTGCTTTGCGATCGAGATCTTCATCTCCGAGGTCTACAACGGGCCGCTCAAGACGTACCTGGTGAGTCTCACGTTGTATAAAATCATTGCAGAGAACTAATTGTCCAGGTGTTCATTCCCACCATTCTATTGTCTGCTCTCATTCCCACCATGAGTGCGGTTCTCCTGTCTGTCGCGACCAGACTCAACGACTACGAAAACTACGAGACTCAGGCTGCGTACGACGTGGCCATGACACAGAAGACCTTTGTTATCAACTTCATCACTTCGTACCTGCCCGTATTCCTGACGGCCTTTGTCTACGTCCCTTTCGCCAGCCTTATCGTGCCATACCTCGATGTCTTCCACCTGACTGTCCGCCCCTTCGTCTCCAAAGAGCATGCCACGACGGCGCGCACCGACTTCAGCATCGACCCGGACCGTCTGCGCAAGCAGGTCATCTACTTCACCGTCACAGCGCAGGCAGTCAACTTCGCCATGGAGACGATCGTGCCGATTCTCAAGCAGCGCCTGATGCGCGAATACAAGGCGTACAACCGCAGAAAGCTAGCGCAGGCCGGCGCGGGCGAGCAATCCGATGAGAAGAAAGCCCCACCAATTACATTTAACGACCACAAGGACGAGACGGAGTTCCTCAAGCGCGTCCGCAACGAGGCAGAACTGGAAGACTACGACGTGACAGACGACCTCCGCGAGATGTGCATCCAGTTCGGCTATCTAGCCCTCTTCTCGACCACATGGCCGCTCGTGCCCGTGTCATTCCTCGTAAACAACTGGATTGAGCTGCGCTCCGACTTTTTCAAGATCTGCGTCGAATGCAAGCGTCCCACGCCCCAGCGCGCCGACACCATCGGGCCCTGGCTCGACAGCCTCGGATTCCTCTCCTGGACAGGCAGCATCACCAGCTCGGCCCTAGTCTACATGTTCAACGTCCGGCCGAACGGCGCGCCCACCGCCATCACAGGCTGGGCCCTCCTCCTCACCATCTTCTTCTCCGAGCACCTGTACCTCATGGTCCGCTACGCCGTCAGCGCCACCCTCTCCAAGATGGACCCGCCGAACGTCCGCCAGGAGCGCACCGACTGCTACTTGCTGCGCAAGAAGTACCTAGATTCCACCATCGCCGCCCGGAGCAGCGACGACGAGGAAGAACAGTCTGCACCCCAGCCGGACGAGACGGGCGAGATTCCGGACATCACGCGCAAGACGCTGGAGGACGATGCGCGTCGGTGGTCCCGCCATGGCATGGACTCAGCGGAGCGCTTCTGGATGCGTCAGAGGGGGTGGCGGGAGTCTGCGCAGGTGGGCTCGTCGATGATTCAAGCGCTGTCGTCGCATGAGAAGAAGAGGCAGTGATATATTAGTCTGGTACAACTTTTCGGTTTAGTCATAGAACGGAGATTGCGTGCATCTTATACAATATAGATTGTGCATGAAGATGATATAGATGCTACACTGTGGACAAATATATTTACTTCGTAATTCATCCTGGCAAACTTATACTGCAGTAGTATCAATCTACAGTGGTAATAGGACCCATGAGTAAGTTAGCACAGAAAGCCAAATTGTATAGACTTCCCCGTACGCAGGAGACCGAGTCAAGTCCATTCCGTACTCTGCTTGGCATCGTGGTGCGTGGACTATACTATAAAGCTGCCTTCTCCTGCCGTTCTTCTACCCACCCTTCGAAGGTTTCCTGACTGGTACCAAACCCGAGGGACTTTTTGCCATTGGGTTGGATGTTCTGTGAATATGAATGACTGTGTTCTGAATTCAGTCAATGTATAGGTAATAGGACTGAGCTAGACACAAAGTTTAATCCTGAAAGATGGCTATAGCATACTCCTTACATGGACAACTACAGCCATACGTTGGAGCCCCCCGACTTCAGCTTTCTATGATGCGAAGCGGCCATTGAGGATCGAAGTATTCAATTTCCAACCTGCTAGTAACAACCCTGTCCTAACGGTAGTGAAGAATGGGCAAGATTCTTGAGAACTAGAAGGCCATAAATCATGAATCAACAACTAAGAAGCAAAAAAAGAAAGAACAGAAGAACAGAAAATACAAGATACAAAATAGAAAATAGGTTTTAAAACAGAAAGGAAAGGCGAGAAACAAGGACCGTGTCCCTCACCATTGTCCTGGAATCAAACCGAACGGGTACAATGCAACAAGACAGCCGCCGGGAGTACGATATCAGCTTCGTTTCCACGAGGCGGGCGATCGAGCACCGCATGGAAGTCCAAGACAAGCGGGGTGCCTGAAATTCCTGCAGGGCTAATGACGACTTCCTGGGCTACATAGGGTTGCTGGAGATTGGCTGCCTGCTGGACCCTTGGAGGCGGCTGTGTACGTATTTGATCAATCCTCAACCTTGTGAGCGGTGATGGAGTGCCAGGAGGTGCTAGTTGCCATTTTTGGATGATGATCCTATGACCGGTTCGGTTGATGCTCAGGACCAGGACAATGCGGGTTGCTCCCAGAGAATTCTCAAACCACCAGCGAGCATCTTGCTGGAGGCGCGCAAGAGACTCGGCAACCCCGGTCTCAATCGCCACAGTCGGCCAACCATGGGGTCTACCTGCAAGGGGTTGTCGGCCGGCAGGCCACAAACATTGATCCGGCTGCTTTGCACGCTGTCCACCCGGCACCTCGTGGGTCGTGGTTCCTCCCATCATAACATCGGGGGGGGGAACGCCCATGCCGGCGCAATTCGCTCTAATTTCGTACATGAGCTCAGTTGTGCATGCGTCATGCTCAGCTGTAGGAATCTTGACAACGGCAGAAGTACCATCCAAAACCAGTCGAACGCTGACACCGATGAGATTATCTTCGTCCAGAAGCCGCTTGCGCATGCTTTCCGGCAGTCCAAGAATGAGGATGTACTGATTTCCACTTCCATCTCTCTCCAGGATCTCACGCACGTTGTTAATGACCATTCTCAAGTTGGCGATGCTATGGTAATGCACGCGCACATAGTCTGAGGGTAGATCGTTCATGATACCCCATGATCCGTCAGCGCCCCTGGCTTGGGGCATCTTCACTTCAGCGTCAGTATCAGCATCAGATCCATGGTATGAGATTGTTGACATGTTGACAAAGTGGGCACAGGTTTCTTAGATGTTGAGAGGTAAAGCCAAGTTACAATATGTATGATGAAGAGACCCTTGGTATAGGACGAGAAGCAAGGAAAAGATGGACCAGATGAAGAGAATCCAGGATGGAGGGGATGAAAGGAAGAGATAGCACAGATGAAGAGTATGAACATCAGTGAATATGTGAGAAGTGAATATGTGAGAGCCATTTAACAAGAATAACTTAACTTACATCTTGAGATAGAAGAATCTGATCACTTATAGTTATTTCTGTAAATATAATCAATCACTGAAGAAGACATGATAAATTATGAAATCCTATATTTCTTTTGAAGATAAAGTTACTTTATGACCTAACATGTGACTTGGTATGAATGTTAACATCAAGTACTCTGTATATATAAGATCTTTATGATACAGACGAGATTTTTTCCTCCTGAAGATTATTAAATCATCTAGAGATGGAATTCTGAAACTTCGGAAATTCCATATTGATACAGCCAACGTGGTTGTCTGATACTCCAGGTATATTAGCTGGCTTACCTATATAAAGTAGACTCTCTATTTTGTTGCCTTCCTAAGGATTCCTCCTTAGCCGGCTTATTCCTTATCTTGTATCTGCATATGAGGCTATGTATACCTCTTGATCATGTGGTTAGAGATATTGACCCATTGAACTAAATAAAGACATGCAGCATTGTTGCCTGAGGTTGCAACCTGACCAAACACAGCTGACTCAGACCCCCCTTAGTCAGATGTTTTGTCACCATCCCATTCCGGAAGCCGGAAGAGCTGTATCCATCTTGGCTGCATACTGTTATTGACAGAGCCGTCCCTGATGGAGTAGATTCAATCAGAAAAAAGAACATGGCATGACCGGTGAATCATCATGTTTTCCACAGTCATCGAAATCATGGAAAGACTGGAATGATTGGAAAGAAAGGCCGCCGAGGTGAGGGGTTGACGCTTGGACCGGAAAGACGTGGAAGATGAGGTGGGATGACTCAGCACTGCTGTGGATCAGTCATCTTTCCGTCATCGTAGATTACCATTATTACTGGTATTATATTTCAATACACTTACATAACAGATGTAGTTGTCTATCATGGTTATTATCAATGAGTAAGATCATAAAGTTGAAAATAGTAAAAATCATAGCATTTATATGATGTATAGACAAATATAACAGAAGGTTGATCCAAGATGGTCAGAATGATAACTGATCAACTGGAATGTCGGCAATGTCGGTCACCGATTTCAACTTCCGTTTTCCATGGACGGTTCAGCCACTGTTACCACATTCCCTTCGCCCACTTTTCTTTCCCCCCCAGTTTCCCTCTCGCTCTTCTCCCTCCTCTCTTTCTCTTTTTCTGACTGATATTTTAACTAATCCTTCTTCCCCCCCCAAAATCCTCTCCTGCTTACGAGATCACCACCCAAACCCAGTCATCTTCATAACAATCCTTAGTCTGCTTAGTACTCACGCAGCTAATTCCCCTCGAACTGCTTACCTCATCGCTGCTCCTTGTCTATCAATCGAGATTCCCCCCAGTATTGGATCCTTTGCTGTCTTCTCCTGGATATTGTCCTTTTTTCTAAAAATCCCCGACTGATTTCAGCCTTCCTCGGCCTGAATTGGTGGTGATCCGTGTCTCGGGCGCGTCCTCTACGTGATTGTCCATACCTCTCGATGCAGCCTACACTAGCTCCGGCGCCGCATCCAAGCATGCAAACTTCTGCTCAGGTAAGCAACTGCTTCTCCTCACGGTTTGTCATCAGATCGCCCTGCCCACCCCGGAGTGATGGAGCTCTCTGTATACCGTCGCGAGCCATCGCGATGTCCACTCCGGGGGTGGCGACGGTGACGTGACGTGGGAAATAACTCCCCGTCGGTCGCGACCGTGCTCCGGACCCGCCCAGCTCCGGTCGCGTCGAACGGAGGGGCTACACGCAGTGAAGAAGGTCGATGCTAATTGTTTACTTTCTAGGACCATGCGGATCAGGGTACGTGATGGATCTTCCTGGCCGTTTTGTCGGCAATGGGGACGGAGAACGCGTTGCAGCGGAGCCACTCTCCGTCGACGCTGACCAGCCTCGGCTCCTGGTCACCCTGGGAAAATCAAAAAGCTAACGCGACACCTGTATAGTGCTCCATGATCAGCTCCTAGCTGCTCATCAGCACCTGTCCCACCCTCAGCAGGCGCGACCGCAACCCCAAGCTCAACCGCCGCCGCACATGCAGCCCAACGCGGCCAGCCCTCGCGATCAAAACAACATTGACCCCGCTATCTCGGGAGCCACCATGCTCGCTGGACCCCCCCAGACTCCTCCCCAGCCGGAATCCGTGGGGGGTCCCGAATCGCCCAAGACCTACGGCAAGCGACCGTTGTCGACCTCCAAGCGGGCCGCCCAGAACCGAGCGGCGCAGGTACACAGCCCCCCTTTTTCCCCTCCTGGGTGCTTCATGGCTGACTGATCCACGCAGCGGGCGTTCCGTCAACGCAAGGAGAGCTACATCCGGAAACTGGAGGAGCAGGTCAAAGGCTTTGACGGCATGTCCGACCAGGTGAAAGGCCTGCAGAATGAAAACTACCAGCTGCGCGAGTACATCATCAACCTGCAGTCTCGGTTACTCGAGTCCCAGGGTGAGGTTCCGGACCTGCCGGCCAATATCGATTTGAGTCAGTCCCGCGCGGACATGCCCATGCCCCCGGCGGGCAACGCGCACGGCGGTGCTCCCGGCGCTCCGGCGCCCCCGCCGAATGCCCAGCAAAACCCGCCCCCAAATCAGACGGGCGGCCCGAACGACGCCATGAACTCGTTGAACCGCATCGCGGTCGCGGGCCTCGGCATGCGGAAGCACCCCAACGAAGAGACGAACTTTATGGGCCATAACTTCCCCGGCGCTCGTCGCCCGCGGAACGACGAAAACCAGACCGATCCGGACGTGTCGAAGACTGAGCCCCCGTCTGGCTTGCCGGTCGTATCATGAGGCGACCTCAATCTCATGTATTGATCTTAATCACGCTCATGCTTGTTCTTGCTGGCCTATGCTTTGATTCCGCTTTCATCATTTACCATTTCTTTCCTCCTATTTATTCCATTCGTGTATCTCAATCCCGGTGTATGGCGCGATTGCTTTTCGGTTTTGATTCCGGCCCTCGGAGGGGAGCGGTGTTTGGCTTTTGTGGTCCGGACTTGAAAATGCCACTTTTGCTTTGCCTTTTGAAGCTTAGATACAGATGGGAAACCACGGTGGCTGTCTTTTAATAGCTCGGATGTTTTCTTCTTACGCTTCGTTTCTGATATTTGGGCCGGAGTAGTACTTAGTCAGTTACTTAGTATGGGAGTTATTTACTGGTGAAGTTCCGCTGCGCCTAGCATGTTATCATGGTTTCCATCTTTATAATCTATCATCCATCTTCTAAGGTAGTTTACTTCTTGACCTATCTGTGTAGAACAAGAACCCTATGGTCTGGATCCTTTGCATATGATAGCGGGATCTCCCATGTCAATCCCACGTGCTGATGGACCAAGATCCACTCGTTGATACAATAAGTATAAGCCAACGTGCTACTTTGTACATACTATGAATACAAGATTAGGCATGATCTGCAGCACGAAACCAACAGTCTAAACACAAAGACCAGCCAAGCACAGTGAACAGACAACCCAGACGCATTAATCTCCACCCATCCATCATCCACCAGCGCAAACAAAGGCGGTGATGATAAGAGCTAATCCGATAAGCAGCTCTCTCGATTTACCCCACATAGACAACCAAGACTCTCACTTCTTTCATCTCCATCATCCTTGATTTCTCCCACCCATGATATTTGTCTCTAGCGACTGAGATAGCATTTAAAATACTAGGGAAATTTGTTTGTGTGTGTGTGCCATTTAAGTGGCAGCCTGCACCGCAGAATGGCTTCTTCACCCATCTCCATCCCCGCTAGCCCTTCTGCGGCGCCCCTCTATAAACCCCGGAGTTATCAGGTTGAGATGTTGGAGGAGAGCTTGAAGGGGAATATTATCGTTGCGGTGGGTTTATATCTTAGTTCTCTTTCTGATTATAGGCAAGCTGACAGTTTCAGATGGATACGGGGAGTGGAAAGACTCATATGTACGCGCCTATATGTCAATGGATATATTACTGTCCATTTTACCCCACACTCCCCCGCCGCCGAGGGTCATAGTCGCCCACCATGTTATCCAAAGGCTTTTGACTCCCACCCAGACTGTACATATAATATAATTATCTTGTCTGCTAACACAATAATAACAGAGCCCTCCTACGCATTACCCGCGAACTCGAAAGCTGCAACCCGCAAAAGGTGAGACAGCTAGATAGACTGACACATATACCCCGGCCTAAGCTCAATATTTGATTTCATTCAAGTTAGCTAGCTAACCCCCTGTTACACCATAGCTGATATGGTTCCTGACACCTACTGTCGCCCTCTGTCTCCAACAGCACCGCGTCATCGCGGAGAACTTACCCGCTGTGCGAGCGCGCACCCTCACTGGCTTGGACAAGGTCGAGCTCTGGACTGAGCAGGCTATTTGGGATGCGGTCCTCAGTGATATGCAGGTTGTTGTTTCTACGCATGCTGTGCTGGCTGATGCGATGAGCCATGGTTTTGTGAGGATTGCGCAGTTGGGGTTGATTGTTTTTGATGAAGGTGTGTCATTTATTTTTCTTGGGTTCATGTTGAGGCGCTACCTCTCCCTTCCACTTCTTTTCCGGACCTCTCTCTTGGACTCTTCTGTGTATAGGCCGGAGAATGATGCTGATTGACTTTAGCTCACCATTGTATGCGGCGTCACCCGGCAAATAAGATCATGCAGGACTTTTACCATCCTGCTTTGGCGAAGCTGGGGAGAGATGCTGTTCCGCGGATTCTAGGCTTGACGGCTAGTCCGGTGAAGAAGTCTAGTCATCATGAGTTGCTGTAAGTTGGACTGTTCACATTATCTTCTCATCCTGTCTACAATGAGATATCGCTGCTTTTCGATGTACCGGAGTTGACTGTCAACAGATTAATCGAATCGAACCTCGACTCCGTCTGCAGAACACCTCGCACCCACCGGCTCGAGCTACTCAAGCATGTCCACCGGCCTCAACTCCAACCACTCTGGTACCATCCCTATAGCGAACCGGAGCTTGGCATCCGGAGCGAGACCCTCCGGGGCGTTATCCACGCTTGGGAAACCATGGACATCGAGAACGATCCGTATGTCAAGAAGTTGCGCCAGAGCCCGCTTGAAGGACAAGCACTGAAGAAGGTGCTGCTAAAACGGAAAACGTACTGCACGGAACAGCTGAGGAGGTTCGTCGACAAGAGTCGCCACATCTACGAAGAGCTCGGAGAATGGGCCGCCAATTACTTCATCTACGCATCAATCGAGCAGCTGACCGCCAGGGTCGGCGATGCAAGTCTAGTGCTAGACTGGACGGACGAGGAAAAAGTCTACCTGGTCGAGCTGATGGCGCGAGTTCCCGTCCCAGATATGAATACGGATGATTTCCCAGTCTCGGCCAAATTCCAGTCCCTAATAGACTTCTTGGATAGCGCCAAGGGCGAGGACTTCTCGGGGATCATCTTCGTAAAGCAACGCGCAACGGTCAGCGTGATGGCGCATCTGTTATCTATCCATCCTCGAACGAGAGACCACTTCCGCTGTGCTGCCTACGTCGGCTGGTCCGGCGGCGGCGGCCGCAAAGATATCCTGGGAGAATTTCTCAGTGCTCAGATGCAGCGCAGTACACTGGACGAGTTCCAGAGCGGCACCAAGAACCTTATCGTGGGCACGGATGTCCTGGAAGAAGGCATCGATCTTAGTGCGTGCAGCGTGGTGGTGTGCTTTGACAAGCCGCCAAATCTGAAGTCGTTTGTGCAGCGGCGTGGTCGTGCGCGGCGGAAGGAGTCTACTTATGCTATTATGCTCCCTGTGGATGATGAGTCTGCGGATCTGGTTAAGTGGCAGGAGCTGGAGAAGGCCATGATTGAGGCGTACCAGGACGAGCAGAGAAAGCTGCAGGAGGCGTTGGACTTGGAGAATATGGTCGAGGTTGTGAAGGAGAGGTTCGAAGTTCAGTCTACTAGGTAAGATGAGGTTCCGCCGTGATTTACAGAACCACACTAACGAAATTACAGCGCCTTGCTGACTGCAGACATGGCCGTGGCTCACCTGTACCACTTCTGCGCCGTCCTCCCACAACAAACGTACGTTGACAACATCCCGGAGTTCTCCTACGAGACCAACGATGCGGGATTCTTGAAAGGAACAGTCACCTTACCGACTTGTGTGCATCCGCGCGTGCGCCGCACTTCAGGCGAGAAGTGGTGGCAGACAGAGCGCGCCGCGTTGAAAGAAGCGGCTTTCCAAACCTACAAATCACTCTACCACTTTGGGCTGGTCAACGATAATCTGCTGCCACTGACGGACAAGAAGGAGCTTGGAATGGGTGATCGTTCTGACTTGCCTTCCATGATGGATGTCTTGGAGCAGTACGATCCGTGGGCGGACTGGGCTCACTCGTGGTCGGCGCCTGATGTCCATCGGACTCGTATAGTCGTGCGATCTAGTGAGAGCGGCGACCACAAATTATCGATGACTCTCACCGTGCCCACAGTGCTACCAGAACTTGATCCACTGACCCTATTTTGGGACAGTGATACTACGTATGAGTTGCTGTTTGAGGATACCAAGCGCGTGCCTGCATTGACCGCCGACGACAAGGATGAGATGGAGAACATCACTGCGTTGTATGTTCAGGCGATCTCCCGCCAGCAGATCGCTCCTGGACGGGACTACATAGCTCTTTTTGGGCCCGACATGCCGCGAAACGAACTGGGGAAGTGGTTATTGGAGAATCAAGGAGCCGAGCCTGCTATGGATGTATACACCCGACAAGGCGAATTCGAGACGATGGGTGTCATTCGGGACTCGGCGGCTTACAATGAGCCGCTGCGGTTCAAAAGATGGCGTGCGCGCAAAGGGGAGACCCTTGAACTGGAATGCGATACCCTTCCCCGGCGGAAGAACTTCCTGAAGCAGCAAACTCTGGCTACTAATGCCCCAGTTGAAAACGCTGCAGAAACAGTGCCGGAAAGCTCCCGAAAGGTGCGCCTGGTGTCCGCGGACCGATGCACAATAGACCGGCTTCCGTATTCGCAGTCTTTCTTCGGCCTGTTCGTTTCTAGCGTCCTCAGTACACTCGAAGCGAAGCTGGTCGCGACCAAGCTATGTGAAACCATCCTACGAGGCATCGGCTTCAGCGGCACCCAGCACATCATCACAGCCATCACGACCCCATCCGCGCAGTCTTTAACGAACTATCAACGCTACGAGTTCATCGGGGACTCGGTCCTCAAATTCACAGTCTCCTGCCAGCTCTTCTACGAGCACGGCAACTGGCACGAAGGCTACCTCTCCCAAGGCCGCGACGCATTCGTGCAAAACTCCCGTCTCGCCCAAGCAGCCCTAGACACAGGCCTCGACGCCTTCATCATCAGCAAGATGTTCACCCCGCGCAAATGGACCATCCCCCTCATCTCCTCGAAACTCCAATCCACAACCCCAACCCAGCGAAAGCTTTCCACCAAAGTCCTCGCCGACGTCGTCGAGGCCCTCATCGGCGCAGCCTACATCGACGGTGGCTTCTCCAAAGCCCACGCCTGCATCCAGCGCTTCCTGCCCGGCGTCGACGTCGAAAAGCTCGACATCCCCGCCGTCCCGCTGCACCTCCCGCCCAAACCAGACGCATACACCGTCGACCCTCGCCTCGAGCACCACATCGGCTACTCCTTCACCAATCCCTCCCTCCTCATCGAAGCCCTCACCCACCCCTCCTGCCAATACGACTCCTCCACCCAATCCTACCAGCGCCTCGAATTCCTCGGCGACGCCGTCCTAGACATGATCATCGTCGCCGCCATAACAGCCCACCCCGTGGAAATCTCCCCCGGCGAAATGACAAAGATCAAACACGCCGTCGTCAACGCTAACCTCCTCGCCTTCCTCTGCATGGAATTCTCCTACACACAGGAAACCACAACCGCTGAAATCTCCCCCTCTCCCCCTCCCTCCACCTCTTCCCCCACCCCCACCCCAAACATAACCGTCCAAACAAACACAACCAACCTCTCCCTCTGGCACTTCATGCGCACCCAAAGCCCCGCCATAAAAGCCGCGCGCGAAGCAGCCCTCACCCGCCACAACACCCTGCACACCGAAATCTCCACCGCCCTCCACTCCTCCCCCAGCTACCCGTGGCTGGCACTGTCGCGCCTCAACGCGGATAAATTCTTCTCCGACATCATCGAGAGCATCCTGGGCGCGATATTCGTCGACTCGGGCGGCGCGCTGAGCGCGTGCGAGCGGTTTGCGGAGCGCCTGGGGCTGATGCGTTATTTGAGGAGGGCGTTGGTGGAGGGGGTGGGGGTTGTGCATCCGAAGGATGTGGCGATGAGGTTGGCGAGGAGTGCGGTGGGGTTTGAGTTGAGGAGGGTGGTGGCGGAGGGGGATGGGGGGGCGAGTTATAGGTGTGTGGGGAGGTTGAATCCGGAGTTGAATGGGGAGGGGGAGATGGAGGAGGTGGTTGTTGTGGAGGGGTGTGCGACTGGGGAGGAGGCGGAGGTTAGGGCTGCGTTGGAGGTTGTGGGGTTGTTGGAGCGGAGGGAGAGGGAGAGGGAGAGGGAGAGGGAGAGGGAGAGGGAGATGGCTGGGGGTGGGAGTGGGAGTGGGGAGGATGTGGTTATGGGGGAGGGTGATGCTGCTTTGGATGTGGACATGGGGCTGGCTGTAGATGGATTGATTGATTAGAAGTGGCGGAATTGTTGGAAGGTAAATTTCTATGAGAGAGGTAAATATTTCATAATGTACAGATATCATGATGATGAAACATCATATTATATGTAGTTCGAGTAATAAGAGATACTATGGCGCAGGTATCATATGGCTATCTATAAACAAACCCAGCCATGCAGGATGCAGTTGAACAGAGTATATGGATACTACAGATTATCGTTGCATAAACATCCACTAGCCCTTCTTTTTACCCCGTCCCCGTTTCCCCTTCACACTCGGCTCCGGCTCTTCTTCCTCCTGGTCAGCCTCTGCGTCTGACCCCCGCGACTCCACCAAGTCATCCTCACTGCTCGTCACCATAACCCCATCGTCCGTGCCATCTCCTACTGATACCGCATCGGTCTTCGAGACTGGCTCCCACGCCGGCTCGGCAGCCTCCTGATGCTGATCTTTGATTCCAGCCAGAACTTTACTGGCTTCGCTCTTCTCGGCGTTCCACGCTCCGCACCCGCAGCATCGCCAGCGGCCTAGCTCCTCCAGCGATTTAACGCCCGGCGGCGCCTGTCCGTTGACCAGGCGGCACGTGCTGCAGATCAGCACCGTGCGGTTCTTGGGCTGCGTTTCGTCTTCACCGAGTAGCACGTCGAGGAGGCGGTCGTACCAGTGCGACTGTTCGACGTACTGTGGGGCACTAGGGAAGGCGTTGGGCGCGAAGCCTGGATCATCGAAGGCTGGTGAAGACTGCGGAGGAGGGGAATTCGGTGACGGTATCTGTTGTGGAGGGAGGGGTTGTTGCTGCTGAGGGGTGGACGGGCCCTGCGGTGAGGGGCGGCGGATGTTGGCCGTTGGTGGCGGGAGAATCCCGGTGCGCTCGACCGGGGGTTGCTGTTGCTGAGATCTCTGCTTGGGGGAGGGCTTATGGCTGTCATCACTGCTTTTTGGGCGTGGTTGCTGCTTCGGGGAATCGCCGGCGTACTTCTCGAGGAGCTGCTGCGTGGAATTATACTTTGTGGCGGCTTTGAGTTTTTCGATAGTCTCGTCGCGTTGCTTTTGGAGCTCGTCCAGGTAGCGTTGAGTCTTGCTGATTCGGAAGTCGTAGAAGCGGGTGGCGAGGGCGCGAACGGCGTAGATCCTGTTGGTTACACCGGTCAGTACGAAAGGGGGTACAAAAGGGGGCATTGGATTGTGGGTGGGGGAAAGGCGTACACGACCGGACCCCCGGCAATGGCGGCATATTCGGCGACTCCCCAGTTCTGCCAACCTAGAACTAGAGCTAAGATGATGGAGTAGAGAAGGTAGGCGAATGTGGTGTAGAGCGTCCAGAGGGCTTTGAAGCGGCGGGCATGTTGGCGGGTCGTGTCCAGACGGGTGGTGGACTGGGTAATCTTGGAGGAGAGACTAGCGAGAGTCTTTTCGAAAAAGGCGGGGGAGTTGTCTTCACCCTGAGGAGAGGTCAGTACACTGCAAACGGGCGATCGGTGCGATCTCTTGCCGACGGACCTTGAAGGGCCATAGGGAGACCATGGCGACGGTGGCTTGATCAGGATCTCATCGGAGTACCACGGGCGACATTATTTGTTAAACAAAGGGAAGAGCAAACGAAAGGGCGAAACTAAAATTAAGAAAAAGAAAGGAGGGGAAGGTGTCGATCGAGACAAGGTTGGGAAAGCGAGTGTGAGGGTGACAGGTAGAAAGAAGATGATGATGAGGTTGAAGATGTGGAGACGCAGAGTTGAGACAAGGGAGAAGCAGAGAAGCTGTCAGCCGTCACGCACAGACCACCTGACTCTCTCCTTCAACTACAACTACAACTACAACTACAACTATTACCACTACATACCCTTAATCTGAATGATAACATTTCTCTTCTTTTCTCTTTTCCTCTCAGCTGGTTGAATGGGTATTTTCCTGTCCCCAAGTCTACCCAGCATTAACCTTGATGTATATCCACCCTGTTGTAATCGACCAGGATGTCGAGATAGCCTCCAGGGGCAGTGCCATGCTAGTATCATTCTTACAACCAATGGCTGGTTACTCGAATATGACACTGTCTATTTGACGATCATCACATGCAGACACCATCCTGCATGAGGGCCCCTGCACTGGATGACCCCTGGGTTGATCTGCTCCACAGCGAGACTATCAAGTTCACCCTCATTAGACCCAACACCATGGTCAAACCATTGAGTAGTCCGAGATCGACCATGCAGCTAACCCATGGTATTGATATCACACCTTCCATTATGGTGGGAGAGGGCTCTTTGGTTCTCGTGCAGTGGTCGCGAAGTTACCCGCCCCCCCGCCCCATGTGCGGCGAGTTTAGTCGGACGCAAACCCTCCCACCGGTCAAACGAGTAGAAAAGCCTCTGACATTAACATATTGCTCCATGCAACCTTGACATCGATAGCGGGGACCCGAGAACAAAGAAACGATCACTGTGCGCAGACGGAGGCGTTCTCAAGGTTGGCCAAAGCGCCACAAACTCCCGCTAGACGCCAGTCACACCCATCAAACCAAACGAGATAGATGCATCTGGCTCTGAGTTTGCCTCCTTTTCCTTTGTTCTCGGTCTCGAGTCAGGATGTCGAGGGTTCCGGTCTCGGTGGGGCCAGCGTCACCTCTCCCCCCCGCAAACCATGGTTTGTTTGGATCGTTGCCGTGATGGGGAACGACAACCCCGGTCCCCGCCAAAAAAACACGGGTACTGACTGAATTCCCATGGCCTGTACAATCCGACATTTCCCTTCAATAGATGGGATCTCGAATGCAATTATTACGTGCAGGCCGTGCGCCTATACTCCCCGTCAGGCATCATTGCCCGCCATGTCAAGACGGCATATGTGTAGTTACATGGTAGATGGGATTACCATGTTCAGTAGGCTTTCTCTTTGGTCTTATCTGCATTCGTTTCTATTATCTCAAGGGGTTCATCTGTCAATTACCTTTGCGAGCTGTAACCTTGCGCGCCGGATTAGGTCAAGTCAATCAACGCCCTGAAAGGATTAACTTCGACTCGACCGTGTCTCTTCCCTTCTCATCAAGCGTCCATGGGCTCGGCTCAGCCCAGCAGCTAGGTGCCTCGACTCGGGGAGAAGGTCTGATTCTCAGATCGTGCAGGGACTGACTCGTGAATGGTGGATGTTAATTGCGGTGGACGGAACCTGTTCGGTCCAGAACCCCCCATCTCCGTCAATTGGAGGGGGAATAGGGTGGTCGATCTGGCTTTGTTCCCATTATGGGGTACCGATCTGGTTCTTTCTTGGTTGACTTGCCGTCTCTACTTATTTCCAATATATCTATGGCTGATCTCCTTATGAACGTACAAGCCCATCACATTTGTTTTCATCATATTTTGGCATATTTTGATGAACAGTTAAAATGGCCACCACAATCGCCTATGGGGCAACCCGCAGCATGACGCTGGTCATCACGGCCTTGCTAGCCATCGCCATGTACAACTGCCTCGTATTGTATTTCTGGATCTTTTTTTTCTACAAGCGCTACCAAGGAAAATACTTCTGGATCATGATCGGCGCAACCACCGGTGTCCTTTGGTACTCCGTCTTTGCTACATTGATCGGCTTCCAGGTCGGCTCGGCCAAGGCCAACGTTGTCATGCAAGGATTCGGCTACGTCTTCATGACCACGGGCGTCGCCCTGATCCTGTACTCGCGCCTCGACCTCGTCACCAAGGGTAAAATCGTCACCTTCGTCCTGTGGATGATCATCATCACCACCTGCGTCATCAATATCCCGCTAGCGGCGCTGTTCGCCGCCGCATTCTGGACGAAGAAGGTAGCCACGGTAGCCTTGGTGTTCGAAAAGATGGGGATCTTATTTTCTTGCATTCGTGAGTTGATCATCACAGCCATCTTCATGTGGGAGGCCAAACGCAACCTCAAGTCCCTGCTGGACGCGAAGGGCAAGGAAGGCAAGCGCATGTTTTACAGCCTGATGACCGTGCTGGTCGTCGTGATCTTCCTCGACGCATCCATCCTCGTCTGCAACTTTGCCAACTACAAGCCCATCAAGCTGGCCTACGGCGGTATCACCAACAGCGTCAAGGTGATGATGGAGTTCGCTATACTCAACCGTCTGATCAGCCTCATCCAATCCCCCACCATGATCTGCCAACAGGGGATCCCCGAAATTTCCCTGATAGACAACACCAACGCCAACGATACCCGCAGGAATTTCTTAAACGCCCAAAACAGAAACAGCGCCTCCCACCAACAGCGCAATACCCCCAGCCCATTTTCCCCCGGGAGCGGCCTTCCCGAAGGCCCAGACGAATACAAACAGCGCCGCAGCAGCGACCCCGACTCCAACCCAGACACAGTAACCTACCGCCACGAGGAGTTCCTGGAACCGTCTCCTCAAGAACAGTACCATGCCATGTCACGGGAAACGACAGACGCTACCCTCGCAGCACCCGAACGGAGTCTATCGTGGGATCATATCACGCATAGCGGGTCTAACGGGAGCACGGAGGCAGGCTCGAGCAGTAAGGAGTCGCCGTTACAGATGGTGTAAAACTTTGTTATTTGATTTTACGGCGGATACCTAATCATCGCTGGCGATATTGTGTGAATTTTTAGATTTTGTATGGTTTATGATATTCGTGGAAAGACTACTGTGTATCTGTACTCACGTGTTGGATAACTTAATATTGAGCGGACGCTCCTCAAACCCAGATTCTACACCTGTATAGTACAAACACCTATAGACACCGCCAGTAGAGGATTACCAACCACACAATAACCACATAGCCAAGATACAGCACCCCGGATCAAACAACACCGACAGCCAAACTACCCACAAACCCCTCTCTCCCTACAAGGACTCGACTAGATTCAAAAGCAGTGCAATACAGTCACACAGATTCGACACGAACGCCCCCTCTTCCCCAGACCCACTGTTCCTGGGGTTACTCAGTACAGGACGCCCATGCAAGGAACAAAGAAACAAAGCAAGGTATCACACCAGGCACTGCGCCATCCAACAGCAGGATTACTTAGTTGGGAAGGAGGAAGTGGAGGAGTAGGATTTTGTGAAGTGAATTACGTACAGAGTAGAGGGTGTGGAGTACTCTTTTGAATATAGTAGGTAGGGAGATAGATAGGTAGGTAAGTAGGGTGATCTATTCACCGTGGATGAATAGATGAACATATGTATATACACAACAGGAATAGTATCACTAGCTAGCTACCTTACCTATCTAAGTTATTGCAGATCACAAGTAATTCATCACTACTCAACTTTCTCCGTACTCTCTACAAAGATATAACGTCGCTTCCAGCCTCCATAAATAATCAGTAACCCCATAGTCATGCAGTGCAACAAAACTAACCCGGATACCCCAATCAACAACTTCTTACCCTAATAGTACTACACCATTTATTTAAGTTCCTGAACCCAAACAAGAGACACACGAAACAGATCCACAAACACAAAGACCCACGGATCGGATGATTAAAAATACATTAATAGGAAAAAAAGGTATTAAAAACTGCCTCCTCGTGTCAGCCACACAATAGTCGCACAATAGCGGGACGTTGTGTCTCCTTCCTGGGAGGGGCAAAGAATAGACGTCTCTTCCTTCTTAACTACTGACCTCGACATTCTCCTCCCTGTAAGTGGGCCTCTTGGGTTGGTTTGGTGTCACGGTGGAGTAATTTGGTAGGTAGGTACATGTCGCAATATAAGATTGGCTACATAAAAGTATTCACAGAGCTCAGAAGTGTCTAGATATCTTTTGTAGCCGAGTGGTAATCTTTGTCACTGTACGGAGTACGTATGTATATATAGATATTTGGTCACGTTGCAGGAGGGAACGCCAATTTGACACTAATCATGTACTATCAGGATATAAGGATGTAGAGAGGGTCTGTTGGAATCTATCGGTCTTGGGTATTCCGAATAGTTACTATACTGAAGGTAGTCTAGCTCTAATAGTCTGTAATCTGTACTAACTATACGGATATAATGCTACGCTATGTTAAACTTTCGGCCTCGGAATCATCGATCTCTTTTTCCTCCGAAGTAGGATCGTGGATGTGGATGTGGATGTGGATGTGTGACTTCGTGTTTGAAGTCTGTTGGGGGTAGATTTTGAATGGATAAAATGAAAGTAAGCTTTCTATTCTGTACTCAGTGGCTGGCTGGCTAGATTTTGATGCGGAACTTTCTTGTTCGCTTTCTTTCTTACTTTCTTTCTTTCTTCTTATCTTTTGCTGCCGGAATAGGACAGAATCAAACAAGGACGGAAGGATTCAACTGATCCAGAGAAAATAAACCAATCCAGAGAAGATAACTAAACCAAGCTATTCTTATGTTATTTATAACAGGGTATTGCCATATAGTATCGTCTAATGTAATAAGATGTGACACCATCAATTGTCACCCATGATGAGAAGACGGATGTTGGTATGAAACATATTATAACTTCGTTATATCGTAGATGAGCGTGTATATAATCTAACAGATTCAACAGCGGCGGGTAGATGTCGAGGGCCAGGCCGCGGCACGTGTGTAACGGGGCTGAATGGATGGATTCAGCTTTTGATTTTCTTTCTTTCTTCCGTTTGTTTGTAGGGTAGGGCAGTATCCCCTCTCTGACACACACTCTATCTCGAGGGGGGAGCTCGAAAGTACCTTCCTAGGGTGGTATGTTTAAGCGCAATCGAATAAAGAAAACGGCTACGTCGGCGGCGTGAACCAGCCCCCCTCTTCCCAGGAGTGTCCGGGGCTGTATGCAACCTCGCGTCTCACGTCGGGATGCTGGAGTGCATCGAGTAATACTTTTAACCGTGTGAAGTTGATGGGCTTCATGATCCACCCGTCGAATCCGGTTTCCATGTACATGGGCGCGTCCTTTTCCGAGAGGGATGCCGACACGGCGAAGATGGGCACGCGGCCGTTGTGCTGTGCTGCATCGGACAGGGGGACTTTGGGTGAGTCGGTTTCGAAGTTTCGGATTATTTTGGTGCAGGTTATGCCGTCGACGATGGGCATCTAGTTGTGGTTATTGGGGTTAGCGTCATCTACTATAGTGTAGGTGGTGAGATGGTTTTTTGGGGGAGTTTGACATACCTGGATATCCATTAGGATGGCATCGTACTGGGTGGGATCCTCGCGGTAGACTGCTGCGCAGTCTTCTCCGTTGACGGTGAGACGCACGGTGTGGCCCGACTTGTTGAGACGCTTTTCTACGATTTTGCCGTTGATGGGATCGTCTTCCGCGACCAAGACGCGAAGGGTGGTTGGGGCGCTTGGCTCTGGCGGTTTGGGAGGCTCCGGGTGGGATGTCGGGGCCTGTTTGGGTGTCGGAGCTGGTTCCTCAGTCGAGGGCGGCAAATCTTTGCGAAATGAGGGATTAGAGGTGGCACTGGGTCGGCGACTCTGCTCGCCGTCCACCAGCACAAACTCGTCGCTGCCTTGAAGCGGCGACGGCGTCTCAATACTTTCGGCTGAAGGGGCTGCTTGGCTGGCGCTGACGGGGTCCGTATTTTCTTCTGCGACGGTGAACTCGAGCGAGACCTGGAATCGGCTGCCCTTCCCTTCTTCGGACCGGACGCTGAGCTGTCCGCGGCTGTTGTGAACGACCCGCGAGACGAGCGCCAGACCCAGGCCTAGGACCCGCTGGTCTTGGGGGTCCATGAGTGCGCGGATAGATTCATGCTCGTCGTTGTCGTTGATAACTTCTTCACGAGCCGGAGATACTTGCTCGAGTTCTTGGAATAGCGTTTCCAGGATGTCTTGGGACATTCCCGTGCCGGTGTCAAGGACTGAGATGAAGATGGTTGCCTTGCCTGGTTCTTGTAAGTCGGGGCAGCGCCACATTTCAACGGTGACGCCTCCGGTTGAGGTGTTCTGGACGGCGTTGGAAATCAAATTCGAGATCGTCTGTCGCACACGCCGCTGGTCGCCCATCACCGTCTTCGGAAGACCCGGATGCGCCACCACCGTGTACTTAAGGCCTTTCCGCTTGGTTTCCGTTTCAAACATGCTCGTCGATTCTTGGAAAACGGTCGCGATATCGAATGCATCGTCCGAGGTGAGCTCGTTTCCCTTCTCGGTGTTGGTCAAATCCAGAATATCATTGATGACGTAAATCAACGACTTGGATGCGGAATACGATTTGCTCAGGTTCTCGCGGGTTTCAGCGTCCAGCGCGCCTTCGAGAGCGATCTCGAGGTAATTCATGACGGCGTTCAACGGCGTGCGGAACTCGTGCGCTGAGTTGGCCAGCAGGATCTTGGTCAAGTGCGATCCCTGCATAGCTGTCTGCCTCTGTTTCCGTACTCGGATAAACTTTCCGTACACCAAGCACAACAGCGCCGCCGTCTCGACTTCTGAGCTCGTCCACTCACGAGATTGGTCGAGCACCATCTCGGTCCATACCTTGAAGCTCGCCCGCGGCTCCAGGTGACCATGGCCAATTTCTTTCTCGTGAGGGTTTCCTCCCCATTTGATCTCCGTCAGTTGGCCGCGACGGAAGAACGCCATGAAATCTCCGCCGTCGGTGGATAACGGCACATACAGCATCCCCGACACGACCTTGAAACCCGGGAGATAGCGTAGATCGGCAAAGTCCCGTTTAATGTTGTGGGATGCGAGCACTGAGTTGAAACGGCGCATCTTGAGATACTCCAACAGCGCTAGTATCTCTTGCGAGTGAGTCGACTCGGTGTTGACATTGCCGCCCAAGAGCTTTGTCTCGCCATGGATACACAGGGCCCCATAATCGGCATCGAACAGCTTCAGTAGGTCGTCCGGCGACGCGACTATGTAGCCAGACGTATCTGCGCTCATGGGCATGGTGTTGATGAGATTGCGCGCCTGCAACTTTGACGTGTACGAGAGACGTTCGATGTTCTGAGAGACCGTGTCCCCGATCAGTCGGCAGATCTTCCGGATGGGGAAGGTGACGCGCATGCCGGTGCCGTAGCTATGGCATGAAATCAACCCCCAGAGGGATGACGGAGAGTTGATGCTGATCGACATGGATGCGCGTACCCCCATGTGGGCCAGGTACTTGAGATGGATCGGTGACATGGCACGGAGATATGTGTAGGTCATATCGAGCGGGTGTTTTAGGTCTTCAAGGGTGCGGCAGACGAGACGAGCCGTCTGTTGGTCCCGATCGTACAGCAAACGCACCCTGTTGATCCGGTAGAGATCGCGCGCTTGCTTGGGGATGTCTGATGCCGGGAAGTGTAGCCCTTTGTAAAAGTCCTTCGAATGCTTGGGATCAAGCAACTCCGACACCACATACCCATTCCAATCGTTATCGAACTGGTAGACTAAAATGCGATGGAATCCGGTCAACGCCTTCACGATCCCCACGGTAATATTAAGCATGCTATCGATACTTTGCGCACGAGTCAGCTGGTCCTGGATTTGCGCGATAATATTGAATACTTCCATGGAGGCGGTCTCTCCCCGCCGTCGCCGCGAGTTGCGCAAAACCCGCAACGGTTGGCTGATGTCCATGGTGCTTTCCGCTAGCTGTTCGGGTGTCGGATTGGCACGCAATGTATCGACCGGCGCGCCCGGAGAGCTTGATACGGATTGGCTAGGCGGATTGAGACGGTCGTCCTCGAGCTCAAACTCACAAATGACGATGTCCGGGTTGACGTGATTGACGTGAACCGCGCACCAGAGCCGGACTGACGGTCCCGTGGGTTTGTTAATCGTTAGGATGAAAACGTCCGGGCCATCGGTCTCGGCATCAAAGCCTTCCTCGCGGACGTACGCAACGTGGTCTAAAAGAGTGTCCGCTTGCTCGTCGGACAAGATGTCACAGAACGACTTCATGGCGAACAGGCTGTTGGGCGAGTGGCCGAGGATTTTTTCCGAGTTCTCGCTCACCACACGAACCGACAATACATCATCGGGTTCCTCCTTCAGGGCAACCAACACACCAAAGCTCTGCACAGCTCCCGGGGTGCGGATCGGCTCGTCTTCGCACTCTTGAAACGACTCGTTGACGCGCCCTGTCACGACAGCATGGCCCCCCTCGGTTAACACGTGCTTGAACCGCGACGTGACGTGACCTTCGGGGACGACCTCTCCATCATTTTCCTGCAACGGATCGCCCTTCTCCACAACCGGGCTGGCGGATTCCGTCGCTGAGGGGGGCGAAAGGGCCGTCCGAACGGCCTCAATGCTCGATGCGCTTACCCGGGAGGACTTCCTGGATTGCGATCGCGATCGCAGTTCGTCCCATGTTCTCGAGTCGATGATTGAGTATGTTTGGGCGCCTTTCCCCGGGGAAGCGACTTCAGTGTATCCTCCCGGCGGGGGGTGTTGGTTGGAGGGCGAGGGCTCGACGGAGACCATCGATCGGACTGGGTAGACCCTGTCTGGGGGGTCGACTTTCAACGGGGGGTGGTGATCAACTCGTCCGTCTCCCGCGCTATGACTCGGGAGATCTGCACTGTCGGGCGGATGCCCCGTCGTCCGGGCACTATCCGACTTGGACTGCATGGTTGGGGATGGGGTTCTTGGCGGATTGAGTAACGCAACAGCCTCACTAGTAGGTAGTATAGACAACTAGACTCATTTGACTGTCAGTATGCAGTTGTCATGATAGTGTAGCCGACACGCACTTTCTTTGGATGTGTGATTCTCTTTCCCCACGGCTGATTACCGCGTGGAACGGCCAATGCCAATCAAAGCTTAGTGGGTGAATGATGAAATATGATAAAAAAGTAGATAGATAAGGACAGTTGTTCTGCTGAAGCAGAACGGTCGTAGAGTTGCCAGTGATGTCAATAAAGAGACGGATGTCAAGCGACACAAATTACAGACATGAACCGGAGAAATTCTCCAGACGTATGATGGGAGGCAAGAAGACGTCTGAATGAGGTTTAGTGAGATCTTCTCGGCTGTGGCCTGAGGTTGGAGAGCCTCGGCCTTTTCGCCAATAACGGATTCGCTTCCAAGGATTCCAGCTCCAGTTCTACTTCCGGCAGCTCCATCCGCCAATCATTTCTCGATATTGGACCTTCAATCCCCAGTATGATATCAGTCCGTCCCGTGGAATAGAAGTTGTATGCAGTTTAATAGATGATGTGAGACGTTGGAGCCAAGAACGTGGTGGGGCTTCACGACCAGATTATCTCATCTGTCGTCCGCGTTGGGGGACGTGGGGTGTGGCGACGACTTTGACTTCCAGCCAATTCACATGCATTTCTGAATAAACATGAATGGGACAAAGCCATATGTGTGGCTGGCTTTCACAAAGGATTAGTTGGCCGCTGGGACAACGCGAGGATGTTAATTGCGGCCGAAGATCGGTGATTGAGGCAGTCGAGAGAGACCCTGCACAACGGAGTTTACCTACGCGTGCCGGTGGCTGGTTTAGCTGAGCAGTTGGAACAATCGCTTGGTCGGGTAGAGTTTTCTGCTCGTTACAGGATCTCCGCGGGACGAGAGCGCAGTATGGAACAGAGGCTATCTCACATTTGCACGGATTAGCTGGAGTCGGGTATCGTCCTCCAGTCGGGCGTAGTTTTCAATGATGCAAGATGCAAAGTGAAGTTCTATGGGAAAAAAGACTGGCAGTATACCGAAATATCAATGTAAGATCAAGTATATATGATATCTTAATACCGCTACGCCAGAACGTTGGCCAACGATTGGTATAGGGCTTAATCTGACTGATATTCCAACATAATAGTATACACAAGAGCAATTGTACACAAACGATCTATTGGAAAGAGGATAATGAGCTATCGACCCCACATGCCCGGCGGTGGTGTACTATATCGTGTAGATATGGAGACTTCCGAAACTTCAACAGTCAATGTCTCACAGACAGATGTCAGCCGTGTTGGCGTGGCATGGACCGCGCACGGCCCGGGGTGTGCAACCAGATACAAATCTCGGGCGATACAAGATCGTATGGAGACACTGGGGCTCGACCGCCAATGGCCGAAGACACCTGATCTAGTCACCCGCGAGCATGTTGGATGCACCCGGTGACTTTTGTCGGGGGGAAGGCGGACGTCCTGGTGGAGGACCGATTCCGAGGAGATCTTGTCCATCGGACACAGAGCTAGCCAGCATGAAACTAATCTGTTCGATCACATCACTCCAACTGGTGAGCATTCGTTTTTCTTTTGTCGTTTTATTTTTACGAATGCAGGGTTTGGTTTAAACCGTCGGATACCACGGAGACCGTGGGAGTGCCATCAGAACTACGGTGGTAACCGACTCCAGCTGATTTCAGCCCAGGTTAACCTCGGACATGGGCCCCCACGGTGATTGGGAGTGAGATTTCGAGGTCTTCGGGGGTCGAGTGACGTCGGCCGTGACCCGGAGCGGATTCACAAAGTTGGGGTAATTTTCCCTATCACTCGAGCTGGATTCGGATGCCCGCTGGTTCACCAGCAGCACTAGCTTCCGAAGAACCGCACATTCGAGCTTGAGTTTGACGCTGTATACGGCGGCCTTGAGGGTGGTCTGTAGGATGTACAAGCCGACGTATTGCATGACGAGGAGGGCGACATCCATGAGGATGATCACCACGTTGATCGTGATCAGCTCGTACATGATGCGGTTGCGATAGGCGTCCCTTGCCGGCCGCAGCCGCAGCAACTTGGCGGTTTCGATGATGTACAAGGCGGATATGAACATCTCTTGCGCACAGAAACAAGCCACTTGCAACCGTTCCATCACGTTGTATCCCCGGATGACGGGTTCGGTGCGGAGGTAGATGGTGGAGTAGGTGAGCACGGTGGTGGGGACGAGGAGCACGATGGTGTTGAAGATGATGAGGTAGAGGACGCCGCGCAGGAGCGTTCGATTCTGGACCAGGAGATGGAGCCGAGAATACAAAACGAAGGACTGACCGGGCACCATGAGATAAAACCCGAGGGTGGAAAGGGTCACTCCCACCCAGATGGGGCCTTTGCCGAAGAAGGCCAAGACGTAGCCGACGGCATGGGGGACGACTCCGAACACGTCGGAAAGCAACAAGGTCCAAAAGTACAAACCGGTGTAGCGATTGAATGTCAGAAGGATGACAGCAACCAGCTCGATGGAATTGTAGAGCGCAACCGCACTGAAACAAACCACGAGTATTTCGACGGCTTCGGTGGCACCCTTGTACCCCCCGACGAGGCCCTCGGGGGGGTCGGAGAGCGAAGATTGCATTGAAGAGATCTCTCCAGATGATTGTTAAACCAGTATAGCAAGGTTTGCGAATCTTATCACATCCCGAGAGCGATATCTATGACGTGCGCAAACACGACCATCACTCCCGAGCCGAACACTAGTCGGTGATATTCTGTTTGTTATAGGGGTGGGATTCGATGGTTCTCGGCGACGAGATCGACCAATCGCAACCTCATTTCCAACAACCCTAAAACAGTCGGTGCTCCGGCGACAATTCCCGAGGCTGTATATCCTGCACGAGGTTTGATGGGGCGGAAAGAACCGGGTGTCGCGGTGCAAGTACTATTGCCGTAGTGGAGTAAAAACGGGAGACCGCCGATATAGAGAAGAGAAAAGAGAGACCAGCGGATTACAAATAGTAAACGATGGGACGGTTTGTAGTGAAGAGGAACGAAAAGAGTGTAGTTGTTCGAACGATTGACAGAGGAAGTAAAAAACTTTCTTGAGGGAGAGAATATGAAAAAAATGATGGCGTTGAACTGTCGATCGGGGGGAAGAGAAGCAGAAATAGTTGGATAAAGTAAGAGACGAAGCGGAGAAAACGTGACCCAGGATGGGATGTGATTGGGAACCTCAGGCTGAAGGTTCCTGGGATCAACCGATACGCGAACGAGCAGACTTTGCTGGAGACGCCACTTCTCAACCTCAACGTACGTCAATCCGGTTACTGCCGAGATCTGCCTCGATCGCTTCACTCTCGTCCGACAGACGGACGACAACGATGACAATTATGCAAGAGATCTCGAGATCTGTGGGCTTGGAAATATACAACACCTGATCAATCTCATCTCCAATGACAATGGATATGACACGAATGGTGGTCGCAAAGTCTGACTTGGAGATTCATGTTGCACCAGGCTTGACACAGGACCTTTCGAAATGGAGATGTGTCGGAGAATAATAAACGCCCTCCACGCGATCCTCCATGCACCTCGGACAATCAAAGCCAGGAAGATCTTGACCCGCTAAGCTTGATTGGCACATCAGCCAGATGACAGACAGGATGTGTCGCTGCTGAGAGTATCTGACGTAATTATTGTCGGCGTTCTGCCGATGCGATGGATGTACCCACGGCTCATCCCCAGACGAGCCACAAAATATCTGCTTCTATGGTTCTGATTGGACCGTACGAGGTGCTGTTCGCAAAGGTTGCCAGGCTTATTGGGCTGCATTGACCTCCCATATAAAATCTTTCACCCGGGTGGTCCGAGATTCGACCGACGTGATACTCTGGGGTTGAGATCCCTGACTGTGGTCTGCAATGTGCCTTTATCTGTGCGTGGGTGCTCTTGAAGGTTTCTCATACCTAGTCTATTGATTCCTAGGCGTCTACTTCCCAGAGATCAACTGACAAGATGTTTTCCCACAGCACTACAATGCTAATCACCGTCCGCACTGGACCTACTAATAATGTCTACATGGAGCGCTTCCTGATCTTCCTGACAGGAAGGTTTCACCGCAATACCTTCCACCATAGCCAATCAAGCCGTGCTGTTTGAGGGAGAAGGGACAGGGCTGATCCACCAGCGGTCTGACCCACCATGTCAGAAGTGGTCTGTACCACAGGTGGACCTTGAAGCTGGTCACAGCAATGGACGTGTTGACACTACATGCAAAGGAAAGGACCGAACGAACCCGAGAAGTATAGAGTACGGTCCATGAGTATATAAATCAAGGTATCTTGAGTATACTCCCTTTAGACTAAACATCTCATGCCCTCTCAGGCTAGACCCGAAATTGCCGCCCAGGATTCACTAGTAGTATCTATCCATCGATCCACCCATTCCTCCATCAATCATCGTTGCCGTTGTACCCCCCAGTTCGATTGATATACACCGCTTATTCTCTAACCCTGCAGAAAGTTTAAATAGGACTCTTGCTAGCGGTAACCCATTACGGCAGTTTGATTGTCCGATGGGGATAAATTATTTCGAGAAATATGGCCCCTCTAGTTTCTTCCGCTTCATGATCCTTTCGTCTTCTCAGATATACCGACTGTAAAGGATCACCACTCAAAGTTACAGCAAGCGATAGAATGGGATCCACAGGGACCGTATATGAATTTGTCGTCGTGGGGGGTGAGTTCAAAGCCCCACTTATTCCTGAACAACAACCCCTCATTCAAAAACTCGTCTCTAACCACACGATATATAGGAGGCCCGGCAGGATGTGCTTTGGCCTCACGCCTGGCTCGTTCGGAGAAACGCCCTAGTGTTCTCTTGCTAGAGGCAGGCTGTCGGAACGATGATCGGTCTCTCCGAGTGGAAGGCCAGCGATGGACGACCTTCACGACCCCCGGCATGAATTGGGGCTACCAAACTACCCCGCAGGAGCATTGCAACGGTCGCCAGATTGACTACGCCCGAGGAAAGGCCCTTGGGGGAAGTAGTACTATCAATTTTGGTGTCTATACGTATGGCGCCCGGGATGATTACGACGAGTGGGCGGCTGCGGTCGGGGATGATACGTTCCGGTGGGATCGCATACAGTCTCGACTGAAGAGTCTGGAAACGTTCGATGGAGCCATCGCTGGGAAACATAACAAGTACGCTGCTCCCAAAGAGGCTGACCACGGATTGGACGGTGCGCTTCGCGTTGGCTATAGCGCCGAGTGGGAGCAGGATCTACCCCTCATGATGGATATCTTCGAGCAAGCAGGCTTCGGGCGCAACCCCGACCATAACTCGGGTGATCCAATTGGAATGTCTCTGGTGATCAACTCGTCTTCCAAGGGAGAGCGGACGACTGCCGCCGACCTGCTGAAGGGCGCTCCTGACAATTTGACCGTGATCACCGAGGCGCCCGTACAGCGGCTGGTCCTCAACGGAAAGAAGGTCATTGGAGTTGAATCCAGAGGAAACCAATGTAAGTCTAAATTATGGCGAATACACCAGAATCACAAGCTGATTGTCCAACTTTAGACCTCGCATCTCAAGAGGTCATTTTGACGGCGGGATCCCTCGACACCCCGAAAATCCTCATGCACTCGGGCATCGGGCCCGCAGATCAGTTGCAGCAGTTTAACATCCCCGTCACGCACGAGATGTCTGCAGTGGGCCAAGGTCTGAGGGACCACTATTTCGCCCCGATGTGCTTCCGCCGTGACCCCGACACGAACGACCGCAACGCCTTCTTCGGGGACGAAGCAGCCAAGGAGGCAGCCATGGAACAGTGGAAGAAGGATGGGAGCGGGCCCTGGGCGCGATATGCCTGCCAGCTTGGCATCGGGTGGTTCAAGTCAGATAACCTCACGGCATCGCCTGAATTCCAGGATCTTGACCCGTCCGTCCAAGAGTACCTCCAGAAGCCGACCGTCCCCCATTACGAGTTTCTGACACACTTTCCTATCCATCTTTTCTCTCCAGAGCTCATCCAAGGCAACTACAGCTACATGTGCATGCTCGTGTTTTTGATGAACCAGCAATCCAGAGGCGAGGTCCGGCTGCAGTCCTCGGACCCTGACGTTCCCCTGCTCTTCGACCCCAAGTTCTTGGCCCATCCATTTGACCGCCGCGCATGCATCGAAACCTACCGGGACGCGTTCCAAGTAACCAAGCACGAGGCGTTCAAGAAACATACTGTGTCCACCCTGATAGCGCCTGCTTCCGAGTCCGACGAAGATATCTTGGACCTGTGGAAGAACACGACTTCCTCCAGCTGGCACATGACCGGGACGTGCAAGATGGGACCTACGGGTAGTACCGACGCGGTGGTGAACAACAAATTCCAGGTCATTGGTCTTGAGAACCTGCGGATCGCGGATATGAGTGTTGTGCCTGTATTGGTCAACGGCCACGTCCAGGCTACTGCCTATGTGACTGGCGCGACATGCGCTGAGACTCTGATCGAGGAGTACGGACTCAACGCATGATGCCTCTAACAAGCAGGCCTTGGCTTGGTAGTCGTGTACCGGTCGAAAATCTCGGAACGTTGATCACCGTGGGACATATCATGGATTGATGGTGCTGACTAGCGATTGAATACCGATCTGACTATCGAAGTAAAGGGCGGCATTAAATCAATTATCTATTTGGGTATTCTACTTGTCAACCAGTTTATACATCACATCCGACCGCAACGTATACTTCACCCCCCGAAACACATCATCCCCCCCATGAAACAAACTCCTCTGCTGAAAGACCAGAACCGATCCAGCTTTGGGAAAAACCCTCACAGCATCCTTCGCACCAAACCCATCCGTGAAAGACGTCGCCCCCCCAAGCAGTCTCCCATCACCCTCACCGTCATCCCCATCCTCATCCCCACTCACTTCCTCACCAACAGTAGAAAGATCAATCATCCCATCCTCCCCCCGAAACAGCCCATCCGCCTTCTCAGCCTTCTCAATCCTCCTCCCCAGCTCCTCCAAATCCTGCACCCCATCCCCACTCAAATAGATCTGAATAGTAAAAAACGACTGCTCGCTCTTATCCTCCCTCACGAACTTCCCATCGCAATGCGGTCGGAAATAATCTCCCCCTTCATACCTCAACACCCTAAGCCGCTCATTGAGCCCACTCAACCGAAAAACCTCCCCGCGGCGCGCAGGCCCCAACATCGTCACCACCGGCCGGTTCGCAACCTCCGTAATGCCTCCCTCCTCGAGGAACGGCCACATCCGAGCCAACAGCTTCTCCGCGATAGCGGGGGTGTCCCACAGGATGCGCCCGCAGTTGCGGGTGTCGATCGCCATCGTCTCCTTGCCGCGTCCGGCGTTGACCATCGCGCGGGCCCATTTGCCTTCCGGGCATGAGGCGGACTTGGTGGATTCTGATGCGAGGCGGATGATCTCGCTGCATTCGGACTCTGTGAAGAGGTTGTCGATGACGGCTGCGAAGTGGCCCTTGTAGGCGGGGATCGGGGGCGTGGTCTTTTCGAAGTCGAGGATGCGGAGTGTGGCGTTGGGGGGTGCCTCTGGGGCGAGGAAGTCGGGGGGGAGCTCAGATGACATTGTGTGTTTGTAGTTTGTGAGGTTTCTCCTTGGGGTCTTGATACGTTGACGAATAGTGATGTGGCGAGGTCTTGTGAGGGGCGTCCACCATCTGATTCCCATTGTAAGCCATATGCGAGTCAACTAACTGACCCAACTCATAAGAATAGACAAAAGTTTACCAATGTTACACTTGACTGAGCAAAGCTGTAGTGTGAGTTATTAGTTGTTTGGATTTACGTTCAATGTAGGAGGGATTGTTTATATATACGATGTATTTCATGAGTCACGGGCGGGGCTGTGCCCACTGTTGCCTAGGAGGCTCTTTGCTAGTTGTATTCTTGGACTTTTGTAGATCTTGCCCTCAATTTTCGACGAGGCTGTATTAGGAACATGCTAGTTGGTAGTTGGCAACACTAGAAGAATGGAGGTCTAGAAAACATCAAGATGGAGTGGTGGCAATACTAGTGCCTGATAAACAAGGCATTAACTCGATACATGACCTGACTGAACCACAAACTTCCTCCTTGTTTCCTGCATCCATCATCAAGAGTGATATGGCTACACTTATGTACGTGGCACATCGCTAGCTTCGATTCCTGTTCAAATGGGCCCAAATGGCGGAGACCTTTGTCTTGATAAACCAAGAATGGCAATCAAGGCCAAGTCAAGTCGTCAACAACGAAACGAACGCCAAGTGGAACGGCGTCGCGATCTACATACCAGTCCATGGTCTGTAGCCAATTAAGAACTGTGATATATCCACCAGCATGGGGGACGGCTTGATCTCCGAGATTCGTGCCCCAGCCACTGATCTCTGGCCGACCCTGAAGTTCTTATAGGACCATAGCTAGCATTCATCCAACCTTTCTCCATACTTATCTTCCCCCCTTTATTACCACCGGAGTCAGCAGAAAGGATGTCCAAATAACCCCCACCATACGGAGTTTCTCTTCGTCGAGACGGCGAGTGCACGGATAACGAAGTGGCATGCGGTCATTATTGGGACGACTTCTACAGCTGCTGTCGTCAAAACACCTACTGCAGGAGTTCCGGAGGACAGACAATCTGCTGTCCGATAGGCACAGACTGTTCTGCAGACGTAACAGAGCACCCTCACTGTGCAAATGATGTGTGGGATCTCTACCAGAATAAAGATCAGTACTGGTGCTGTGAGCAAGGCTTAATCGGGTATTTCGACAACAAGGCGAATGGCTTTGGCTGCGTGGATGGAAACCCAAACGGAACGGATGTAACTCTCGCTACGCCAATCAGTAATGGTACGTTCATCTCTGCGTCGTTGAGTACAAATATGTGTGGGCTTTCATATATATCTTATGTGTCCCAGTAGACCAGAGCCCATCTTCGACGACGATAGTCACAGCAACCGTGACCCCTAAGTCAGATCCCGAAGGCGACTCGCCCTTGCCGTCTTCGTCGACTAAGTCGACTGACACAGGGGTCATTGCTGGCAGTACTGTGGGCAGCGTTGCAGGTTTCACTCTTATACTCACATGTATTTGGTTTTTGGTACGCCGACGAAAACAACAAGCGTCTTCCGCTGAGCTGGAAGCGAAAACAATGAAGCAATCTGTGCCAATTGCAGAGCTTCATAGTGACGTTGCTCGAGCAGAGTTGGATTCTGGAGCTGCGGCCGCACATGAGCTGCCAGCTCGGTGAAGGCACGCCTGTCCTCCTGCGTGCTTCCTGGGTCAACCTTTTTCATTCTCCCCCTCTGTATACACTCTTTCAGATAACTTTTCAGCTCTTTAGTTAATAGGAACCAGTCATTTGAATATTCAAATTATCATGTCTGGTTTTTGATATGAACTTGTGACGTTTTAATGTACTAATTAGGATAGATATAGATAATAGTATCTGATTTAGAAAAATTATTAATTTATCATTTTATGCAATGAAAAAAAAAAAAAAAAAACAAAAAAAAAGGCTTGGTAATTGTATATAAATCAAGAACAAAGTAAACCATCCTTGATTTACCCTATAATGTATTATGGTATGTATCTGAATTGAATTATTCAATCCTGAAATTTGGTAGATCAGGATCAGGATCAAAAATAAGGCCTAGTTACACCTCATAGTGTCACATATCATGTGATGTGAACTACTAGGGCTGTGCACCCGAGATAAACTCAGTAGATATAACGGAAGTGGATGTTTTCCTGGTCCGTCCGGTCCTCAAAGGCGTGACTGAGGCTACTATCCTGCAGACCAGCCTCGCGAGCCAATTGGTCCTTCTTCTTGTTCTGCGTCTTGAGGTAGAAGCGCAGGAAGATCACCGCAATGGTCATAGCGGTATAGCACCCGAGGTGGACGCCAAACGCTATGAAATACCGCGGGGCGTCATGCGTCAAGAACACTTGCGGACCTGTGCTGGATTAGTATATGTGATAGCGTTGGGTGTGATTTATATGGTCTTACCAATTGCGTTGCCGACTGCCCACGACACGAACGTGGCTGCCACGACGACGGATTTCTTGGTGGCACCGCCGATGTTTCGAGATACCATGGACAGACACAAGTTCTGGGCGGACCAGAATGAGAGGGTGATGTAGTAGCTGATCAGGAGGCCGACCTTGGTGTCGAGACCATTTTTCTTCACAGTCATCAACACGATCGTCCCGACATAGGACCTGCAGAAATGTCTCTCAGCAACCTTATGGAAACGATATCGCTATGGAGAAACTCACGGAATGATGAAGCCAAGCATGACTAGCAAGTTCTGATTGTATCTCTTGACCAGCCACGCAGAGGTGAGCAACACAATAATGATGTAGAAACCGAGCACCATGGCTAACAGCTGCGTCTGCAGCTCGGTAAAATCAAAACCCTTGATGATTATATTGGCAAAGGCACCCAGTCCACTCGTCGGAAGAGTTGTGAAGACCTGGATGGCGCAGTAACAGTACATCTGCGGGTCACGGACGGCCTCCCAGAACTGGTAGGCACGGAATTTTCGGTTCTGTAGGCCCGTCTGGTTGGCGCGCACGCGCTCAACCATCAGGTGCTTGTCCTCCTCGCTGAAGCACTTGGCACGCATTGGCGAGTCGGGCATCCACCAAATTACGAACAGGCCCCAGAGCACCGAGGCACATCCGTACGTGAGGAACAACGCCTGCCACGACTTGAGCACGCGGTGGTGCCCGATCAGACTGAAGCAGTAGGCCAGCAGACCACCCACGATTTGTTGCGCGCCGTTCATCATGTACCTGCAGAAGGCTCAGTTAATTGGAAAAAAATGGGACAGCGCTTAGGCATCATACCAGTATGTAACGGTGGATGCCTGTTCTCCTCTAGTATACCACATACTACTCAACACGATGAACGTCGGCTGGCAGACAGCCTCGAATATGCCGAGAAAAGTGCGCACGACGACCAGACCGGTAAAATTTTTGCACACTGAGTGTAGAGCCAAAACCGCACCCCAGAGCATAATATTAATACCGAGATACTTGGCGATGGGCACGCGCTGGATGATCCAGTTGGTCGGATATTCGACGATCAGGACGGCGATGTAAATACACGTCGTCAGCCAGGAGTACTGACCGGTAATCTAGTCAGCGTTGCCAAAAAAGGGCATCGTTAGTATGCTCAACACACCTGCTGGCCAACCAGTTTGGTATCGTCAACAATTCCCATAATCGACGCAAACGACATGGTGCCCTTATCCAGGGCCTGGAGAAAGTATGTGCAGATCATAATCACCAAGACCCGGCCATCGATCAGACGACGGAGTCGTCGACTGGTGGCATCGTCTATCTCGACCTGGCCGCGGGCGGTGTACTCGGCAATCTCCCTGTCGACACGGGAATAGTCCGTTTGATCCTTCTTCAAGTCTTCGGTCGGTGGTAGCGACTGCTCGACGTGGGAGATATCGGTTTCCTTGGGTGAGGCTCTCTCCACAGAGCCTCTGAGGCTACCTTTGGTCTCGTCCGGCATAGCGGTGGTGCCGGATACGGTGTGCGAGTGTATGGCCTGACGTGGAACGATATCAAAACTTCCTGGTAAACTCCCAATAGATGAAATATGCTACCGAGAATAAGACACCGAGAGTACCATGACCAACTGGAATCCACAGACACACCAGCCTTCAACGGCTGGATCCCCAGACGGGGCCCGGCCGTCTTTAAAGGGCCGAGCATTGCAGGACATAGCATTCCCCAACCCCAGATTTTAACTCAACTGACATGGGGCATGGACCACGCGGGGAAGCTTCCCCCGAGATGATCGGGGTAGCCCGTTCCCCCCCAGCTCTGTCGCGCCAATCATGTTCTGGTCTTGGTTCTGATGCTTCCTTGGCGCATCAGCTCGGGGTGCGATGACCCGGATGGCTTGTGTCTTTCGCGGAGAAACTGTTGATATTGGTCCGCCTATCAGAGCTTCTTGGTGGCTTGTCTTTTGTTGGCGCGGCTGGTTCTTGATCTTTTACAGAATTGGATGTCAATTTGGCATGGCAACTTTATCAACCATTGTAACAGAGATCTTCGAGTCCCAGATAGGATCTGATAGTTTGATGGGATACTGGAAGGCAAGTGAATACGTCTCACCGTTTGCCCCGATTTATTCAATCATCCCATCAACAAGGTTTAGTGTCAGCCCGCACGTCAGCAATTGCACTTGATCATCAAAGTTGATCAAGCATAACAATGATAAGCTCGATCAAAAATTGCTGTTCTAGAAACCGTTTCGTTTATATGTTTTGGAAAAAAGAACCATATCACACTAGGAGGAAACCAACACCCCTCCATAGCACAGCATCAACAAGCCAGCCTCAACAAAACTGCCCAGAAAATGATCGACACGCACCCCGATGAGAGTCTCCACCAACTAGCCTTATCGCCAAACCCATTCCCTCCCCACTTACACCCATCGGAGTTCGCCGTCCACCACGACTTCATCCTCATATGGAGAGCACATTACATGACATACCTACCTCAAACAACCAAAAGCCGTCACAATGCTATATACAAATGCAACAATCATCACAGTCGACCCTACCCGCCGCATAATAGCCGACGGAGCCATCCGCGTGCAAGATGACCGCATCGCGGACCTCGGCAAGACCCACGACCTGCAATCCAAATACCCTGATGACGAAACACTCGACCTTTCAGGACACATTGTGATTCCAGGCCTTATCTCAACGCACGTGCACACGGCGCAGACCCTGCTGCGGGGTACAGCCGACGACCTCGAGCTGGTCTCCTGGCTATGCCAGCGAATTTGGGTGCTGCAGGGGAATTTCACAGCGGAGGATGGCTACGCCGCGGCGAGGCTGAGTATCGCGGAGATGCTCAGGTCGGGGACGACGTGTTTTTTGGAAGCGATGGTAGGGATAACCCTTTGCTTTTCAGTAGGCTATACAATCAGCGTGATCAGCTAACGCAAAGTCTTTGACGTAGTTTGCCGATCGGTACGGCTTCGACGGCCTCGCCCGCGCGGTCGAGGAAAGTGGCATTCGTGGCTGTCTTGGGAAGATTGTCATGGACATCGGCCAGTACGCTGAAGACAACGCTTGGGCCATGCATCCTGGACTTATCGAGGACCGCGAGATGTCACTTGTGGGCACGCTGAACGCATGGGAAAGGTGGAACGGAAAGGCCAATGATCGGATTCGGGTGTGGTTTGGAGCGCGCACGCCGGGAGGGTTAGTCTCCTCCTTTCTATTTTCCCTCGCCATGTTTTGATCCTAAACCGCACCAGAAAAGGCTAAGAGATGATTACAGTGTATCGGAATCCCTTTACAAAGAGATGACCACACTGTCCCGCGAAAAGGGCATCCCCATCACAATGCACTGCTGCGAAGTCAAAGCCGATAGGGCGTATTGTGCCTCCGTGGGGCACAGCCCCATGTCATTCTGCGAGTCCGTGGGGCTTCTGTCTCCGACGACCGTCCTGGTGCACGTGGTGCATCTAGATGACGACGACATACGCCGACTCGCAGCGTCAGGAACGCACGTCGCGCACTGTCCCACCTCCAATGCCAAACTCGCGTCAGGGACCTGCCGCGTGCCAGACCTGCAAATGGCAGGGGTGAATATAGGGCTGGGCACCGACGGCGCTCCCTGCAACAACACTTGCGACTTACTCCAGGAGATGAAGCTCGCTGGGATCATCCACAAGGGCGTCTCGGGCAATCCGACGGTTGTGCCGGCCGAGGCGGTCATGGAGATGGCGACGATCAACGGCGCGAAGGCGCTGGGGCTGGATGATAGTATTGGGAGTATTGAGGTGGGAAAGAAGGCGGATTTTGTAGCGCTGGATATGCGACGCGCGCATTCGCAGCCTTGGTTTAATCCTGTTTCGGCGGTTGTTTATACCGCGACGGGCCGGGATGTGAGCTATGTTGTTGTTGATGGGAGGGTTCTGGTTAGAGAGGGGGAGCTGACGACGATGGATGAGGGCGAGATTGTGAAGGAGGCGCAGAGGAGGAGTAGGGAGGTTGTTCAGAGGGCTGGGCTAGAAAAGGAGGTGAGCGCCAGATGGAGGGTGGAATAGACCTGATTGATTTTGCCATGACTTGGGGCTGGATGGTGCTTGCAGGGTGGTTTACGTCCCGATTATCTTTGGTATGCGTTACAGATTTAGGTTCTGGACGAGGAGTATGTTATTCATACAAACCTCATATCTCAAACTGGCACTGATACTTTCTTTTGAGATCCTTCCTGTAGCCGAAGCGTATAGTTTGTCTTGCAATAGTAATAGCCTATTTGCACAGCCCCATTGATCTACTAGTTAGTCACTAACAACACTTTTATCAAAATAGTAGACTCTAAATACTCTAGTCTTTATCATCCATCTCCACCTCAAGACCAATGGATTGAAAAGAGGACACAGAAAGGTAATCAGACATCAGAAGTGAAGCGCGATGGCCCCAACACACAGAGTTGCCCTACTCGGGGACGCAAAGGTTGGAAAGGTATTACCCAACTCGATTCTTAATATAATATATAGATATTCCTGGTCTCTCATACTAAGCAGACAGCACTGTGCAGACTAGCTTCATACACAAACACCTCACTGGCGAGTTCATAAGCGAGTATACTCCGACGAGTGTTTGCCACATAACAACCCTACCATTTACTACGGTATAATGTCCTGTTTACCAGCGTGGAGTGACTAAATAACAATTATTCTTGATGGATAGAATCATGGGCCCATTAATCTCGAGATATTGGACATTCCCGGCCCCGAGTTGACCACATCCAGCACAGTGGAATACCTGAAGGATATCGACGCAGCGATCATACTATTTGACCTGTCCCGGCGAGAGACATTTGACAATGTCACCCATTGGCATAGTATGTAATCCCTTTCCAGCCGCTAGCTCCATGTCAAATACTGATAATCCACCAGATGAGATCCTCTCCATAAATCCAAACCCAATTTCCATCATCATCTGTGGCATGAAGGCAGATATCGCCGAGGAAGAGCGCGACTTGACCCCTAATGAAATCAAATGGTCTACTGCCCCCAAGAACCTCGAGTGCTTCGAGCTTTCTATAAGAGAAGTAAACGCAGATTATGAGCTACCCTTCCTGTCGATCTTGCGACAGATCTATCATGAGCCAGAGCTGGTAAAGAATGTCCAGTCCAGATTCTGGCAATTTTCATGATTTTATGGTTGAACTTCCTAATGATTTGCTGAATAGCACTTTGCCCTAGCTCGCGTTTGTTTTCCGCAACCCGGACAGACGATTATGCACCCCGAGGAATTGGCGCGGTGGACTCAAGAAATGAAAGACGCTGAAGCGATGTCTTTGCCTTCGGGGGATGAGTCGGATCTGTGATTTGATACTGGATATCACTAGAACTGAGAACCCGTGTATAGCCCTTTATGGATTTCAGTTTCAGGTTTCTCCCCGGTTCTTTTCTAGGTCGTCAATTCTTTGTTGTATCTTCTTACATGCGCACAGTGAGATAAGTGCATGATTTATAATCGCCTATATCAAATCGAAGCATGTAACGACCACAAGGAAGACCTTTGAAACAGATAAATGTCAACGGCAATATAATCCTAGTCCACCTACTCGATGTAGGCTGAAGAAATATTAACATAAGGATAAACAAATGGTTATTTCAGAAAATGAATTTCAGGTAGTATCAGTAACATTAGCTGAGAACGCTGCGAAACTCGCTCTAATCCAGAGGATTGTATCGCAGGCCGTCGGCCTGAGCGACAGCGGAAGACCATGGCTTGGAGATCCGTGTCCACGCATCCCGAGCAGGCCGAAGAAAATTACACATCTGAGTAAACACACGGTTTGACTCTGGAAGTATGGTTCCAAGTTGTGTCGGTACGAGTAGGCGAGAACACTGAAAAAGCTTTTCTAATCCAGAGGATTGTATCTCAGGCCGTTGGTCCTAAGCCAGCTTGGATAAGCCTTGAAACGAGCATGCAGATGCAACATTGATCGTGCACATTCTGTAAATGCCAGTTCTGAGAGCCATGATCCTTGCCTGATTCATCTAGGAAATCACTGTCACTCGATGAGACACCAAAATGGCACGATAGCGTATACCGTCAGGGGTAGACTGAGCCCAGTCATACCGACCGAATGCCGTCAGATAAGTCAACAGCTGGATTGGTCGCTATGCAACGTTGACCGGATGAACATCCGTTTAATCCATTTGATGCCGAAGTAAGCATGCTTTGACTGACAACTAGGACCAGACAGTGTAACCTGACAGCTACTGCACCATAATACCAAATCGGTAATTGGTCGAGCTTGATATGACTGATATCCCAACATGTATGTAGACGTTGATGTGGAGGTCTTAGACACCGTTGTATAAACAGACGAATACTTCGAGCTTAGACCGGCACGGGATGCCACTCGGGATCCTCGAGGATGCGCGATGGGCGTGGGCGATATTTCCCATCTTTGTATAGGGAGTTGACAATCAAACTGACCCAGGATTCTTATCCTTTGGAGGCCTGAATTGTGTTCATGGCATGTTGTATAGGACTCGAAGGCTTCAGACCAGATAGATAATTCTAGGGTCTATCTTCTCATTGAAGTGTATTCTGGAAGAACCACTTTCATGTTCGTGAGACAGACATGCGCTGACATGAAGTCCAGAAGTATGTCGCCCACAATAAGTGCTCAGCCGCATGACGAGCGGAATAAGCCAAGGCTCCTCGAGTGACGGATATCCACAGCTACCTGCAGCTTGGAATAGCAAACAAAGTGAGACAAAGTCAACATCGCTGCCACACAGCACAATCCAGGTGCAACCTCGAAATAGAATCGGCCTTGGGACCAGATGATCACGGTCGGTTTCACACGGTGCCCCAAGTATGTTGAAGAGGAGGACATCGTTCGAGTCAATGCGTCCTCGCTGACTGCAGAGTCCGTGTTGGATCAGGGATTTCACATATAGAGTAAACAGTTATCATGAGACCATCGATGACAAGGCGTTTTTGGGCCTGGGAAGTAATCATTCTTTTCTGTTTTCCTCTGCTTTTTCTTGTGGCTACGTTATCTTGTCTTTTGTTTGTTTGAAGCCAACATGCAAGTCAATGTGAATCACTTTTTTAAGAACCTAAGGGGTCCAACATAAAGAAATAATGTCAGGTTGGATCTCGCTCCAGCAGACAGTTGTATCCGACTACAACGCGTGGATAGACAACACGCCATATTGTATATTCGACCATGCGGGTAAGAGCGTCTTATGCAGTGGACAATTCAGTCTAATCCCATGGCATCAGCATGTGCTTTCCATCTTCATATTGTGGGTAGCTCACATTTCAGTGTTGATGTTTTCCCGGTGAGACACTGCAGAAACCCATAGATGAGATAAGATTGATGGAAGTTTGGATCATAGGTAGTAAGAGCGATGGATTTATCCATCGCGTCTGCTCCTTTCATCGAGGGGGAGAATGACGCCTAAGCAAGTGAGATATAGTTGTTCGCCTAGCGGGGTAAGGTAAAGAGGTATAGAAATGGGAGGATTATAGAGAAAGTAGAGAAAGTCATTCTCAGTATGCGTGGTTGTTGTTGTCAAAGTAGCATGTTGACGTGTCTGTGAGAGAAGGATCGTTTACAAGTAGAGGGAGAAGAGAAGGATCACCAGGGCGATGAGCTGTATATATAGACTTGATAGTGTAAGTGAATGAGGATAATTTAACTATCACTACTTATTAAAGAGTCTCTTGCTTGCCTGATTTGTGCACTTTTATGAGTTGTGATGACTTGTTTATTCACTGTAATACATGGCAGTCCTGAGGCTCTACTCGGTTGGTGTGATGTTGTCTGATGATTGTTTTCTTCCTTTCTCTGACCACTCTGGGGTTTTTCTCTTCTCTTTTTATTTATTTCTTGGCTTTTCGGTCTTTTATTATTAATCTATTGATTTAATTCAATTTTTATTTGTCAATTCCAGCTGGCCACATTCCGTTCAATATGGATTATGTGGAGGAGACCAATCAAATCAAGCATACACTCTATAGCTGGGTAAGTACAGTCGCATCATGTCGAGATTATTGCTCAGCCGTACAATATGAACCCAAAGTAAGTAGGGAAAAAACAGGCGGCAGGATACACCCTAGATTCATTTATGTAACCGAATGCTTCCTTGCACATGCCCCAGCATTCCCTATGTTCAACCAACTTCCATAACCAGATAGCCAAGAAACGAGGCACCCGGCTAAGACTCCAGATAATGTCTCAGGTGGCACCATCCAAACCATCTGCAGGTGCCGTCGTTACCGAGCAATATAATGGGGCCAATGACTGGGGTGTATAGGACGAAAATGAAGCTTGTATGATACAAGCGTCCGTGTTCCAAAGCTTTTCTGAGGAGATAAATACTGGCTGATCGGAGTCCGACACGGAGTGGACGGAGGGCAATCGTGATTGGCGACGAGGCACGCCATGGCAGGGGGTCCAGTAAATGAAGATCAGGGGTTCGGAGGGGGAGGAAATGAGATCAGTTAGGGGGTTACATGGTGAGATGCATGGTGTGGGTAGTGTCGGTTCACGACCGACCAGGTAGTGTATCAGGCTTGATTGAGCGTCTCAGTATGGATTGCCTGTTAATGCATGATAGATGAACCATGAGGAGACTCTGATCTGGTCTGGTCGGTCTGTTCCTGGCACCTGCGATGGTGCCAATGACGCCAAGATGGTACAGGTGGAACCGCAGCCGCGCCGATCCTGGGATGAAAAATCAACAAATCAGCGAAGAAGTGAGCATTGTCCCATAATAATGGGATGGAAACAATAAACAAACCCACATAATCTCCCTGACAAGTTTTCATGATTGGGAATCAATTGTTACTCCAAAGGAGGGGAAATCGTCAAACCGACATAGCTTCTGCAGAGGCCATGGCGTACCTGACCATCGCATCAGGATCACTAGTATCGCAATGTCAAAACAGCCTCCTATCACAAAAATGGCCTAGGACCTCAACCTCCAGTGGAGCGGCTGGCCCACCTCCCCCTTCAGGTACGGAGAAAAGACCAGAGCGAACCGGACCCCCATCGGGACCCCGT